TTCCACCACTTGTCAGCCCTTAAAATTATCACAGGATGATACACATTCAAATGTCATAATCTGTAAAATATAATCACTACAATTAATTTTGTATATGTAAAAATGAATTATTTGCTTACACAAAAGCCAGGGGTTGAAAAGATTGATAAAATCTTAAATGCGGTTATGTTTCATCAGAACAAATATAACCTTTGCTTTTAACATTAAGACAAGGACATTTTTATAATTATATTTTTATTTGCAAAAATTTTCGAGCATATTTCTTTTACATGAGACATAAACCGAGCCTGCAACATTTCCAATTTTGCAGAATTTGACTTTCTTTTGGGATTCTTATTTTCTCTTTTTGTTTTTTTAATCTTGTACATGTAGATGACATTCGATGCAACATTAAATTAACATTCATAAATAAAATAATCTTAAACTTGAGACAAAAGGCTTTTTGTAATCATATCATGTCAGATGACACTCAAGTAACATTAAATTAACATTCATGAATTTTAAAGGCTCAGAAAAAGATTTTTTTATCACAAAATTAAAGAAAACTTATACAATACAAGTACAAATGTTGCTGCAATGCAGCAATTGAGAAGGTCTGCGCAAAAAATGCTCTCATTACAGATACCTTACCAAATCATTTCTGCGCTATTTAGATTAGGACTAGCCATTATTCCGGATGTTTTGTAAATCATTTAAATTTGCATAATTATACTTATCGTATGCACTGTCCATGACAGAGGGGCCATATATTAAATTAAAAAAATGCTTTCACTGATGCCTACCTGGTAAGGAAAGTAATTCCAATACACACAAGACTTACAAGACTTGTAGACAGTAGTGCAACATTGTTCTGTTTGTGTTACTACTTTAGTCAGTAATATTAGATGATAAAAAATATCAAAACATGAACACTTTCACCTATAATGCTACTCACTTTCTACAAATATCAACAACTTATCATTGTAGGAAATGTTAAAATCCACATGTAAATAAGCCAAATCGACTTTATTTTGAAAATGTCCGTTACATGTTTCGCGCCAAATGGTATATCATGTTAAACAAGAAAGGCATTGATGCAAAGCATCAAATGGCATCCGTGCAAGAAATGCAGCAAGTGACGATGAACTAGTAGACATATTCTTTTTAACTTTTCAATGGGTAATTTCAAATGGGTGATTTTACCAGAATTGTACATGTATATCATAGATGAATGGGCGGACGAAGGCATTGCTCATCATGAACTATAATCGGCTTGCTAAAAATAAAAAAATATTAAATGTATTTTGTTTGAAACATACAAAACAGTAGTCAAATTGAACAAAGTCTGCTTTTTATTATAATTGTAACAAATATACAAACAGCATATAAAAATAAAAACAAAAGAGACTAATATTGTAATATAACAGGCATTTTTACTATCAAATTAAGAAAAATGGTTTCTTTTGATGCCTTGGACTTAAGATACAGTAGCTATATTTTAAGTCTCAGATAAATACTGAAAGAAGAACACACACTGGAATGAAAAATTTGGGATGAATTTCTAAAAGACCAAATTCAGGATTTGTTTGTTATACGCGTTAACAAAAATAATGGTACATTTAAAATCATGAATAAATTTGCATGGCATGTTGATATATTGAAACATTATTTATTAATGGAAGACTGTTACCTGCATTTTAGACAGGTATCATAGGGTATGAGGAAATTCATTAACATCATGTTCATGCGAGTCCAAGATATAAAAGGTTAAAAATGAAGAGCTATTGTTAATTGATTTATAGGGAGATGAATCTTCTATTTTGTTGAATTTCTTCAAAATCCTCGTCTGACCAACCAGTGTGTTTACATTCCTATCAATAAACCAATAACACCTCGACGAAAGTTTCTGTTGTTAAAATACTTGTCGCAGTATTCGGTAAAATAACATTCCACTCAAACCACCATAAAACCGATTGCCTTCAAACAAAATGGAATCAACTTCTAATTGCAAAAATTAATTGTTTGAAATCAGCACAATCTGACAGAAATAAGCACAATCTGACAGAAATTCAGACCTTATGTTTTACATCAGCCAAAGGCGTGCAAAAGCATGGTGTTATTTAATTAGGAGCTGATTTTCATAGATGATTAGAATAATTGGCATGCACTTGTGTAAAATGATGGTAAATAATATAATTCTTGGCATTGAAAGTAACTTTTGTTTGATTATAAATTATTATATTTGATTAAACTAATTTCCTCATTTAGATTTATCAGCTAGGAAAATGAATGTAAAATGTAGTTAGGACAGGTCAGGGTGTCGAGGATTTGTTGTTATTTCCATTATGTTATAGAATTTGAAGACAAGTATTGAATTTCTTGATATTTTTTAAAAAGTCGCATAAATCAGAATATAAGATTATATTTTATTGCATAAAACTTTCAACAGTACACTTATCTAGTTTGATTTCTTTCAGAGTGTGGTGGATATATAGATTCCAGAGAACATGCCTATAAGTTCTAGAATGATCAACAAAGGTTATACATCACTTAATCTAACAGAAGACAAACTGATGAACATGGATTTTAGTTATGGTGGACGAGGAAGCAAGGGGAGGCAGTAACCAGAAAAAATGTTGACGGTCGTAGAGTGAGCATGAGGGACGATAAATCACGAAACTCTGAGGAGCACACCCAAAAAATGCTCCTGTGCTTAAACAAAATCATACTGTTGCTGATACAATGTATATAGTTTTGTTTTGTTGTAAAGATTCAATAACTACAATGTTAAAGCTGATTTTGATAATAACGAAACCATCATAAATAAATAGTGTATAGATAATTCATGAGAACTATGAATTATATATTGATTCACTTTTTGATGTTTGTTTCTGTTATCATTTTAAATTGATAAAACATTGTAACAACATTATTATTTTATATCCATTGTTGAAGGTCCTTTAAGAGAACAGTTATGATACCGATTGAAGAATTATTCTCTCTGATACAATGCAAAAATAAATTCTTTGTGGCATTTTTCGATATAATGTACTATATGTATTTATCTAGAAATGTGTTATTTACTTGAATTTGACAAGTCGAGAGTTTATTGCAAAACTGCTGTAAGACCTTTTTTATTTCTTATAGTTACTGCAGTTTTTCAGTCAACCCTCAAACTGTAACTGTATACTGCTATTTTTGATCATCTGAATCAATGATATTGTACAAAAGTTCATTTCTGTCTTACAGACTTGTAAAATACAGATAATTGTAAATTGTATTTTAAATATGGCAACACTTTTATGTATTAGAAAACAACAAATTTTATTTACAATCGTTTTGTAATACTAATGAAAGAATATCAGATCTTACAATATATTTCATAATATTAAGATGTTTTGAAATGGTAGTGTATATCTTGGGTTGTTCGTTTTCTTAGAACAAATGAATTTTGAAAAATATTCAGTATTTCAAATATTGACAAAAACAAAGAAATGTATCTATTTGGATATTTTTATAAAATAAAATACTATGCAATTAAAGTAATACTGTATGTTACATAATTTTCTTTACATGGACCAAAAAATAAAGCAAAAAATTATGAACAGAATAGAACGGAAATTTCATTACGACTTGTACAAAGAACATCATCTACAATACATTATATTAACATATATAATAGCTGCATGACAACAAACAAACAAAACCAGAATATCACATTTACGTTTACAACAGTTTAATGATAATAAACAAACAAAAACCATACAATTGTGAAAAAATGTACATTTACTTTATACTTTATAATAAAAAAAGAATAGTTTAAGAATGGAAACAAAACATTTAGAGTATGAACATGGATTTTAATATCATTATAGTAGGCCACACTATTTAAATTACGTGTACATGCAATTCCTGTTATGACCAAAACATTGTATTCATTGATAAAAAATCGACTTTAAGTTAAACAAGTGCTAAATATATCAAAACCTTACAGTAATGTACACCCCCATAAAACATACATACAGTCATACAATCGTGCATTTACAAAACCCAGAACATTGAGACACATAATATGTATTAATCATAAGTTTTCGACCTATAAAATCTGATTATTTTTCTGTATAAAATGTGTTATTACAACCAATGTTCTTGTTCTGAGTAAAACAATTTTTAAGTGTCGAATATATCCTCCGTAACAAGTCATCGCTGATAACATTGCCACAATTGTGTTGTTGTAATTGATATACACTGTAGTAACATAAATGTTTCAGATCTCTTATTTAAGCCATTAATGATACACATCTACATATCACTATGAAAAAAACCTGTCAATAGTCTTAATTAAAAATGTCGATAAACAATTTGAATCCATTCAAACAAAACTGTGCGCTGATTCATTAAAAACATATCAGTCATGGGTAACTTTAAACAACGCTTTGTTTACAACTCTGACAATTTGGTAATCAAATGTATATATTTTATTTAAGCATACCAGAATTCAAATGTTTCTTTTACAGATTGTCTCACCAATACTATTTTAATACAAGGAACAAAATGAAGCTTGAACAGACACATTCACTTCCTGATATTTAACAGTTTTATGCAGCATCTAAGCTAAACATTTAGAGATTTTTTAATAAGACTATCTGAATCAAAGCATACTTTCAGTATGAACAAACACCTGATGATATATGATTAAATAACACAAAATAAAACCTACAAAATATATACAATGTCATCAAATCCCCATTATATATGCACACTGAAACAACAAATCCCCATTATATATGCACACTGAAACAACAAATCCCCATTATATATGCTCACTGAAACAACAATTCCCCATTATATATGCACACTGAAACAACAAATCCCCATTATATATGCACGCTGAAACAACAAGATAACATGTTATTACTATTATTTATAAAATAATGTAAAATTCTTTGATGATGGAAAGTGCATTATCCTTTCAATTAGAACTAAAATAACAATAATAACTAATATTAATGAATCTATATAGCTCTAGAAATCTTTTCATTATAATAATTTGAATACTTCTTTGATGTAAAATATTTGTAAATGAAATAAGCGCAAATTGCACAAAACTTTAAAAAGCACATTTAGCCCCAGAAATAATGCATTTGAAAATGTAAGATCGTTATCAAATGAAGAATATAGCTCTGAAATAATTTGTGACTAAGGTAGCGAAATAAAAACAATTTAGTGATATTTTGACTTCCATATAAAACATTTAATCACTATAATTTTATATGTATAAACAAACTTACAGCTTAAATGCAAAATACATCAAAAGATGGTTCAGCTATATGGGAAATGTGTAACTGTTTGAAAATTGTGACAGGACACCAAAATATAAAATAATATTTTTAAAAAATATGTCGGCATTTTTAGGCGTAATGGGCCTTTAATAAGTAATAGGGTTTACGTTTGACATCATTTTGATTTTAGTTTATTTGACTCATGCTAAGTCATACACCTCTATTTTATCACTGTTATCAATGGTTAGAACCAGTCTGTTATGTTGTGAAGTAAAGCTAGTAGACCTACTATTACAAACATCTCCTAGAACACCCATTTTTGCACCAGAACTCTCATTGATCTGAACAATTTTTGACTGCCCCCATCCACACACAAATATATTTCCTCGTTTGTCCGTACAAATTCCCCATAGAAAACAAAATCCGGATCAGTAATTGTTGTCTTGTAATTTCCCTCAAGGTCAAGGACAATCAGACCTTTTGTACAATCAGCCACATAAATCATCTTGCCATCATTGCTAACACTGATATGTCTGTTGTGTCTGAAAATTGTATTGCCTTGTTTATCAGATGTGATTTTACGTAACATACTGCCATTCATATCATAAATGTAAACTGAGGTTCTTTGATCTGAGATAAACAATTTATCGTCTTTGCAGGCCAGTCCGTGGCAAAAATGATCTACCTTCAACTGTTTGGCGGTTTTCAGTTTGTTTCCCATTGAAACAAATTGAATGGTTTGATTGTCCAAACTTATTGCAATTTCGTTTTTGCCTATTTGACAAATACTTAATGGAGATGCATGAAGATCTAGCCGATCTATCATGGATTCCGATGACAAATCAATAAGCTTTAATGCTTTGTTGCTATAGTCAGCTAGAAATAATAGTCCATCATCTGTGAAACATGAAGCATAAACATTACATGTCTGCCTATCATTTTCATATTTGATGTAAACCTGTTTCTTGCTTTTTACATCATACAATTTGTCTCTCATATTTTCAGATTCACTCACTGACACCAATCCAAATGTCTTGAAGTCTTTAAAAGCATTTATCATTGTCAAATCAGCATTGAATTCAATTTTAGCAGCAGATGTATTTGTCAATGCTTCTGCTTCATAAGCTTCCGTGATTTGTTTCTTAGAAGTTTTTACATTGACAAACTCCTGTGCTTTATTTCCAGCTGACTTTGTTAGTTTTTGTGATGATCGTTTGAGTTCATCAATATGTTTCTGTAGTTTGTTGGTGTCGTTTTCTAACTTCTCTATGGCATTTTTGTACTTTTCCTCTAAAGTTGTTATTGTTGCCATTTCTAGTGTGTCCAGTACTTCTTCTATTTCTTTTCTGAATTGCCTTATTGACTCTGCTGCCTTCTCCTTCTGGACATTAAGCTCTTTGATAAGAAGTTTCTTTGCTTTTTCTGTGCCTTCCATTTTAATTTTTATACGAAGCATCTTTTGTTTTATATCCTCAACCTCAGTCTTCTGATATAAAGTATCAATTTCTTCTGGTACCGAGTGTATATTTTGACATGTTCTGAAAATTATATTGTAGATTATTGAAACTCAAGGAATAGTTTGTGAAATGTGATAAAATGAAATATACATGTATTTTGTCTGTTTCCATCATTGAAAAAAGAGATTAGACACATCTTTCAAAGTTACCTGCTTGCATGGTTTCTTAGTTTATAGAACACGGCTTTCGTTTTATATATTCTCATTTCTAGAATTCATTCGATAATTGTTCATGTATACATAAACTAATAAACTAACTTTTATCTCTAATAAATTGAAGCAAAATGAATCTTCATGCGTTCATTGAGCGCCGCCTTTCCTTGTCGGTCTTGTTTGTCATATTCTTAAAATGGAGCAAAATTATCAATAAAAATTTCAAAATTTGAAAGTGCTTTCTTAATGCTTGTAAAAAATATAAATTGTCTTTAAAGTGAAGTGGTCTATACAATGTGGACATTTTTCATAAATATTTAAAATATTGAAAAAATAAACTATAGAAATGTATCAGCTGGGTATTCTTATAAAATATTGTTGGAAAGTTAAATATTGAAAACAGTTCTAAGTGATGTATCATGAACTTGTTTATGATCATACGAAATATACTTTTTTTAGAACAATATAGTATCTGCTTTATAAATATATGATATTTTGGATCATGTACCTCACACCATGTATAATTCTTTCGAGGCTGTTATAAATGATACTTAATATTATCAACGTAATTGTTGAATGTATTACAGACCAATTCGCTTTAATTTAATGTAAATGTACATTCAAGTACAGTACATTATTACTGTATTTATTTTTACTTCAATTCAATTCAATGCTTTAAATAATTAAAACATTCAATTAAGTAATTTTACCTATGTTTTATAGCTATGCAGGTCGCACAAGCTACTTCATCGTGGTCAGCACAATACATATCTAGCAACTTGGTTTTATGAGCTTCACACCTTTCAACTGGAAAACTTGGCAATGATTTCTGTAAGCTAACTGTGTTGAAACTTGACTTGTCTATAAAATGATGCTCGCCCACAGCAGAAGGAAACATTTTGTGCAAGTTTGTACATGGTGAACAATAATAATCCTGACAGTCCACACAATAAGTATCCGCCACCTTTGTTATATTTTTCTTTTCACATAAACAACATTTAAAATTGACAAATTCATCTGATCCAGAACAACCAGTCGCCATTTTGAATTCACAAATATTTTATAGTTGTTTACTTCCTCGTTACGTACATCTAACGTTACAACACGTATACTAGCTAAACTTAATAGCTTGAACTTATTTAAAGGTTCATGTATAAAGACGGTTGGTGTTAGATTACCTATAATCACGGTGCCCTTAAATACTGTTTTGGCTATCTGATAAAAAGTTTAAGTATAAGACTTTGGAAGGTAAAATGTGATTTAACTTTAATTTAATCTTACATTCTAATCTTATATCGACAATGTTTAAATAAAATAAACGACCTGACCTTGTTTTGTGTTTGTAAACAAGTATTATTATTTCCATTCCAATAACGCTTTTTTCCCTATTTATAATTTTCCACTCAGATTTTCTGGCATGTTTCATGTCAGATGTTGTTAGATGTTTCAGGTCTTTGTCATTTGTTTAAGCACATGTTTGTTATAAAATGCTGTCAATTGATCCTATATCTGATATGTTATATGATTAAGGTCAGATACTGTCAAATGCTAAAACCTTGTGAAAACGAATTATTCAGGTCAGACGTTGTCCAATGACTGGAATAACATTTAAATGTAATGTCCGACGTCCGATGAATCATTTGTCAATGAGATAATATATAGTCATATGTTTTAGGTCAAATTTTGTCATGAGGTAAGAATTTGTTATATATTTTTGAGGCCAGAACATGACATATGTTTAGAGTCAGATGCTGTCATATGTTTAAAGTCAGATATTTATCAGAATTTGTCCCAGACCTTGTCATAGTGTTTGGGGTCAAATACTGTCTTATGTTTTAAGTAAGACTTTGTCGTGTGTTTCAAGAAATGTTTGAAATAAGATAAGGTAATGAGCTACAGGTCTTACATTTTCATATGTTAAAGAGATGTTGTAATGTGTTAAAGATCAGATGTTGTCATATGTTAAAGATCAGATGTTGTCATACGTTAAAGATCAGATGTTGTCATATGTTAAAGATCAGATGTTGTCATATTTTTAAGATCAGATGTTGTCATATGTTAAAGGTCAGATGTTGCCATATGTTTAAGGTCAGATGTTGTCATATGTTAAAGATCAGATATTGTCATATGTTAAAGATCAGATGTTATCATATGTTAAAGATCAGATGTTGTAATATGTCAAAGATCAGATGTTGTCATATGTTAAAGATCAGATGTTGTAATATGTCAAAGATCAGATGTTGTCATATGTTAAAGGTCAGATGTTGTCATGTGTTAAAGACCAGATGTTGTCATATGTTCAATGTCAGATGTTGTCATATGTTAAAGGTCAGATATTTTTCAAGCATTTGATGTTGCCATCTTGTCAGATAATGTCATACATTCGAGGTCACAGGCATTCGGCTCAATTGTCTTGTCTATCATTGAATAATACCCCGTTGATCATGAAGAACAATATTACCCATTGTAACATTATTGCAAAATAATCTCTAACAAAATCAAAATCCAGCACGCGCGTTATGTTGATAATTTTTAGGTCTCAACAGACGGTAGGATTTAGTTGTACTACACAAATTAAAGATATGATAAAATATTCCAAAGTAATACAAAACATATAATCAGACCATACTTCTTTCTTTTACAAAACATCAGGTTTCTCTTCAAAACATTTCCATCAAAACTGATCTGTTACAAAACTATAACAATATTATTAATAGAATATGTGTAAATTTTATATTATTGTTGGTTTTGACCAATTTAGGAAATTATTTAAGAGGTGAACAAAGGCACGGCTATAGATAGCAAGGATGAAATCATTCAGGATATTTACCAAGTACTTCTAGAATAAATGGAATAACTGAGCACCGTTTGCCTGTTATGTATACTGTCTTATGGTGAAGGATATTATTGTCATGAGAAATAATCACAGCAAGAAAATTTCTCCATTTAAACAATACTTCGTCTATAATCCTGTTTAGGATGAATTGGGATTCGAACATACCACAAATATGGCTCCAAGAGATTTTCAAACATCGTCTTTACTCCATCTTACTACTATGGTTACATTGTTCTGGAATATCATTCCAATGATTATGCTTATTATCATATTGTTATTTAGAAGTCTATAACTTGTCATCGTGGTCTATACAACAAAAAATACAAAATAGAACATGTCTTATCCTGTAAATCTAGTATTAAGGTAAACGATTTCAAGAAATAGAAGCCTTCATACATTACAATTTGCTAACACATCCAAGTTTACATTGTACTTCTAAATTCTATTATCTGTTGAGGTCATTACCGTTACTAAAAAGACAAATGAGCCGAATGCTTGTATTTGAGGTCTGATATTACTCTAAGACTGGGGTATAATGTTTTCGCACGTGTGTGTGTATTTGAGTTTATTTATACTCGCCACCCGTTGCCAATGTGGGCGAGTCCTCTAGAAGAGTTTAGTCATTTTATATTTTGTAGGATTGTGCATGGGACCTCGAAATAGTAATTTTTGTTTGCCAGCCCAGGAATAAGCTCTAACCAATTGAGCTATGCGGGCTGTCGCGTGTTTAAGGTAAGATAATTTTATGGTATCACAATATGTAAATTGGCCTCCGTAAATGTCAGGTCATATATATTTGATGCCAGATCACGTATGCGAGGTTATATGTTGGTTTTGTCAATTGGTTGTTTCATTCCTTTTTTCTTATTAATGTACAAACACTTAATAAATATGTTCATATATATATATATATATATATATATATATATATATATTATATATATATATATATATATATATATATATATATATATTTATTTTATTTTATTTTAGATTTAAATTAATAATTAATCTCAAACTAAAGTATTTATATACATACACTCAGAGGCACTTATAACCCGACACTTACATTTTTCGGTAAAACTTGGTTATTTGTGAACAGATTTTGTATACAAAATTCAACATATAATACTTATTTATCTAGAATTCTACTTCCAATTCATAAACAAGAAAATAGATAAAATAACAAAACAAATATGTTACTGCAAAATGAAAATTCACAAAATGACGTTAATATCGTAACAAAATGAAAATTTAAGTCTCTAAATCCAACTGATTCTGTGTAATAACCAGTTCTAATACTTTCTGTGTCATCCCATGACTATAACAAAGTGTAAACACCTGTCTCATGGTTATGACGTAGTGAAGGCTTGGTAAATATTTCTCCATTCCGGAATAAGGGCTTCCTCGAGTTCCAGCAAGTCCTGCATTCCAAGTCACCAGACCTTAACATCACACTTGTGAATTCAACAGGCGTGTGAGAAAGCGGCCAAAAGCTCCTCGCAATTTGCTGGTACACAAGCAAGCCCTTATTTAGGAATAGAGAACTGTGAGACAGAGGGGTTTACTTTGTTATAGTCAATTGGGAGGACAAACAAAGTGTTAGAACTGGTAAACATACAGATTTAATGGGATTCAGAGACTGTTCTTTGTATTACATTTTTTAACAGTCATTTTGTGATTTTTCATTTTTTATTTAAATATTATAAAAAAACTTTAAGACATTTCTTGGAATCCGAGTAGAAAAAGAGCTACAGAGAAAACAAGCAGACAAGAAAGGTAGACGTGACATTTTTGGTGACATAAAAATGAAGAAAACACAACAATATGGAAAATTGTTTTAACCATTCCAGGCATTGTCTGTACCTGTAAGTCATTGTAAAGTGGACAATAAATGTCCTTATTTTGGTTAGCGAAGATAGTACTCGTATTCTTCTTTATATAGCTCGAACATGCCTGAATTGTTTGAAATACACACAATCTGACTGAAATTCAGACCTTATGTTTCACATGAGCCAAAGCCATCATGAGCATAGTATTGTTTATGAGTTAATTTTCATAGATAATAGGAATTATTGGCATGCTCTTGTATAAAATGATAGTTAATGATATTTTCTTGGAATTGAAAGGTAACGTTTGTTTGATTATAAATTATTATATTTGTTTAAACTGACTTCTTCATATAGATTTGTCAACTAGGAAAATGAATTTAAAATGTTGATAGGGCACTGGTCAGGGTGTCGGGTTTTGTTGTAATTTTTATTATGTAAGAGAATTTGAAGACAGGTAATAAATTTCTTGATATTTTGATAAAAGACAACATAATTCAGGATATAAGATTATCTTTTATTGCATGAAAATGTCAACAATAAAATCTAGTTTGATTTCTTTCAAAGCGTCGTGGACATAAAGATTCCAGAGAACATACCTCTAAGTTCTAGAATGATCAACAAAGGTTATACATCACTAAATCTAACTGAAGACAAACTAATGAACACGGATTTTAGTTATGGTGGACGAGAAACACCACCTGGTGAGCAAGGGGAGGCAATTACCAGAAAAAATGTTGGCGGTAGTAGAGTGAGCATGAGGGACGATAAATCACGGAATTCTGTGAGGAGCACACCGAAAATATATGCTCCTGTTTTTAAAAAAAATATCATACTGTTGCTTAAATATAGTTTTGTTTTGTTGTATAGATTGTTAAAGTTGATTTTTGAAATAACAAAACCAAATCTGCTTATATCAGAAATAAATAGTGTATAGATAATTCATGAGCTCTATGAATTATATACTTATTCACTTTTTGATGTTATTTTCTATTATCATTTTAAATTGATAAAGCATTGTCATAACATTATTATTGTTATATAAATTGTTAATGCTTTAACAGATCAGTTATACCTTTTTAAGAATTAATTATTCTTTCTGATACAATGCAAATATAAATTCTTTGTGGCATTTTTTCGATATAATGTAATACATTATGTACTATAAGTATTTATCTAGAAATGCGTTATTTACTTGAATTTCACAAGTCGAGGATTGATTGCAAAACTGCTGTAAGTCCTCCTTTATTTCATATAAGTTACTGCAGTTTTGCAGTCAACCCTTACTGCAATTGTATACCGCTATTTTTGACAACATCTTACTCATAATCAATGATATTGGACAAAAGTTCATTTCTGTTTTAGATTTGTAAAATGCAGATAAGTGCAAATTGTATTTCATAATGGCTAAGTTTTATGTATCAGAAAACAACAAATTTTATTTACACTCATTTTGCAATACAAATGAAAGAAGATCAGATCTTACAATATATTTCATTACATTAAGATGTTTTGCAATGATAGTGTATACATGTCTTTCATTGTTCGTTTTCTTAAATTAAATGAATGTTGAATAATGCCATTGCTGTAGACTGTTTTTGTTGTAAATGGATATACTATGATCAAATATTTTTTTAAACACCTGTGATTTCATTCATAAAATTGTAATATATATACGGGACTATATTTAATATAATGGTACATTTATGTTCTTGCAAGTATTTTTAATGAGCTAGTTAATGAAGTACAGGCCTGGAGGTTATAAATTTTTACTCAAATATCAGGATTCCCATTCATCAGTGAACATTCTGTGCCAGCTTCTGACCAATCAAATACCTGAGATCTGAGTTTGACCTCAAAGAATTTCTTTATAACCTCGAACTCAGGATGTTGTCATAAGGACTTATTGCTTGACTCTTAGTAAGAATCAGTAAGCTTAAGTTTGTATGTCTTTTTACACACTTAAATGTATTGTATAAAGTTATTTATAATGTAAAGCTTTGTTATTTTGGTTTGATTTGGGATAATGAATAAGAGCGACATATCTCATTCTGAAACTCTGTTCAAGGGCAAACTGGTAACTGTGTCAAAGGGGAAAATGTGATTATAGTTACATTTATTGTTCTTGAACCTTAGACTGACAACTTAACCACTTAGGTTGTCATGTTTGAATATTCCAGATATCTTACTTCTCATTGATATTTGCTCCATGTTTTCTGTGATAAAAGATAACAATGTTTATGTATACATTGTATTATATTAAGATTTGAAACTTTGAAATTGAAAATGTTGTTTAAATGTGTAACACCTTAATGTTTTGCAAATCAAACTGCTTCCTTTTGTCTTTCATCATTTATAAGTGTGATAAAGTCCTGCGATTGAATTACTGTTTAGAAATGTTTTCTATGTTTAATACAGTGCTAAAATAAAAATGTTAACTGTTTTGTTGAAAAGTTCCATTTGACAGCAGAAAACATAACCATTTACAAACATTTGGGATTTCAACATTTATCATAAGATGTAATGTCAATTGTCATTTCTAGAATGTTTTATTTTAAATTAGGTCCAATCTTTAGCGCTTAAGCTTTGACATCTACTTTTGAATTTTCTTAAAGATGGACGTTCCTTTTACTGGAGTTTCTGCTTGAAGGACCGATGGGACTTGTTTCGCTAACAAAGCTTCAAAGTTATTACCTGGCTTTATCAGTTCTACTTTAGTTTAATTTTGACGTAATATTGAAAACCCATCTCTTAAACATGCACCGCAAAGAAGAAGCAAGAGCTAGATTATGAACAGAAAAGAACAAAAAATAATTACAAAGAACATCATTTATAATGCATTAATGCATTGTATTCACAAATATAATATAGCTGCTTGACAATAAACAAACAAAACCAGAATATCGCATGTACGTAAACAATAGTTTCATGACAATAACAAACAAAAAACTATACAGTTGTAAAAGAATATTCATTTACTGTATACTTCATAAATAAATAATAAGATAAGATAAAATAAGATTAATAATAAATATTTTTAGAATGGAAAAAAAAGAGTATGAAATTTCATTTTAACTTCATTGCAATAGGCCACACTACCCGGTAATTCAATTACGTGTACATGTAATTCCTGTTATGGCCGACACATGTTTTCTTGATAAAAAGATCGACTTTAAGTTAAACAAGAGCTAGATAATATCAAAACCTTACAGTAATGTAAACCCCCATAAAACATACATTCAATCATACAAGCGTGCATTTACAAAACCCAGAACATTGAATATATATTAAACATACGTTTTCGACCTTTAAAATCCGATTATTTTTCTGTATAAAATGTGTTATTACAACCAATGTTCTTGTTCTGAGTAAAACAATTTTCTGATAATTAAGTGTGGAATATATCCTCCGTAACAAGTCATCGCCGATAACAATTCCACAACTGTGTTGTGGTAATTGATATACACTGTAGTAACATAAATGTTTTAGATCTCTTAATAAAGCCATAAATGAAACACATCTACATATAACTACGAAAAAACCTGTCAATGTGTCTAAATTAAAAATGTCGATATACAATTTGTAATCCATTCAAACAAAACTGTGCGCTGATTTATTAACCAAGAGGGCCATGATGGCCCCGAAATCGGTCACCTGTATAATTATAGGCCCTTGGGGCGGGCTAATTTTAACCCAGGGGCTTTTTTTAACCAACTTGATAGGCACCCATTAGAAGATGTTTCATGATAAATATCTAAGCTCTAGCTCTAGGGGTTTTTAAAAGAAGATTTTTTAAGTTTTTACTATAGACATATAAGGAAAATCAGAACCCCGGGCAGGGCCAATTTAACCCTGGGGCTTTTATTTGAACAAATTTGGTAGACACTAGAATATGTTACATGTTTAATATCTAAGCTCTAGCTCTATGGGTTATTTAAAAGAAGATTTTTTAAGTTTTTACTATAGACATAATTATGAGGAAAATCAGAACCCCGGGCAGGGCCAATTTAACCCTGGGGCTTTTATTTGAACAAATTTGGTAGACACTAGAATATGTTACATGTTTAATATCTAAGCTCTAGCTCTATAGGTTATTTAAAAGAAGATTTTTAAAGTTTTTACTTTAGACATATAAGAAAAAATAATTTTATCAAATGGCTTTTATTTGAACAAACTTGGTAGACACTCACCAGAAGATGTTTCATGCCAAATATCTAAGCTCTACCTCTTTGGGTTTTTTAACAGAAGATATTTTAAGTTTATTCTTTCGGTTGCCATGGCAACCAGAGTTCTGCATGGAATTAAATTCTTTGAACAATTTTTAAAGGTGACCACCAAAGGACCATTCCTGTGAAATTTGGATGAAATTGGCCTAGCGGTTTATGAGGAGATGTCGTTTAAAGTAAAAGTTTACGGACGCCGGACGGACGGACGGACTTTGTGACAGGTGAGCTAAACAAATATCAGTCACACCTTAATTTTAAACAACGCTTTATTTACAACTCTGACAATTTGGTAATCAAATGAATATATTTTATTTAAGCATACCAGAATTCAAATGTTTCTTTTACAGATTGTCTCACCAATACTATTTTAATACAAGGAACAAAATGGAAGCTTGTACAGACACACTCACTTCCTGATATTTAACAGTTTTATGCAGCATCTAAGCTAAACATTTAGAGATTTTTAATAAAACTATCTGAATCAAAGCATACTTTCAGTATGAACAAATACATGATGATATATGATTTTATAACACAAAATAAAACCTACAAAATATATACAATGTCATCAAATCCCCATTATATATGCACACTGAAACAACAAGATAACATGTTATTACTATTATTATTATTATTTATAACATAATGTAAAATTCTTTGATGATGGAAAAGGCATTATCCTTTCAATTAAAACTAAAATAACAATAATAAATAATGATAATAAATTTACATAGCTCTAGAATTTTTTCATTATAAGAATTTGAATTCTTCTTTGATGTAAAATATTTGTAAATGAAATAAGCGCAAATTGCACAAAACTTTAAAAAGCACATTTAGCCCCAGAAATAAAGCATTTGAATATGTAAGATGGTTATCACATGAAGAATATAGCTCTGAAATAATTTGTGACTAAGGTAGCGAAATAAAAACACTTCAGTGATATTTTGACTTCCATATGAAACATTTAATCAATATAATTTTATATGTATAAACGAACTTACCGCTTAAATGCAAAATGAATCAAAAGATGGTTCAGCAATATGGCAAATGAGTAACTGTTTAAAAAAATTGTGACAGGACACCAAAAATATAATATAATATTAAAAAAAATATCGGCATTTTTAGGCGTAATGGGCCTTTAATAAGTTATAGGGTTTACGTTTGATATCATTTTGTTTTCAGTTTTTTTGACTCATGCTAAGTCATACACCTCTATTTTATCACTGTTATTAATGGTAACAACCAGTCTGTTCTGTTGCGAATTAAAGCTAGCAGACCTACTATTCCAAACATCTCCTAGAACACCCAATTTTGCACTAGAATTTTCATTGATCTGAACAATTTTTGACTGTCCCCATCCACACACAAATATATTTCCTCGTTTGTCCGTACAAACACCCTGTAAGGAAACAAAATCAGGATCAATAATTGTTGTCTTGTGATTTCCCTCAAAGTCAAGGACAATCACACCAATACAATAATCAGTCACAAAAATCATCTTGTCATCACTGCTTACACTGATATGTCTGTTGCTACCGAAAATTGCTTTGCCTTGTTTATCAAATGTGATTTTACGTAACATACTGCCGTTAATATCATAAATGTAAACTGAGGTTCTTTGATCAGAGATAAATAATTTATCGTCTCTGCAGGCCAGTCCGTGGCAGTAATGATCTACCTTCAACTGTTTGGTGGTTTTCAGTTTGTTTCCCATTGAAACAAATTGAATGGTTTGATTGTTCAAACTTATTGCAAATTCGTTTTTGCCTTTTTGACAAATACTTAATGGAGATGCATCAAGATCTAGCCGATCTATCATGGATTCCGAGGACAAATCAATAAGCTTTAATGCTTTGTTTCTATGGTCAGCTAGAAGTAGTAGTCCATTATCTGTGAAACATGAACCGTAAACATTGCATGCAGTCCTATCATTTTCATGTTTGATATTAACCAGTTTCTTGCTTTTTACATCATACAATTTGTCCCTCATTTTTTCAGACTCACTTAAAGATACAAATCCAAATGTCTTGAAATCTTTCAAAGCATTTATCATTGTCAAATCAGCATTGAATTCAACTTTAACATCTGATGAATTTGTCACAGACGCTGCTTCTGCTTCATTGGCTTCATTGATATATTTCCGAGATTTTTTTACAGCGACAAACTCTTGTGCTTTATTTCCAGCTGACTTTGTTAGATTTTGTGATGATAGTTTGAGTTCATTAATATGTTTCTGAAGTTTGTTGTTTTCATTTTCTAACTTCTCTATGGCATTTTTGTGCATTTCCTCTAGGGTTATTATTGTTGCCATTTCTAGTGTGTCCAGTATTTCTTCCATTTCTTTTCTGAATTGTCTGATTGACTCTGCTGCCTTCTCCTTCTGGGCATTAAGCTCTTTGATAAGAAGTTTCTTTGCTTTTTCCATGTCTTCCATTTTAGTATTAATACGAAGCAGCTCTTGTTTTATATCTTCAACCTCAGTCTTCTGATACAAGGTATCAACTTCATCTGGTACCGAGTGTATATTTTGACATGTTCTGAAAATTGTGATGTTCCGGTAAATCATTAAAATTTAAGGAATAGTTTGTGAAATATGATAAAATGTAATTTATTATGACAGTGTCAATAATTAAAAAGAGATAAGAATCATACTTCAAAGTCTACTTGGTTTCTTAGTTTTCATTGCTACGTTAAATATATTTTTATTTCTAGAATTCATGCGATAATGTATACACTGGGCGTGATTAACTTACTTTGATCTCGTATAAATTGAAGCAAAATGTGTCATAAATGTGGAGCAAAATTATCATGACAAAATATCAAAATTTGAAAGTGTTTTCTTGATGCTTGTATAATAATAAAAGAGAAGAAATACAGAAATGTTTCAGATGGATATTCTTATAAAATATTGCTTGAAAGAAAAAAATGTTGATAAAATTTAAGTGATTATTATCTGCTTAATAAATATATGTCATGTCGGGTCATGTACCTCACAATTGCCAACATTATCCATGTACAATTCTTTCGTGGCATAGGCGTTCGGCACATTTGCCATGGCAATAATGGTCAACTATTCTTAAATTTAATTACCCCTCGATCATAAAGAAACAAAATTACTATACAGCACCCGTTTACTATATAAAATATATATTTTATATATAGGTATATTTAAGTATATATTTTATATAGTAAACGGGTGCTGGATAGTCATTTTGTTCTTGACGCTCAAGGGGTGATTTTGTATGATAATTTGACCATTATTGGCATGGCAAAAGTGCCTAACGCCTGTGTATCGTGGTTGTTATTTGTTATACTAAATATTATCAACGTAATTATTAAATGTATAACAGACAAATTCACTTCAATTTTAACATTATTACTACATTTATTTTTTTTATTTCAGTTCAATTCAATATGCTTTAAATAATTCAAGAATTCAAATGAATAATTAAAGTTTACCTGTGTTTAATAGCTATACAGGTCGCACAAGCGATATCATCGTGGTCTGCACAATACATATCTAGCAACTTGGTTTTATGAGCTTCACACCTTTCAACTGGAAAACTTGGCAACGATTTCTGTAAGCTAACTGTGTTGAAACTTGACTTGTCTATAAACTGATGCACGCCCATAGCAGAAGGAAACATTTTGTGCAAGTCTGTACACGGTGAACAATAATAATCCTGACATTCTACACAGTATGTGTCTGCCTCCTTTACTATATGTTTCTTTTCACATAAACAACATTTAAAGTTGACAAATTCATCTGATCCAGAACAACTAGTCGCCATTTTGAATTCACAAATATTTTATAGTTGTTTACTTCCTGGTTACGTACATCTAACGTTGCAACAGTACACTAGCTAAATTCAACTTATTTAAAGGTACATGTATAAAGACGGTTGACGTTAAATTACCTATAATCACGGTGCCCGGCTGTCTGATAAACAGTTGAAGTATCAGACTTTGGAAGGTAAAATGTGATAATACTTTATGAAGTAAACTTAATTTAATGTTGCATTCTAATCTTATATCAGTATAATGTTTAAATCAAATAAACGACCTGACCTTGTTTTGTGTTTGTAAATAAGTATTATTTTTTCCATTCAAGTAACGCTATTTTTTCCTATTTGTGAATGTCTTGTCAATTTAAGTTAATCCACAGATAAGATTTCCTGGCATGTTAAATGTCAGATGTTAACTGTCAAATGTTTTTTAAAAGTTTCAGGTCAGATGTTTCAGGTCTGTCATTTGTTTAAACACAAGTTTGTGATGAAATGTTGGCATATGATTCCTTATCTAAAATGTTATATGATTAAGGTCAGATACGGACAAACGACTGATAGCTATGCTAAAACCTGGTAAATTAACCTTTTATTACTAATTATTCAGGCTCAGGTCAAATGTTGTCCATTAACTGGAGAAGAGGCCAGCAAATGTCCGAGGTCAGATGTAATCATCTGCCAATGAGATTATGAGGTTAGATATTGTCATATGTTTTTGAGGCCAGAGCTTGTCATATGTTTTACGGAAGATATTGGTCAATGAGGTAGGATATTCTCATGAGGTCAGAATTTGTTTTAATGTTTTAAGGCCGGAGCTTGTCCATGCTTTATCGTGTGTTACAAGAAATATGTTGTCATTTGTTTGAGATAAGATGAGGTGATGTGCTACAGGTCGTATATTTTCATATGTTTAAGGTCAGATGTTGCCATGTGTTAAAGGTCAGATATTTTTCATGCGTTTGATGTTGCCGTCATAGGCATTCAGCTCAATTGTCTTGTCTATAATGGAACAATTATAATAAAATGAGCTCCCGTTACACAACAAGAACAATGTTACTATCCAGTTCCCAGTTGCTGTTTTGTAAGATTATCGTAAAATAATCTCTTAACAAAATCAAAATCCAGCACGCATTATGTTGATAATTTTAAGGACTCAGCAGACGGTAGGAACACAAATAAAAGATATGATTACAATTTTTAAAGTAGTACAAAACTTGCAATCATACTGTTATTCTATTTTATATAAAACAACAGGTTTCTCTTCAAAACGTTTCCTTCCAAATTGATCCGTTGCAAAATTATGACTATATTATTACTGGAATATGTGTTAATTTTATATAATTGCTGATATTGACCAATTTAGGAGATTTTTTTAAAAGGTAAACAAAGGCACGGGATAAATTTAGCAAGGATGAAAGCATTCAGGATATTTAACAAGTACATCTGGAATAAATGGAATAACTGAGCACCCTATGTCTGTTCTGTGTACTGTCTTATGGTGAAGAATATTTTTGTCATAAGAAATAATCACAGCAAGGAAAAGCCTCCATTTAAACAAAACTTCGTCTATAATCCTGTTTAGAATAAATTGGGATTCGAACATACCACAAATATGGCTCCAAGAGATTTTCAATCATCGTCTTTACTCCATCTTACTACTATGGTTACATTGTTCTGGAATATCATTCCAACGATTATGCTTATTACCATATCGTAATTTAGAAGTCTATAACTTGTCATCGTGGACGGGAGGTCTATACAACAAAAAATACAAAATAGAACAAGTCTTATCCTGTAAATCTAGTATTAAGGTAAACGAATTCAAGAAATAGTAGCCTTCATACATTAAAATTTGCTAACACATCCAAGTTTACATTGTACTTCTAAATTATATCGTCTGTTGAGGTCATTACCGTTACTTTAAAGACAAATGAGCCGAATGCCTGTATTTGAGGTCCGATATTACTCTAAGACTGGGGGATAATGTTTTCGCACGTGTGTGGGTATTTGAGTTTATTGGCACCCGTTGTCAATATGGGCGAGTCCTCCAGAAGAGTATTAGACATTTTAGATTTTGTAGGATTGTGCAAGATACAGATAAGAAAGATACACAGATTTCAGAAGTTTCTCCTGGTTCTTTAAGTGCAAAGTGTTTAAGCACCCATACGTGGGACCTCGAAAAAGTAATTTTAGTTTGCCAGCCCAGGAATAAGCTCTAACCAATTGAGCTATGCGGGCTGTCGCGTGTTTAAGGTAAGATATTTTTATGGTATCACAATTTGTAAATTGGCCTCCATAAATGTCAGGTCATATATATTTGATACCAGATCAGTATGCAAGCTGATATCTTGGTTTTGTAAATGATTTAGTTGTTGTTGTATACTTTAAGGCGAATGTTGCCACATAAAATGTTAATGGCCAAATATAGACAATTACAATTAGCTTTAGGTTTAATATTTTTGCAAGTAAAATGAAGGCACACGACAAGAACTTTTATCTATAAGTATTATTATACAAAACAGAGGGTGTACACAGGTGACAGTTGCACGGAAACTATGACATGTATATTGTAAAATTGTGTTCAATCTAAAATCTAATGTAAACCTTAAATATTGACATATTTTCTTATAATGAATATATGATTCCTTTAAGACTGGGACACATATTTGCTTATACAAAAGCCAGGGGTTGAAAAAATTGATTAAATTTTAAATGCGGTTATGTTTCATCAAAACAAATATTACCTTTGCTTATTACATTAAAAGTGTTTTAAATGTTATATGACCTTATATAAACGGTTGTTTGCAATGTAACCCTCGCCTTGCGGCTGGGGTTATATTTCCAAACAGCCGTTTATATAGGGCCATATAACCTGTCATAAATTTTTATAACTAATAATATTTGATTATACTGATAGATTTCATATAGATATGTTAGTTGGGAAAAGGCTTGCTAAATGTCACTAGAACAAGTCAGAGATAAAAATGTCAACAGCACAATGTTGTTTGATTTCTTTCAGAGCGTCGTGACTATAAGACGCCAGAGAACATGACTCTAAGTTCTAGAATGATCAACAAAGATTATACATCACTAAATCTATTAGAAGACAAACTGATGAACATGGATTTTAGTTATGGTGGACGAGAAACACCAACTGGTGAGCAAGGGGAGGCAGTAACCAGAAAAAATGTTGGCGGTAGTAGAGTGTGCATGAGGGACGATAAATCACGGAACTCTGTGAAAAGCACATCCATATGATCCTGTCTTTAAAAAGCATCACACTGTTGCTTAAATATAGTTTTGTTTTGTTGTATAGATTTAATAACTACAATGCCAAAGTATATTTTTTAAATAACGAAACCAAATCTGTTTACATCATAAATAAATAGTGTATAAAGATAATTCATGAGCACTGTGAATTATATACTGATTCAATTTTTGATGTTTTTTCTATTATCATTTAAGTTGATAAAACATTATTATTTTGTATAAATTGTTGAAAATGCTTTAAGAGAACAGTTATCATACCTATTTAAGAATTATTCTCTCTGATACAATGCAAATATAGATTCTTTGTGGCATTTTTTTTAAATATAATGTTCTATATGTTTTTATCTAGAAATGCGTTATTTACTTGAATTAAACAACTGTATACTGCTGTTCATAACAACATCTTACTCATAATCAATGATATTGTAAAGAAAGTTATTTTCTGTCTTAAAATGCATAGCTATTAGTGCATTTTTTTTTCAAAATGGCTACGTTTTATGTGTTAGAGAAAGCAACAAATTTTATTTACAATCGTTTTGCAATACTTATGAAATTCAATGAAGATCAGATCTTACAATATTACAATAATTAAAATTAAGATGTTTTGAAATGGAAGTGTATGTCTTGGATTGTTGGTTTTCTTAGAACAAATGAATTTTGAATAATGCCATTGCAATTGACTGTTTTTAATTACTGATTTTATATGGAAATGGTTATACTATGATCAAATACCTTTTAAATATCTGTGTTTTCATTCATAGAATCGTAAAATATATACGGGGACTATATTTAACATAATGGTACATTTATGTTCATGTAAGTATTTATAATGATATAATAAATGAAGTACAGGCCTGGAGGTTATAAATCTTTTTCTCAAATCAAAGGATTTCCATTGATCAGTGAACATTCTGTGCCAGCTTCTGACCAATCAAATACATTAAATCTGAGTTTGACCTCAAATAATTTCTTTATAACCTTGGACCAAGGATGTTGTGATAAGGACTTATTGTTTGACTCTTAATAAAACTCAGTAAGCTTATGTTTGGATTTCTTTTCACACACTCAAATTTATGGTAAAAAGCTATTTATAATATAAAGCTTTGTTATTATGCTCCCCGAAGGGTGAGCATATAGTCGCCGCTTTGTCCGTCCGTCCGTCTGTCCGTACTGAAAAACAGGTACTTAGGATGCTATGAGAACAATAGGTAATAGTAAATTTCTTTTGATGTCATTCATTCCGTTTTGGGTTTATGTGGCTATAGAGAATACAATAGGATAGTCACTTAAGTACCAATTTATAAGAACGTCCGGGCGAACATCCAATGGTCTATGAACTTCATTCCGTCCATAATTTTAGTTAAAAAAAAAAGAAGAAAATCCCATAAACCGACTGGTTTATGTGGTAATTTTACTGGTTTAAGGGGAAAATGACACGTAAAGATAAAAGAAAAAGTACATAAACCCCAATTGTTGGCACATCCGTCTGTCCGCTTTTCTTGTCCGGGACATAGCTTTGAAACAACAAGACATATCAACATGAAACTTTGTAGGTAGATAAATCTCATTGAGTAGGTGTGCAGTGCATAAGAACCGTAACTCTGCCTTGCCTAATTTTTGAATTATTGCCCTTTGTTTATTTTTACACTTTGAACTTTGTCCGGGATATAACTCTAAAAGTATAAGAGATTTCAACATGAATCTTTGTGGGTAGATAGATCTCATTGAGTAAAAGTGCATTGTTAAAGAACCATTACTCTGTCTTGATTAATTTTGGAGTTATTGCCCCTTGTTCATTTTGACATTTTGAACTTTGTCCGGGACATTACTCTAAAATTATAAGAGATATCAACATGAAACTTTGTAGGTATATAGGTCTCATTTGGGAAGAAGTGCAGTGCTTAATACCATAACTCTTCCTTGCCTTATTTTGAAGTAATTGTCCTTTGTTTATTTTTACTTTTGTCCAGGACATTACTCTAAAACTATGAGAGATATCAACATAAAACTGTGAAGGTAGATAGATCTCATTGGATGGAAATGCAATGCTAAAGAACCTAAACACAGCCTGTTCTAATTTTGGAGTTATTGTCCATTGTTCATTTTTACATTTTGAATTTTACCCGAGACATAACTCTGAAACTATAAGAAATATCATCACGAAACTTTATTGATAGATAGATCTCATTGAATAGAAGTGCAGTGCAAAAAACCATAACTATGCCTTGCCTAATTTTGGAGTTTTTGCCCTTTGTTCCTTTTTTATACTTTCCTGTGTCCAAAACCTTCTCTAAGAGCATCACCCGGTTCAACCGGTTCTTGATTTGGTTTGATTTGGGATAGTGAAAAGAGCGAAATATCTCACCCTGAAACACTGTTTAAGGACTAAGTGATAACTGTGACATAGGGGAAAAGGTGATTATAGTAACATTTATTGTTCTTGAACCTGAGTCTGACAGCTTAACCACTAAGATTGTCATGATTGAATATTCGAGATATCTTACTTCTCAATGATATTTGCTCCATGTTTTCTGTGATTAAAGATAACAATGTTTATGTATACATTATATTAAGATTTGAAACACTGAAACTAAAGAATGTTGTTTAAATGTGTAACACCTTATTGTTTTGCAAATCAAACTGCTTCCTTTTGTCTTTCATCATTTATAAGTGTGATAAAGTCCTGTGATTGAATTACTGTTTAGAAATGTTTACTGTGTTAAATAAAGTGCTAAAACAAAAATGTTTACTGTTTTGTTGAACATTTCCATTTGGCAGCAGAAAGCATTAACATTTGCAAACATCTGTGATTTCAATATTTATGATAAGATGTAATGTCAGTTGACACTTCTAGAATGATTTGTTAATTAACGTCAAATCTTTAGCGCTCAAGTCTTGACAGCTACTTTTTAATTTCTTTGAAAATGGACGTTATTTCTACTGGAGTTTCTGCTTGAAGGACTGGTTGGACTTGTTTCGCTGACAAAGCTTCAAAGTTATTACCTGGCTTTATCAGTGCTACTTTAGTTTAATTTTGACGTAATATTGAAAACCCATCTCTTATACATGCACCGCAAAAAAGAGCAATAGCTAGATTATGAACAGAAAAGAACAAAAATTTAATTACAAAAAAAACATCATCTATAATGCATTTTATTCACATATATAATTGCTTGACAATAAACAAACAAAACCAGAATATCTCATTTACGTTAACAATAGTTTCATGACAATAAACAAACAAGGAACCATACAGTTGTGAAAGAATATGCATTTACTGTATACTTTATAAGTAAGATATAGATTAATAATGAATATTTTTGGAATGGAAACAAAACATTTAGAGTATGAACATTCATTTTAACTTCATTGCAATAGGCCACACTAATTCAATCACGTGTACATGTAATTCCTGTTATGGCCGACACATGTTTTCTTGATAAAAAGATCGACTTTAAGTTAAACAAGAGCTAGATATGTTTCAGATCTCTTATTAAAGCCATTAATGAAACACATCTACATATAACTACGAAAAACTTGTCAATGTGTCTAAATTAAAAATGTCGATATACAATTTGAATCCATTCAAACAAAATTGTGCGCTGATTTATTAAACAAGAGGGCCATAATGGCCCTGAAATCGCTCACCTGTATATAGGCCATTGAGGCGGTCTAATTTTAACCCAGGGGCTTTTTTTAACCAACTTGGTAGGCACCCATTAGAATATGTTTCATGATAAATATCTAAGCTTAAGAAGATTTTTTAAGTTTTTACTATAGACATATAAGGAAAATCAGAACCCCGGGCAGGGCCAATTCAACCCTGGGGCTTTTATTTGAACAAATTTGGTAGACACTAGAATATGTTACATGTTTAATATCTAAGCTCTAGCTCTATGGGTTATTTAAAAGAAGATTTTTTTAAGTTTTTACTATATACATAGAAGGAAAATCAATGACCCCCCCCGGCTAATTTTGACCCCAGGAATTTTATTTGAACAAACTTGATAGACACTCACTAGAGGATGTTTCATGCCAAATATTTAAGCTCTAGCTCTTTTGGTTTTTTAAAAGAAGATTTTTAAGTTTTTACTACATACATAGAAGGAAAATCAGTACCCCGGGGCGGGTCCAATTTTGACCCCGGGGCTTTTATTTGAACAAACTTGGTAGACACTAATCAGATAATGTTTAATGCCAAATATTTAAGCTCTACCTCTTTGGGTTTTTTAAAAGAAGATTTTTTAAGGTTTTACTATATACATGTACATATAAGGAAAATCAATGACCCCCCGGGGAATGGCCAATTTTGACCCCAGGGCCTTTATTTGAACAAACTTGGTAGACACTCATAAAACAATGTTTCACGCCAAATATCTAAGCTTTAGCTCTTTCAGATTTTTAAAAGAAAATTTGATCTTTTAAGGTTTTACTATATACATATAAGGAAAATCAATGACCCCCTGGGGCGGGGCCAATTTTGACCCCAGGGCTTTATTTGAACACACTTGATAGACACTCACTAGAAGATGTTTCATGTCAAATATCTAAGCTCTACCTCTTTGGGTTTTTTAACAGAGAAGATATTTTAAGTTTATTCTTTCGGTTGCCATGGCAACCAGAGTTCTGCATGGAATTAAATTCTTTAATCATTTTTAAAGGTGACCACCAAAGGACCATTCCTGTGAAATTTGGATGAAATTGGCCTAGCAGTTTATGAGGAGATGTCGTTTAACCCATTACTTCATGAGCATTTTGTGAAAAATGGCTGTTTTCATTGAAAAGTCTCCCGTTACAAGTTCAAATTGCTATAATACTATAAAAACTGCTTCAACACTAATCAAACTTGGCTAAAATGTTGACTGGACCATTGCCCTTGCAACAACATGCTCAGACTTAAATTTTCTGTTACCATGGCAACGAAGGGACATCTCAAAATTGCCAAAAATCACTATTTTGCGTTGATTTTTTCCATCAAAATTGATTTCAAAGTGCTGCAACTTCTCAATGGATTGAGATAGAGTCAAATGCTTTTCAGCGTTGGTTACACGTTACCTTATGATTAATCTGGGGTCATTTACAGCCTCTCACAAGTCCAAAATTTTCTTGGCGATGAGGGGGACTCCGCCCCCCTTCAAACCCCCCAAACAGAAGGGGGTACATCCCCCTTCTGGCAACCCCCTGATGTATCTTTTGGTTGGGGGGCCGCGCCGAAAAAGAGGTCACTTTTTTAACAACATTTCTCAAACAAAAACAAGTGTTTGGGGCCTAATTAAGGCATTTTTTCATCATTTGAGACAACATAAAAGGGGGGGGGGTGAAAAAGGCGTTAAAAGGCGTGTATATGAAGTAATGGGTTAAAGTAAAAGTTTACGGACGCCGGACGGACGGACGGACGGCGGACGAAAAGTGATCACAAAAGCTCACCATGTCACTATCAGTCACATCTTAATTTTAAACAACGCTTTATTTACAACTCTGACAATTTGGTAATCAAATGTATATATTTTATTTAAGCATTCAAATGTTTCTTTTACAGATTGTCTCACCAATTTACTATTTTAATACAAGAAACAAAATGAAGCTTGTACAGACACACTCCCCTCCTGATATTTAACAGTTTTATAATGCATCTAAGCTAAACATTTAGAGATTTTTTAATAAGACTATCTGAATCAAAGCATACTTTCAGTATGAACAAACACCTGATGATATATGATTATATAACACAAAAGAAAACCTACAAAATATACACAATGTCATCAAATCCCCATTATATATGCACACTGAAACAACAAGATAACATGTTATTACTATTATTTATAAAATAATGTAAAATTCTTTGATGATGGAAAGTGCATTATCCTTTCAATTAGAACTAAAATAACAGTAATAACTAATATTAATGAATCTATATAGCTCTAGAAATCTTTTCATTATAAGAATTTGAATACTTCTTTGATGTAAAATATTTGTAAATGAAATAAGCGCAAATTGCACAAAACTTTAAAAAGCACATTTAGCCCCAGAAATAATGCATTTGAAAATGTAAGATCGTTATCAAATGAAGAATATAGCTCTGAAATAATTTGTGACTAAGGTAGCGAAATAAAAACAATTTAGTGATATTTTGACTTCCATATAAAACATTTAATCACTATAATTTTATATGTATAAACGAACTTACAGCTTAAATGCAAAATACATCAAAAGATGGTTCAGCTATATGGCAAATGAGTAACTGAAAATTGTGACAGGACACCAAAAATATAAAATAATATTTCTAAAAAATATGTCGGCATTTTTAGGCGTAATGGGCCTTTAATAAGTAATAGGGTTTACGTTTGACATCATTTTGATTTAAGTTTATTTGACTCATGCTAAGTCATACACCTCTATTTTATCACTGTAATCAATGGTTACAACCAGTCTGTTATGTTGTGAATTAAAGCTAGCAGACCTACTATTACAAACATCTCCTAGAACACCCATTTTTGCACCAGAACTCTCATTGATCTGAACAATTTTTGACTGACCCCATCCACACACAAATATTTTTCCTCGTTTGTCGGTACAAACTCCCCATAGATTTACAAAATCAGGATCAGTAATTGTTGTCTTGTAATTTCCCTCAAGGTCAAGGACAATCAGACCTTTTGTACTATCAGCCACATAAATCATCTTGCCATCACTGCTGACACTGACATGTCTGTTATGTCTGAAAATTGCATTGCCTTGTTTATCAGATGTGATTTTACGTATCATGCTGCCATTCATATCATAAATGTAAACTGAGGTACTTTGATCAGAGATAAACAATTTATCGTCTCTGCAGGCAAGTCCGTGGCAGTAATGATCTATCTTTAGTTGTTTGATGGCGTTCAGTTTGTTTCCCTTTGAAACAAATTGAATGGTTTTATTGTTCAAACTAACTGCAAAGTCGTTTTTATTTACTTGACAAATACTTAATGGAGATGCATAAAGATCTAGACAATCTTTTATGGATTCCGAGGACAAATCAATAAGTTTTAATGCTTTGTTGTTATAGTCAGCTAGAAATAGTAGTCCATCATCTGTGAAGCATGAACTGTAAACACTGCTTGTCTTCCTATTATTTTCAAGTTTGATGTTAACCAGTTTCTTGCTTTTTACATCATACAGTTTGTCTCTCATATTTACAGATTCACTCACTGACACAAATCCAAATGTTTGGAAGTCTTTAAAAGCATTTATCATTGTCGAATCATCATTGAATTCAAGTTTAACATCAGATGTATTTGTCAATGCTTCTGCTTTATTAGCTTCCATGATTTGTTTCCGAGAGGTTTTTACAGTGACAAACTCTTGTGCTTTATTCCCAAATGACTTTGTTAGATTTTCTGACGAGCGTTTGATTTCATTAATATGTTTCTGTAGTTTGTTGATGTCGTTTTCTAATTTCTCTATGGCATTTTTGTACTTTTCCTCTAGGGTTTTTATTGTCGCCATTTCAAGTGTGTCCAGTATTTCTTCCATTTCTTTTCTGAATTGTCTGATTGACTCTGCTGCCTTCTCCTTCTGGACATTAAGCTCTTTGATAAGAAGTTTCTTTGCTTTTTCTGTGTCTTCCATTTTAGTTTTAATACGAAGCAGCTTTTGTTGTATATCCTCAACCTCAGTCTTCTGATACAAGGCATCAATTTCATCTGGTACCGAGTGTATATTTTGACATGTTCTGAAAGTTTGATGTAAATTATTTAAACTCAAGGAATAGTTTGTGAAATATGATAAAATGTAATATATTATGACTGTGTCCATAATTGAGAAGAGAAAAGACTCATACTTCAAAGTCTACTTGGTTTCTTAGTTTTCATGGCTACGTAAAATATAGTTTAATTCCTAGAATTCATGCGATATCTCTTTTCATGTACACACTGGGCGTGATTAACTTACTTTGATCGCGGATAAATTGAAGCAAAATGAGTTTTAACAATGTAACAAAATAATCATGAAAAATATCAAAATTTGATGGTGATTTCTTAATGCCTGTTCAATGATAAATAGAAGAAATATACATTGTCTTTGAATTGGTCTACAATGTGCACATTTTCATAAATATTTAAAATATTGATAAAACTATAGAAATGTTTCAGATGAATATTCTTATAAAATATTGTTTGAATGATAAAATTCTTGGATATTCCTATAAGTTATTGTTTGAATTATAAAATTTAAGTTAAGTTATTTAGTATGAACATTTTTATAATGAAACAACATATTTTGTTTTAGAACAATTCATTATCTTCTTTACAAATACAAAATTGTAAATGTTATGTCACACTTGCAAACATTATCTACGGAAACGTATAGCGACCACCCCTATATTTTAGTTAAAACAGAATTTTTGACAATTTATTTAATACATATTTTGTACCTAACTAATTTTTACAAACTTTCTTGATCTGAAATATTTATCTAGTAATATCTACAACCCCTGCATATTGGTAAAAACAGAATTTAAGACAATTTATTTAACACACGATATATATTTGACCAATATTTACATTGTAATTTGATTTGAATATATATCATTTACTCAATCTGCTGTTAATATTGCTGGATTCAAATTTATATGACATTTTTTTCTGTTCATATATATATGTGTATTAGTTATATATATATATTGAGGTTTTTTTATTCGCATGCCTCTTTCATTATAAAATATAATATAACATATTTTACTATTTATATTTGATAATGAGGACAGAAAAATCTCGCACAATTGAAAGATTTTTTAAAGATTATATATGAAACATTTGATTGAGGGTTTTTTGTATTCCAAAGATTAAAGATGTTTAAATAATTGTGCTTTAGATAGTGTTACAAGATAAAGATTATATAAAAAAAGACAAACTCCGTTAGTTGTCAATAAGCATAAATAAGCTAGTGAAGTAGTACCTGATGTAAATTAGTTATCATAGAAACCATTATATTTTTTACAACTTCCGACAAATTTACCATTTTGACTGTATGTACATGATAAATATTATATAAAAAGGCATATTCGACCAGTTGGTATTAATATAGGAACATAGATCCCAAAGCTTAAGCGATATTTCGTCTTATATGATGTGTGACACGAGAAAAGTCAAGACATTTGTATTTGATAACGGAAGCAATTAAATCATGTTATGTTGTTAATCATATATAATACGTATTTTTTTGTAATCTATCGTACATTTTTATCTTATAATGCAAGATAAACTACTTTTAATTTTTTGACAAAATGAAAAAATAAAACACTTACATCTTTTTAAATATGTAATTCATTCCACAAATCATATTTGCATATAACAAACATACTATAAAACTGTAAAAAAGTCATTTGATATATATTATATAGGGATGGTCGCTATACGTTTCCGTAATTATTCATGTATCTTTCTTTTGTGGTTGTTATTTGTGATACTAAATACTTTCAACGTAATTATTGAATGTATAACAGACCAGTTTACTTTAATTCAATGTAAATTTACATTACAGTACATTATTACTGCATTTATGTAATTCATTTCAATTCAAATCAATGCTTTAGACAATTAAAATATTCAAATGAATAATTAAAGTTTACCTATGTTTTATAGCTATGCAGGTCGCACAAGCAATATAATCGTGGTCTGCACAATACATATCCAGTAACTTGATTTTATGAGTTTCACATCGTTCAACTGGAAAACTTGGCAATGATTTCTGTAAGTCAGCTGTGTTGAAACTTGACTTGTCTATAAACTGATGTACGCCCACAGCAGAAGGAAACAGTTTGTGCAAGTCTGTACATGGTGAACAAAAATAATCCTGACATTCTACACAATAAGTGTCTGCCTCCTTTGTTATATTTTTCTTTTCACATAAACAACATTTAAAGTTGATACATTCATCTGATCCAGACCCAACAGTCGCCATTTTGAATTCACAAATATTTTATAGTTGTTTACTTCCTGGTTACGTACATCTAACGTTACAACACACTAGCTAAACCTTATAGCTTTAATAAACTTATTTAAATGTATAAAGCTAGTTGATATGAAATTAGTCCTAAACCTTTATCTTTAAATACTGATTTAGCTGTCTGATAAAAAGTTGAAGTATCAGACTTTGGAATGTAAAATGTAATTAAACTTGATTTAATGTATGTTGCATTTTAATCTTTTATCAGTAAAATGTTTAAGCAAATAAACTACCTGACCTTGTTTCGTATTTGTAAACAAGTATTATAATTTCCGTTCAAATAACGCTATTTTCCCTTTTTTGTAGATCTAACTGTCCACGCAATTCCACAGATCAGATTTTCTGGCATGTTTAATGTCAGATGTTGACTGTCATATATTTTATGTCAGATGTTGACATATGTTTCATGTCAGATGTTTCAGGTCTAGGTGTGATGAAATGTTGTCATATGGTCCCATATCTGATATGTTTTATGATTAATGTCAAATACTGTCAAATATTGGCCAATGACTGGAGTTACATTTGTCATGAGGTCATGCAGCAAATGTAATGTTCGAGGTCTGATGTTATCATCTGTCAATAACAAATGTTGTCATAATGTTTTTGAAGCCAATTGCTTGTCACATGTTTAGAGTCAAATGTTGTCACATGTTTAAAGTCAGATATTTGTCACTGAGGTAGGATATTGTCATGAGGTTAGAATTTGTCGTATGTTTTGGGTCCGGATATTTTAAGGTCAGATATTTTTCATGCGTTTGAGGTAAGATGTTGTCATATGTTCTCTTGTTCTCTTGTCAGATACTATCATAACATATTGGAGGTCACAGGCATTTTGAAACAACTGTCTTGTCTATAATAGTACAATTATTGCAAAATAATCTCCCGTTGATCACCAAGAGCTATGTTTTTATCTAGTTTCCAATTGCTGTATTGTAAAATTATCGTTAAATAGTCTCCAACAAAATCAAAATCCAGCACCCGTTATGTTGATGATTTTACGGATTTAGTTGTACAACACTAATAAAAAGATATGATTACAGTTTTCAAAGCAATACAAGACTAACAATCAGACCATAAATCTTAATTATACAAAATATCAACATTTCCTTCCAAATCAATCCGTTGCAAAATTATGACAATATTATTACTGGAATATGTGTGAATATGTGTTAATTTTATATAATTGTTGGTATTGACCAATTTAGGAGATTATTAAAGAGGTAAACAAAGGCACGGGATATAGATATAAGGATGAAAGCATTCAGGATATTTACCAAATACATCTGGAATAAATGGAATAACTGAGCACCCTTTGCCTGTTCTGTATACTGTCTTATGGTGAAGAATATTTTTGTCATGAGAAATAATCACAGCAAGAAAATTTCTCAATTTAAACAAAACTTCGTCTATATATAATCCTGTTTAGAATAAATTGGGATTCGAACATACCACAAATATGGCTCCAAGAGATTTTCAAACATCGTCTTTACTCCATCTTACTACTATAGTTACATTGTTCTGGAATATCATTCCAATGATTATGCTTATTATCATATTGTAATTTAGAAGTCTATAACTTGTCATCGTGAACGGAGGTCTATACAACAAAAATTACAAACTAGAACAAGTCTTATTCTGTAAATCTAGTATTAAGGTAAACGAATTCAAGAAATAGAAGCCTTCATACATTAAAATTTGCTAACACATCCAAGTTTACATTGTACTTCTAAATTACATTGTCTGTTGATGACATTACCGTTACTAAAAAGACAAATGAGCCGAATGCCTGTATTTGAGGTCCGATATTACTCTAAGACTGGGGTATATTGTTTTAGCACGTGTGTGTGTATTTGAGTTTATTTATACTCGCCACCTGTTGCCAATATGGGCGAGTCCTCTAGAGGAGTATTAGTCATTTTAGATTTTGTAGGATTGCTCAAGATACAGATAGGAAAGATACACAGATTCCAGAAGCTTCTCCCGGTTTTTTAAGTGCCAAGTGTTTAAACACTCAATACATGGGACCTCGAAATAGTAATTTTAGTTGGCCAGCCGAGGAATCAGCTCTAACCAATTGAGCTATGCGGGCTGTCGCTTGTTTAAGGTAAGATATTTTTATGGTAACATAATTTGTAATTGGCCTCTGTAAATGTCAGGTCATATATATTTGATCACCAGATCACGTATGCGAGGTGATATCTTGGTTTTGTAAATGATTTAGGACAGAATGTGTCATGTTGTTGTATGTTTTAAGGCGAATGTTGCCACATATAATGTTACTGCCAAAATACAGACAATTACAATCAGCTTTAGGTTTAATATTTTTGCAGGTAAAATGAAAGCATAAAACAAGAACTTATCTATAAGTTTTATTATACAAAACAGAGGGTGTACACAGGTGACAGTTGGACGGAAACTATGACATGCATATTGTAAATTTGTGTTCAATCTAAAATCTAACGTAAACCTTAAATATTGACATATTTTCATATAATGAATATATGATTAAAAAATAACTTATGCATTCCATCACCTGACAGCCATTAAAATTATCACAGGATGATACACATTCAAATGTTATTAAATGTTAAATATAATCAATACAATTAATGTTGTTTATGTAAAAATGAATTATTTTCTTATAAAAAAGCCAGGGCTTGAAAAGATTGATTAGATTTTATATGTGGCCATGTTTCATCAGAGCAAATATAACTGTTATTTGAGACAATGACATTTTTTATGATAATATTTTTCTTTGCAGACATTTTTTAATTGAGCCAAAAAGTTTTGTTTTTGAATCAATTCGATGCAACATTAAATTAACATTCATGAATAAAACAATTTCATATTTGAGACAAAAAGCGTTTTTGGAATAGCATAAGATGACACTCAATGTGTCATTAAATTAACATTCACGAATTTTAAAAGGACTCAGAAATAATTTCTTTTTTCATCACAAAATTGAAGAAAAAATATACAATATCTGACAAAATCAAACATTGCTTTAAAATTACACATGTTATTTCAACAATGCATACAATTTCTAGCTTTACCCTTTAAATTACTTTACAGACCACCCTTTGAGCTTTTCCTCAGTGGTTATTTTGTAGACATTTGGTAAAAAATGTTGAAAATTGTTTTGGCCCTCTCACTGATCTTCACTTAAAACAGCAAATGTGTAATAAACAAGCACACTAGTGTAATATTTTCACTTAACAAATGAGAAACTTAACTTATAAAAAGCAATTTTTTTGAATATCACAGATATTTTAATGTAACATTTATATACATATTATAATATTTGTTTCGTTAAAATGGAATAAAAAGACTACCATACAAATTTAAGAAATATAACAATTAAGCAAAATGTTTTAATCTAAATGAAGCAAGTACACACAAAAATAGGTTTGATATAAGAGAGTTGTAATAAGAAGTTGTATCATAGCAAGTTAGTTATAGTCTGATTTTATTGACCTGTCAATTATGAATACATCATAGGACTTATTTAAATATTCGATCCCACTTCGGTTTGGTCCGTGTAGTTTACGAGAATTAATGCGGAGTATATTTGTCATGGATTGAAAGTCACGCCAGCTTAATGTGAAGGTTTTCGTTAATTCACAATAGGACAGTCGGTAAAGAGAATGCCTGATAATTGAGAGGTCTGTGGTTCGACCCTGACTGTTGCCATTGTTTTAGTACACTTTCTTTATTTTTGCAGTATATTTTAATGGAACAGATTTGTAGTGTGTTTTACGGCATTGAAAAGACATTTATTGATTTTAATCCGTTTTCATTTTAAACATGAATTCTTAAAAAACATGTTATTTAAAAAGAGTATATACATAACAAAATTAAGTACATAATAAAAAACGAACAACATAAAATAATCATATATAGATTCAATAATGTTGAAAGTATTAATAAGAAAAAAACATGGACCAACGCGGCCTCGAACTTAAAAGACGTGTGGGACTCAGATTATAAACTCGTGATTTACCCTATTGCGCTATAACGCTGAATACACTAAGTTTAAAGATACAAATTAAATTAAATTCCATCGTACAGCGTACATCTCACGGAACTTACCGAACATCTACCGAAGATTAATATACTGTGTGCATCGACCGTGTAATCAGTATGTAATTGACAGGTTAATAAAACCAAACAATACAAGCCTAAAATGCTATTGTGTTGTAGAAAGCCAGGCATTGTTCATTTGTTCTAGCATTTTAATTAACTACCAAAATAAATTGTTAATCATATTATGTCAAACTAGCTTAGAGCAAAGTTTATAATCCATAATGAAATATACAACTATTAAAAGTGTGCAATTATAAAACAATATTGTATATAGATAACAAGGGACGGAAGCACGCTGTAAGGCAAATACTAAACATGGCAGAAAGCAAACATTTTAACAATTAACATAACGGAATAAAAAAGAAAGTTTCATTAGAAGTACTAAAATGACATGTCCTTGGATGACCAAGTTGTTGCCTTAGAGGAATAAGGTCACAAGGTCATAAATACTAGATATAATTTAGTTTCAGAGATAACCTTATGATTCTAAAGCATCAACTAAAAGATGTCACATGTCCAGGCACATAAAAAACAACTATTACTTAAACATTCATTGCAAAGTGGGTTTAGTGAAATATTAATATTATAACAGTACTTATCATAATGAAAAGAGGTAAACGTTGTCTGTATTGAGCTAATTACATTCATTTAAGCAAAAGAATCACAGAAATTAACATTTATTTAAAGACCTCATTCAACACTATTAAATTTGAACATATTATTCATATTATTTTAAATGGACAAAACCTTCAATAAACTGCATCACACCTTTTATTAATAGCAATGACGAAAATATAACTTAAATAAGAAGGTTAAGTCATTTTATACAGCTTATCTATTTCATTTTTACTTTGAAATTTGAAGACGCATCAACACTGTCAAAAAACGTAAGAATTTGTGAATAATTCACATGAAAATGGTCACTTTGAAAAGTCCCTTTCGTAAAATCTTAAAGCTCAATTACGGACATGGGAATAAAAGAATTAATTATTCCTGGATCAATTCAAACCAACAGTTCCTCACCTTAGTGCAGCAATGGGTAAAGTCCTTCCTAATTTAATAGGAGTTACCCAGACATTGCACTAAGGTGATGAGTTGTGACATTTGTAAGAGACGGAAGATTGATCATAATACGACTCACTTTCTGTTTGTTTTACAGTACCTTACAATAGACAAGACACAAGGATAAAGAAGATTGCACTTGAATGAAAGACAGTCATGACACCATTCTATGAACATACAATTATGTTTACTATTTTCAGGGATGGTAGACTTCAAGATTTATAAGCAAGTTTTTTATAAGGACGTTCAGGATGTTCTTTATGGATTCTGTTTTTTCTGTTTTGATAATAGCTTGAGTAAAGATTTTTTTATATAAAGTGTTTATGTGTATAGAAATACATCAATCAATCTGAATTAAAGTTACATAACGTGTTCACACAATAGTACCTTGAGCTGATGTTAAATGTTGCACAAGGACGAGTATATATAAACATTTGGGAAAAAAAATGAAGATTACAAAGTAATGGGAAATAAATCTACAAGGAAAACATAAATATATAACATAACTATAATAAATTTAGCTCCAAGACAGCATTGAATATTCTGACAGTAACATAACCCATACAAGGCAGCAACATTAAATTTTAAGTATATAAAAATTTTGAGTACTTGTAAATACATTAGTAAATATGATAAGGAAAAATAAAACATGAATGAAATTAGACCATGTATTCTATAGTTATATTGATTTAGACAGGGTATACATTTTCATCATAAAAAATCCATTGGTACATCAAATTTTTATTTACTTTATTATTTAATACCCATATAATTTATGTAGGATATATTTATGTTGAATTCAAGTTATATATAATCTGGTACATAAAGCTGATAATACAATGTAATTCATTTTACATTATTCATTGAACTAAACTGTTGTTTAAATAAATATAATTAATTATCTCTACATATTCACATGCATTTGCCTAACTTTGTCTGAAAAATAAAATAAAAATATTGTTTTATGAATATCTAAGTATATATTTATAATTGAAAATTTGGAAAAAGAAAAAAGAATGGAATATTTTAATACATCATTAATACAGTAGCTAATACATTTTAAGCAACAATAAAAAACAGTGCAATACTCAGCAAAGAACACATAGTTAAGCAAAGAATGACTGTAGACTGACTGAAAGGTGCAATAACTCAACAAATCACAGACAATGTCCTTCAACAACAATTGATGTGGTTCAACAAAGGTTTTATTAACAAAAGAAGAGTAACATAACAAAGATGTACAGAAAGAAATTTTAAAGACAAATATCCTAAAAAAAGGTTTATCACAAGGCACATAAATAATACTGGAGGTACAATTGTAAATATCCTATTTAACAAGCCTTATATAAATAAATTAAACATCCAATGCATTTCTCATAAACTGAGCTAGTCCAATACTTCTATGAAGCAAAATACTTTTGACGCATTTTATACAATTGTAAAAATTCTACAGAGATTTTTTTTAATATAAATTTCAAGAAAGCACTCAATAGAAAATAATAACTTCTATAAACACATTGAAACTATTTTTTGTAAATTCTATATTGCTGAGTCATTGCTATGCCAAGAAAGCAAATCTTTTAATTTGTAACAGGATCAGCAGACGACATTTCTAGCTGAATGCTTTGTTCCTGTATTGGGTCCTCAACATCCTGTTGCATTTGTCTCTGAGCTTCCTCAACATATACTTCTGGAGCCTGATTCTGATTTGGTATTCTTGCAACTTTAGCAGACACTGGCCTTGACCCCTGTTGTTGGCCTTGACCTGCGGATGAAGGTCGTGGTGATGGTGGTGTCCTAGCAGAAACTGGGCGTGCTCGTTGCTGTGTAATCAATGGAGACTGCTGATTCTTGGGCTTGTACTGGGGAGGATGGGGGCTTGTTGGCCTCACATTCATTCCCTAAAAAGGAGTTTAATATGTCAGTATAATATTTTTTTCTATTCATGAAAATAAATTCAAAACTTTCTTTTTCTTAAACAAAAGAAACCAAAAAATGATTATGGAAAGTCTTATAAAAATATCAGAAAGAAATTCATTTTAAGAGAAAAATAATGATTTTTAATTTGAGTTTATTAGGTGTATTTATGAATGGTCCTTTTTGCAGCAAATATTTCTTTTATCATAAATGCAATTACAAAATAAAACAGTGGCTGAGTTCTTAAAGTAACCAACTTCAAATCTCTTGCATCTGACAGCTGCCAGTTCAAATCCCATCAGGGACTTTGTTAGTTTTCAAATTAGCGTAGAATAGTCAGTGGTTCAACTCAGGTGCCCACTTGTGCCTGAAACAATACATGATGGGGCACCTGAGGTCCTCCCCCACCAGTAAAGCTGGAAGTCTGGAAGTGACTATTACAGTGTTACGAAGGTCTTCACTTTAAACCTCTGGAATTATTTAATTTAACATTAAAGTTGTATACCATATTGTTATTATTTTGTCCTAGATGAGTGGGAAAACGAGCCTCCAGCTTCTGTGTAGGTCTGTGATCCTGACGTCCACGGTAAATGTGCCCGTCTGCTCCTTGTATATCTATCTCCTCTCTAAATATTCAAACAAGTCAAGCATAAATTAAGTAAATAAACAATTATGCCAGATTTTAAACCTGTATTTTTTTTGCTCTAATGTCATTCATTAAATTTATTGAAATATTATCAAATTTAGAACTGTTATTCATTATGTTTAAGGCTTTTTTCATAACATTCTACAACATCTTTTAAAAGTCAATTTCAATGCATCTAATATTTTTAAGCTACTTGTCTTCTTTTAAATATATGAATTTGTTTGTACTAAGATGTAAATTATAAGATGTTAAAACTGTGCATTGAATGAATAGTATAATGGTTCAACTAGATTGCCTTATGTCTGTTGTAATTGCTGCTAGCAAATATACTGCTGTCAAGAATGAATAATAACTTTCCAACTGAGGTATATTGCAAAGAAACAGCTGTCAGCATAGTTTCATTACTTTAATGCAAGGTTGCTAACAACTTGAAGATACAGTTTTCAGAGTTAGTTCCATTACTTTAATGTATAGTTGTGAATATCCGATAAAGTTAAAAAAGAGATATCCATCAATTCCTAAAGAGTTATCAGTTTTATTCCATTTAATATTGTTATACACGGCTGTCAATATTGGTTTAAATTTAAGGTACATTTACTTTTAGCTTTAATCTATTATTCAAAGATACATCTGTCAGCAAATAAACCAACTGTCAATACTGGATTAACAGTCAGCACAGAACCATCCATGAAACAAACTTGAAGTTGTCAATACTGGATACTAAACTGTCAGCATAATGAACATGAAGTTGTAAATAATGGCTTAAAATCAAATATGTCAGCACAAAACGACTGAATGAATTTCAATCTAAATTTAAAGTTACAGTTGTTGTTTCTTACTTTGTTGCTGGTATGATGATAGCTTCATCTTCTCGAAACAGGTGGCTGTAAAAACAACAAATAAAACATCGAAAAAATGTTACACATCACAAGCAAGGAAAACAGGGGAAGGCAAATTGTAATCTATGCTGCAAGTGAGGGATAATTGCCAGTATAATTTTTTTTTAATTTCAATTCTTCACAATGATCTATTACTAAAGTAATTGATTTGAAATAGCATGTCACACATTACCATCACCAGCATTGGTTTCTAGGGTAAAGCAACTTGTCATTTACATTGTCAGTGACACATGATTTTTACTTTTATTGCTTGCTATATTTCAATGGAAGTTGCTCTAAGCCTCATGGGCCAATACTGCTAGCCAAAGAATTGAAACAGGAAGTGGCTAGCCGTACAGGCCTGTTCTGCTAGCCAAAAGTTCTAGTCATTTATGAGTCACTTACAACTTGCCTGTACACACTATAGAGGCTAGTTGTATGGCGTTTTTTTCAATGATCAATAAAAAAAATTAATGAAGTCTGTAACATGCATGTTTAATTACATTTCCGCAAAATTTGAAAATATTAATTTTTCAATTAATTTTGGATGACGTTAGGTAATTTAGAATGATAGTATAACAAGAGGGCCATGATGGCCCTGAGGTCGCTCACCTGTATATAGGCCCCCCCCCCGGCCCAATTTTTACCCAAGGGCTTTTATTTGTTTATTTGAACAGACTTGGTAGACACCCATAAGAAGATGTTTCATGCAAAACATCTAAGTTCTAGCTCATTGGGTTTTTTAAAAGAAGATTTTTTAAGTTTTTACTATACACATATAGTTAAAAACAATGACACCCCTTGGGCAGGGCCAGTTTTGACCCCTGGGCTTTTATTTGAACAAACTTTGAAGATATTTACTTAAAGATGTTTCATGCTTAATATCTAAACTCTAGTTATTTGGGTTTTTTCAAAGAAGATTTTTAAGTTTTTGCTATGTATAAAAGGAAAATCAATGACCCCCGGGGCGGGGCCAGTTTTGACCCCAGGGCTTTTATTTGAACATACTTGGTAGACACCCATTAGAACATGTCTCATGCTAAATATCTTAGCTCTAGCTCTTTGGGTTCTTTAAAAGAAGATTTTATAAGTTTTTACTATATGCATATAAGGAAAATCAATGACCCCCTGGGGCGGGGCCAATTTTGACCCCAGGGCTTTTATTTGAACAAACTCAATGGTAGACATTCACTAGAAGATGTTTCATGCCAAATATCTAAGCTCTAGCTCTTACGGTTCTTTAAAAGAAGATTTTTAAGTTTTTACTATATGCATATAGGGAAAATCAATGACCCCCGGGGTGGGGCCAATTTTGACCCCAGGGCTTTTATTTGAACAAACTTGGTAGTCATTCACTAGAAGATGTTTCATGCCAAATATCTTAGCTCTAGCTCTTTGGGTTCTTTAAAAGATTATTTTTTAAGTTTTTACTTTATGCATATAGGGAAAATCAATGACCCCCTGGGGCGGGGCCAATTTGGACCCCAGGGCTTTTATTTGAACAAACTTGGTAGACATTCACTAGAAGATGTTTCATGCCAAATATCTAAGCTCTAGCTCTTACGGTTCTTTAAAAGAAGATTTTTTAAGTTTTTACTATATGCATATAGGGAAAATCAATTATCCCCCAGGGCGGGGCCAATTTTGGCCCCAGGGCTTTTATTTGAACAAACTTGGTAGACATTCACTAGAAGATGTTTCATGCCAAATATCTAAGCTCTAGCTCTTTGGGTTCTTTAAAAGAAGATTTTTTAAGTTTTTACTTTATGCATATAGGGAAAATCAATGACCCCCTGGGGCGGGGCCAATTTTGACCCCAGGGCTTTTATTTGAACAAACTTGGTAGACATTCACTAGAAGATGTTTCATGCCAAATATCTAAGCTCTAGCTCTTACAGTTCTTTAAAAGAAGATTTTTTAAGTGTTTACTATATGCATATAGGGAAAATCAATGATCCCCCGGGGCGGGGCCAATTTTGACCCCAGGGCTTTTATTTGAACAAACTTGGTAGACATTCACTAGAAGATGTTTCATGCCAAATATCTAAGCTCTAGCTCTTACGGTTCTTTAAAAGAAGATATTTAAAGATTTTTCTTTCGGTTGCCATGGCAACCAGAGTTCTGCATGGAATTAAATTCTTTGAACAATTTTTAAAGGTGACCACCAAAGGAACATTCCTGTGAAGTTTGGATGAAATTGGCTCAGTGGTTTATGAGGAGATGTCATTTAAAGCAAAAGTTTACGGACGGACGGACGACGGACGGACGACGGACGGACGGACGGACGCCGGACGAAAAGCGATCACAAAAGCTCACCCTGTCACTTTGTGACAGGTGAGCTAAAAAAATAACATTATATCTGTTGATCTTTAAATGATTATAGAGCTTTAAGTTACATCATGTTGAGATATTTACAAGTTGCAAAATTATTAAAATAACATAGTCATAACTTAACTACTACTGGAAAGTGACTAATAAGCGATCAGATTGTTTTTGTAGGTTGTGTGAACTTTTAAATGATGAGCAAACAGCAGCTTTTAACAGTAAGCAAACACTTTTTTTTCAGTGCCAGCTACTGGCTTTAAAGGTGTTTTAAATTAAATGTCCTTTCTTATGACATATATATTGGCCCTAGAAATAACCACAATATTTAAATTATGTTAGAATTTAACCCATTAATATTTCTTATAAACGCTGCCAATCACATGCATCGCTCACGGCTTCAATTAAACATTAGAATTTCCATTATATTTGAATTATATTATTGTTTTATTATTTATATTATATTATATTTTTCTTCCAGAAACACAAGTTTGCATACTCACTGTTTTTAGTTATTTAGAAAGAAAATGCCATATGTATAGACTGAGTTTTATGTCATTCACATATGGCTAGAACTTTTGTCTAGCTGTATGGACCAGTACTGCTACCCACTTCCTATTTCAACTCTTCACACTGACCAAGATGGTAACCAGTCTGATTTGCAACATTCTCAAGTGAAAGTAACAACTACATGACACTATCATACAATAAAATACTAAAATCCACTAGCTCAAACAAAAATATTCATGCGAAATTAGTGAAAAATTCAGTGTAAGAGGGTATCAACAATCAGCCCCAAAACACAGTACTTATTTACAAATAGCTAAAACTACATATCAATTTGTTCATGCTATCTAAAGCTTGCTTGCCAAAAGATAAAATGTCTGTTCCCTTTTCTCTGATCTAACCACACAGTTCAAATTTAAACCTGAACCCATTTTTATTGGACCAATAATTTTTTTTAGTTAGTTAAACAGGAAACAAACATTTTGAGGACGACTTCACGAATTTTTTACTGAAGTAATATCTTACCTAAGGTGTGTGAGCTTGGTATTCCTCTTGTGAGGATAAGTCATTGTATGACTTCCACCACAGGGTCTTGGAGTTGCATAGTAGTCTGCTATCTCAGGGTTGGTTAAACTGAAAACAACCAATCAAAATACAGTATAAGTACAGATATATGTATTAATAGAAACAATTTTGGTTCATGTAGTTGACTGGGGGATAACACAAAATGAAGCATTTATTCGTAGATGATTCAGAAAGGAATGTCTAAGAGAATGACAAGTAAAATTAAGAAAATTCTGAGCAAACTAAAGCACTATTATAGTATATGGTTAATAAAACTAAGCTCTAGCTATGAGTTAGAATTAAAACATCATGCAAATGTTAGTCTGATGAAAATCATTGAAACAACAACACAATAACAGGCTCCAAACAAGAACCAAAACAACCATAGAATAAAAAGTAAATATTGAAATATAAGGTGATGAAATACTGTTCTCTCTTTGTATGTAAAGTCAAGGTTAACATTAAGTCATTAAAACTTCTCAATTTCTCAATAAATTTAAATTCACAATTTAAATTGAGCAATTAAGGAAAGGAAATAAATGTATTTTGAAAACAAATTTGATGTTAAAAGATGATTTCTTCCCAAAGATATGGGTCAGTACAACTTCAAAAATTTGTTCCAGGCTTATGAGACTTGATCAAAATTTTCAAAGAGAGAACAGTCAGATGTCATGTTAGCATGCACTTACTTCTGTGAATACTGTGCAATGGATGTTAAATCTTGTTTAAAGTGAACAAGAAAAGCTCTAAGATCAGATTTTTTCAATGAGGCCAGCTGTCTCTCAGCAAGAGCACGTTCAAAGTTCATCATACTCTTACCCGCATAGTAACTATATAGAGCAAAAACAACATTCCTCAGAAACAATGATGAGACAGATAAAGTAAAAAGAAATGAGCCGCGTCACGACAAAACCAACTTAGTGCATTTACGACCATTTGCGACCATTCGCATTTGCGCAGTCTGATCAGGATCCATGCTGTTCGCTATCAGTTTCTCTACTTGTAATAGGGTTGGTAAGCAAACAGCATGGATCCTGATCAGACTGCACGGATCTGGTCTGGATCCATGCTGGTCGCAAATGCACTATGTTGGTTTTGTTGTGACGCGGCTCAAATAAAGAACCAGAGAGTATTAATGTTAGATAGTCTGTGAAATCATTGACAGTCATAGTCACATAGAAACTGGAAATTTCACAATCTGAAATCTAGATGGTGAATTTTGATACCCATGAAGAACGCAAAGACATACCATTTATTTCTGGAGATTAATTTGAATGAGGCAATATCATAAATCTATGGAAAGCTCTATGAAACGGAACTAGTTATGATTTCACAGTATCAATATAATATCATTGTTTTTATTGAAGACTTGTTTATCAAATTTGACTTATATTACAAAGGAGAAAACAACAATTTAAAGTATACAGGATTCCAGTTTTTTTTCTTGACATTTAAGAAAATATAGAGATTACATTACGTAATATAAAATGATAGAGAACAATAAGGAAGGCACGAAGATCCAAAATAAACAAGTTTTCCAAAACAAAAGAAACAATGATATTATATCACAAATTACACCCACTGATGTGATGTTAGTGATGATAAAAAATAAAGCGAAATAAAACCAGTCTACTGACATTCCTTTTTTAATACACAAATTAATTTATAAACCTACATGGTTATAGCTAAACAGCATTATTTGGGTATATAGCAACAGTGTCAAAACTTTTTTTTAACAAGTAAATTTAATGTGTTTATTTAGTTTCATTAGATTCATTAACATTCACTGAGTTGAGTTTATTACAATCCAATGGGTTTCTTATTGATCATTGAGTTTATTAAAGTTCATTTTTGATAATTAATGTTCATTGAACTCATTAAATTTCATTGAGTTTATTTAAGTTTCTTGAGTTTAAAAATGTTTAATGTTCATATCAATTCAATGTTTTTATCACATTGACTTTATAAGCATTCATTGAGTTTATGACAGAACTTCTTAAGATCGGCAGAGAAACAACCTGCCATTTTAACTCCCTTCAAAGACAGTTTTATTAACTTCAATTTAGACACTTATACCTTAAATCTCAGGTTAAGGTATAGATGATAATGAAAGGAAACATGAACAATAAAATCATAAATTAAAATCACATAATATAATGTGTTGAGAAATTACCTTGAAAAATTGTCACAAATATTTAAGAAATTGAATCCAAGAGAACCAGAATTTACAAACATGTATACGTTTTTATGTAACATTTCATGTAATTTATAAGCAATCGGCCATGATATGCTGGTAAATATTGAAGTTTATCACACACCCGTGCCGATTTTGCGACTCCGTAAATATGGTATTGCACGGCCGTGCATATTTTTTTACGTGATGTCATAAGCGTTATACAAACATAGTGAAAAGACGCGCTAAATGTTAGCGTTATACTATAGGCGCGTCAACGTAAAATGACTCTTATTTCACTTTAAACGGTCTTTATTTTTGGTATGTGATAAATAGAATATTAAATTCGTGTAAGTTCATTACTGAATTTATTGCACTCGTTGAATAAAATAATATTATGCTCGCCAGAGGCTCGCATAATATAATTTTATTCAACTAGTGCAATAAATTCAGTATTGAACTTATACTCATTCAATTATCCTCTATATATTAATGATAGTGAAAAAGAAAAATTATAAAAAAAAAATCCATGCATAAAAAGAAATACACGGTTATAAAAAATACCATGATGATTCAAAGTGATTTAGAACAAAACTAAAATTTACAAAACTGAAATGAAAATTTGTTATATTATGTAAAAGCATAGCTGATCATTTAACTACATGCTATATTATATACAAAAGCAACCTGGCTTTCCAAATACTAAAATAAGCAAAATAATAATTATACACATTATATAATATAACTTTACATCTACTCAAACAAATTTAAAAAAACTTGATAATCTTACACACAATTAATTGGTGGCTTTTAAATACAGTGCATATCAAAGATGGTTTGACAAAAATAAATGTGGATGTCACATGTATGATAAAAAAATAATATACTTGTATATTTATAATCATTTACAATATATAATTTCCATGCAAATACATGTAACTATATAGCTATACAGTATTTAAAAAAAATACATGTGCCCATACAATTATATCAACCCTGTGCAATTAAATCACATTCAATCTATTCAATTATTTTATAAGATGCTTACATATTGACAATATCATGCTCTAATACTTTCAAACTATCACTTTTCTTACCAACATTTTCTATACTTGCACCTGTAGTGACTGAAGATATAGGGTCGAGTAAAAGTTCTGGTGCATCATTTTTTTTTTATTACATTGCATTTAAAATAATTATTCCTTAATCATCTATGTCAGAGAAGTGATAACAATTTGTACGCTATTTACTGGTAATTTAAAGGCTTCCTGGCTAAAACAATAGCTAACTTAAAAGAAAGTTTAGTTTAAACAAAATTTATTTGTAACCTGTTTATAACATAATAAATTACATAAAATAAATTTTACGGATTGACTAGGAATGTATTGTATTAAAAAGCTTTTTTTGAATACTCTCTCCGTGACAAGACTTTGTATGATATAGGCTAACTTTCACCATGGCATTTTCTAATAAAAGAATAGAGGAAAACACTTTGGGTTGAAATTGAAAAAAAAAGAAAAAAAAACACAAGAAGGTTTCAAATATCTCAGTCCTATAAAATTCACATCAAAACAAGAATTTATATTGATATAATAAATTCATATTATTTTTTTCCAAGGTACCAAACATACGAGTATTATAATGTCTTCTAAAAAAAATTCTGAAACTGGTCATGCAAAAGAGGAAAGATTATATGCTGAAACTTTGCATGCAAAATCAATCATTCAAATGACTGACCCCATTCTCTACAAAATTAGCCGAAGAGGATAAAAGACAGGTTAGAGGTTACATGTGAAAGGGGAGACAATCTAGAAGTCTGAATTCTATGTAAAAACAGTTATATGGGTTAAACGTCTAAAAATAAAAATGTTACCGATGATAGGCCGATTTGTCCGCACCATGATAAATTCTATTAGATAAATTATTTTGTTATAAAATCAAATTATTGATTAGTTATTTGATGTTTCTTCCATGTTATTATCTGAAGTTACGAGTCCAACATGTTATATTTTCTCAGTCTTTCAGGTTATGTCATTTCATATAGATACTGCATTTAGAGTTTCGTAGTTTTCTTGTAAAGGGATCTATTAGTAATTTTCAAAGAAAAATCCAGAGACAAAAGTTATGAGACAGAATATAAACTAGTTTGTTAGAACACTTTCCGACCCAAAAAGAAAATTATGAAAAAATGCCAAACCCAAAGAGAAAAAAAAATGCAAAAAAAGTTTCTTTTTCCATAAATAATAAATATTACCATTCATAATCGTTCCTAAAAATAGAATGAGCTCTCTTTAAGGAAAAGGTAAGAAAAAAACTATCTAGCAAGAATAACAAACTAAAAATGTCTATAAATAGAACTGGAATGTTCAGAACTCTACAGAGCTATGCTCGCAGAATACCAACAACTATTTCTTAATATTGTTCTTTTAAACTGTAATCTGTATACTGTTATACTGTAATTTTCTACATCAAAAAGTACATAGTTAACTAGTACTTGATTTAGAATATGTAAAATTGTATGAATGAAGAACAGTGTAGTTATATTTCTATTTCAATTGTACAAAAAAACCCTCTCAGTTTTTACTGAAATGTACAACACTCAGGTATTCTGTACAATTTCAAGAAAAATTACTTTAATGGGTAATATTGTTACTTCAACAGCATTTACATTTGAAAGAAATACTAACAAGGGTCATAACTCTGCACCATTTCACCAGAGTTGAGTTGCAACCAGAATAAATTTTATTACAGAATGAAATCCTTGCAAATTTAACAAAATATCCCCCCATAAGAAAACCCCAAAAAACTGTTCTGAAAGCTGGTTAAACTATGTAGTTTATTGGTCTCAGAATCTAAAATACTTTTAAGACAAGACAACAAAAATCTAAAACAGAATAATGCAGTTATCTAAAATTATCATCATCACAGATGTATCAACCTTTAGAAATCATGTGTAAAGCTAAACTAAAGAAAACAATTCTGAAAGATGAAAGCGAAATTCAATATGGCTCTAATTGTCTTGTGAAAGTGTGCTATAAGCTACATATAGTATAGATTTTGTATGTAATTATTTTCTCATATTCACTACAAACTTACCTTTTTCCATGTTGCCTGATCTGGTCAAGCTCGAAAGTGGTGTAAGGTCTTGGTGACTTTGTGGGGTTCAAACCCATCTGAGCAGGCAGCGAAGGTACTGGACTGTAACACAATAGTAAACATTATACTTAATGATAATGAACTTTATAAAAATCATGACATCATCTTGTCCGATTATGACATCATACTGTTCAAATATGACATCATACTGTTCAAATATGACATCATACTGTTCAAATATGACATCATACTGTTCAAATATAACATCATACTGTTCAAATATGACATCATACTGTCAAAATATGACATCATACTGTCAAAATATGACATCATACTGTTCAAATATAACATCATACTGTTCAAATATAACATCACTAATGTCCAATTATGACATCATATTCAAATTGTCCAATCATGACATCATATTTTTAAATTATAACATCATATCATCCAAATTTAGAGATCCTATTTTTTAAATGACATCATACATATTGTCCAATTATATCCATCAATTAAGAATAAAAGTTATCTCAGGTCATAATGATACTTATTACATTACAGTCTTCTGGTACAAATAATATTTTCCTATTTTTTTTTAAGAAAATCAATCTATATCTGAAGTTAAAACAATCAATATCAAAGTTTTTTTGTTTTTTTTCCCATAATTTTTGTATATTTTTTTTATTTATTTTCATGTTCACAAATTGTAGCTTTGTTATATCATTATGTAAAACTCTAGACAATGATGAAAACAGTCATTTCAAGTTTTTTTGTTACATGTATACTCTATGCATGTTCTACTGTTAAACAATATTATGATCCTATATCAGGTCCATTATATATCAATAAATAAAATTAATATTACATAATTCTACTATTATCAAAAAAATATGGCAATAAAATGTCATCAAATAGAACATAATAGAAAGTGCTATGGTTATGTAGAAATTACAAAATCATGAGAAAAAAAAAGTATTAAAAAAAGTTTCTGCTTAATTGGAAAAAAAAAATACTACTCGACTGCCATGAGAACATTTTACTAAGAAAAGATGCAAGGAATTTAATAATACAATAAAGAGTATAATTATAAATTAAGTAGGTACTATATAGTATGTAAGCCAGAAATTATGTGTGACAACAAGCTGTCTCATTTATTTGCAATAAAGCGTGAAAAAAGATACCGGTATCCGTTCTTTCCAGAGGGAGAACCATTAAATTGAGTCGCGCCATGACAAAACCAACATAATGGGTTTGCAACCAACATGGATCCAGACCAGCCTGCGCATCCTCGCAGTCTGATCAGGATCCATTTCTCTACTTGTTATAGGGTTTGTTAGCGAACAGCATGGATCCTGATCAGACTGTGCGAATGCGCAGGCTGGTCTAGATACATGCTGGTCGAAAACACATTATGTTGGTTTTGTCATCGCGTGGCTCAATTTGTATTACTGGGTATTAGTTAGATTTTTTTCACAGGTTATATGGCCCTATATAATGGTTGTTTGGAATATAACCCAAGCAGCCAGGTGAGGGATATACAAACAACTGTTTATATACAAACATATAACCTGTAAACAATATCTCTTTATAGTAAATTTATAATACAAAAAACTTCTTCATAAATTGACAGCAGCCGTGTATATAAAAGTATATAAACGTCGGCGATTATCCAATGAAAATCTATGTTACAAACATGCACTATTATAAAAAGAACCTACTATTTACATCATGACAAAGTAGAACATCACGTACAATGTTTGTACCTTTCTTATTCATCTAAATATAGCTGACAGAAACATTATGCAACACTTGTGAAAGTAGAGCAAAAGACTCCTCAAAAGGCAGAGCAAATGAAATATTGAAACAAACCCACCCCAAAACAACTTTCTTTTTAACAGTAGACAGCAGAATAAGCACCTAAAGACCTATATGTACCATTATCATGCAAAAAGTAGATAAGCTTTCATCGCAAGTGAATATTTATTGGACTATTGTTACCAACCCTCTTGGTACAACAATAGTGTGTTCTGTAAGCTGAATGTCTAGCAGCAATGTGTGCCAATAGAATTTCAGAAAAGTTACCATTCCTATATGTACGTTCTTATTGTTAAAAACTAAGGAAATGATGGTTTGAAGGAGTGAAAGAAAATATAAAATATTTCTGCAGTTTAACACACTACAAACTTACGGTAAAGGTCTGAAAACAAAAAAGATCTTTATAAAGCAAAATTGAGTAATGCTACGTTTGTATGTTATTCATTATTATTTCATTATGTTTAAATCTACTTAATATTTTCTTTTTCAGCAGTCTTGGCTTAATTGTTCCCACACGGCAAGGTGGTAACATAAAACGACTTGTATAATTATAGGCCCGAGAAAATTAGATAAATGTCATGGTTTAAACATATTCATCCATGTTATGATGTTTAATATGTCATTAAACATATCAATTCATTAAAGAAAAATCCATGTCATTCCCTTGTAAATGACCTTTTCTTCTAGCTTAAATTTTATCAAACTGGCAAAAACAAAATCCAAATTGTACAATGACCTTACATTGGTTAATACATGGATAAATAAGACAAACAAACTAACTAATATCACTAAACATTGTTCTCAAAAAATGGTTAACAATCTGAGCTACTGACTCTTGTAGAGAACATTGTTCTTAAACTTGGCTAACAAAACAAACAAAGCTTCTCTTTTGATTTGAAATCATTCTCTTTTGATTTGAAATCAATCAAGTTGACAAACTCACATAGTAGAACATTGTTCTCAAATATAAAATCAATCAAACAGACTGGCTTACATAACATTATTCTCTGACTATTGCAATCAAGCAAACCAAAAAATATTCTCGAGTTTTTAGACACATGAAAATGTTGTAAGAACTATAGACTTAAGCTCTTGTTAGAAAGCATGATGTGCTAACATCTAGTTCATAGTTAATCTAAACTTAAGCCCTTACCCTGTACTGCTCCAAAACAATAAAAAAACAACATTTAATTATCACTTCTAATTGTAATAAACTGTATGAAACATAAAATATTTAGTACACACAACCTACTAAGTTATAAAGTTAGGAACAAACTTTTACCAAATCTATTTTCTTAATCAAAATCTAGATTTATATAATCGATTTCAGAGACCTCAGACAGTGTGATCTCCAAATTCCAAATCCCCAATTAGAAAACATGAATAATGTTAAAGTTGATTTCTTACTCAATGGACCAATTTAAGAACCTGTTTCAAAACATGATCAGACTGAAAATAACACATTGATGGACAATGTCAAACCTTATGATCTTCTATTTGACCTTACATGCTTAAAACAAAAATCTGAATTATCTATTGAAAGCTGTTTAAAGCAATGAAATTTTGAAGCAATGCAATTTTTGTAAACATTAATGTTGAACAAGCATGAATTATTTGAACATAAATAAAAGAATTACATGTACTAACTGACAATGAAAATAACTAAAGAATATAAATATGCAATGAAATAAAAAAATACATGAATAAAAGCAAGATGTATTAAAAGGCAAATGTATGAAATCACAGTTTGTTTATTCTCCTTTTTTTCCTCCAATTTGAACACATTTTTGGTCATATCAAGGCAGTCAGTCCACCTTACTAGCTTTCCTGGTTAACTAACCAGTAATTATTAATTTCTCTGAAAGTTACCAACATGGTTTATGAATCAGTGGTAAGAGACAAATGACCATTAGACACAATATCCAAGATCAATTGTCAGGGAGAAATTTTGCATTACCCTAGGATGGAACCAGAAAAAATTACAGTGAAAAGTATTAATGCTAGACTGTAATATTCACATAATGTACTTACTTTACCATTTATAGTGGCATGTCATGTGGTATATTTTCAGTTATAAAGATTTTTGGCAAGTTGTATGGTCCTGTATAAAGTTTGTGAGCCTAGTTAACTCAGACCTTAAACCTATTTCCTGGATTTTTTTATTTGTCTCTTCTTTGCTTTAGGCATTAGATCTATGCATAGCTTGTGGAACTTGTGACATTTTATCACTTTCCGTATATTTTCATTACTTAGAAAACATAGAATTTACAAACAATTTTATTGTTAGTGGTCATATTGATCCTTATTTGAATTTTCATAAAGGGACTTTTTTATTTCCATAAATTAAATGAGGAACTTTAGGATATTTTTTCACTAATTATCTGAGGGACTATTGGTCAAGATGAGAAAAGTAACAAAATATGCCAGATTTCCAAGTCAGGTTTGTTTATTTGACATGATTGAAAAGTTTTATATTTACCCAGTTGGAAGCATGTCTACTGGCCTATCACATGATATACAGTGGAACCTCTGGATCAATTGTCTGCAAATAAAAAAAAATACACATATCACCTACATATATCATAACTAAAAAGATATAATTTCTATGACTAAAAGTAAATGATTTCTTTGTATTTGGTGACAAACAATGAATAAACTAATCATATTTGTTCATCATTTCGACAAACAAATCACATCTTTTTATGATTAAAAACAGCTGTTTTTCAGTATATTATTAAGCTGTACAAATGCAAACAAAAGAAATACTGAACCAGACAAAAATGTTTAACAGAATTCTGTCATCAGTCTGAAAACCTGAAATCTTTAGTACTTAATCTATCATCAAAATCAATGAAAACAGGTGCTTGTTGTAAGACTGGTTCCCTGTTTCAAAATTTACAACCTGAAACATTTTACAGCTTTAACATACTTTCTAATTCCTGCAGCATCATCTTCAGAATACTCTTGGTTACTCTGGTATTTCTTGAGTTTATCATTGAGTGCCTTCAGTCTTGCCTCTAACCATTCTTTCAGTGGGTCAAGCTCTAACCGATCCAGTTTGCCATCAATATCTTCAGTTAGCTTACTATAAGCCGTTTTCCAGTCTGCATCCTAAATATAAATGATTATCATTCTGATATTAGACATTATAGTCCTTGGTTTAAACATACCTTTATTCATCAAGAGTAAATTTTACTTGAGACTGAAAGAAACTTGATGCTTATGGAAGTCTTTTCAAAATTGTACCAGTTCATGTTAAATTCTGCTTAAACCGGTGCTAGGGGGCATGAACGGTAGTTTGCACTTGACAGTACCGTCCATGAACAGGCTCAATCAAACCGAGCCTGCAACATTTTCAATTCTGCCGTGTTGGGCTTTCTTTAGGGATTCTTATTTTCTCTATTTTACCATAGCCCTTTTCATAAAAGAGTTATTATACCACATTATAGTGTGTAAATCCTGTCTCAAAATAAATAAAAGTGTAAATAAAAATAAATAAGATAAGAATATCAAAGAATTCTTATTACAAAACAATGATTTAACATTAAGAATTTGTACAAATAGTACACCAATGAATCAAAAACTATTTTGTTATAGCGTGTAAGAGTTACCCCATTAAAAAGCAAAATTTATTTGGGTATACAACACATAAAAATATATAGGAAATATTCAACTATGTGTTGGCAAAGACAAATTTAATACAAAAACCTTTGCTATTGTATTTGTATTGAAAATTGTATTGCTATGGAACATGTTGTTTTAATGCAATAAAATATTTGTAGTTGTAGTAGTAGTTATTGGTATGGAGGCAAAACACGAATCTGACAATTTACTCTACACTGTTTGTTGCTTTTATCAAAAAACGATGTAATTAACAATTGGTAATTATGTAAAGTCCAATGTATTAATTTTATGTATTCTTGCACTTACATGTCCTGTTAGTTTGTCTAATATCTCCTTGATCATATTGTTTATTTCTTCTGTTGTCTTGTCAAACAGTTTTGTGTTCACCTTTGCCTCAAGAGACTTCTTGTCTGCTTTCTGTAAAGTATAATTATCTCCCTTTAATTACATTATTTCATACAAAATACATTCTCCTCCTTTCAATACCATCCAGATTTAGCCCAACCCTTTATATACCAGACCTAGTTTGTAAACCTTTGCTAGACTTTTTTTAAACTAGAAATCGAATACTGTTTCCATTTCTGCTTACACTGGTTCATTTTTTTAATCCATATACATTTTTCTCCATTACCATCCAGATTACAAGCCCAACCCTTTAACCACCTGGCGTAGTTGTTGACAGTTGCCAAACTTTTTAACTAGAAATTGAATAATGTGTTCCATTTCTGTTTACACTGGCCTGAATTTAAGCAGTAACTGGCTAATACAGGAAAGTTATTGTTTTGGTTGGAAGACAGTCTTACATTTCATGTCAAGTGAGGATATTTCTTGACCATTTAATGTAAATAAGACAACTTAACTTTCAGATGATAATGATGATGTTATAACTGATACCTACCACATCTACCTCCATCTGTACATAGTCTTTGTCGGCCTTCTCTTCTTGTAATTTATCACAGTATTTCAATAGATCCTGAAAAATAATTACAAGCATTATAATTATTACTAATAATTATGCTTCGAGTTGCTCTTTATTTGAAATATTTTTTTTCTGACTTAATAATTATTGAGAGCAAATTTATTAATATACACTATCTCAAATCACTTCAGTCATCAATTTCATAACATTTTTCTTTTATAATAAAAAGCTTAAAACAAACCCCTAGACAGAAGGTTTAAAAGTTTTTCTTAAAGAATAAAAGTAAATGTATTTACAGCCAATGTTTACCCACTAACACTACAGTTTTAGCCTAATAATGTTGCTAGGGGTGTCATTAAGTTGCCATGAAAGTAAACCTAAGTTGCCATGGAAATAAACCACATTCAAATGTACTTTTATACTGTAACATTCTGAATGAAATAAGTAAATGCAAGGTATGAAATTTAAGTAGTGTCCACACTATGACACCAACCAGGAACCTTAAAAGTAATCCTAAAGATGTATTTTACCACTGGATGACTTCTCTGAGTGGAAAAATACTTTGCAAATGGCATCAGTTTCAAGCATTACATTATGGAGAGAAGTATACATTTTATAGATCTCAACCTTTAGCTCTAAATATCTTAAATGAACTTTCAAATCTTTCACTCTGGAGTAACCAATCATCATATTTATAAAAAAAATTCAAAACATGTTTTGAAGTGTAAATCATGATCAGACTCCATGGAAATGTCAGCAGATCTTGGTGTGCACTGGTCACATGGTTACAGTTTCTGTAGCTGACAGCAATCTGAAGGTTCGAAGGAGTAGAGTTTACCTGTATTTGTATGGTTCTCTGTTTATTCTCGTCTATAATATCAGATGTTGTATGATGTAGTTTCTCTACCTCGGCTTGTAGCTGCAAGATAGCCTGCTGTGCTCTAGTCAACGCATCGCTATCCTAAAATAGTCACAACAAAGTTTCTTTTAATTTGATTCATTCGAATCAATCATACTCATTATTTTACTTTATGGCCATGTACAAGCTATAACAGTTAAATATGTACATTTGGTGTAAAATTTTATACTATTCAAGCCTTTAATTTTCATCGTTAAGTGTTCTACATTATAAAATTACTTATATCTAATACCTACACAAGGCTTTGTCATAATATATCTCTTTTCAAAGTATAGAAATTTAAATTTATTTTTTTTTAAATTCTTTTTTGATATTGTCAATGTGATATTATTATATCTTTGTCAATAAAGATTGCGTAATTGTCATTCATACATGAATTTAAATATCTTACAGCATATTGCACACAAGAAAATTGTTCCCCAATCAAACATTTATGTAGTAATAGTTAGTGCTTGAAATAAATAATTACATATTATAACTCTAAGTTTAAACTCTGCATAAAATTTCATGAATATAAATCAACATGTTATAAACAAATTAATTACAAAAGGACTGTGTAAAATTTAACAAAACAAGCAATTATGTGTGAAATAAATAGCATGAAATTGAAAACAATAAATCATTATAGATTATTTTTGGTAAGAAGTCAAATAGAGGGCACATGTATTGACTTTGAAGGGTAGAGAAATAGCTCTTGTGCCCATACATTCAGGCAAACACCTGAAAAAAAAAAACAACCCATCATCACCAATAAATTCTCCCTCATTCTACATAATGAAAGACTCCAATGTCCCAGATGAGATTCCAACCCTAAGAAGACATTTGCAAGTGACTGAAAGAAAACGACTGATACACATGTGCAATTAGATACCAGTGAAGACCATAAGTATACTGTTTCAAGACAAACACAAAAGAAAGAATGAAAACACAAAAAAAACTGAGAAGATAAAAAAAATAAAGATGAAAATCGTGGACATTTTGAACCAACTAAACACCATGCTGAGAATTTTATGTGTACCCATTACCATTGCCAACTGTTCACTAATGTTACTCCTCACCTGGGTTTCTGATCGCTACATAACATATAAAATAACTATCAACATTATAAAACAAACATAATTATATGTAAAGAAAATAATAAAGACTGAATTGCAATATTTTCATTTGAATTATTGTAACACTTTCATATAGCATAATTATTTAATGTCCTTAAATTATAACAGTCTCAAATCAAGTCATAAATGTGATATACATGTATAAGGAAACCACTGGACATCCAAGATTTGAGAGTGAATTGAAATAAATATTAAGTAATAAGTGTTAAAATAAAGTTTGGAATTTGATAAAAAATATATACATTGTATTGTTTTTTTTTCAATTTTTTTTTTTAATTTCAGAAGATATACAATGTAGCTATATCTTTAAAAATATAAATTTGTAAAGTCAGAGAGGATGAAACATTATCATATTATTATTATACTAAATGTAAATGATAGAAATGTAAAAAATAGAAATGATTACGTTGCAATATAAATTTGAAACAAACAAATAACTTCAGAAGAAATACAAAAGAATGTAAAAAAAGAAAAACTTGAAAAAGAGATATTAAAGGAACTCCACTGAGGTCTATATATAGTACCCTAAAATTATAAAATTTGAAATTCTTTTATAAATCACTCGGTGAACTTAAAATACAAAACTATGCAATAGATCATATGTAAATATACTCAGTACTAAATGGATAATAGTTTTAATGCAGTTTTTTAAGACATTTTTGAGTGAAAAGCTTTTCAATGCCTTTATTTGGTCTCAATTTGGGCAATAAAATTGATTAATTAACAGTTTTAATAATGAAACTGTGAAGAAACTTGGTTGACCATAGCTTAATTTGCTTAGCTACAAAAATAAATTCTAATTCTGCCTAGATATACCCAAATCACCAACAGAAATTACTGAGGCACCACATGGAGCAAAATGAAAAAGGAAGGAGAAGTTCTATTATTATAAAAATTGTTACCGAGTCATGTGACATACACAGAGATTGAACTCATGACCTCACGGTATGTAGACAGAGCTTAAAAGACCATCTTTGAAAACATTCATGCAGGATTTGCCTTAGTTGAACTATAGGTTACAATTTGGGACACATATTAAACATATAATGCTTTTAACAGCCATACTGTCTAACCTATCTGTAACAAGAAATCTGATTATGTGAAAATAGCTAAATAAGGATTAAAATATTTTTATTCCTATGCTAGAGTGCTATTGTAACAAAAGTGCACTTAATATTACACACGTGAATTCCCAACAATAGACCATTAAAATAAAATATATTGAAATAATTAAACAAGATTCAAATTTTTAATTTTTTCTCTCCATGCAGAGCCTACAGTATAAAAACGTTTTCTTTGTACCTATTTATTAATTGTTCTTTTTTTAAAATCAAACTGTTTATAAGCAAAATAGGAATTATGAAAAATATTCTTTAAGATTAGACATTTTCCGAAATTAAAATATTATTGTGTGCCTTTATGATCTTTAAAAAACATATATATCAAATTTAAACAAGTGCATATGAAATAACTGAAGAACCCATATGTCATAAAAACTAATACACCACAAGATTTTTAATAAAACCAACACTTATAAACGAATTAAATCTGTAAACAAAACCATTAACTTTACTGCTTTTATACAACATGAAGTACAAATAAAAAACCACTCAATGTTTGATTTATAATAATATCATTTAACATTTTCAACAGGAAAGGTCATTTAATTAAAACAGCATGAAAAGTGCCATTGGTTTTTCATTATAAAAACCAAATACAAAATCCAATCTGTACATGGCTTTTATAAATGCCTATTGAAGTTGGACATTATACTATTTACTTATTTGGTTCAACTCTTACCAACTAAAGAAAAACAATTTACGAAATTGTCACAAAATGTGACCATTCATTGAAAAGTCTCTGTTTACTTTAAATCTAAAGTTAAATATCATACAAGGCCTTGTATGAGCTTTAATTTCATCGCAAAATATTGAATAAGCAAACAAACTTTTATTTACACTTAAAATCATAACTGATTAATACGCGTCACATTTGAGATCACGATAGAGGAAAATCTAGTTTCTATATATGAAAATCTAATGTATAGTTTTTCTATAGGCAAAGTTATTTAATTTTCCACAGTCTATTGAAATTGCACCAGACCAATTGAACTTGCATTCAGGTCAAATATCGAGCTTTGCGTTTGTAATATTAAGATCTCACATTTATTAAAAGCTTTAGACACAATACAAATCTTGAAAGTGGTCAGATAAAGGGATTCTTGGGCTGTTTTAAAATACCCACTTGAAAATTTAAATCATGCGTTCATGAACTTTATAGATAACAATATTTCTACAATGCCAAAGTCCTAAATTTAAATAATTTGAGAGAAGGTAAATATAGTTTATGGGGTATGATAAACACATGTAAACTACGTAACTATCACATAAATTACTTGAGCAAATATATAATTTTGTGAAGAAATGTGTGGGTGAAATGGCATATTGACGCTTTCTTAATGTATGCCATAGGTTTTTATGAATTTATACTCAATAGCAAACTACTTTCTTTTTGAATAATGTGGGCGTGGTGATGATCATGTTATAAGAGAACATGCAATGACTCAATTACTAAAAATAAAATGTGCCCAGATCAAAGAATTTGATAAAAGGGCCATACAGATTGGCAATAACATGAAATGAAAGACAATCAACTACAAAAAAGAATCAATTAATAAATTTAAAAAAGCTATACAGTGACCACTTTTAAGTTCCAAAAACAAGCAAAACAGAGCCAAACAATTTGCATATAAAGCAAGGAAATTAAAATGTTTTATTTCCAGATAAAATGATTCTTTTAAAATTATAATACATCAGCTTATTCTTTGAGACATACATGATTAATGCTTAATGGGATAAGAAAGAATGCTTTTGGAAATAACTAATTCATTTCACAACTTTATGCAGACACTGTACATATAATAACTTTCAAAACAAGATAACTGTTATCATATAACATAGGAATATACCAATTCAATAAATCTTTGAAAATGAACCATTTACTAACCATGTCACTATTACCAGCTGCCTTAGACCTCATAAGGGCAAATTCAACTCCTTTAGCCATCCTCTTCAGTTCATGATCCACCAGGAATACCTTGTCCCTTAATGCATGAAGCTGCTCATTTAATGTGTAACCAAGATTCTTTAGTTTCTCATTGGTTGCTTGTAGCTCTGGAGCAGACAAAATCACCTGAGAAGACACTTCTACTACTGGCCCATCACACAGAATTTCATCCATTTCTCTAGAGAAACCTGCTTCTTCTTCTAACCTTTCAATCACAGCATCCTCTTTAGCCTTCTTTGGTTTCTCGATAACTTTAGTTTCTTTTTTGGTTGTGGTTTCTTCAGGCTTTTCAGATCTGCCTTTACCACTGTCTACATCACTTTCTTGTGTTGTAGCAATGTCATCATTGTTAGTAGCAATCTTGCTCTCCATTCGTGCCAACCAACCATTAAGGTCTGAAACATCAGTCTGATAAGCAGTGTCATCCATTAAATTCTCCTTGAATGATTTAAATTGTTCCTCCAAAGCAATAACTCTTTCTTGCAGAGCTTCTAAGGCAGCATTAGATACAGCCGAGGCGCTTAATACTGCTACAAGCTCATCCTCAGCAGATACTGTATTGGTTTCTGTTGCTTCTGTTGCTTCTGTTTCTGTAGATGAGTCTGGTTGATGGCTACTCTTCGTAGTGCACACCTTTGATAACATTTTAACAACTGAACCAAAGACTAATATTGGGTTAGGTTTCTTTTTGTCTGTATCAGAAGACTAGATAGAAAGAAAGGAAGAGAAAAGAAAAGAGAAAGAAAAGATTGAGAAATAGATAGAAGCAAGCAAGAAATAGATAAAAACAAACAATAATCATAGTATTGCAAGCAATACATAAGTCCTCTACCAATTAGAACCCAAGCAACATTTCAAGGGCCATATGTAATTCAATTACGTCGCTAAATGATTGATTGACATGAATGATTTTAAATCTTTTCAACTTTTTTCTATTTCAATAAATTTGTAGGAAAAATTCCAAGTTCTCTAAAAGTGATCTCAGGAAACAGATTTTAGGAATGGAAGGACAGTCAGACTGACTGACTGACAGACACTCTGAGGGTAAATCTTTAAACATCCCTGGTTGTTACCAGAATATAACATTTTTCAAAGCAAAATTCTTAAACTTAAGAAGAGATAACTCTTGAAAAAAGGATGCTAGACTTATGAACATTGTCAAACATGATGTGAGTGTAACAAAGAACAATTATCTTAAGTTTACAGAAAATACCATTTATAGTCACAAAGAAGAAAAGTGAAAAAATAACAATTTTCAAAAATACCATTTAACAAAGAAGAAAATAAAAAACAACAATTTTCAAATAAATTTCAACTTCAAAATGAAAAGGATCATGGAAACCCAGGTGCTAGACTTAAAATTCTAATCACATTTGATGTAGGTGTTGATAATGAATGTAATTATTTTCAACTTGAAGTGAATTCATGAAGAAATAAGAAATTAAAGAATGAAAAAGAAAAGTTCAAAGTCTGAGGAGATAATTCTGGGAAATATGGATGCTAAATTTATAAACCTTATCATATTATTATGATACGAGAGTTTCAAGAAAATCCTATTAGAAATGGGGAAGTTGGAGTAAAAAATAATAATTTTTAGAAAAAAATCTAAGTTCAAAGGGGGACACAATTCTGGAAATAGTAAAGCAAGAGTATTGATTGATCTCACATGATATGAGTGATAATAAGAAACTTAAGAAAGAAATATATGAAGCTTGAAGTTTTAAGAAATAAAGACAGTATATGTTATTCTGATAATTTTAGTGCAAGAGTTGTAAACCTTGTCACATATGATGTGGTTGATGATCAGAAACATATAATTTAAGTTTGAAGTAAAATAACTTCAGAAATAAAGAGCTTGTAGTAAAAAAGCATAAAAACTTGAATCAGAAATCTTGACGAGGTAGCCGACCCTTGGTGAGTAGAACAGCTCTCAATATAACTCCCTATAGTCAAGATTAAAATGATGTGTATAATCTTCATACTGCCATCTCATAAGCCTTAAGTAATCACAAATATTGTTATATTTGCCATATATTTTAAGCCATAATAGCAACAAAATTTTTCAACATAGGAAGAAAAAAAACAAGATTGCATTTGAGAAAAATGCAATGCCACCGCATTAATACAACACTAAACAGTAGTGTAGGAACAGATTTTTTTTGTTTCTATACAATTTTGAAGATTGTCATAATGCATAGATCCCTGACCTATCTAATTCTTATTATCAGATTAGTGGTTAAATCTGTTGTTAACTCAATAAAAGATCAGAGTAGGAATACATCAATGCACTCGAGTCTAGTGAATTTGGTGGTGAAGGTCATATTTCACACAGCCTAAATTAAAGGACAACACAGTAAGACACTTTGTCAAAATCTAGGTCAGCTGAAATCAAAGTTCACTTTACATCTTAATCTGTGCACATGGTTCAAATTTCATAGCTGCTGTACATCAAAGGACAAGAAAGTAGGTCACATCATTAAATCTAGGTCACCTGATATCAAAGTTCAATTTAACAACTTAAACTGTGCACATGATCAAAATTTCATTGCTGTACATCAAAGGACAAGAAAAGTAGGTCACTGTCCCCTTGGGCAAGGCAAAATTTTGGACCCAAGGGTTTAATTCAAAACAATCTTGATACAGGTCCACCAAACAACATTTAAAGTCAAATATCTAAGCTGTAGCTTTCTCCCGTTCAGAAAACATTTGTTTTATTTTCTGTTTTTACTATGTGTACATAATGAGAATCACTGCCCCCGGGCAGGGCCAATTTTGACACCAGGGGAAAAATTTTAACAACTTTGGTAGAGGACCTATAGATGATATTATATAGCAAACAACAAAGCTCTATGCCTTGTACCTTCAGACAAAAATATTTTTTATTTTTTTACTATATGTACATAATGAAAATCAATGACCCCCGGGGCGGAACCAACTTTGACCCCAGGGCTATAATTTGAACAATCTTGGTAAAGGTTCACTTTGCAAAGTCTCATGCCATATATTTAACCTCTAGCCTTTGTCAATTCAGAGAAGAAGATTTTTCAATTCAGAGAAGGAAATTTTTCAAGTTTTTACTTTATACATATAAGGAAAACTATCGCCTCTGGGGCAGGGCAATTTTAACACTAGGGGCATAATTAAAACAACTTTAGTAGAGGACCCATTGATGATATTATATACAAAATATTAAAGCTCTAAGCTTTGTACCTACTACCAAGAAGGAGATTTTTTAATTTTTTACTATATGTACATAGTGAAAATCAATGACCCCTGGGGGTGGGGCCAATTTTGACTCCAGGGCTTTAATTTGTACAATCTTGCTAGAGGTTCACTACATAATGTTTCATGCAAAATATCTTAACTCTAGCCTTTGTAAATTTAGAGAAGATGATTTTTTAAGTTTTTACTATATACATATAAGGAAAACCTATGGCCCCCGGGGCGGGGCTAATTTTGACACTAGAGGCAAAATTTGAACAACTTTGGTAGAGTACCTATAGATGATATCATTTAACAAATATTAAAGCTCTAAGCCTTGTACCTTCAGACAATAAGATTTTTTACTATATGTATATATTGAAAATCAATGACCCCCGGGGCGGGAACAATTTTGACCCCAGGGCTATAATTTGAACAATCTTGCTAGAAGTTCACTTCACAAAGTTTCATTTAAAATATCTAACCTCTAGCATTTGTCAATTGCTAGAAGAAATTTTTTTAAAGTTTTTACTATATACATATAAGGAAAAAAACAATGACCCACGGGGCAGGCCGCTTTTGACCCCAGGGCTATAATTTGAACAATCTGGGTGGAGGTCTACCAGACAATGCCTTATGCGAAATATCTAAGCTCTAGGCCTTTTGGGTCTTTACAAGAAGGTATTTTATGTTTTTACTATATGTACATATAGTGAAAATCAATGACCCCCGGGGCGGGGCCAATTTTGACCCCAGGGCTATAATTTGAACAATCTTGTTAGAGGTCTAACAGACAATGCCTTATGCAAAATATCTAAGCTCTAGGCCTTTTGGGTCTTTACAAGAAGATTTTTTAAATTTATTCTTATAATTCCTTTTGGTTGCCATGGCAACCAGATTTCTGCATGGAATGAAATTCTTTGAACAACTTTGGAAGCCCTTCACCCAAGGATCAATCCTGCCAAGTTTGGTTGAAATTGGACTAGTGGTTTTTCACAAGAAGATTTTTTAAGTTCACTATATAATCTATATAACACACACACACACAAACAAACACACACACACACACACACACACACACACAGGTGAATCGCTATATGCCACCGCATCGCAGATGCTGCAGTGGCATAAAAAGATGTGCATATTCTCCAGGCTGCCATCTATCCATATTTCAAGATACATAAAAAATATTTTCAGTACTTTTTGCATTATAACAGGATCCAGATTTACGGACTGACGGACGGACAGAGGGTAAACCTAAAGTCTTCTCCGATTAAACTGGTAAAAGACTAATAAGAATTGATAAAAATAAGAAGATACAACATTTATAATGGAAGAAGAGAATAAATGTAATAATAATAATAACCTACAAGAAATTTGATACCATCAATTTACGAACCAATTAATTCATGACAAACACAGACAGGAGTTCTATAATCAGGGTTTAACAACTATTCCTACCGACACATAAGTTTTCTTAATAACCAATCAAAGACAAACACAGACAGGGGTTCTATAATTGGTTTAACAATATTCATGCCAACACAAAAACTGTCTAAATAAGAAAGATGTGGCCTTTAAAAAAAATATTGTTATTACCAAAGAACAATACAACTTAGGAGAATGAGCTACAGTAAACTCCACTTATAACGATATTGCTTATAAGATAATTTCATTTTAATATGTTTGCATTGCATTTCATTCCATAAAGGGCGTCTCGGGTCGGCGCGGACGCCAATAATGATATACCGCTTTTAACATTATGCCGTTGCCACCGTCCTGACTTTTTGTTTTCAAAATGGCTGCCTCTCAGATATACGATATTCGGATGTAACGATATGAATTGGGCATTCTCCTGAATAACATTACAGGCGGAGTTTACTGTTTATGAATTAAATAGACTGATAAGTTGCCAATCAAAACTGAATTGTATGACTCCCTTTATTATGAGGCATATGATGCATGCACAGAGGGTAATGTTGAAACAGACTATAACAGAGTATTGAAGAAACATAACAAATATATTGAGTGAGACAAAACATTTTCCAATGAGATACAAGTAATAAGGCTATTGGGACATACATGGAAAGGAGTGACTAGATTTGACATGCAAGGGTAATGGTGAGGGTAGGGGGAGAGAACTCACATTGGATGAAGTATAAGTATCATTATGTATTAGTTTATCATTTTGACTACCGTCCTCTGTGTTTGTTATGTAATTAGTATTCTGTAAGCAGCAATAAAGATATAAAGAAAAAGAAACAGAATAAACAAATGACGTTACAATGTCAAAGCATCTTTATAAGCCTACATGATAATCTTTATCAAACAAAGTGCTAAATATTTTGGAACATTTTATATATGAAAAGTGCTTTAACTGATTATGAAATGTGCTTTAAATGATTACGAAATGTGCTTTAAATGATTCAATCTTAATGTTAAAGACATCATCATATTATCAAACTAGACAATAGTATTACCCTCATTTTAACCTCAAAAAGGATGAGAGCATTTTCTTAATATTTAAAATCATAATTCAAAGATATTTATATTTTATGGATATGATTAGAAAAAAGTTGTCTTTGATAAAGATCCACAAAAGTATAATGGCAAAAAATGGTTATATTCATAAATTGTATTTCTTGGTAAACTTAGCTTCAATGTATAGACATATGAAAAAATGAAAGCTATATTAAGCAAGATACACTAAAATCTATTCAGTGTTAGTAGCTTAACCGTCACCACAAGCAAAAAGTATTTAATAATATACAAAGGGTCAGTAAAGTAGTCCTACATATGAAAATGTCATACTGCCTTACCTTTTCTCTCATGGCAGCCAATGAGTCCAGATCTTCCTTCAGTTTTCCAATCTGTTCTAAGAGCTCAGCTGGAACACCTTTTATCAAGATATATATAATCATTATTAACAGGCATTTCATCTAACACATAAATCGCCTAAAGGGCCCCACAGATTAGGAACGCAGCGGTCAGCGGCCAGGTTAGTCTTTACGCAGGCATTATGAGTACAGAACATTTTAATCCCTTACTATGTTGAGTTCCTGTAGCGGACATGTCACCCAAAGCATATGGTAATTCTCTGTTTTTAATGTCTCTATCAGAGATTGAATTGTTTCAACATTAGATTAAATTGTTTCAACTTATGAAAGATTTTTACTATTGTACCCAGTCTTTTTGTCTTCACAATTTGTGTGAATAATAATAATAATAATTTTTGTTTAGATTAATTGATTTAAAAAAATTAGAGGAATTGTGTAAATGTTATACTTACCAAGACCTTCTAGTGCAGACTTGTCTAATTTGTTCTTCAATTCTTCCTACAATAGATAATTAAAATTTTTATCATGATATTTACAGTAAGTTTTGTTTCAATTGGGTTTTGTCAGAATTCAAACCCACAGCGATGGGGAGCTTGCGTAGTAAGAAACAATTATCATAGTATCAATAATAAATAAAGCAATCAACTTTTTAATTGTCTATGAACTTTAACATTGATTATAATTTTAAATAATAAAATACTTCAGAATAATTAGTTATATTTATATCACAGTTTGTTCACCAGTTCAGTAAATTGTTCAGGCTATAAAACTCTACAGCCTCAGTACCCTAAACATACTGTTCAACATTTCACCTTAAATATATGACCTTTATACAGTTCCCAAATGACCATTTTTAAACTGTTGTCAAGTGCTGATAGTTTTACTGCCATTTTATTAGCATAACTTTATAATGAATGTATATCTGTATACCCAAAATATTGTTTTTACTTCAATAATTCAATGTTCATCAAATAAAAAAACTCTTAACCTTATTCTAGCATGAAGAAATTAATGTGGCGAAACGGGAACATTTTTTGATGTACACTAACCTCAATGTCATCGACTCTCTTCTTCAAGGTCATATGATCACTGTCCAGTTTGCCGAGTCTCTCGAGGATTTCCAGCAGTTGTTCCGAGGGTCCGGGTGTGCTCATCCTCGACACTGGTCTAGATGACCCTGGTCTTGAGGGCTAAAATATGTTAAAAAGTTTGTTGTTGTTTTTTTTTTAACAAATCCCTTTTTTTATATCATAATAATAATGAAATTGTTTAGTAAAATATACATGCAAGTTATACTTTTAATATTACATCTTTCGTTGAACAATGATACAGTACTGTACATAGTTTGTGTTTTTTTTTCTTCTTTTCACCTACAATTCTTATTGCCCCAAATACCAAATTTGCCTAATTTCTTTTAGTGTTTAACCCTTAATTTTTCTTTAGTCTGCTTGAACTGACTGAGATAAAGCTTTTGCCACCAGTATAGACTATAGAGCTATGCCAGCCTGCACTTTCTTACAGTCTGACCAGGCTCTATACTGCTGATGGACCAATCTAAGATCATCAACCTGATATCCCCATAATTAATAATGTACAGTTCTAAAATAAAAACTGGAAATTTCTATTTCAGAAATTCAGCAGGCTAAGGGCTAAACTGTCCATAATTTACATAAAGAAAAAAATCAAAAGAAAAAAGAAACTTCCTTATGTACTAACTGTAAACACACATATTTTGTATATATCGTTTTGTTGACATAGACATATATTTTTGCCTAATCACTCAAGTATTATTTATTTTTTAATTCATTATAGTCTCATCTATTCATGTTCACATATATCCAACACAAACATAAAAACATGATAAACATGAATAAAATATGAACAGCCATTCTATATAGAATTCCAAGAGAGTTTTATCTTAACATTAAAAAGGAAAAAGTTCAAGTATTTAACATTGTAACAAATAACACAAGATCCCTAGATTTTAAGAATAACATAACAGTGCTTAGATACAATACAGTATATTTAAGGACCTTAAAGATGAACAATATGTACCATTTCATAAAGAATCTCTGAGAAAAATAAAAAAATAAAACAAACCAATATAATTAAAAGTAGCTAGTGTGCAAATCGTATATTATTTCATAACAAATCTTAACATTCAGTGTGTTGGGCTTTCTTAAGTGATTCTAATTTTCTCTATTTCATAGGAAATGTTTGTACATGTATGCAGCATAAGTGAATTTTTTACTCAATGGTATGATTTGAAAGAATTTCACCAAGGGGAAGATGCCTTTTAATGGTCCATGCTATAGAAAGGGGAAAAAAAGACCTGAAAACTTTTTTGTTGGGACATTATTGAATAAAACTAATTGATATTTTTCTTTGTAATCCCATAAATCAAAATTTACACATTCAACAAAAAAATAGTTTGGTGAAACATGTCAGTTTTATAATGACCGAGTGAAATTTCAGACACACAACTATTTGATAATGATTGTGAAACAGTGTATTAAACCCTTGAAAAACGATTTATCATATAGAATAAATAAATTCGCAATTGATTAAATACAATAAAGTGTCGCATTCATCATGATCCAAGTGATTTAAGATGGATCGAAGACCTGTTATCAAACAAAGAGCGTGATTTAAAAATCACTATTGGTTACAATAACGCTATCTCAAACAACAAGTCCGCGATAATGAATTGCAACATGTGAAGTGCAAATGTTTAACGCATGAACCATCAATATATACTTGCTTACATAAGAAATGATTAAAAAAAATTTTTGACATTTTGCAAATTAAATGAAGTATCATTGAAGTCATTGATTATACAATAATTTTTTTCCAAAGAAAATTATTTAAACCAATTTTTAATTCTTTTAAATATGTTTCTTTATTCTAGGCTATTCAAACAGAGGAAACTTCATTTTTTTTAAATTTCAACTTAAGAGTTGCACTTATTGAAAGCAAGTCTTTTTAATGTATGAAAATATTTTAAAATATAAATGCCATAAGACTGTTCATTAACAGGAAACGTTAGGAGCGTAAAAAACTGGTAAAGGAAGCTTGAAGTTTCAATGATATAGCAATGTATCAGCTTTATGCTTATCATAGAAATAATTATCTTAGTGTTATAAAACATGAAATTTACTTTAAAATGAAATTATTTTTCACAATAACTTTCTCACGATTTATTGTTAAATCCTCATTAAAATAAAAATATAAGAAAAACAAAGTTTTTTTCTACGGGTAGAAAGTCAAGCTGGCACAGGAATAAGCACAGCTATTATGCTAGATAAAAGAACCCAGCCCAGTTTCAAGGGAAAATTTTTCCTTCACATTAAATACAGTGGGGGGAAAATAGAAAATTACAAAGCATTTACATTAATGAGACATGATAGTGAATGATTTGGCTTATGGAAAGGGATAATTTGATGATAAAACAACTGCCGTGAACAAATATACATTGTAAGTGACCAAGCATTGTCTACAAAACAATTTAAAGTACAGTGTCTTATCACCACATCTAGTAACAAGAAACATGGCAATGCCATGAAACCAGGTTTTCAATTATCACCATTGTAGATAAATATGTTGTATTTGAAATACAAATACAAGCAACAAACAATGTAACTATGTGCAATGTAAAACATGAATAATGTAGGAGGAATTGCCACTGAAGAAGTGTTCACTATAATATTATGTATAAGGAAAAAAACAAAGGGCCATAATTAGGTCAAAAACTATCCAATCACAAAACCCCGACAATATGTGCCATGGTGCTTGATGACAAAGCTTCTGTGAAAGTTTGAACAAAATCCGTTGAGAAATGTAGGACGAGTTCAGCACAGAAGAATTTGTTCACTATATAATTATATTGATAATTCTGTATAATGAAAAACAAGTTACAAAGTAGACATGAAATAATATATCATATCTTTTTTAAATTACCTCCAAAGATGATATGACCTTTGACTGCCAAATCAAGTTAAAATCATGTAAACAGGATTTTCAATGTTAATGTCACTGTGACCTTGACCTTGGAGCCAGCCATGCGGAACATGCGTTCTGCACGTCATCTTGATGTGGTAAACATTTGTCTGAAGTTTCATCAAAATTCTTCAAAGGGTTGAAGAGTTACAGAGCGGACAGGATTTTCAATGTTAATGTCACTGTGACCTTGACCTTGGAGCCAGCCATGCGGAACATGCGTTCTGCACGTCATCTTGATGTGGTAAACATTTGTCTGAAGTTTCATCAAAATTCTTCAAAGGGTTGAAGAGTTACAGAGCGGACACAATTTCGTTTGACGCCCGAAGTTAAAATCATGTAAACAGGATTTTCAATGTTAATGTCACTGTGACCTTGACCTTGGAGCCAGCCATGCGGAACATGCGTTCTGCACGTCATCTTGATGTGGTAAACATTTGTCTGAAGTTTCATCAAAATTCTTCAAAGGGTTGAAGAGTTACAGAGCGGACAGGATTTTCAATGTTAATGTCACTGTGACCTTGACCTTGGAGCCAGCCATGCGGAACATGCGTTCTGCACGTCATCTTGATGTGGTAAACATTTGTCTGAAGTTTCATCAAAATTCTTCAAAGGGTTGAAGAGTTACAGAGCGGACACAATTTCGTTTGACGCCCGAAGTTAAAATCATGTAAACAGGATTTTCAATGTTAATGTCACTGTGACCTTGACATAGGAGCCAGCCATGCGGAACATGCGTTCTGCACGTCATCTTGATGTGGTAAACATTTGTCTGAAGTTTCATCAAAATTCTTCAAAGGGTTGAAGAGTTACAGAGCGGACAGGATTTTCAATGTTAATGTCACTGTGACCTTGACCTTGGAGCCAGCCATGCGGAACATGCGTTCTGCACGTCATCTTGATGTGGTAAACATTTGTCTGAAGTTTCATCAAAATTCTTCAAAGGGTTGAAGAGTTACAGAGCGGACACAATTTCGTTTGACGCCCATCCGCCCATCCGCCCATCTGCCCATCCGCCCATCCGCCCGCCATACCCCAATCTAATAACCAGGATTTTCAAAATTGAAAACCTGGTTAAAAATTGAAATGGCACTAAATGGCAAAATGGCATACTTAATGAGTGGATCTTATTATATCATAAGCACACAAAGGGTCATAACTCTCCATCAAAACATTATTATACTGGATTTATTGAGTCTTGATTATTATTAAGCAATATACTGCATGCACTTGCATTGTTTATATATTTGTTTTGATGGATAATGCGCCAGTTTTAACCATTTTTTTTTCATTTTTTCAGTCAATAACAAACAAGCAGTTATGTAACAAGTGCTCATAGATTCTGAACATTCCCTACTGACTTCTTCATATAAATCATTTGAAACAGTGGTCAATTGTCACAGAAAACCACATGCTGCACAAATCTTTAAATTCAGCTATGAGCTTATTGCACTTCCTTAGTTGAGATAATACAGCACACGTGATCATTAAATCAACTGAAAAACAAAAAGGAGTAACTGAGGGAAAAATTAAAAAATCTGAAGAAATTACAATATTCCAATAAAAAATGAATTTTTGTTTCTTAAGATAAAACAAAAATTATAGTTCTAACAATAGACAGTGTGATATTGTATCCCTTCAATAGAAATGCCCTTACAATAGATTTCATTTAAGAAGGAAAATGGGCCATTTTTTGTTTTTGTTGCTGATGCTGAAGAAGTTGATGATGACCATGATGATTGTTCACGGTGATGATGATAATGATGTCATAATGATAAATGGTTATGATATCATGATGATGATGATAATGTTGATGATAATGATGAGGATAAAGAGGAATGATGAAAACAGTAATGATGATAACTGATTATGATAAGGATGAAAAAATAATTAGGATGACAATAATGGATAAGGATGGTTACAACGATGATAAGATTGGTTGTTGTCGTTGTTGTTGATGATGATGACGACTGCTGTTGTTGCTGATGATGATGATTACATGATGATGATTATGTTTGATCACAATGGGAGAAAATGGAGATGACAAAAGTGAATCACATTTTTACATCTATGCAATAAAAGATTTTTTTTTTAAAAAGTGTGCAATTTGACAATTTTTGTGCAACATACTTATAATATATATTTATATTTGAATTGACTATCATGCATGTCATGCTACTCATAGATATATACAATAACCGGTCTCATTTTAATACATTGTCTCATGTGATTTGATACATTCTTACCCTTATCCTATGAAGTGCTCGTTTTTCCTACAAATCAAACAGGTACATACAAACTACATGCAAACAAAACATGATAAATAAAAATCAAACGAAAAGAAATACTTTACATTTGTGCATCAAGTAATTGCAACAGTATAAGATATTGAAACAATTGAATTTTATCGCATCATGCAAAATGTGCGTTACTTACTCTGGTCTCACTTGATGGCCCATTAAGCGTTTTAGATGCCTTAAATAATTTGATGGGTAGTTATAAATAAAGTAAAGCTTATTTAGTGGGTAGTTATTATAAATTAAGTAAAACTTTAAATATACATTTAGTTTATTAAATGAACGAAAGTAAATCTTGAAAATAACAAAACTCAAAAATCTGCATAGTGGACATATTATTGACAATGCAATGCTTTGGCAAGCTTTGTTATTGCAAAAAAAAAAAAAAGAAGAAAAGAAATACAAAATTTTGAAATGTTCAATAGATATTGCTGAATGACGTAAAGTAGACAATATATATTGAAACTGAAATGAAGGTATATAAAACTTTGATATAACTTATTCACTATTCATTTCCCATGGCAGATTAATGAAATTTTCTGTAAGGAAAAAGGCTGGGCAATAAAGTTGATTTCAAGCTTGAACAATTAATGAGTTGGCATGCAATCGTAAATACGAACAATACCCTATTCTCAAAACCAAAAATGCTTAAATGAAAATCCAACAGAGTGGGTAGACATCGATTTTAGTTCAAACCGAGTGTTAACAACAATCAATGATCTCAAACAAGCATGCTTCTACCATTTTGCTTTAAAATTAAAATAACATGCTCTTTTTATATGTTTTTTTTCTTCATTCCATGCGATACAATATCTCTTTTTACCATCCTTACAAAATGATCGAACGAGGTAATTATCTCATTATCTCCCGAGGAGGACACTTGTCTCGGAACTAATATCTTGTTAAGTACATCATTGTTTGCGTAAGTATCTCTGTTAATACTTTGCTTATCCTAAAATTGAGAGGTGACTGATATACAAATATAGACATGTTTGTTTGGGGGGAATGTAACTACCCTGTTTTGTAAAAAAATCCACTGCAGTCTACATTTTTGTACTTTACGCGTTGTTTGTTAATTGGTACAAGCTATGAATCTTCTTTCATCGAGAAAAATTGACATAGCAGTTCTACTATATATGGAAAAGTTTATGCTGTTCATATTGCCTAAAATAGAATGTACCAGTAAAATATATATAAAAAGAAAGAGATAAACTACTAATAATATGACTTTTCTATTTATCTACGACATTATACATGTATATTCACATGGTAAAATAAATGCTGGAAACTAGTGTATGTTTGTGGAAAAGTGTAGTTCAATGGCTTCCACCAAAAAAAAATCACCATAACCCAAAAATTTCTAAGGATTTACCACTTGGTCGTAACTTTTTACTTTGTTTGATACACTGCCAGTCTTAAATTTACCAGAAAATAAATTTCAATTATACATTATTGTTAAAATTAGTATATTAATATGAAAACATAATTATTAGTACACAAACATCGCAGAATTGACTCAATAAAGTGGCTTCTCAAACAACTTTAAAAACTAGTTAAGTCAGCTTCATTATTAAATCTCAATTCTTTTTAACAATAATCAAATAAGCCAAACACAATCAAAAATGAAAAAAAAACAACAACAAAAACAAAAAAACAGTTATTTGCTGTTTTTAGACATGCTTCAAAACGCAAATATTAATCAAATAGAATCAAGTTTCTTTTAAATTCTTTTCATGTATACTGCAAGCCTTACATTTATAAGTTTTCTCTGAAAAAATAGAAAACATCAGTGTGTCAAAACTTTGCATGATTACTACAATATTGCTGAAAAGACATTATGTCGCCACAGTGCAATAACTGATTAACTCCTATTAAATTAAGAAGGACTTATTCTGTTAATGCACTAAGGTGCCGATTAAAGTTACCTAAACTACTGTATAACCATCCCCAAAAAACATCAAAAAAATGTTGCTTGGTTAACAATAAAGCTTTGAAAAGTATAAAAGACAAAATTTCTTCATTGAGAAAAACTTTGGTTAAGCCAAGCCTACTCTAAGCTAAATTTACTACTATTGCTTTTTGCTACTTGCAGGTACATGTATTTTGTTTATTTTCTTCTGTTTTGCTGATGTTTATATTATTAATCACATACCTATTCCACTTCTTTGACTCATTAAAAATGGTATTGAATGGCCATGCATGTATATTGACTTGATGTCTTTGTTTGTTTGTTTCATTTAATTTTTTTAGGCCTTTTTCCAATGTTCAGTGTTTCAGTCATGTAGGCGGGTAGTTTCCTAACCATCGTTCCTGGAGAGTTACACCAGTACTAGATTACCTTCCTCCGCGCTAAACTACCAAAGCATCTCCCGGGGATCAAACCCACGCCAGAGAGGTAACTGGATTAGAAGTGATCGACTAAAACCTCGACCACGGAGGCGGTTCAACTTGATGTCATTTGCATTATGTACAAACACAACAGAAAGACAAGGCCTTCATGTTAAGTTAACCGCGGCAATTAAGAAAGTGATATTCTTTTTAACTGTAAGCAGTTCTTATTTTGGGTATGTGATAAATAGAAGTATTACATTCATGTATCTTCATTACTAAATTTATTGAATTCATTGAATAAAAAAAAATTATGGTCGCCACGGGCTAGCACAATTTAATTTCATTCAACTTGTTCAATAAATGCAGTATTGAACGACTCATCCAATATCCTCTATTTATTTCTTGGTTTTTGTTGATTGATCAATCTTGCTTACAATAATCAGCAAACTGGCAAAGAAGGACTAGATTACTAGTATATAGATTTACAATACATTCCAAATAACATCAATTAAAACTCTCATAAATATATTACATGGCATGATAAATAGAATGCTCAGATGTTTCCATTAAAGGCCCCATAAAAGTTTTGTGCTCCTCTTTTTCTGTATTTTTTCCCTTCTTTCTAATCACAGAAATTAATGTTGTATAAATAATTCACTAGCACATTTTCCTTTCAAAAAGATAATACATGAATAAATATTGCTTAATGACGACTGTACATCTCCAAAATAAACCATTATTTTCAATCTTAAAATTAACCTTAAAAAGAAATATAGTGTTAAATGGTTATCTATTGAAAAAAGTTGAAGGTTTTACTGCTTTGGCTTTGTTAAATACCATTAATAAAAACTTTCTCTCAGTATCCTGACAAAAGGCTATAACTAGAAAGAATGATCTTTTTACATCCTTTTGCATACTCATGTTTTGCTTTTTTACATATTTTTTTCAAAAGCAAGATGAGATAAAAAAGCCCCAAATATGTTGTCTGCATATCTAAATTTGTATTATCAACTAACATAACTTCTGCAAAAAAAATACATTTTAATGATATGAGCCAATTAACACCCAATCATGATTTGTCACCTTAGTGCAGTAACAGGTTAACTCCTATTGAATCTAATACAAGTTAACCCATTTCAGCACTAAGGTGAGAAATTGTACAAATCTTTGCTATGTTTATTGACAAATGCTTAAATTTATGTTGAGAAAAAAAAAAAAATAAGACTCACTGGTTCCGTTTGACTAGACATTTCAATGACAGTTCTCTCAGCCGGGGTCAAATCCTCCCGTATTCCCTTCAGTGCGTCTTCTAACGCTGGCCATGTTACAAATGTGCTGAATTCCTCCGCAGTAGGAAGCTGGCTAAATTTCTCGTTGAGCTCTTTCTGATGGTTTAAAAATAGAACACATTCCAATAAAATATAATTATAAGGTGATTTATTAGCCTATTGGGTCCCCAGGTGTATTTGATATGAAAAATAATTTGATTTGTAACATATGGTTTACATAATTATGTCACTATAATGAATAAGTTTCTTACCTACTAATAAAAATATATCTTTACTATTGTCATTTATTTTATTTTGAAGCAATATTGAAATAAAAAAAAAATCTAGAATACATTTTATACTTAATTCTCATTAATACTGGCATTCCCAAACCTATCACTTTAATTTTCTTTTTTTTTGCAGTCAATTTTTTTGTAATTATAATTGTTCATCTACGCTTATTGTGTTTATTTGATATAAGCTATGTATTTTGATTAAAATGCTTAAGAGTTCTATCACCCATGTATTACTGAATTTATTATTTAACCTGCTAGCAGCAACTAAGACTATACCCATTTGACCACTGCAGACTGAAAGTCATTTTTCGTGGTATGCACTGTGTGCTCTTCAGTCAGTAAATATTTTACCTAAAATGTATGAGTGGTTAAGGCCATTTAAGATGCTTAGCATGGTAATGATTAAAGTAAGATACATATTTTACATGGGTATAAAGAACACATCCCAAGGACAAGTCCTAATTGTGCTTTATTCTACTACAAGTATATCCATTTTAATTATGTTCTTATACTATAAATGGTTGTGTAATAGAAACAGGTTTTAGATTTCAGTGTACTTTTCATTGATCAATATCAAAGATTATGTTGATGAAACATTGTTTGATAAAAGCAACATTAATGTGCCTATACCTATGCAACATATAATTATAGAATCTGGCCAGAAACTGCTCCCATATTTTATCAACTTAAAAACAGACCAAACCAGAGACTTTTTTAAATATAGCTCTGTGACCAAATTGTCCAGTTGATAACAGTTTCATGGTTTTTATGGACCATTATTTTAGCATAAAGCCCCTAATACCCCTGAGATTCTTTATTTGACTCATCTGATATTTTGAGTTTACTGGTTGGAGTGAAGGTGCATGATATTTGATTGACTGATTGATGGATTAATATATGAGCCGCGTCACAACGCATCGGCACAGTCTGATCAGGATCCATGCTGTTCGCTATCAGTTTCTCTACTTGTAGCTATCAGTATGGATCCTGATCAGACTGCACGGATGCGCAGGCTGGTCTGGATCCATACTGGTCGCAAATGCACAAAGTTGGTTTTGTCATGCCGCAGCTCATATAAACATTTCTATCCTGAAATGCCTCCAAAGATGTATTTTTGGTCATATGGCAACTAACCAGAGTTAGCACCAACTTAAATTGCCAATCAATTGTTTTCTATATATAAGTCTATCAATTTATCAAAATACATACTAATATATTTGTTTAAAATAATATTTATTGTACACAGTTTTTTAACATTCTTATTAAAAGACCTTCTTACTTTGTATTTATTTATAATATTTGCTTTAAATTAATAAAATTTTTAAATACATTAAAAACTTAGAAAGTAAAGGGAGGTAATAACATGCCTTCACATGTAGCCATTTTTTTTAAATAAAAAACTACTAAAACTTTTTACTTAAATAAAATGAAATAAAAGTACTAATTCAACAGATAATGGTGAAAATCGATTGTTTAACAATTTACTTCTATACTTTCTAAAAACATAGCTCTTCAACTTTTAAACAGAAATAGAGTTAAGGAATGACATTGTATATTTTATAATCTATTATGACGTTAATCTATTGACAATGGTAACATGTACACCGGGGACAAATCGATAAACAAGTTAACATGATTTTTCGTCAATATTAAACTGATTAAAGGCACCCTATATATAAAACATAGATTATTTTGCATAAGATTAATGTATCAAGGTCACCCGATTGTAAAACTATCTGACACCTGTCAAAAATCACACAGTTTAAATTACTGCAGCTCTATTCAGGTCATTTAATTTAAAGCGGCACTTATATTTTTTTAAAAGAGTTCTCCTACATAAAACTTATATAATAACAAGTAAGAAATCTTAACGGTGGAAAACAAGTTAAGTTAGATATAAGATTCACATGTAAAATTTATGATAAAACAAGGATATATATGAAATAAATTAAACTTGTAATCGTTTAAATTGTGATATGGAAATGGCATAAGTCGTTAATTAATGACTAATGCAATCTGTCAAATTGTATTTATATATTCCTGAAGCTTAAGAAATTTAAATTAAAAAGTCGCAAAAACCATGGGCTATAATTAAACAAAAACTGCACTATTTCAACTGAAAATTTAAGATTTCAGACCAAATAACTTTTAAAATTCATGACAACAACAACAAGTTTTTATTAATTCAGGTTTTAAAAAAAACAACAACCTATGTTGTGATTTCATTGTTGAACATTAATACAAGATTCCAGCTGTAGAAATATATCTTCGTAAAATGCAAATTTTGTAGATCTTTTTATGTTAAACACATGTTTCTCATACATTTATTAATCGAGAACTACTGCATCTCTGAACTGGGGCACTGAGTCTTTATTTTATTCTTCAAAAGTTACTGGATATTATGGCTTGACTATGCCCACAATATAAGGTACTTGCAGACTGACTGGACCTATTCTAATATTAAGCAATCTGATAATAAAGAATCCCCCCCCACATCATAACTGACATAGGTCTAAAATGAGGCTATAATCAAGGTTGTGAAGAAACATGACTTTAACAAAGCATATATATCAGAAAATTTATAAAATTAGCTTCATTTCAAAAATTTTTTCTTCTTAAAATCCTTATTGATATAAAATAGATCTCCCTCAAATAAAATGCACAAACCCCTACACAATAAGCACTTTCCTTGACTGTTTCTGACTTTATGTGATGTCTCTAGACTTCAAGTAATCGCTGGATGTTGCTCAAAACAGTATTTCATTGGCTGAATCAGTTTTTAAAAAGTAAAAGATCTTCACACAGTGGAAAGTACTTTTCTATGTAAGGGTCATGCTTTTTATTTGAACAAAATCCATTTGGTGTTATAGAAGATATTCATGAATTGGTGCTACATTTTCAGTTCTACACTTTATCCAAAACGTCATGTAGATGGCCACCCTGATATGAGCCGCGATACGACAAAACCAACATAGTGATTTTGCGACAAGCTTGGATCCAGACCACAGTCTGGATCTGCGCAGTCTGATCAGGATCCATGCTGTTTGCTATCAGTTTCTCCACTTGTAAAAGGGTTGGTAAGCGAACAGCATGGATCCTGATCAGACTGCGCGGATTTTAGTAAGGATGAAGCATTTGTAAGACATGGGAATTAGCTGTTCATCCTATAAAATTTTACAGCTGTTGGTTGATTAATACTTAAATTATTAATAATGACCTTAACCTTTGACCTTGTGATCCCAAAATAAATAGGGGTCTTCTACCTTATATGGACAATCATCCTAAGAAGTTTGAATATTGTGGGCCAATTGGAACTTTAATTATGCTCTAGAAACTGTTTTCAGTATTAAGGTAAAAGTGACTTTGACCTTGTGACCCAAAATCAATAGGGGTCTTCTACCCAATATGGACAATTATCCTATGAAGTTTGAATATAGTGGGCCAAATGGAACTTACGTTATGCTCCGGAAACTGTTTTTTGGTTTTAAGGTAATTGTGACCTTGACCTTTGACCTAGTGACCCCAAAATCAATAGGGGTCTTTTGCCCAATATGGACAATCATCCTATGAAGTTTGAATATTGTGGGTCAAATGGAACTTAAGTTATGCTCCGGAAACCAAATTGCTAACGGACGGACAAACGTACGTACGTACAGACGGACGGACGGCAGACAGACAGACAGACAGACAGACGGACGCAAGGGGGTATAACATAATATGCCCTTTCGAGCATATAAAAAAGCACACTTACTGTGATATTCTCTAATTGTGCTAATCTTTTCTTTAAGTCATCAAGGTTTAACTGCAAAAACAAAGTATATTTATAAATAGATACAATTATAACCATTAATTAATCACATAAGTGATAACGTCTTAACTTTCTCTCTCAAATTAACAATTAAGACTATAGAAAAAGCAAGTGTTATCATTAAAGGGAAAATATGGGGATAGATTTTGTCCTTGTTTTCTCTATTGTATCACTGCATTCTAATAAATGCACCTAAACAATGGTGCAACAAGAACGATTTTAAAAACATCAAAAATGTCGCCTGAACAATATACAATATTTTACCACATATTTTCTTAGCCTTTATGTGTATCCTATGTTGTGTAGACACTTTCTTATAATCGCCAACACATCAACCAGTCAGGCTAACATTTTTACATATAAATATTTAATATGCTCAAAAAGTAATTAAGCGTACTGTTGTGTCAGAGCTCTTCCAGGCTCACTGATACAAGAACAAATATAGATACAGAAGATATATAACCTTTATCACACACTCATGCCGCTTTTGCAACTCCGTGAAAATGGTATTGCACAGTCATGCATATATTTTGACGTTATGTCATTTTTGTTATATTTTTGTGTAATGATGCGCTAAATGTAAGCATTACACTATAGGCGCGACAATGAAAGAATGATTCTTTTTCACTTTATAGTCTTTATTTTGGGTATGTGATAAATAGAATATTATATTTGTGTAGGTTCATTACTGAATTTATTGAACTTGTTGAATAAAACAATATTATGCTCGCCATAATAATAACAAGTTTTTTACCAGAGTAACAAGTTGACTATCAATATTACTTTTCCTTTAAGTTGTCCTGAGAAGTTTTTTTGCATCTTTTAAAACTTTCACCTTTCATCATATTTAATCAGTGAAAAAAATAAAAAAAACAACATAAAAAAGTATAAATTTTTATTTAAAAATTTAAACAATTTTTATACATTAAAAAGAAAACCAAGGTTTTTAAAAAATTTTTAAATTTAGTAACTCTTTTTTTCTTAATACATTCAGAGGGTTCCAAAAAAACACGAAAGGGCGGGGACCACTTTTGACTTTTCTTATTTCTTTTTAAACACATTGAAGAAAGATTATTGCAGTAAAAAATACTCCTAGAAAACATTTCTGTTTTAAACAAATGAGCCGTGCCATGACAAAACCAATGAGTGTGTTTGGGACCAGCATGGATACAGATCAGGATCCATGCTGTTCGCTTACAAACCCTATTACAAGTAGAGAAACTGCTAGCGAACAGCAGGCTGGTCTGGATCCATGCTGGTCGCAAACGCATTATGTTGGTTTTGTCATGGCGCAGCTCAAATTATAATTCAAGTTTAATACTTGACTCGAGGGTGACTGTAGCAATATCTCTTTTTTTCTTTGAAAAAGTCGAGCTAAAAATTGTATGAAAATGTAATAGGCAACTTAAATGTGTTATGTATTTATGTTTACAATTACACAACCTTTTTGCTACAAATATTACAATTTTAGTTATTTGTAATAAAAATGTATTAACCCTTTTCACAAAATTTAATAGTAAAGTGGACTAAAGTTGAGGCTAACAGCAAATGGAACTCTGTTGAGTGGCTGCTAGTTTTTTCCCTCTTATATTGTAAGGTTAAAATATTAAACTTATTCAAATAAATAAATAACATGATTTTAAAGAGACTGTCATGAACTTCAGAATATCCTAATTCTATTGTTATTTCAGAATGTGATAGTCATACTGTAACAAACTTTCTCACAATTCTTATTTCAACATTCTTTTGGTGTTATACCTCAAATTTAATAAAAGTTTAATTTATTAAATGTAGATCAGTGCAATTGGAATTTATAACACAATGCTGATAAAGAAATGAATGTTTTTCAACTTATTTTCACAATAGAAAGTGTTTTCTTATCAACTCAACAATGTCTTTTTTTTGTTTTAGGTAATACAGTATTCTAATACAATAAGCTTATTTTAGCTGTTTAGTTTATACAGAATTTATTTTAGTATGATTGTGTTGTAAGACATACAATAAAACAATGGCTTGCCCCTGGCAAGGTTTGAACATTATGAGGCTTAAAATCCTTACCATTCTGACACATACAAACTTGCCATGCCGCTATGCTCTTTTAAGAAGCAAATTAGTTCTTGAACTGGTGAAGTATAGGGTATTAAATTTTGCTTAGACCAATTAAACCATAGACTCACAGTTGGTTTAAACATATTTATTTAAGCTTGATTGAAAAACAAGTTCTTGCAACTTATATTAATCACTTTCGAAACCACTTCCTGGAACCAACCAGTACTGGTGTCATATGAAGAAACATGGTTGTGACTTGAGTAGGGCTCGAACCCATGATCTGTGGGTTGAGAGGCAGACACCTTAACCAATTTTATATTAATATGCTTAAAATTATAAGTCTCTATCAGGCTGACAACTAGCTTAACCAATGCTTAAAATAGTTCTTGATCAATCACTGTTCTTCAGTCTATTTTAATCACTAAACCACACCTTGAAATAGGCACGATGTGACTTCATTTACATAAATCTTCATAGCTCATTTGCATTTTAATTGAATCCTGTATCTGATGTTATATCAAATGTACAAATTGGAATGTGAACAGTCAAAATGTTTCTTTTTCATCGAAAGTTATCTGGTTAGAACTGAGATTTTTCAGTCAATTTATGTCAAACAAATTATCATATCAATTAGCTTTGTATATAAATTTGCCAAAACATTGAATAAATGAGTTATAATGGGTGTTTTGCAAAACTTATAAATTCTTATCTTTTTCTGAATTTAGGATGGGTGTAACTTTCCACAATGAGTATGGGAGTAGTTTCACAACAATGTTAAGATCATACATGGCTACTTAAAGGGACTCCACTGAGGTTTTTTTGACATGACTGGACTTCAAATAATTTTTCAGTCATTTGGTGTAGGTCTTGAACTTTCAGATCATTCTTTCATTCCATTTATCCAGCATAATCATTATTAATGTGAAAAGTGACTCAAAATTTAACTCAAATTTGGCTAGAAAAATCACAAAATACAAATTTCAACTTATTACGGAGTATTACTTCTTAATTATCTTTTGCATATCTTTCTATTTCATTTACCTAAGCTAATCTTTGAAAGAAATTAAATTTTATGTTCTTAGGCTTTTTGATGTCAGTGGAGTTCCTTTAAGCTTCACTACAAGCTTAAGCCTTTTTAAGGAAACCTGAGGCCCTTCTATTTCATTTACCTAAGCTAATCTTTGAAAGAAATTAAATTTTATGTTCTTAGGCTTTTTGATGTCAGTGGAGTTCCTTTAAGCTTCACTACAAGCCTTAAGGAAACCTGAGGCCCTTTTGAGATTTTATATTTCAGGTACAAGCAGCCACCCTTGTAGATCCAGTAGCCTGTCTATAACCTCTATGGCTTCCTCACATTAAACAATTAAATGTACCATAAAGATTTAAAGACCAGGACTTATTCTTTAGTATCCAGTTTTAAAACTCATTTGTTCAGCTGTAAAATTTCACAATCTGTTTTTATTCGATTATAGCAAAGAATTATTAAGCACCCCTTTAAATGCAAAATGGTTTGCTTATACAAGCTACTATCAATAAAGATTATTGATTTTCATCTAAAAGGTCTAAATGCAAAGATTTATATTTGAAAAGAATTTTAATTATTTATGATCCGGAAAGAATTTCTATAAGGGCCAAGTTTTGGTATACAAATTCAAACACTGTACGCCCAATTTAGTTAATATAGAAGTTGATGCACCACACCAATCCGTCAAAACCGTCTAATTTATAAGGATCTTGTAACTTTTATTACAAAAAAAATACTGTTACTAAATCGTTATATGACACCAAAATTTCTGACATATAAATTTAACACTTATTCACTGAAGCAATGAAAAATAAGAGTATAATATTTCAACCAGACTTAAATTTAATTGATTTTAAAGGTGTCGTAACTAAACAGTTTTACAATGTATACTGCTTGGCTTTAATTTATTAGGTTTTCAAATGAACTAGTCATGAGTTACTGTATCCATTTCATCAATTTCTTGGTAGTTCATGAACTTTTGCTTTATAAAATGAACATAAATAATTCAAAAACTAAATTGTTTACAGAATTTCCATGTCTCAATTGCACTTGACTTGCTCTAGACAGATTGAAATAGTTCCAGAACTGCCGCCCCCTTCAAACCCCCCAAACAGAAGGGGGCACATCCCCCTTCTGGCAACCCCCTGATGTAACATTTGGATGGGTGACTGCGCCGAAAAAGTGGTCACTTTTCTAACAACATTTCTCTCAAACGAAAAACAGTGTTTGGGGCCTAGGGTTGTGCGGATTAATGTTAGTTACTTAGCTTTTAGATATTGAAACCCCCTAACATGATAATGATTAGTTCCAAGTTGACAGCAGTGGAGCAAGTCCATTATACAAATATAGGGGATTAAGGGTTTAGCAAAGTTATAACCAGGTCGTCTTATTAACTAAATCATTTGAGTCATCTTAAACTGTCATAAAATCTGACAAATATTGATATAAAACTATTTGAGTAATATTAAACAGTCAAATAAATATATAAATTGGCCAAATGATCAAACATTATGCCTGAATGGCACTGTTTAAATGTACTCAGATCAAGGAGGATAACAGCTTCATGTAAAAGCAAGCATATTTGTTCTTAAAAATATTTAAATATTAAATATCTATTCCCTATCATCTATTTTTTATCACATTATGACATTATATCATATATAATAATATAAATTTGTGACATTCACCATACCTAATAGAGCTTTTTGTGTTATAAACATCAGCTTATCTTTTATATATAATAATCAAGCTTAACACAAAATATTGTCGGCAGATTACATTATATTAGATATAGAGATTAGACCTTAACCTGCCAAATTTCTGAATAGACTAATGCCCAGCTTCCATTTTAAGAATATTTCGTTTTTGGTACATTTGTATATCTGGTAAGTCAGCCAAAAGTATAGTCTGGTTGTGCAGGCTCGCCATTGCACTAGACAAGTGGCAAAGGCCAATCACTTTCATTAAGACGAGGAAGCTGTTGATAAATTATAAATAATAGATGGTTTAAATTAAAAGAATGTAAAAATAGTGAAAGACAATGAGTACTTGAATTGATATATCAAACTCACTGATCAATAATTAGGCATTTACTTGAAAGATTTATAAACAGTTTAAAAATTCAATCAGGACGAGGTCATCTTTGTCCCAAAGTGTCACACCTCGATATATACATAGTTCTTATCGGTATCGACAGAAAGGGATAATATCAGGTTAGAGGTGTGTTATGTTTGAGGGGACAGAATAAGAGCTGTGTGTGTGTGAGGAGGGGAGGGGGGGGTAAGAGAGAAAACATTCTAAAATTATATTTTACTAAAAAATAAGTTTCAATGAATATGTGAACAATGTGATACATTACACCGACTCAAAACAAAAGACTTTGCTAGGATTCTCTCTTAGGTGCAAACTTAATTAGAATTTCACAGCATCAGCTATTTATACTCAAGAGAAGAATGTCCTGAATCATTTCAATATAATGAAGACTCCCATGATGCCCATTAAATATTTATGTGGATTTCACCAAGGAAATAATGGTGTATCTTGAATGTAAATGAAATTTTCTCATTATTCAGTCACTGAGGGTGATTTGAAATCAAAGAGCCATGGCATTTCTCCTTGACAACTGATTAATAAAAATTTTCTATAACACAGCATCATTGCTTATTATACAGGCATGTTTCTCTACTGCTTCTACAGCTTGAAAACAATAATCTGCACAACCTGTGTATTGAAAAGATCAAAACGTATCATTTTCTTTAATATACATTACATGTAATGTAGGGTTTGTTGTTGTTATGTTATTTTCTGTTGGGGAATAAAAAAAATCATAAATTAGTACTCAGGGTGTGATCACCTATCCACTTTGTGATTCAAAGTGTAATAGCCTCAAAGGTTTTCTAACAACAATTGTATTCCTAACAAAGATGGTGCCATAAAAGTTGCTTGGAACCCAACTTTCTGCAGATTTTATAGCTAGATGAGAATGATAAACAAGAGGGCCATGATGGCCCTGAGGTCGCTCACCTGTATATAGCCCCCCCACCCCCGGGCCAATTTTTACCCAAGGGCTTTTATTTGTTTATTTGAACAGACTTGGTAGACACCTATAAGAAGATGTTTCATGCTAAACATCTAAGTTCTAGCTCATTGGCTTTTTTAAAAGATGATTTTTAAAGTTTTTGCTATACACATATAAGGAAAATCAATGACCCCCAGGGCGGTGCCAATTTTGACCCCAGGGCTTTTATTTGAACAAACTTGGTAGACACCTATTAGAACATGTTTGATGCTAAATATCTTAGCCATAGCTCTTTGAGTTCTTTAAAAGAAGATTTTTTAAGTTTTTAATATATGCATATAGGGAAAATCAATGATCCCCCGGGGTGGGGCCAATTTTGACCCCAGGGCTTTTATTTGAACAAACTTGGTAGACACTTATTAAAACATGTTTCATGCTAAATATCTTAGCTCTAGCTCTTTTGGTTCTTTAAAAGAAGATTTCTTAAGTTTTTACTATATGCATATAGGAAAAATCAATGACCCCCGGGGCGGGGCCAATTTTGACCCCAGGGCTTTTATTTGAACAAACTTGGTAGACACTTATTAGAACATGTTTCATGCTAAAAATCTTAGCTCTAGCTCTTTTGGTTCTTTAAAAGAAGATTTTTAAGTTTTTACTATATGCATATTGGGAAAATCAATGACCCCCCGGGGCAGGGCCAATTTTGACCCCAGGGCTTTCATTTGAAGAAACTTGGTAGACACCCATTAGAACATGTTTCATGCTAAATATCTTAGCTCTAGCTCTTTTGGTTCTTTAAAAGAAGATTTTTTAAGTTTTTACTATATGTATATAGGGAAAATCAATGACCCCCCGGGGCGGGGCCAATTTTGACCCCAGGGCTTTTATTTGAACAAACTTGGTAGACACTCACTAGAAGATGTTTCATGCCAAATATCTAAGCTTTAGCTGTTATGGTTTTTTAAAAGAAGATTTTTTAAGTTTTTAGTATATGTATATAGGGAAAATCAATGACCCCCGGGGCGGGGCCAATTTTGACCCAAGGGCTTTTATTTGAACAAACTTGGTAGACACTTATTAGAACATGTTTCATGCTAAATATCTTAGCTTTAACTCTTTTGGTTCTTTAAAAGAAGATTTTTTAAGTTTTTACTATATGCATATAGGTAAAATCAATGACCCCCCTGGGGCGGGGCCAATTTTGACCCCAGGGCTTTTATTTAAACAAACTTGGTAGACACCTATTAGAACATGTTTGATGCTAAATATCTTAGCCATAGCTCTTTGAGTTCTTTAAAAGTAGATTTTTTAAGTTTTTACTATATGCATATAGGGAAAATCAATGACCCCCGGGGCGGGGCCAATTTTGACCCAAGGGCTTTTATTTGAACAACCTCGGTAGACACCCATTAGAACATGTTTCATGCTAAATATCTTAGCTCTAGCTCTTTTGGTTCTTTAAAAGAAGATTTTTTAAGTTTTTACTATATGTATATAGGGAAAATCAATGACCCCCCGGGGCGGGGCCAATTTTGACCCCAGGGCTTTTATTTGAACAAACTTGGTAGACACTCACTAGAAGATGTTTCATGCCAAATATCTAAGCACTAGCTCTTATGGTTTTTTAAAAGAAGATATTTAAAGTTTTTTTCTTTTGGTTGCCATGGCAACCAGAGTTCTGCATGGAATTAAATTCTTTGAACAATTTTTAAAGGTGACCACCAAAGGAACATTCCTGTGAAGTTTGGATGAAATTGGCTTAGTGGTTTATGAGGAGATGTCATTTAAAGTAAAAGTTTACGGACGGACGGACGACGGACAGACGCCGGACGAAAAGCGATCACAAAAGCTCACCCTGTCACTTTGTGACAGGTGAGCTAAAAATGCCTTGTAGAAAATGTTATTCTTGCTTTTTTTACCTCAATTCATTTTCATCAATTGACAGCATGACATAAAACATTCCATCTGATTCATTTCATTTGATCAATATAAAGTGAGATAAAATCAAGCTTAATTGTGACTTCAATTTTCCTATTTACCCCGCACTACTGTAGTGAGTTTATGTAAGAGACAGTCGACAATGATTTCAAATGATTCAAAATAAATAACTGAAGCCTGAAACCAGCTTCACTTCTACTTGATTAATCATTAGTTGGATCAATATTGAAAATTCAAATTCAAGAATATTTAATCTTATCACTTATTTGAAATTGTAATAAATACTTGCATTATGTTAATACCTTCAAAATACACAGAGACTGTAAAAAAAATAGTGTCAGTCAGATTTGTTTTAAGACATTTCTTTTATCAGAAAAGCTTGTCTGTATATAATCTGATCAGAGAGTTTACAAATTGTCATGGACCATAGCTACCCCACGTAGCTGTTCAATTCAAACAAGATAGGACCATCTTTTAAACATTTCAATGACATTTCATTTTCACCTACTTCAACACTTTCATTTGATTTATACACAGGATAAACAATTAAATTGACTTTCCTTCAATCTAACAATTTTAATCTTCTTGTTTTTCAAGTGTTAATTTACATTGAAAAACATCTGAATAAAACACCCTCTTGTTGAAATGTTGATAACTTTCAATCCATTAGTTGACTCTTGGACCACTCTGGCAAAAAGGTATTTTAGTATTAATTATATGTCAAAGAAATCACAGAAATGTCAGGAACTTTCTCTCAGTGCCAGTAAATTCTAACCCAAACTCCCTAACACAGGGCACGCAGTGTGGGGCAATTTAAATTGGCAATATCAATGTCCTTTTTTGGGAATATAAACATCATCATAATATCTTGAGAAACATGCTCAGATTTTTTTTTATCTTTCTAAAAACTTTTTTTTACATAACATCAAACATTTTATGCAAACTTTTCACCCTACTTATAACATAATTAAAGGTTTTTAAGCTACTTACAGGGGAAACAAAATTTCAGAACTGTGATAACTGTACTGAAACAATCATGCTCTTGTGATAAAAAAATTTTTTAAAATAAATAATTTAATTCATTACAACTTTTTGATCATATACATGTATATTAATACTGGCAAATAATATTGTATTAATTGGATCAGATACATTGTATATTAATTTATGGAAAAAAAAGGATCTTCACCTAACAAAGCAGTAAAATCATTACCAGCTTGAAATGTCATTAGATTTAAAAGCTATTTATTTTCTATTTACTGACATCATAAATTACCTTCAAAATTAAAGTTGTTTTACTCGCAAATTTTGAAGATTTTCTTAAATTACCTCATTGCTGTTACTGAATGAAAATTTACTAATTTCACTGAATAATAATAAAATTATGAAAGAAGGCAAATGCTATGCAAGGAAAGTCAGACAAAAAAACTGAGTCAAGTTTTATTTGATATATTTCATTTTAAAGGCGTCATTGGGTAATTTGTGCAGCAGTTTCATTTTCACTCAGAATACCTCAATGATTACTCTTAAGCGAAAAGTTGCAATACCCTGCAGATTATCCACGAGTTACATTAAAAATGGTGGAGCCCAATAAGAAATGACACTGAAATTTTCACAGATAGGTACAGGAATCTATATATTTGATTTGATTTGATGTATAAGTATACATGTTTGTGTAGTCTATAGCTGGGCAAGTTGGGCAAGCCCGGCCTTTGACTTCCCCGTATGATCTTTCCTCTCTTGAATGACATACTGTAAACAAGTATTGTTGGCAATAGATAATAACTTTCTACATCTCATCTTGTTATGCAAAGAAATTGATATCATGTAACAGTCAATGAATTTAAGATTTTGAATTTACTACCCCCAATTCCAGTTTTGAATTTATTCTTCTATATATTTCACTAAATTTTCTTAAAATTTTCACTGGCCCAAACTATTTTTCACTGGCCATGGGCCACCGGGCCAGTGCTAAATTCGATGACTGATGTAAGGACTCAATGACATGTTCTTTTGACTGTTCTAAATGATTTACACAAACACTTTCATATCTTATTAAAATATCTAAAATATTAAATAGACTGAAAATATACCTTTCCTACACCTTCTTCATTAGCATCAACCCTTTTTTTAAGTTGCATATATTGCCACATGTCAGCTACAGGCCTATCTGTAGAACTTTCACTTTTTGATTTTGTGGTACGATCAAATAATTCACTATTCGATGGAAGCTGATTTAAACTTTCCAACTGCTGTGCAAGTTTTTCAACCTTTAATTCCATCCTATGATATGGGGATGGTCGAAATGGGGGAGCTCCAGATTTCTCACTTGTGGCATCCTCAGAATCTTCACCCCGCCCACTGTCAGCATCACTGAGTGTGGATCTAGCTCGTATTTTTGATGTTGCCAAAAAATCCCTGTCATGTTCATTTATCTCTGCTCTGTGATCAGCAATACTTAATTTCCTTATGATAGCATGAAGGAGTGTATGCATCACATTGAAATTCACAGACCCTATCTCTGGTGTCCCCAGGGACAAATCCACCATTTGCGACAGTGACACTGCAGTCGGCATGTTTGCCCGAATTTAGATAGCCCAAAGAAATTGTATTTTAACTTAACTGATTTAATTACACCCCTTAATTGTCATTTTATTGAACCTACATTTTATTTACTTCGTGTTTACTCCTAGTGTGCTGAATGAAATGACTCCGCCACAACTTCCGGTTCGATCACAACTTTTGAAAGTGGCGATTTTACAAATATATTTACGTTTATAAGGGTATAACTGTGAAATTATTGAATGTTAACCGATATTCCTATAAAATGAAAAGATCGTAACACAAAACAAGTTCAAAATTTAAAGTTGTATAGATCTATATTTCAAGCGTAAGTTTATTAAATCTTCGAACGCTAGCGTAACTATTGACAACATCAAGCTAACTTTCAATCACGTGACATGTGTCAACAAATTACGTCCCTTGATTTGATGAATATCAATTATTCCCCTTCTTACCAATTTTTTTTTTATTTTCTGCTTGGTAAAAGTTTATTTTAAGAAGGTATATTGTCCGATAACATAGTGATTTAAAATAATTGAGATTAATCTTGAACAAAAAATAATTTTTAAAAGTACAGTCTGGTCTGGGACCAAAAATATATATTCTTATTAAAGGGACTCCACTGAGGTTTAAAAGCCTAAAAACATAACATTTGAATTTCTTACAAAAATGAGCAGGGGCACTTTAAACAGAAATATCAAAGGTAGCCCGAATTCAGTAAAAAGCATTTAAACGCTTTTCATTTTTTTTTTTTTTTTTAAATTTGAATAATTATTCTGGAAAATCGAAATACACAAATGATCTGAAACTTTGCACAAAGATTAGTGATCTTAACCTACATCAAATGATACATGTATCTGGAAAAATTATTTTCAGTCCCAACATGTCAAAATAACCTCAGTGGAGTCCCTTTAACAACCACAGACAGTAAGTATCAATTTAAGACTGTGTAACAACTAAGACAGTAAAAATGATTAGAAGAAGGTGTTAATGTCCTGTAAAAGAATTGAGATTAATCTGGCAGAAACTAAAGAAAGTTAGTGCTGAATGTGCAGTAGTGTGTCGTAAAGGTGGTAATTAAAATGTAAATAAAGTAGTATTTTGATTCCCACACATAAAACTAATTCACTGTAATTTTACCCATTGCCATCAACGCAAAAGATGCAAAGATTTATGTATATGGCAAATAAGTAATTTTTGGAAACTAACAATTAAGATACTAAAGGTTGAAAGTTTTTGTGAAATAAATTGATAGTATTTCTGAGGCATAGTGGGCCTTTAAAGAAAAGAAACAACTCTTATATACAGCATGTTTCTTTAGGAATAGCTTGTCCCCAACATTTTTTCTTGCAAACAAAGTAAAAAAAGTAAGAATTATAAGATGGTTTACAGTAACAAGAGGGTCATGATGGCTCAGGAATGCACCCCGTCATTTACTATGTAACTATATAAAATAATTGACCCTTAGCATGCATTTTTAAAGTGTCACCACAGGTCAGATAATTTGACCCATTCCTAAATCTTTTAAAAAAATATTTCCAACTGAAGCCACATTTCTGATGTCAATGCTGACAAATTTGCTGAAGTTTATTCTGGTATCATAACAGACAGAATTGTTTCCTCACACATTATTGTCAAATTTTATTGTATTGGTTATGCTTCAATGGTTGATATTTGGGTTGGTTAGAATAAGCAATATCGCATAATTCTAAATTCTATGCAACAAGAGCAATAGGTGATCACATGTGTTGCCTCATGATAGCCAATTGCATGTAGCAGGAGACACAAAAATCATTAACAGGGCGAAATGTTTATCTTATTCAAGGGCCACAACTCAGCAAAAAATCATTCAACCTAAAAACCCGTGTATTATGCCCAAGTACATGAGCTACCAATCAATCCTGTAAAGTTTCATTGAAATTGCATTAGTGGTATAAGAGGACTAGTCAAAAGTAAAAATCATTTAAGTGCCATAACTCTGACAATCAAAGCACAGAAGGCGCTGAATTTGTTTGGGTCTCAAAATGTCAGAAAGGTGAAGGTTGTGAGATTTAATTATAACCCAATTTGTTTGTATAGTGTCACCATTCTAAATTAGAGTTTGTAACCCTTATTAATTTCGATATATTTCGTTCAGGGTAAACCTGTTGTTTAACCTTTTACCCCATGAGCATATTGCGAAAAATGCCGTTTTCATTGAAAAGCCTCCTGTAACAAGTTCAAACTTCTATGAAACTATGAAAAATGCTTCAATACTGATGAAACTTGGCACAAATGTTGACTACACCATAGCCTCTGTAACAGCATGCTTAATCATAAATTTCCAGTTACCATGGCAACGGGGGAACATCTCAAAATTGCCAAAAATCACTATTTTGCATTGTTTTTTTCCATCAAAACTGATTTCAAAGTGCTGAAACTTCTCAATGAATTGAGATAGAGTAAAAGGCTTTTCAGTATCGGTTACTAGTTACCCTAAGATCCACCTGAGGCCATTTTTAGCCTGTCATATGTCCAAAATTTTCTTGGCGATGAGGGGGACTTCAAACCCCCCAAACAGAAGGGGGCACATCCCCCTTCTGGCAACCCCCGGATGTAACATTTGGATGGGGGACGGCGCCGAAAAAGTGGTCACTTTTTTTAACAACATTTCTCAAACGAAAACCAGTGTTTGGGGCCTAAATAGGGCATTTTTTCACTGTTTGAGGCCTCAAAAAGGTGGGGGAGGGGGGCAAAAGGTTGTCGAAACACGCTTATATAAGGGAAAAGGTTAACACTGAAGTAAATTTAAATAATCATGGAGCTTAATATAAGCATGTATATCTATAAGAATAACACAATATTAGAAATCTGTAACAAATCGGGAACTATTTTTTCTTTAGGAAAATTAATGCACCTGTCATTTGACAATCTTTACGCAGTGATCTCCCCTTAATTTTTTGGCGTTAATGTACATATGAAGAAAAGTAACAGTTACTGCTTTGAGGAGTTTGGACAATTTTCGGCATTTGCAAATAAGAACATCAGGGTCTGAAATTTCGCTACCATTATTTGTTTGGTCCGACAACCAAAACAAATAAAAATCATTGAACCAAAAAAAACTGATGATATGCACAACTTAACTTGGTATTTATCGTTCCTGTAATGTTCAGATGACAATGCACCAGTAGTTTCTGCATGGGGAGTAGTCCAGACAAGTTTCTGTGTAGCAGAAGACACTAAAAACATCTTTTTATTCAAGCCATTCAATGAGATTTATCTTTCTATAAAGTTTTGTGATGAAATCTTTTATAGTTTCAGAGTTATGTCCCGGGTAAAATTCAAAAATGAACAAACGACAATAGCTCCAAAATATAAGCAGAATTTAATCATTTGACAGTAAAGGAATTATTTAAAAAAATCATTTCAGCAGAAAACCTGTGTAAGATGCACAAGCAATCAATCCTGTAAAGTTTCAGTGAAATTGCATAAGAGATATGAGAGTAATAGTCTGGGCAAACTTTAAAAATAACAAGAGCCACCGCAGGTGAGAGCAACACTACTTCTACTTTTTTATTTTTTTTAAAGCAAATAAATAGTTAAACAAGAACCGGTTGAACCGGATGATGCTCCCCGAGAAGGTTTTGGACACAGAAAAGTATAAAAAAATTAACAAACGGCAATAACTCCAAAATTAGGCAAGGCAGATATATGATTTTTGGCACTGCACTTCTATTCAATGAGATCTATCTTTCTATAAAGTTTTGTGATGATATCTTTTATAGTTTCAGAGTTATGTCCAGGGTAAAATTCAAAGTGTAAAAATGAACAAACGACAATAACTCCAAAATTAGACAAGGCTGTGTTTAGGTTCTTAAGCATTGCAGTTCTATCCAATGAGATCTATCTACCTACAAAGTGTCATGTTGATATCTCTAATAGTTTTAGAGTTATGTCCCGGACAAAGTTCAAAGTGTGTTACTGTTTTTGTGCACTGCATACCTACTCAATGAGATCTATCTACCAACAAAGTTTATGTTGATACCTCTTGTGGTTTCAAAGTTATATCCCGGACAAGAATAGCGGACTGACAGAAGGACGGACAAAGCGGGGACTATATGCTCACCCTTCGGGAGCATAAAAAAATAAAGGAAAAATAGTAGGTTTTTAATATTTTTTATTTAAATAGGTCTGTCTAGTCACACTTTTTGTTTTGTCCAAGTATGAATCATTTCCATAAATTAAAGACAAAGTTAAGAAAATATAAGCAGAATAGTAACGGTCATTAATTTTTAGAGATCAAGGTCATAACTAAATCATTCAACATATTTGTTTGGTCACAAATGTCATTTGTCCACATATAAATCAAATCCATACATAAATAACAAAATTATGACAACTTAACCAAAATTCAATAATTTGACCTTGATGGTCAAGGTCACTTAAAGCTGAAGGTCAAGGTCATTTTGAAATAACAAAGTTATAGCCAGTTTGAGAAAAAAAAACAAGAGAATTTCATTAATTTGCCCTTGATGGTATGAAGACAAAACATAAAAAGTTATGATCATGGTAAAAGTGTGCAGACAGCAACATCAATGCAGCCATGTTCTGACAGTTTGGTATCAAAATCGATACTAACTATATCATTTTTTATTTTATATTGTATTAATTTATATATTCCTCAGACATATACAAACATAAATATGTACATGAAATTTTATACTCAATTAGTAACACAAAGTATACATCCTTTCTAGTTAGAAATACAAGACTGAGAAACAGCAAAGACTAAAAACTTCAACATAAACTTTATAATAATACCATCATAAATGGCAAGTTAGTTATAAATTAAAATCCAAATGAATGCTGCAAATCTATAGAGTAAAGCATTTATAAATTATCTCTAGAAGAAATAAATTTTGGCATAAAGAAAATAAAAGCTATTACAAATATGCAAGGATTGGTCTGAAAAATCATATAGCCTATTTGACCATGACAAAAGAACACTGTATAGCAAGAGCTAAAAATAACAGAACATGCATAAAATATTTTATTATCTATTTACACAAATATGAAATATAATCAGTCATCAAATCTAGAAAAGTTACTCACATTTTTTTTTCTGCTTTTAAAAAAAAGACATGATTATTTGTCTCAATGCAATATTACACATAGTTCTCACATAGTCATTTTTCATTGAAAATGGACATTTTATTTCTTACAAGGGCAGATTCTCATATTTTAATGTTTCTTTTCTAATGGTGGCAACACTATATCTAAACTTCCAAAATTTGCTTTGTGTTTTGGTGGGAAATAATGTTATCTTTAAACAAATTTTGTGTATACAACTTTTTAGCACAGTTTCTAGATGAATCATTGTGGTTTTCTCTTCTTGCTAAATCGGTTGACAAAGCAGTTCTTAGGTTATAACATAAAAATATTTCTTTGAAACCTTTATATCAATGGTACAATCATATCAATGTATCTTTCTAAGATATTCATGATGTTACTCTCCAAAATGTCTTTTTTCTATGTCACAGGAAATCCATTTGAGCTATATACTCCATTTTTGCTTCAGGGCTGAAAACTTTCACTGTAAACTCAGTCTCTCCAACAGTAACACTGTAATTAACTTTCAAGGCATCAGGCCATCCTAAACGTGGAGGCTTTGCTTTGATCATTCCTACTAAACTACACCCTTCCTCCTCCGTACAGTATTGAGGAGTCTCTTCTGTAGATCTGTATAGTTCAGCCTTCTTTATAATATGTTTCATGTCTTGTTCAGTAGCTGTCCAATCTCCTGCAAAATTAAAAGTTTGTCCAGATTCCAGAGTCTGACCTTTCTCTATAATCTTTTGGAAAACCTTACCACACCGTGCTCTTCCATCCACTTTGAACTTCAGTTCATTTAGATCTTTTCCATGTCTGAAGTAATGATTTATTAAATATCCATATGTGTACCTTGACCTACGTTGTATGATATTTCTAGGATTCCAGCCCATCGCCACTGCTCCATTTAACACAGCCAGTCTGGCATCATCTACAAGGATAACTCTTAGTGTACTGAACTCTGACTTAATTCTCTCCCTTACATATGGAGATTCACTGTAACCTCCAACTAAAAGTATTGTTTTGATTTCACTATCAGAACAATGATGTAGTGCATCTTTTAACTTATCAATGATTTTATCAACTGAAGGCTTGAAAACTTCTTCTAATATCTCTCCACTGATCATCAGTCTAGCATCAGCACCATATCTAAGTTTTCCAGCATATTTTGTCTTATCTATTACATCTTTGAAGCTCTTACCATCCTTTTTGTGGATCAGATGCACCAGTGCATTTTCCATTTTCAGTTTTAATGCAGCTGTGTTTGATTTAAAGTCCTTCTTCTTTAATCTAAACTCATTGACAAGGCTTACATAGGCTGATGAGGAGGTTGATGAGAATTTGCTCCACACTTCTTTTCCTACTAATGTTTCCATCATGTTGATAAAACATTCATCAACATCACTACCACCTTTAGCCTCTCCATTTGCACGGTACATTTCTTGCAATTTGCCACCATCTAATATTTTATGTACACATATGTCTGATGTTCCACCTCCTAGATCAGCAAGTAAGTATTTAAACCCACAATACATCTCTTTTGACATTTTTTGGGTTTTACAGTATAACGCAGCAGCCTCAGGTTCAAGGACAATTTGCAGATGTGCTTCTGGGATTCCTGCATCAGTAGAAGCCTCACGCATAAATTGTCTTACAGAATCAGAAGATATTGCAGGAATTGTTATCATCCATTGTATGTCTGTTTCTTTCAGGCCAGTTTTAAATTGATGGACTATATTTGTTGCTTCATCTTTTAAATGCTTTATTGCTTTGGAAAAAACAGTCATTGCACGAAGTGGCTTACCATTTAAATCACAAATTTTCATATCTCTGTTAAATTTACTTTCATTGTATATTTTCATTTTAAAATTTTCAAAGTAGTAAAATTTTGACCTCTTGAGTTCTGAAAGCTTATGGAAATGTGTCTGTGCATTGTAGCCAAATGAATGGACTGTTTTGTTTGGATTTAAAAGCAATATTGTGGGTACTCTGTCCTCTTGAAATATGCCTCCATGTTTGGCTGAGATTATTTTTTCCTCATTGCCCTTGAAGGAGAATGCAAAACCCGAATGGACTGTTCCAAAATCAATCGCAACTACAACCTGATGTTTATTTGTTTCATCAGCTTGATGAATTGAATCTGCCTTGGTTTCTGATATTTTTTTTAGAGGTTGGGCTTTTGTGTTCTCAGTGCTTTTTTTCCTTGCTATTTGAACATCTGCTCTGTTTTTTGGTATCGTTTTCCTGGTAGGTGTCTTTGTGTTTTCAGTGCTTTTTTTCCCTGCTACTTTATGGTTTGCATCATGTTTTGGTATATTTTCCCAGATTTGTTCCATTGTATTTTCAGTACATATTCTCCCTGCTTCTTGTTTGTTTGCCCTGTTTTGTGTCATTTCACAACATCTTCTTCCTGCTACTTGACCATATGACTTGTTTTCTGGTATTTTTGTCTGAGGATTTGTCTGTGTGTTTTCAGTACTTAGATCTCCTGCTATCAGTTTGTCAGCCTTGTTTTCTGGTATCTTTCCACGAGATTGTTCCTTAGTATTTCCAGTCCTTTTTTTCCCAGCTACTTGACCATTTGACTTGTTTTCTGGTATTTTTATCCAAAGTTTTGTCAGTGTGTTTTCAGTACCTAGATTTCCAGCTATCTGTTTGTCTGCCTTGTAGTCTGGTATCTTTTCCCTGCTCTGTTCCTTTTCAGTATTTGCTTTTTCTGCTACTAGTTTGTGTTCCTGTATGTCTTGTATTTTTTCTTGCAATTCTGTTCCATTTTTAGTACTTTGTATTCCTTCTGCCTGTTTATCTGCTTTGTTTCTTGAATTTTCTTCCTGGGGTTGTGTGTTTAAGTTTTTGGTCCTTCTTCCTAGTTCTTGTTTGTCTGACTTGTTTTCTAAAAGATTTTCCTGGGGTTGTTCCTTTGTGTTTTCAGGATATTTTTTTGCTGTTGGTTGCACATTTGCTCCCATAATTATTATTGCCTTATGTCAATAACCATTCCAACTTTCCCTTGTGACTGTTCCTGAAATCTGAAGGAAGCAATTTTACTTTGACTATCTAAAGTTATATATATTTTTAAAGTAACATAATATTATTATACAAATGTAATAATTTTACATTTTTATATTAATTTAATTGAAAATTTTATTATTACTTACATTATTTTCTTTTCACCTGACTTTTCAACATTCTCTTATATCTAAATTTGATTTTTTTTTCTGCTTTGATATATAGAACTTTTTTTTTACTCTTCTAAAATCTGATGTAATCTATATATTAGTGTGAAAATATCATGGTGGTTATTGTTTAAACAAAATGTCAAAACTTTACTTTATCTATCTATTGAATATCAATGCTTTGTACTGTATAAGTGGTTCATTTTGCGACATGGAAATATTTGTGATTTTTTCCAATTGAAATTATTTGCAAAGATTTGATCGCACAAAAATTATTCCTTTTTAGGCAAACTTCCTTCTATCATTTGAAAACGCATTTTCATACAGCATCTCAATTGAATAAGTTTGAGCTTGCTACTGAGATTATTTTTGTTTTCATTGCTTGTTTTTTAAATTTGTACAAATCACAAATGTTTTAATGAAACAATATATGTGTAACATAACAGGTTATTCATATAACAAAATATGTTTCAAAATATGACAAAGAAATGTCTGATAAGGTCCTTTATCAAACTAATGATGTACATTTCAAACAATTATATAAATAATAAAGGTATTAAACAACTGAATAAAACGATTACAATAACAGCAAATTCTTAACATGTACCTGCTTAATTAATGATATCACAAAAACATTATTTTCTTTAAGAAATCATAATTATTTTCACAAATACTTCTGCACGCAAAAAGTTCACATTGATGAATTTCAAATTTTAGATTGACTCATTTCAGTCAATAATCTTGAGATTTCAACTACCTGCAAAGAATATATAAATACACAGACAATAAATCTTCTCAGTGGTAAATCAGGCTATTTATCATGTTTGTAGATAATGACTGTATAAATCAATTCAAAATACATGAACATTCCCCTAATTTGTATGATACACACTTCCACAAAATACTAATTTGGCAGCCTTAACTTTTCAATCTCATTCAAATCAGATCGTTTTCACTCCATTACTCTTTACTACCAAGCAAAGGGTAGTGGAGCAACAGTTAGGATATGATTTTAATAAGATTGCCTACTTTTTATCACATTTAATAAATACATGTACATGTATTTGTCAGAGAAAAATATAAATAGCCTATATAATATGTATCTAGTTTCATTAATATTTAATCGCCATATGTAAACAAGAGGGTCATTATGGCCCTGGATTGATCACCTGAGATATTTTGCCAGAAAAGTTCACAGTTTTTTGGCCGGGTTGCACTGGTGCAAACCCGGGTTATAGTATGGTGAATGTTGGGCAGGGGGCGGGCGGGCGGCAGGCGGGTGGGGAAAAAACTTTCGTAACAGTTTTCTCAGCAACTACTGATCACAGCCTTTGATATTTGGTATTCAGCATCAACACATGGTCCCATACTGTAGGATTCGATTTCAGGTCTGTCGCTCATCCACTTCCTGTTTGCCGACTTAGTTAAATTTTCAACATTAATGGTCAATAGTAGGAAATTTTCGTAACAGTTTTCTCAGCAACTACTTATCACAGCCTCTTGATATTTGGTATACAGCATCAACACATAGTCCCATACTGTGGGATTCGATTTCAGGTCTGTCGCTCATCCACTTCCTGTTTGCCGACTTAGTTAAATTTTCTACATTAATGGTCAATAGTAAGAAATTTTTGTAACAGTTTTCTCAGCAACTACTTATCACAGCCTCTTGATATTTGGCACACCGCATTAACATATGGTCCCATAATGTGGGAGATGATTTCAGGTCTGTCGCTCATCCACTTCCTGTTTGCCAACTTAGTTAAATTTTCAACATTAATGGTCAATAGTAAGAAATTTTTGTAACAGTTTTCTCAGCAACTACTTATCACAGCCTTTTCATATTTGGTATACAGCATCAACACATGGTCCCATACTGTGGGATTCGATTTCAGGTCTGTCTCTCATCCACTTCCTGTTTGCCGACTTAGTTAAATTTTCAACATTAAATTTTGACATAATTAATGATCAATAGATAGTAGGAAATTTTCGTAACAGTTTTCTCAGCAACTACTTACCACAACCTCTTAATATGTGGTTCACAGCATTGACATGACTTTGGTCCCATATTGTGGGATTCCATTTCAGGTCTGATGCTCATTCTTTTCCGGTTTACCAACTAAGTTAAATTATCAACATCAATGGTCAGACAGTGGTAGAAAATTTAAGTAACATCACAGCCTCAAGATATTTTGTATACATATGCAACCTGGCCTTTTCTGTCTTTGACCCATTTTTTTACAAAGTCAGTAATGTGGTCACATTTGGTTTGTCCCTTTTTGCTCAAGCTGCATAATTTTAAAAATATTTCTAGATGTCTGCTATAAAATGACAAATACATACACTCTTGGCATTGTAGTATCACAAAAGAAAACTTAAACGTATTTTCCTATACAAAACTACATAAACCAAGTAACCAACAAGGTGGGCAAATTTAGAACTCAGGGGCATGAATTTTTAACTTTTGTAGAGGATCACAAGGTGATAATACATGCCAAATATCAAATAGGCATTGTACTTTCTGAGAAGATTTCTTAGACACTTTCATTGTATAAGTCAATGTAAAATACATATAAGTGACCCCCAAGTGATAATACATGCCAAATATCTAAGCTCTGGGCATTCTAGTTTCTAAGAAGGAGATTTTAAGTATTTTATTTTAACTCCTATGACCTACTTATTTATCAGACTGGAACCATTTACATAACTTTTTTAGAGGACCACCTAAGGTTCATTCCTGTAAAGATTGGTCAGAATACATACAGTGGTTAAGGAGAAAATGTTGTTTATAGAAATTGTGGATAACGATGAATGACAGATACACTGCCATCACAAACGCTGGCCTCTGAGCACTTTGTGCTCAGGTGAGTTGACATAATTTTATTGCAATTTATTAATCGAAACAAGCATTAAAGAGCTGGTAAATAAGCACTATGTGGCCACCATTAAAACAAAAGCTACAAAATAAAACTATGTCATATTTGATTTTGTTTTTATACTTTGTATCTAAACTCACTTTAGCCATTATAGCAAGGCATATTGTCTTCCTTATTGGTACACTATGAAGATACTATTGTAGAATGGGCGACCACATAAAATTATGATGAATTATGTCCCTGAAATTTAGAAGAAGCTGTTGGTCACAGACTTTATGTTTAATGGGTCCGAGTCTGATATTACACAGGTGTTGTTTGGTTGTCCACTCATATCAATATTTACAGTTCTCTTCCGCATGAATTACATAAAAAACATAATTATGGCAATTTATATGACTTTATAAGACAGATCAGTTTTGACATTAACCTTTCAGTTTAAACACTAACCAGAAAAACTGACTTAGTAGTGAACAGTACAAACCATGATCTCACAGCAAAGATTTGCCAGCTGATCTTGGTCTCTACTGGTTGCATAGGTAGAATCAGATGCCCTCAGCAGACTGAATTAAAATCACTTTCATTCTTTGAAATTACCTACTTTGAAACAAACAGAAAAGCTTGTAGATAAATATATTATATTTATTACTGTATAAGCTATAACACATGTTCAATATGGGTACCTTATTTATAAGAAACAAACTTCAGACAATGTCAAATTGTGATCAATTCAATCTTGATTTTGTGCAAGTTTCTTGCTAACTAATTGTCCTTTGTTCATTTAAATTGCTTGGTTTCAGGAAGTATAAACATGATATAAAGGATCCTGAGAAAGTTACAGTGATTGGAAATAATAAGTGTTTATACTTGCATGAAATGATACACATGGAATAGTCTATACATGTACATTTACTTGCAAGGCATGGTACAGTGACTCCTTTCATCCACTATGAATTTATTTCCATTAAACACTTTTGTCTTCATTTAAATCATGTCACCTGTCCATGAATACCTGTATTTTGTATCCAATTTCAAATCAAACACAAGACTTTTACATTCAGGACTATTTTTATGTAACCATTTACTGCAGTACACCATTTTTTTCTCAAGTCTTTATGAATTTCTCTTTATGGATTTGTATCCATAAAAAGTATGAGTGCCCTCTGAATTGTGAAATGCTCCCATTTTAGGCTTATTTTATCCTAGATCAAGGTCTCTCTAAATACTTTTCCATTGCCATGTTCCATCTTTGATCTATGACTTGAATGAAGCTGTTAATTTCCATAACTCCTGAGGTTTGAAAAAAAACAACAACAAATTTACACACACATGTCTATATGTATGAAACATACAAGGAATTTATTTTATATGTTCAATAAATGATATATATTTTTATTTAGAATATGTGTAATGTAACTATTCCATGTTCTCACCTGCCATATAAATTTTCACTGATCTATTACTAAACAATTGATTGGTTATTAACACGAAGATGTACATATGAACATTATCTGTACACTAGAACTATCACTAAATGTGATTAATACTCCTGCAAGACTGCTTCGGATATGAGGAAGTTACTAGTAACAGAATACCTTCCAAAAGAATTGAACTAGAGTTCTTGTTGTGGGCAATTAAAGATAGTTGTGGTTCTTGTATGTTGCATTTCCTTTTAATGTGGTTGACCATTGTATGAAGTTGCATTGAATTCTAAACATTAGTTTTTAAGTTGTGCACCGGACAAGGAAAAGGAACAACAGGCAATAACTCTACAAATACTGAAGATTGAGTTATGGTTATTGTACACTGCACTTCCTCTCATTGCCCTTGACCATTGTTTGAAGTTGTATCTAATTCCAACTACTAATTTTCAAGTTATGCACTGGACAAAAAAGTAACAAAGGGCAATAACTGTAATTTGTCCAAATAGAATTATGGTTCTTGTGCACTGCACTTCATCTCACTGCCCTTGACCATTGCAAGAGGTTTCATTGAATTCCAACCATTTTCAATTTTCAAGTTATGCACTGGACAATAAAAGTAACAAAGGGCAAAAACTCTTAAATGAGTCAAGAAAGAGTTTCCTCTCAATATACTTGACCATTGTATGAAATTGTATTAAATTCCAACTAGTAGTTTTCAAGTTATGCTCCGGACAAGGAAAAGTAACAATAAATAGCAATAAATAGTCAAGACAGAGTTATGGTTTTTGTGCACTTCACTTCCTCTTAATGTGCTTGATGATTGTATGAAGTTGTATTGAATTAAAACTAGTAGTTTTCAAGTTATGCTCCGGACAAGGAAAAGTAACAAAGGGCAATAACTCTGTAATTACTTTAGATAGAGTTATGGTTCTTATGCACTGCACTTCCTCTAAATGTGCTTGACCATTGTATGAAGTTGTTTTGAATTCCAACCAGTACTTTTCAAGTTATGCTCCGGACAAGGGAAAGTATCAAAGCTCAATAACTCTATAAATAGTCAAGATAGAGTTATGGTTTTTGTGCACTGCTCTTCCTCTTAATGTGCTTGATGATTGTATGAAGTTGTATTGAATTCCAACTAGTTGTTTTCAAGTTATGCTCCAGACAAGGAAAAGTAACAAAGGGCAATAACTCTATAAATAAGTCAAGATGGAGTTATGGTTATTGTGCACTGCACTTCCTCTAAATGTGCTTGACCATTATATGAAGTTATATTGAATTCCAACTATTAGTCTGGACAAAAGAAAGCTATGGAAAAGTAACAAAGGGAAATAACTCTGTAATTACTTTAGATAGAGTTATGGTTTTTGTGCACTGCAGTTCCCCTTATAGTGCTTGACCATTGTATGAAGTTGTTTTGAATTCCAACCAGTAGTTTTCAAGTAATGCTCAGGAAACATAACAAAGGGCAAAGCTCTGTAATTAGACAAAAAAGAGTTATGGTTCTTGATCATTGTATGAAGTTGTATTGAATTCCAATCATTACTCTTCAAGTTATGCTCCGGACAAGGAAAATGCAACAGACCACTTGAGCGACCAACAGACCGACCACCGAGTGACTCCTATAGAACACCCCCAAAACTTCGTTTCGGGGGTATAATGATGTTATACTGTTTTGATTGTTGGCTTATCAAGTATTTTGTGCCAAAAAATGTTTTATTTTCTTACTTTCTGTTCATAAACATTTCACTTAGATTTCACTAAATAAGATATAGAATAAACAAATATTTTCTTTCTTACAGTCACTAATGGTTTCACATGCTGTGAAAGAAAATCAATATATTTAAAAAAATTCACACAAGTTTATTGAAAAGGTTAAGGAAAGGATCAATCACTCAAAGAACAAGAGGGCCATGATGGCTCTGAGGTCGCTCACCTGTATAAAGGCACCCGGAGCGGAGCCAGTTTAAACCCCGGGGCTTTTATTTGAACAAACTTGGAAGACACCCATTAAAAGATGTTTCACAATGTTAAGTTTTTACTACACACATATAATGAAAAACAATGATGTACCCCCCCCCCCCCGCCCGTCAGGGCCAATTTTAATCCAGGGGCTTTTATTTGAACAAACTTGGTAGACACCAATAAGAAGATGTTTCATGCTAAACATCTAAGCTCTAGCTCATTGGGTTTTTTAAAAGAAGATTTTTTAAGTTTTTACTATACACATATAGTTAAAAACAATGACACCCCTGGGGCGGGGCCAGTTTTGACCCCAGGGCTTTTATTTGAATAAACTTTGTAGACACTTACTAGAAGATGTTTCATGCTTAATATCTAAGCTCTAGCTCATTGGGTTTTTTAAAAGAAGACTTTTTAAGTTTTTACTATACACATACAGTTAAAAACAATGACACCCCTGGGGCGGGACCAGTTTTGACCCCAGGGCTTTTATTTGAACAAACTTGGTAAACACTCACTAGAAGATGTTTCATGCTTAATATCTAAACTCTAGCTATCTTGGTTTTTTCAAAGATTTTTAAGTTTTTGCTATACACTGTCATATAAGGAAAATCAATGACCCCCGGGATGGGGCCAATTTTGACCCCAGGGCTTTTATTTGAACAAACTTTGTAGACACTCACTAGAAGATGTTTCATGCTTAATATCTAAACTCCAGCTATTTGGGTTTTTTCAAAGAAGATTTTTTAAGTTTTTGCTATACACATATAAGGAAAATCAATGACCCCCGGGGCGGGGCCAATTTTGACACCAGGGCTTTTATTTGAACAAACTTGGTAGACACCCATTAGAACATGTTTCATGCTAAATATCTTAGCTCTAGCTCTTTGAGTTCTTTAAAAGAAGATTTTTAAGTTTTTACTAAATGCATATAGGGAAAATCAATGACCCCCTGGGGCGGGGCCAATTTTATCCCCAGGGCTTTGATTTGAACAAACTTGGTAGACACTCATTAGAAGATGTTTCATGCCAAATATCTAAGCTTTAGCTCTTAGGGTTTTTTAAAAGAAGATTTTTTAAGTTTTTCCTATTGGTTGCCATGGCAACCAGAGTTTTTAATGGAATTTAAATTTTTGAACAACTTTGAAAGGGGTCCACCTAAGGATCATTTCTGTAAAGTTTGGTTGCAATTGGCCATGTGGTTTAGGAGGAGATGTTGTTTGAAAAGTTTGACGCCATTTTTTGAAGGACGCACGACGGACGCAGAGTGATGACAAAAGCTCACCCTTGAGCACATTGTGCTCAGTTGAGCTAAAAAGGTATCAGCAATAGTTTTAAATTTACCAATTGTCTAATTCTGTTATACTGGAAAAACTGTGGGAAGCTAGGGTCAATCTCCTCCACTTCAAACAAAGCCTCTGTGTCATCATCATCCCCTGAACAAAGATCGTCGAGTTGAAGACGGAAATAATTGTAACCTGGACTTGTGAAAGTGAGGTCCTCACATGTAAAGACAATCCTAGGAAACAAAAAGATACATATAAAAGTCTAACACTGTCAAATAGTACACATAAGGTTGTTGAATTGATATCCAACAATACAAGATACAATCACTTGACTGAAGTCTTTCAGTAACACAAAATACATAAAAGGACTGAAAATGGATTTGGTATTAACCCTATTATATTGAAAACTGTAAAAGCAAAATAGCTATGATAAATAATTTGAACTTCAAGATCAAGGTAATTCAAGGTCAAGGTCAGATTCAGTTTGAACTCCTTTGCTGTGTTGTGTTCCATTGTTGTTCTGTCAAAGTATGAAGACAATCCATTAATTTACCAATAATAAAGTTATAACTAAAACAAGCAAATTACAATCAAAAATACAATAATTTCACCTTTTTAGGGGTTATAAATGGTCTGAGCAGGATATGCTCATCTCCTTTCCAAAAAAAAGTTTTGATGAAATCAAGAAAGCAATTGCCCAGAAATAGTGTGGAAACTCTAAACATACTAGGGACTATTACTCAGAGCTAAATAATCTGACAGGGCATGCAAAGGATATGCACATCTTCTGTTAACAAATAATCATTGAAATCAAGATTTGAAGTTACGGACATAGCCCTTAAACAAAATTCAGTAGACAGCAAGGCCAGTCTACCCTCTGTGCAATCCTACCAGACTCTATACTGCTGATATTTCATTTTTTGCTCTTTTTTTTTTAAATATTTTAAAATCCCTGCAACTTTGATTGGACTGTTCTAAATTCAAAATTGGGCAAATCCATTATATAACGTCAGCAAGTTATGGGTAAAAAAAGCTGATATCTACAAAATAATAGTTTAATGTTTATATTTTGAAAAATGAAAAATGTACGTGTATGTATTCTACCTCTTCTCCAAACCAATGTACAGAGTTTTACAAGGAGGGTGGGTCATGATCTGTTTCACTATGTTGAAGAATGCATCAGTGATGTCAAAGTCATAAATCACTGTAAATGAAAAAAACATTTTGTCATATATGAACTTAGTTTCAACAAACTTACCAAAATAATGATGCAGAAAACTCCTTTCTGTTTAGCGACATCCCATCACTAAAACTTTTGTAATTTCTAAGTACACTTGCACTCTTTCTGAACATTAACTAAGACCAATTTTAACTACATTGTAAATTGTAAAATTCATATTTATTTCCTTTTATCCTATGGAACTGTAAAACTGTTTTTAACTTTTCAGAAACTAATAAATGTAAGATGGTTTGTTAGGTCTTTATGGTTGTACTATTAAAATTTTGCACATTATATTTTCTATTATCACAGTCTTCACTTATGGCAGTTTAAAAAGAGTTGAAATAAAAGTAATTACCATCAGCAGCTATCAGAATATCACTGCTGTTGATTCTTTCTATATCCTCTTTAGTAAGACTGAATAAAGAGCTGTCCTCTGAAATTATCAATACATTCAAGAAAGGTAAAACTGCTAAGTGATTAGTTAATGCATTTACAAAATGTATTTAAATTTTTATAAACATCCATTTCACTTCAATAACATTATACTGTAGTATGTGGGTCTTATAACAGCCTAAAGGCCCATTATGCCTCAGATAATCCTTTCATATTAATATCTCAAAAGCATTTAATTTTTGTAGTCTTAAAAAAGTTACTCATTGGCCAATCACCTAAACTATCTTTTTCATCCAATTAGTACAGTATTAGTGATTCAGTTTGGAAGTAAAAAAACAGTTTATACTACTTTGTTTACATTTTGTTACTTTTATGACAGATAATTTCACATTTACAACTACTTTCTTCAGGTTAAAAGCAGCTAACATGGGCTCATTTATTTGTTTCTGAGGGATAATGTGCCTCATAATGTACATATTCATAATTTTTTTTATATAATGTATAATGGGTACTTTTTAAAAATCATATTACTTATGCAAAGTATAGAATTTGCAACATGTGATACAAATTCTTACATGAAAATACCAAATAATCTGTATCATCCAATTAAAATTATAGATATATACATTAAAACATACATAATTTATCATGTCTGTCAAATGATGAATGTTTGGCATTACAAGACGGTGACCTTGCATCTGTCACCATATGTTTTTATTGAAAATGCTGCATACTGATTAGATCATAACCCTGGAGCTTTATCTCAAAACTCTCTGGAAAACATTATATTTTAATAAGGGAACTTTTGATTATCAAATTTCAATTCATTTGACCCTTATGCAGCTAGTTACATGTATGCTGCTGAAATCATAATGGACAAGCTTTTGTCATCTATTAAGAGCCAGACCAGCCTGAGCAGTCAGGCTATTATTTTAGCTTACTTTAAATTTAACCTTAATATCCCCAAAACTGATTATAGAGACCAAAAAGTCCATTTTTAAAAATCTTATTAGGTTTAGTGATAAAATTAAAATATTTACAAAATCATTACTTCCTCAGAGATGCCATAAGTTTTTATGAAATGCCTGTTGAGAGTTCAATTAAATTTTGAGCTCAGTCCTGTCACTTGTGACAAACTAATTAGTGTCTAACCCTGAACCTGCTGTAACAAACTAAGTGTTTAGCTTTTGCCAGGCCAGTCTGCACTTATATGTATAGCTGAATATTTGTATTTTGATATTGAAATCCCTTAAATTATGAATAGACTATTCCAATCTAAAGCAGGGCAAAATGCATTTAATAAATTCAGTAAGAAAAGTGTTAAATTATAAAGGCAAAGAATGGAATTATTTGTTACAAACCAAAAATAGACATCAGGAAACTTCACCACTTTGTCATCAAGACTGAAGTTCTTATGTATACTCAAGGCAGATATACAAGAATTTACTTATGGTGAAATAACCCAGAAATACTAGGATTCAGTAATTGTAATTCTCAAAATAAGAATCAAACCCTGTTCCTATTGGTAAACTTCATGCATCTCAAAGATATGAATATTAAATGATTTGCTATAGCTAATCAATGTATAGAGAACCCATTTATTTGCTTTTTCTATTTTACAAACCTTCCATTCCTTTAAACCAGTCCAATTCTTTGACATGTACATCACACAGTTGTCTAGGAAGAGTTGGGCAAGTCCTGGCTGTTAAAATATTGCTCTCTGCCAGTGATAAAATCTTCTCCCCAGTATCTAAGAAATATAAGTTTGTATTATAGTTCTATTTTCACTTATATAACATTCAAGAAGGAATATATAAAACAAATTTCTTTTGATTTAACTTAGAGCACCTCATATAATATCACTTTTGTACTTTAGACATTCTTTTGAAATTAAGAAAATCAAAATTTGTCACACAATTCTTTTATAATAGGCTTAATATGTTTCATTTTACTATATTTAACACCTATGGTGGTTTACACTTAATTCCAAATAATGACATTAAACAACATCAAATACTTTAACATGCACTGCCAAATTTCATTTATCAAAATCTTTGCTGAATAAAGATTCCAAAGTTGTAAAAAAAACACCACCACCACCACCAACAACACAATATTACCAGTACAGTACACCATCTTTGCATACATGGCAGCAACAATACTGGACAGTCCTACACCTGCTCCCAAATCTACTATGACCTTGTCATCAAAGTTGCCATGGTTACATATAATATAGTCACTTAGTAACAGAGAACCATGCCATACCTAAAAACAAAGATGAAGTACATCAAGCTTTTATTTGCCAAAGAAAGGCTAAGTTTCTCAAAACTGTCTAGAGAAAGAACAAAATATTATAAAATGACTTTCAAGTTAAGATAGTCCTAAATAAATGTACACAACATAATAAACTCAGCCACTAAACAGTCCTAAAATAAATGAAATAAACTCAGCCAACTTAAATACATTTCACATGTTAGTAAGATCTTTTCAGAACAACTTTTTAAAGTTATAACAGTCTTAAGATGTCAACTTGTTAGAGATTCTATCAATGCTTATAAATATGAAGCAATTTCTATTATGTTGTTATACTAAATAAAAATTCATAATGTTGGAAATTAAATACATGTGGCTTAAAGTAACATACCTGTTCACCTACATTATTTAATTCTGTAGACAAACTGTGCTCTGCAATAAATTCAAAATTATGATTTCTAGTATCTTCTAGTAAAAGAATGTCTTAAATTTTTTAAAGGCTATACCCTTAAATATCTAAGTATACAGTATGTACTTCTCCAGCTTTTATCTTGGAAATAATGCTTGTGTGGGCATCATGGATTTGAATATAAACATACATGAACTTTTGTCAGCTGTATACATTTGTACAGTTATACTTAATATTGGCATAGACAAACCATTATTCCTGCCTCAGCAGTAAAAAGATTACAGTAACAAAGCTCAATTTCTTTTATACATGAAGCTTACAATTCTACAAGGTTATTGAGATTTTATTACTTTGTACATAAATAGTTTTGAAGCCAGCAGGACCTGGACATTTAATATCTGATATTACAAATAAATACAAAGTTAACATGTGTGAGTTTTGAACTGAAATAAAGTAACTATATTTGCATTGTAACAACATATTTTTGTAATTAATCATAATCAATAAATTAATATATCCATGTATTAAAAGGACTCCACTGAGCTTTAAAAGCCTAAATACATAACATTTGAATTTCTTACATAAATGAGCTGGGGCTCAGAACAAGAACTATTTAATACCCCACAAGACTGCTTCAGAAATGAGGAAGTTACAGAATACCTTGTTAAAGAATTGAAAAAGAGTTATGGTTGTGGGCAATTAAATATTGTTGTGGTTTTTGTATGTTGCATTTCCTTACAATATGGTTGACCATTGATGAAGTTTTATTGAATTACTTTGTAATAAATCCAGAAAGAGTTATGCTTCTTGAGCACTGCACTTCCTCTCATTGCGCTTGACCATTGAATGAAGTTGCATTGAATTCTAAACATTAGTTTTAAGTTATGCACTGGACAAGGAAAGGGAACAAAGGGTAATAACTCTACAAATACTGAAGATGGAGTTATGGTTATTGTACACTGCACTTCCTCTCATTTCGCTTGACCATGTATGAAGTTTGTATTGAATTCCAACTACTAGTTTTTCAAGTTATGCACTGGACAAAAAAGTAACAAAAACACTTCATCTCACTGCCCTTGACCATTGTATGAAGTTTCATTGAATTCCAAACAATAATTTTCAAGTTATGCACTGGACATTTAAAAGTAACCAAGGGCAAAAACTCTTAAATGAGTCAAGAAAGAGTTATAGTTTCTGTGCACTGCGCTTCCTCTCAATATGCTTGACCATTGTATGAAATTGTATTGAATTCCAAATAGTACTTTTCAAGTTATGCTCTGGACAAGAAAAAAGCAATGGAAAAGTAACAAAGGGTAATAACTCTGTAATTACTTTAGACAGAGTTATGGTTCTTATGTGCTACACTTCCTCTTATTGTGCTTGACCATTGTATGAAGTTGTTTTGAATTCCAACCAGTAGTTTTCAAGTTATGCCACGGACAAGGAAAAGTAACAAAGGGGAATAACTCTTTAATGAGTCATGATGGAGTTATGGTTCTTGTGCACTGCACTTCCTCTCAATGTGCTTGACCATTGTATGAAGTTATATTGAATTCCAACCATTAGAGACAAGGAAAATGCAACGGACGTCTGGACCGACCGACCGACCGACCACCGGGTGACTCCTATATACCCACCCAAACTTCGTTTTTGGGGGTATAAATATATGCAAAGACAGTTAAGAAATATACTTTGAAATAAATTGAAAATCGTATGTTTATGCTTTTTTTAGCACGATTTGAGTGAAAAGCATTTAAAAGCTTTTCATTTTGGGTCATTTTTTTACAATTTGAATAATTATTCTGAAAAAACGAAGTGTGCGTATTATCTGAAATTTTGCACAAAGATTAGTCTGTGGTCTAAAGTTACATCAAATGGTACATTTATCTGGAAAAAAATATTTTCAGACCAAACATTTCAAAAAATCTCAGTGGAGTCCCTTTAACTGTTAAGTTATACCTACTTATATTTATATAATAAATAGATGAATCATAATCATTGTCTTTGACTGTGTCCGAGACCTCACTAGCTTTTCTGAAACTTTCTGCATTATCACTAATTCCTGTCTTGACTTCTTTCTGCACATCTTCACCTGAATGTTGCTCTTTGACACAGTTCTTGCACATCTTAACTCTATCATTGACAAGTCTTTCTGAGTTTACAATTACATTTTTTCCTGATGTGTCAAATTCAAAAGGTCTCTTTTGACTTTCATAATTTGCATTACAATGTTGACATGCTTGTATTGAACTTTGAATTGTTTCTATCAATTTGTCACGAGGTGTATTTTCTGTTTCACAATCTAAATCATCCTTGATGTTATCCTCAGCATTTAAAATTGAGCTCATATTACCAGTATTACTTCCCTTTTCTAACTTTATTTTCTTCCTAACTGGAGTCTCTTCACTATTATCTTTAATTTCAAAGGAGTCTACATCTTTATATTCATCTTCCTGTGTGTCTATCTCCTTGCTCAAAGGCCTGTGGCTGTCTTCATTGAGTTTTAAACTTTGACAAGAGTGTCTTTCTAATATCAAGTCCCCATCTTCATCTAGTTTTAAACTTTGACATGAGTGTCTGTCTAATATCAAATCTCTATCGTCATCAAGTTTTAAACTTTGACAGGGGTGTCTATCTAATATCAAGTCCCCATCTTCATCAAACTTCTCTTTTTGATCCTCAGTTCTTCTATACTCTCTATGATATGCATCCTTTTCTTCTTCATGTCCAAATCTAGTGTCAGATTCTGTGCATTTATCGTTTAATTCAGTGTTCACATTTTCATTTGTTTTTAATTTTACAGCCTTCCTGTTGCAGTAATGCCCTTCTGACTTGGCTTTTAAATTGTGAAGATTTATCTTAAATCTTGTCACTGAAAGATATAATAATATGTTAATTTAGTTTCTGAGATACATGTATGGATGAAAATCCTTAAAAATAATCAGGTGTAAATGTATTCTCACCTTAATTAGTGCAGTAACGGGAAAACAGTAAACTCCTATTAAATCTAAATAGAAGTTAACCTGTTAGTACACTTAAGTGACAATACATGTGGCTACTAGTAAATATAAGCTTGCTATATTCAATTCTGTTGTAAAAAAAGCTAGCTTGCTACCGGAGACTATCTGAAATTACTTTGCATGAAACTACAATTAATACACTAATTTAATGGCCCTGTCAATGTTCGCAAAGTTGATTTAACTTGGCATTTGTGACCTGACCAAATTCATGCACAGAAATGCTGTTATAAATATTAATTTACAGATCTAGTCACTTGATGATGTTTTAAATTAATTTAATATCATTATAAAGTAATTTATTACATTATTTTCTTGCAGATGCTATTTAACTAAAAAGAAACTTACCTGCATTATCAGAGTTTGGTAAAACTTGAAACTGGCAGTCAGTGTGCACCTCTGACAGTACATGTGCATTTGCATCTTGTACATATGACTGGGAAAGCATTTTACTTTTGGAATTTCCCAAATCTAAAAATAGATATTGGATTTCGTACCCAATTTGGTACGTAATTAAATTTTTTCTAAGCATATCTATTATAAAAACCAAGGAAAGTTTGTTTGTTGTTTTTTTTACTAAGAAATCTAAACGGTTTAGCTTTTACAATAATTGATTGTATCACAGATCTATTAAGTCTCTGATTGTATCGACATCAAATTTAAGAAAAGGGAACTAACTCTCCTGAAACAACAACAACAACTATTACAACAACAACAAAAAATTCGTCAAAACGTGGTGCAACTAACACTGACTAAGTTTAAAAGCATTCTGTGATTCCTCGTAGCTCTTTAAATATTTGAAAAGGTAGGATATTATGAATCAACACTTCAAGTAAAGCGATGCGATACAGAAACCTGTTTTGGTGTTGTGTATGATAAAGAGTTAAGCTTTCTCTCAGTATATTTCAACACATTGTTTGACACTGAATGTATTTAAATTTATCTGTTTATGGTTAAACCTACCACCTGCCACGAGTCAGAAATACACTGAGATACGCAATCGGTAGTCTTTACTCGCAATTCTACTGATAAGAAAAGCCTTTGAAAATGTCAATCCGTGTTTTATAAATAATTTCATAATAACAATAAATAGTGATAACACAAACCTTAATATTAATAATTAAAAAGTGGGCCAAGTTGACCCATGCCGAGTTGGAATAGGGCCGAGCTGACTCGGGGGCCGAGTACGTTTTAGGGCCGAGCTGACCCGGATTCAGTTAAGTTTTGTAGTTCTACAAGTTCTACTGTAAATAGGATTTGGAGTCGTCCTTTAGTCAGCTCGGCCTGTGGTCAACTTTAACGTCACATCATATTGTGCCGTTGTCAATTAGTCCTGACGAATAACAGACTGTTTTACCCATTGCCAGTTCGCGCCTGAATGATACTAATTATAACCTGTCTATACCATGGGTTGCAGGAATTATTATATTTTTATTGAGGTCCTTCAAGATCATTGATTCCAAATTATAACTTTTAGTTGAGAGTTGTTGCACCTTTCATCATCTCTCACAAACAGACTCCATCCAACCTACACTGCATTTTTTCACCTTTTTTCTTGTGTTGTTTTCCTTTTTCCAGAATTTTACATCATGAATTCAATGTTGAAGCATGGCTTTAATATAAGGAATTCATTGGAAAATCTAAACTTTATAGTCCCACAAATCCCCAGGGTAGGGGAGGGAGGGCGACTGGTATGTAACACCATGACTAGTAGACATACACACATAGTTACAAAAGCTGGGTCAAAAGCAACAAAGAATTATTGCACTTTATGCTTAAATCCTACCACTTAATAATACCTAATGAACATAACAAAGAATTATTGCATGTTACACCCTGTCCTACTACCTTTGGTCCTATAAGTGCTTACCAATTCATTCATGAGTACATCTGTAATAGTTGATTCATATGACAAACCAATTTCATGTCCAGTTGGACTGACTTACTTATAACTAACGGAAATACTCCAATCCTGCTTAATTTTAATTGGGAAATCAAGTGAACTGTGTGTTTTGAGGATATCAGAATTTCAATATACATTTGTATTGTTATGTGAAGAATAGCCTACTACAGAAAAATCCTTCTTATAAAAGCATAATCATTATGTAGATTTTTTTCAAGATAAAATTTAAATTATCAAAACCCCTCTCTTATGTATATTTTAGGTGTTGCTGTAAAAGGACACAAAAATGCCAAAGGCACCTAAAGCAGTTGTTGGAAAATCCAAGAAGGTGGTACATCCCAACAGTCGACATGCACTGTACATTCAAAAGCAAAATAATCGCGAACATAGGCTAATGAAAAACAAAGCAGAATCGGCAATTAAGCAGGAACATCTTCAGCAAAAGCTTCTGTGGTACCAGACAAACTTGGATTCTCAGAAGTCTATGTATACTAAGAATGAAGTAGCAGAGTTGACTTGCACATACCTAGAAAGATTTAATGATGAGCTGGAACAGATAGGCATTGTAAATTCTGTTGGAAATAGGCAAACAAAACAGCACCAGGCTCGTGAAGCTGCCATCAAAATATCGAAGGAAAGAGAAAACCATGAGTTTGATACCATAGGTATTGAGGTGCCTGACCTGTTAAATGGAAAGAATTTGGAATATTTTCGAAATTGGACAGGGGAAATTAGATTCTTTCCAAACATAAAGCTTAGGAAATCTAAAAGGTCAGACTTGAAAGAAAAAACAGAGAAAATTGATGAGAGTGAAATTAATGAAGAACTACCAGACTATGATGACTGTGTGGGAAATGATAAAGATACTGTTAATGCTTCTGATGATCTACCAGACTATGTTGATACTGACACTAGTTGATTGGACATTGTTTTGAATCATTATTTTAGTACATATACTTTCTTAATAAATGGTTAAAGCATGATTGCATACAATTTATGAGTTAGAGTACTGCAGTTATATTTACCATCAGAATTTGATGCGGTGTCATGGTTTTAAAACAAAGAAGTTTTCTTGAATGATGTATTTGGTTAGAAGAACATATACTTTAGTCTGCATAAACCAAATACATGTAATTACAAAATCAGCAGTTAGAAAATCTTGTCCGGCAAAATACATATTACTGTAATGCATCAAGTCTTTTTAAATAACTTGGCATGATGAGACAGTGTGTCATGTGCAAGACAAAGACCTCAAGGTCAAGGTCACACTTACAGGTCAAAGATGAGCAGTCTTCCTGGTCATGCATCAAGGGATTTTGAAGTTAGTTGGTTAGTGTTGAAGTTAGAACTTATGTTCTTCCAGTTTATGCTCCAGTACAGACTATCATTTTAAAATCAAGGCATCTCATTCTGTCCTCTTACTTTAAAAGGTCTTTTATTGGAAACTAGAAATGTGTCCATAGAACACGGGTGCCCCCACACTCCACCGATTTGTCAATCTTATGTCTCTAGGTCAAATTTTTTTTTTGGCTACATCTGCCCAAGTTGAAAACTAAAAATCTTGAATTAAGTAAATGGCAAATACTACAAATACTGAATAAATCCACAAGAGAACCCCAAAGTGCATAAGTACACATGCTGACCAACATTCTTGTAAACTTTCAGGCCTACAGGTCATAAACTTTTTGAATTACGTGCAACACAAGTTAAATATTGTAAATTTTTACTAAGTCAAGGGCAATAACTAAAAATACTAAAATATCCACACGAAAATACCCAGGTGCACAACTACACATGCTGAGCAACATTCCTGTAAGGTTTCATGACTCTAGGTGAAATACTTTTTTGAGTTACGTGTGACACAAGCTGAAAATTGCAAGTTTTTACTAAGTCAAGGGCAATAACTCTAAAAATACTAAAAATATCCACACGAAAATACCCAGGTGCACAACTACACCTGCTGATCAACATTCCTGTAAGGTTTCATGACACAAGGTCAAATATTTTTTTAGTTACGCGCTATACAATTTGAAAATTGGAAATTTTTTCTAAGTCAAGGGCAAGGGGGTTCATTACCATTTTTCTTTTATTATGAAATTAAATAAAAAGGTTATTTTTTTCGTCCCGGCTCGTGAAAATATGTGGCATTTTATCATGTTGAGTGAAAATATATTCCATATTTCACGAAAACGAAAAAATATCCTCTTAGTATTGAACTTCTCACTGTTCTTTTAAAAAAATTAATTTGAAAGTTAAAGGGTAAAAAGCCTAATGAAACTATTTGTATAAATTTATAAATAGTAAAATAATGTTATTTCCTTGACCTTGAATAGTTTTGAAGGATAAGAGATAACAAAAGCTATATTACAATAGAAAACATCACTTTATAACAAGATATATTTAACAATATTGTAACAAAACATTTGTTTATAATCATATAATTCTGCTGTCTCACAAAGTTAAGATATCATACTGCAAACCTTTGTATTATAAAGCCATTGTATTGCAATATAACCCATTGTCCATGGCTGTCCTGAAGAAATCTTGAATCAAATGCCTATGACTAATAAACTTAAAGTCGCATGCCTCCAGATTAATTCTAATTTTCATGAAAATTTTGAAAATTTATTTATAAAATATTGTGAAGTGAACAAAAAATGTACTGCAAATGGCACTTATAATCAACATTACTTTCTACGAGGTCAAAATATGCAAAAATAGCCCTGACTGCTTTAGTCAAGCAGTAGAAAAATGGTGATAAATTACTGCAAAATCAGTCCTTTATCACACATGACAATTTGACGGGTAATGTCACTCGAATCTTTTTACTTTTCTTAAAGTCTTAGTACATTTTTCTCAAGTTTGATTTTCTTGAAATATTTGACTCATTTGGAGGCATGCAGCTTTAATATTTTGTAAATACAGATCAGTTTCCAAGGATAAACAGAATTATTGTCTTTCCTTCCACATTAAATCCTTCTAACAATTAACTTATGTGTTTTGAAATCTTGTAAAAAACATTTTTGTTGCCTAAGTTACCAGATTTGTGTAACAAAATTGAATTCTGATCATTTTAAATAAAACAATTCTTAGAGGCCTATGCAAGAAAATTAAACTAAACATTATTAGACATACATTATTTTATCATTCCTCTGAGAAAATAAAATCTTAATTTTTGTTAATGCCTTCTATACAGACATTTAACAAAATAATACTCTGTAACAAATATTTTACACTTACAGACACAACAAAGAAAGAAACATTTACATTTTTGGAGAAAACATTAAATGGATTCTGACATAAAAAAGTACAGAGATCACTACATGTATAAATAATATTGGGCAGATAAAAACATACTCTAGTGATTTACTATCCAAGCTTGATGTGATCTATGTTACTTGTGTGAGGACCATCATTCTGTGTATGGTATTGGTTTAGATTCTGTAACACAGGACAATTTCTGTAAACAATTATGCTTTAGGGGATTTCCATAGGTTCTGTATACTTACCAATATAGTTATACATTAAATTCAATTCAAAGTTCCCTTTAATTCTAACAGACCAGTTTTGAGATACATGTATATATGTAATTATGGCTCTGAACAGAAATTTTCCTTTGCAAAATCTTTATTACAAAATAGAAGAATGAATTACTTTAAAAATGCTCTTGTTGATTTTGATATCATTTTACAGGATGTGTGCATATACATGTATACTTATGTAAACTTGATTTACAAAACCTAAATAACAAGTTCCAAGATATGGCTCTTTACAATTTTTCTCTTACAAACATGTACATATGATTAATATTTTCCATAGAAGATAACTCTATTATAAAGTGGCACTGAGATGACATGTGCGTGTTTTTATGTATCATATATCATGTTATATTATTTGTCCTGTGCATGAGATACTATGTCGTGTGCACAAGATAATTAAATTGTGGGCACAAGTTACTAAGATACTATGTAGTGCACACAAGAAACTATGTTGTGCACAAAAGATAGTATTATAGCACATCATGTGCACACGATAAATAAAAACTTACACATATCATCTCTATGCCACGGTACCATTGAGCTAACACACTGCAACTTTTTTCGATGTTTGTATACTGAAAGACTGATTATGTACATTCACATAGCTGAATATTTTTGACAGCCTCTTTGGTAAATTTTTCTGTCATCACATTTTCAAATATCAAATGAAATTCAGAAGACAAGCAAATACGGTAAAAAATATTGGCCTCTTCAATCAAACACTTTAGAAACATATTGTTCTAAAGCACTTTAAATACATGTATGATAATGTTCCATTTACATGTATACATTCTGACTCCCATAATATTTATTCAAAATGATAATGATATGCTGTTGAGGGCCAGCCTAAGATGTTCCGATTGTAGCTTCTACACCCATTTTCAACTTGCTGTAGATTTAGGAGTATTTCTTTTGTAATGCTATCACTCCCAGCCAATCATTTACTCATATTACATGTTTATGTTATATCTGAAATAATATTCACATCTGGACATTTAATTTATGCCGCATACTCCACAACAGTTGATTTATTCGCGGTCTTGTGCTTGGTGGAGACAATTTATCCATTTTTACACCATTTTCACGAAGTTTCCCTAATGTCATTTCCGTTACTTGATGACATTCACGTATCTGTAACATCTTCAGGTTTTTACCATATTCTGCTAGAAACCTGAAATAACAACAACAATGTTTTAGTAATTGTATTACTCAATTAAATTATCAAGTTAAGACTAAGTCTTGTATTACTGAATTAAACTAGAGGATGCTTTTGTAAAAAAGCGCATGTCTCCCCCACTGCTGAGAATAACTGTGAATGGAAACAGGAATGGAAATGGAGATAAGATAATGTAAATACCCGGTAGTCACTTCAATGAAGGCTGTCTATGGATGGTTTCTATTGTTAAGGTTGTATGAGAAGATGCTTCCTAAACTGTTTGTTTTTAACCAGGTATTCAATTTTGAAAATCCTGGTTATTCAATCAGCGTATGGCAGGCGGGCGTCAAACGAAATTGCACTTGATGGTCATATCATATATAGTTTCACAAATGAAATTAAATGAAATTGTGTCTGCTCCATAATTCTTCAAACCTTTAAAGGATTTTGATGATACTTGAAACAAACGTTCATATTGTCAGATTTTTTTACACTATTGAAAGACAACTCAAATTACAATGTTGAGGGTTGTAGGTCTAAATTAACCAACGGTCACCTTGACCTTTGACCTACTGACCATTAAAACAATAGGGATCATTTGATTAATAAGACCAATCATCCTATGAAGTTTGAGGGTTGTAGGTCAAAAGGAACTCTAGTTATCATCCGGAAATGAGAAATTGACCAACGGTCACTGTGACCTTGACCTTTGACCTACTGACCCCAAAAACAATAGGGATCATCTGCTCTATAAGACCAATCATCCTATGAAGTTTGAGGGCTGTAGGTCAAAAGGAACTCTAGTTATCATCCGGAAACGAGAAATATTGACCAACGGTCACTGTGACCTTGACCTTTGAACTACTGACCCCAAAAACAATAGGGATCATCTGCTCAATAAGACCAAAGTTTGAGGTCTGTAGGTCTAAAGGAACTCTAGTTATCATCCGGAAACGAGAAATTGACCAACGGTCAGTGTGACCTTGACCTTTGACCTACTGACCCCAAAAACAATAGGGATCATCAGCTCTATAAGACCAATCATCCTATGAAGTTTGAGGGCTGTAGGTCAAAAGGAACTCTAGTTATCATCCGGAAACGAGAAATTGACAAACGGTCACTGTGACCTTGACCTTTGAACTACTGACCCCAAAAACAATAGGGATCATCTGCTCAATAAGACCATTCATCCTATGAAGTTTGAGAGCTGTAGGTCAAAAGGAACTCTAGTTATCGTCCGTAAACGAAGAATGGACGGACTGACGGACGGACAGACTGACGGACGGACAGGGCAAAAACAATATGTCTCCCCCCAGTTTGAGGGTTGTAGGTCAAAAGGAACTCTAGTTATCATCCGGAAATGAGAAATTGACCAACGGTCACTGTGACCTTGACCTTTGACCTACTGACCCCAAAAACAATAGGGATCATCTGCTCTATAAGACCAATCATCCTATGAAGTTTGAGGGCTGTAGGTCAAAAGGAACTCTAGTTATCATCCGGAAACGAGAAATTGACCAACGGTCACTGTGACCTTGACCTTTGAACTACTGACCCCAAAAACAATAGGGATCATCTGCTCAATAAGACCAATCATCCTATGAAGTTTGAGGTCTGTAGGTCTAAAGGAACTCTAGTTATCATCTGGAAACGAGAAATTGACCAACGGTCAGTGTGACCTTGACCTTTGACCTACTGACCCCAAAAACAATAGGGATCATCAGCTCTATAAGACCAATCATCCTATGAAGTTTGAGGGCTGTAGGTCAAAAGGAACTCTAGTTATCATCCGGAAATGAGAAATTGACCAACGGTCACTGTGACCTTGACCTTTGAACTACTGACCCCAAAAACAGTAGGGATCATCTGCTCAATAAGACCATTCATCCTATGAAGTTTGAGAGCTGTAGGTCAAAAGGAACTCTAGTTATCGTCCGGAAACGAAGAATGGACGGACGGACTGACGGACGGACGGACTGACGGACGGACAGGGCAAAAACAATATGTCTCCCCCCGAGGTAGGGGAGACATAATTATGAAGTTAAGACTTGTATTTTGAAGTGAATAAATTCAGCACTTAAAGTAAAACATTTTCGGAACTGTCCATAATCTATTTTAGGGATACATGTACTTAGATCAATTAGTCAACAGTATAGACTGAATGGATGTGCTGACTGGCCTGGCTCTATACTGTGTTGACAAAGGATCCAGCGGGTTCTGTTTTCAATTGGTTTTAAACTACATCCCTACATCATTACAAACAACGCAGAAATCTAACTTTAGCAACTTACTCATTAAACTAACAAGTTAACGGAGACCCTCAGATGACCTTTTTGCACTTTTCAAGTACAAGCAGGTATCTGTGTAGAATGCTCTAGAAAATTCTAACTGTATGTAACAAAGGATATAAAATATAAGAATGTTAGATACCTGATACTGTCATCTGTGATTCTCCAGCATCCTTGAATGTTTAAATGATATAACTGACTGCTACATTTAGCTAGTACTGTCATTGAGTTGTCTGTTAGTCCATATATCTTCGCAAGCTGAATGGATTTCAATCTAAATAACAACAAAAATAATTAAGTTATGGCTGAAAGAATGTGTGTGGTAAAAACGAAAAATTCATCATCATTCCTTAAGATTTCAGAAAAAAAATCTTGTATCAGATGTCAATGTCATATAGTGTACACAAAGTGGCACAGTTTGATTTTCATTTAGTGTGTCGGGAAATTGGCACAATGTTTTGTTGAGTGTCCACAAATTGGCACAATGTCATAATGAGCTTTATTTAAAGATAATTATAATAACTAAACAGAGGAATGAAAATTTTATAAAGTCAACTCAAGTGACTCAGACACAGCAATCTAAGGAAAAATCAGCTAAATTTGAAATTTCATTTACAGAAGTATTCACATATGACATTTATATTGTATCAATCGATCCACTTCAGTCTTTTAGATTTTTACACACATGTATTTTACTTTAATACTTACAACACAAATACAGGCCTTCCATAAGAAATAACATAAAGCAAAATTTTTTGTGATATGGTTGTTAAATTTACATCGATTGATTTGTTCAACCTACTACAAAGTCATGTACTTGTCATAAATATACTTGTATTTAATGGATGTTTATAAGCATTGACCATAAGATATTTGAGCTGCGTCACGACAAAACCGACATAATGGGTTTGCGACCAGCATGGATCCAGACCAGCCTGCGCATCCGTGCAGTCTGATCAGGATCCATGCTGTTCGCTTACCAACCCTACTACAAGTAGAGAAACTTATAGCGAACAGCATGGATCCTGATCAGACTGCAAGGATACGCAGGCTGGTCTGGATCCATGCTGGTCGCAAACGCACTATGTTGGTTTTGTCATGACGCGGCTCATTTATTATTTTACTTACCTTGGACAACTTGAAACTAGCACAGACAAAGACTCGTCATTGACATTCCAACATCCATTAAAGTCAATTGTTTCCAAATCTTTACAGTATAAACCTATCACAGTCACGCCTTCTGGACTTAACCAGACACAATCCCGTAACATTAACTTCTTCAAACCCGGACAATGCACTGCGGCACACTGGAGTACTGCGTTCGAAACACTAGTACAATTAGTCAAGTCTAACAATTGTAGTTTAGGATTGCATTTTAAAACTGGTATCAATAACTCGTCTGATAGCCATCCCTTTGAATTACGTAAATTCAGACGCAGTAAATTTGTATTTTCGTCTGTCAATATATGGAAAGCCTTTGCAGTCACTTTACCAGCTATTCTGGCAATATTTATTTCTTTACTCTGGCTGAAGTATTCTTTGATCATGAGCAATGAAGTGGTACAAACGCGTCGTAATTGGAACAAAGTTTGTACTGGCAATAATGGTAGAATGTATTGAAATAAAACATCATCCCATGGCACATCAAACAATGTTGTTGAAGACATTTCATCATAATGATCTCCACTGAAAAAAAAAATCGTAAATAAGCTTATAAAAGAGTCATGTATTAACCTGTCCAAGATCATGATTTGTTTAAGCAATATGCAGATCTTATTTAAACTTTAATTTGTATCAATTATTATAGGCAATGTTAATCTTAATGATGAAATAGTTATCACTGTTATGGTGCATATCACTTTAAAACTTTGATGGCACACAGCTTAAAATACATAGAATAGGACAAAAGACAATAATCTCATACCTGCATGTTAGTAAAAGCAACTATGTAAAATTAAATTTTTCAAAAGCTATCTCAAAAGCTACTCAAATGAGATTGTATTAAATTCAAATCACAGCTCAAAAAGTACAAATGTATTCAGTTACCAATCTAAAATGAAAGAGACCGTAAATAAGTGAGTGAGATACACCCTTTAATTATTAATTCTTATTTTAGTCAACTTTGACACTCACTGTATAATACAGACTATAAATAAACAGGTTGGACATACCATATGGCCGTAATACTATACCATGCGAAAATGTTATAATTTAAATAAGTAAGTTGAATTATGTTTAAACTTCAGTGGGGTAAACAACCATATTACATCAACAAGCATGATAACATCTTAAACTGATTTTGCAAAACACAAAATGAGAGCTTAGTTAATAGTTTTCTGCTTTATTTGTTACAATATTCTGATTTCAAGACTATATCTGATATTTCCCCCAGAATAAAGAGTAGAGACAAATTAACTATAATCTCATACCATGCACCATAATTATCCACTGCCTCCTTAGAAGTTACATTATCTTCTTGTATTTCTCCGGTTACATCATGATCCCCATGGCAACCTGCTCTATTCTCTGTAGCTGACATTATTCAGCTGTTTCAATTTTGTATCACAATGTCACCATTCCTAAAACAAATCATCAAGTCACGATCTGAATGATACCAGGAAAATTTATTTCGTTTACCAGTACCTTCATTTATTGACAAAAATTATATCAAGTTTACCTATTTTTAATAGTTTATTGCCTTTGAAAATACATTTATTCTTTATATTTGTGAAAACTGGCAAGAGTCTATGTGCTTTTTTACTACCAAAAAGGGTGTTCACACTTCCAAAATGTATGGACTTAGGTAATATTTATATCTATACGAAGATTTTTATCAAAGAATTTTGTTTTTTTCAGCCAAACATATTGACAAAAATATCACCAAAAGTTTGGACTCGCACTGCGGTCAGTCTAAATACCCCAAGATATCCACAGATGCTCCAAATCTACCCCTAAGATTACTTCAATTTAAAAACACATTTAAAGATTTATTTATAAAGTTTACTCAGGTATAAAGTAAGGCTATTAGAAACTAGAAATGTGTCATCATGCCACGGATGCCCCCGCATGCAGCCAAAATTTCAGATGGTGCATTAATTATTTTTTTCATTTTAAGTTCAAAGCCCTTAAAACTTTTCAATGTTAACACAAACCATTTTCATACAATGTTCAAGGCACTGAAATTAATCAGTCTTAACCTTTTAAAAATAGCATATTGCATATTTGTAGCCAAAATAATGGCTAAAAGTATGAGTGCTGAAACTGAAAGTTCAAAATTTTTCCAACATTCAGGAAAGATAAGTTTGTCTAAAATCATTGAACCACGACCAAATTCAAACTTAAACTGCTTATTCCTAAGATGTATCTATATTATTTTCAAAGTGAAAGGGACATAACTCTGCCAAAAAATCATCAAACCATGACCAAATTCCAACTTGACCTGCCCATTCCTTTGACATATCCATATGTCAAATTTAAGTTGAATATGTAACTCTGTTGGGTAGATAATGAACAGAAACTGTAAATTTCATATTATTTTCAAAGTGAAAGGGGCATTACTCTGCCAAAAATCATTAAACCATGACCAAATTCAAACTTGGCCTGGGCATTCCAAAAACGTATCCATATGTCAAATTTGAGTTGAATGTGTTGTACCATTGGGGAGATAATAAACGGAAACTGAAAATTTCATATTACTTTCAAAGTGAAATGGGCGTAACTCTGCTAAAAATCATTGAACCACAACCATATTTGAACTTGACCTGCGCATTCCTTTGACACAATCATATGTCAAGTTTGAGTTGAATGTGTTGTAGCTTTGGGGAGATAATGAACAGAAACTGAAAATTTCATATTATTTTCAAAGTAAAAGGGGCATAACTCTGCCAAAAATCATCGAACCATGACCAAATTCGAGCTTGACCTGTATTTTCTCATGACATATCCATATATATCAAGTTTGGGTTGAATGTGTTGTACCGTTGGGGAGATAATGAACAGAAACTGAAAATTTCATATCATTTTCAAAGTAAAAGGGGCATAACTCTGCCAAAAATCATCAAACCATGACCAAATTCGAACTTGACCTGTATTTTCTCATGACATATCCATATGTCAAGTTTGAGTTGAATGTGTTGTACCGTTGGGGAGATAATGAACGGAAACTGAAAATTTCATATTATTTTCAAAGTAAAAGGGGCATAACTCTGCCAAAAATCATCGAACCATGACCAAATTCGAACTTGACCTGTATTTTCTCATGACATATCCATATGTCAAATTTGAGTTGAATGTGTGCAACTGTTCTTAAGATAATGAACGGAAACTGATGATGACGGAATGACAGAATGACGGAAGGACGGAATGACGGAATGACGGAACAGGGTAACACTATATGCCCCGGCCATTACATGGCGGGGGCATAAAAATTATTGTATTGTTGATTGGTGATTTTTTGTGAAATTTGGTGAACGTTTTCCATTCAGTGCAGTAAGCTGGATATCATATTATAGTTGAAAAGTTCTAAGAAGGGCATCAGAAGACTTTCCAAGTTAATTTAATGAATTTGAATACATGTAACTGTTTTAACAACTGTTTGTATTTGAAACATACAAGGCAAAGTTTTCACCGGTATCACCCTCCAGGATCAGCCCTGCATATTAATGTCTTTTTTGTGTCGCCTCTACGGAGTAGTGGTGACATATAGGGATCACTTCTCCGTGGTCTGTCTGTCTGTCCGCACTCACAGGAGAGTAATTATGTGGCTAGAGGGACAGTAGGTAACTGTTCTTTCTCTTTGATGTCATTCATTCCTTAATGCTTTTATGTGGCTATTTTCTTTTGTGTTGCTAAAAAGAACAATAGAGAGAACAATAGAGTAGCCACATAATTACTGTCCTGTGAGAACGTCCGTCTGTCTGTCCGTCACAAAACTTGTCCGGATTACTCCTCATAAACTACTGGTGCAATTTCATCCAAACTTTACAGGAATGATCAGTACCAAGTCTAGTTGTGCATATTGTCAGCATTTTCCGGTTCAATGATTTTTGTCAGAGTTATGGCCCTTTAATAATTTTTATTTTTAAAGTTTGTCCGGACTACTTCTCTTATACCACTAATGCAATTTCAATGAAACTTTACAGAATTGATCTGTAGCTCAAGTCCTTGTGCATATTGCACGGGTTTTCCGGTTGAATGATTTTTGGCCGAGTTATGGCCCTTTGATAGAAAGGTGTTTTTTTTCTGTGTGTTGCCAGATACACAAAAGCTTGTCCGGACTACTCCTCATAAACTACTGGTGCAATTTCATCCAAACTTTACAGGAATGATCAGTACCAAGTCTAGTTGTGCATATTGTCAGCATTTTCTGGTTCAATGATTTTTGTCAGAGTTATGGCCCTTTAAAAAATTTTATTTTTAAAGTTTGTCCGGACTACTTCTCTTCATCATACCACTAATGCAATTTCAATGAAACTTTACAGAATTGATCTGTAGCTCAAGTCCTTGTGCATATTGCATGGGTTTTCCGGTTGAATGATTTTTGGCCGAGTTATGGCCCTTTGATAGAAAGGTGGTTTTTTTCTGTGTGTTGCCAGATACACAAAACCTTGTCCGGACTTAACTCCTCATAAACTACAGGCGCAATTTTATCCAAATTTTACAGGAATGATCAGTACCAAGTCTAGTTGTGCACTGTCCGTCTGTCTGTCAGTCTGTCACAAAACTTGTCCCAACATGAAATTAGCCATCATGAGGCGACACATGTGATCACTGATCGCTCTTGTTTTGTATTATAATTTCTTTCATGTACTAAATAATTTGATACTTATTTACTTAAGTCCATATTCTTCAATAAACATTCCCATGAACTCAGTGTTTGTCATTCCTAATTATAATACAACATTTTGTCGATTTATATTTTCTCATTACATAGCTTTAACTGTATAAAGCTATATATCTAATTATATATTTTATATAAATAATCATAAATGATAAAATTATCTTGTTTCAACAATCTTAATGTCCACTCTTGAAAAAATTATACAAAAGAATGTTTCTCAATTATTTAACACAAAATTGTATATAAATCTGAATAAAATGTTTCTGAACAAAATATTATATTTGAAGCAATGTTGAAATAGTTAAGCAAAGATTTCTTGCATTCACCATCTGATTTTAAAGTAACATACAAACATATTTCTTTCTTACAAATATTTTGGAGTAATTCTTTTTCCAAATTCGAACAATAATTTTGTACGTAAATAACCTCATATGAATGGCAACCATCTTTGTTTTTAAGTACTTAATACCTGGAATGACTTTTAAACAAACAATACAAAGTTAAAAACATATGTAAATGGTCCATTACCAGGGTTCCCACTGTTGCTTGCTTATGGAACCAAAATATTAATTCTGGCACATAAAATCTTTAATTGGCGAATTTTACTGGCTCCAACATAAGATAAAAAGAATTAGTAACGATTCGCCACACTAACGATTCGCCACATAACGATTCGCCACAGAGTAATAACGATTCGCCACAGTTAAATAACGATTCGCCACAGTATGATTATAAAAATGATTTTTTTAGTAATCAACAAACTTTTTCCTTTTGTTTTAATAATTTGACAATGACAATAATTTAATAATGTTTCTTAATACAAGTAATATGAAGTTAAGGCCCCCATCGAGGAATTTCAATTTATCAAAGTAACATTATTACAGGAGTACATTTACAAGAAAGTAATTATATGTTGAAAAAAAATAGAATATATATTTATATATATTTATAAAAATACATATTTCATAAATTATATATATAAGTCAAATATTTTTAAAAAAAAGTATTGCAAAACATGTGTTTTGAAAATTGATTTACGATAATTGATTAAAGAACGCACATCTAAAACATTTGTCACACCTTTAATCTAAGCAAGCCAATCACCTTAGGATTGTTGTAGAAATATTTAATTGACGCCGAAATAATCCTTTATTTAGCTGACAACGTGAGCAGTTTTCAAAACAATGCGGTAATTAAGCTTATGTTTGTTAACAAATTAATTTGAGCGATATATGACGTTTTAGAGGGTTTAAAAACACCATCTTGCACAACTTAAAATCATACACAAAATAGTATACAAACGAAAAATAACGAAAACAAAATCATGCCTGCTCCTCCTTGTTCATTCTGTTTAAGACGTATCTACAGTAACTCACGTGCTGTAACATGTGACAAGTGTCAAAGATGGCATATAAAATGTGGAAACACAGGTATGATTAATTTTAAGATGAAATATTACATACTATATTAAAAAAAGTTTAATATTGCGAAAATGAACAATGTCAAAATGTTTACTGTTTTTTTTTTTTGTTCTATTTTTTTTAAATTTACTAAGCTTCATACATATTAAATAGATAAAATAATATAACTAATAAAAAAATGTGCTTTGTTAATATAACTAATAAAAAATGTGCTTTGTTAAAACATTATTTTTTATTGTTGCAGGTATTTCTCAGCAAGACTACGATGCAGCCGTAGAGGGTAATATTGATCTGCATTTTATATGCGCAATTTGCCGTTTTGATGACGAGTCAATGGAGGTAGAACCGATGGAAGTCGACAACTGTGAAGATGTGACAATGATCTATTGTGATCTGGAAGTGCCAGAACCAGTCTGTAACTCTAGTGTCTCCATGATAGAAGAAATTAGTGATTACGTTCGCGCCGACAACACCAGTACATTTGACGTGCCAGGGACCGTTAGAGATATTGAACCTGACAATATAGAGACTGATATTCCCGATGACACTGTTGTGGGGGTACCATCAGCATCAGAAGTGATTTACGAAGTAATAGAGAAGGGTACTGAACGAGGGAAACCGAAATTGGTGACATCGGATGGGTATTCGTTTGTTATCAATAGAACATTCAATTCAGGCGTTGTAGAGTGGCGGTGTAGTGTTAGAAGAAAGGACTTAAAGTGTAGCGCTATCGTTAAACAGAAAGGGGATTCGTTTCACCCATCAAGTGTTGGTCACAGTCATCCGTCTAAACCTGGACTGAGCGTGTCAGTTCAAGTGAAAAAGAAGGTAACGTTATCATCAATATATTCAATGATTACAATACTCAACCATTTTCTAAATCAAAATTTAAAGCTGTCATCACAAGGAAAAAAATGAAGATATTTATAGCATATGTAAGAAAACCAGGCTAGTTTAACATGAATTTTAATTACACTGAAACCAAAATATTAAAGAAATAAATGGAAAATGAATAAATAATTATCATATGTTTTCATTGTTCTCACATGCAATATATAACAAATATATATGATATATGTATTAAATCAATTTATATTTCCAGTTGAAGGAGGTTGCCGTCACCGATATTTTCGAAACAGCACCAGTAATTGTGAAGAACGTAACAGATTCACTACAAGACGCCAATCAACCAGAAGCCTCTCGAACCACAGATCAGGCACTTTACCAGATGTGCAGTCGCGCACAACAACAACTCTTGATTTTGAGGTATAAATCATACATATTTTAATCTTGATGTAAAACATATACATAAGTATAAAAAAACAAAAATATAAAGAGTTTATATAAATTAAAGCAATCACAATTAAAATATTTTTTTATACATTTATATACATGTATATATAAACGTGAATACGAATATTATTATTGTTATAATTTAAATTATAATATTTTATATTTTTCAGATTGACGAGGAATACCTTGGTCGAACAATAGAAGAACCTTTCTACCGGGAAACAGTGACGGTGAAGGACCGAAAACATATTATCCTGTCTACAGACGTACAGCTCAGCCTTCTCTCCAGAGCGAAGTCATGGTACATCGACGGTACATTCAAAGTGGTGAAGACTCCCTTCACTCAACTTTTGTCTGTTCACGCTTTCATCAAGTCCGGGGAAAACATGAAGCAGGTCCCTTTATGTTTTGTACTAATGTCTGGGAAAAAACGGCGTGACTATAAAAAGGTAATGAAATATTAATAATTAATGTTTACTTGAGTTGTAAATAAAATGATGACATTCAGCAAACTGTATTTCTTGCAAAAAAAAAAAACAACATCTCTATCTTTATTTTGTTGATTTTTTCCTACATTATTCTGTTTGATACAAACTATAAACTACAGTTATTACTGGTTAATTTTTTTCAGGTCTTCCGAGCGATCAGCAATCTAACACCTGGGCGATGCGTTGAAACATTCGTTGTTGATTTTGAAGCAGGAATGTGGCAGGGGCTAAGAGACGTGTTTGAGGATCCCCACATTAAAGGCTGTGCGTTTCATTTCGGACAGGCCCTCTTCCGTAAAGTACAAGAACTTGGTCTACAGGTATCTATATTACGCTACTTGCTATAATAATTTATAGAATGAATCACGTTTATAAGAAAATTATGTTTGTAAAATAAATAAATTTTATTAGTTAAATTAATTGTTCCATGTCTATAAAAGTCAGTCTCTCATATATCTTATATATACATGAATCATAATAATTTATCTGTATTTTTTTTATTTACAGACAGCTTACAGTGAACAGAATGATGTTTATCAACTTTTAAGGAAGACGTTTTCCCTCCCACTTCTGCCAGCAGACGACATTAGACCAGCTTTCCAGTATCTGAAGTCGAAGAGTTCAACCCCAGAAACAGACGCCTACATCAACTACATCGAGAATACCTGGATCAACAACGTCATTTGGCCTGTGGAATCGTGGTGTCAGTTTGGACGATCTGTGAGAACCAATAACGACTGTGAAGGCTGGCATAACAAACTGAACAGACGAGCCAGGAAAGGGAACCTTCCATTCTACGTTTTGATATCCCTTCTATATAAGGAAGCAGCAGATGTGAAAATTCAGACGAAGTTGGTGAAAGAGAAGAAACTTAAACGATATCAAACCAAGCAGACGAAGAAGATTCAAGGACGACTGTGGGCCCTTTGGGAACAGTACAGATTAAGAACAATTACCACCAGCGCTTTGCTTGATGCTTGTGCAGCCCTGTATGGTCCCGCATAAACAACGGTGTATAAGAGTTCCCTCACAACTGGACACTACTTGTTTTCTGTTAACAATGTGTAATGTTAATATGTTAAAATAAAAAAGCTATTTCTTGTATGTTTTTTTCTGGCTATAGAATTGCTTTTCGTAATTTTGGTAATAAAATATGTTTTTATGCGCTTCTATTCAATAGCTGTTTATACTATTCTTTTTCAGGTTTAAGTTTTAAAAATGTAAATTTTGTAATAAAATATGTTAGTTATATAAATTATCTACAATGTGTAATGTAGTTTTGTTAATAATATATATATATATGATTAAGTGTCTTTATTCAATAAAAGCTGTTTTCGTATAATTATCCAGATATATAAATAACGAAGTTTTTCTCATCGGCAATGTGTGATGTAATTTTGGTAATAAAATATATTTATTTTCATGTATTTTTATTCTATAAAAGTTGTTATTATATAAATAACGAAGTTATAAAATGTGTTATGTAGTTTTGTTAATAAAATATTTCTATTTTCATGTATTTTTATCCTATAAAAGGTGTTAGTATATTTTTTCCAGTTTATATAAATAACGAAGTTATGAATTGTGTTATGTAATTTTGTTAATAAAATATTTGGTTTTCGTGTCTTTTTATGCAATAAAAGCTGTATTTAGTGTAATTAATTTATGTAATTAACAAATGAAATATAAAATAGCAAAATGTTTTCCATCAACAGTTTGAAAACAGGTGTGAAAAATTTTGTACTTGAACACGTGGCGAATCGTTATTTAACTGTGGCGAATCGTTATTACTCCGTGTCGAATCGTTATGTGGCGAATCGTTAGTGTGGCGAATCGTTACATTACCGATAAAAATATATGACAACTTACAAGTACACTTAAATCAAGTGACAATTAAAATAATAATTTCACAAATGATTGATATAAAGCCACTGTTGACCTGTTACTGTAATGTTTTTTTCTTCTTTATTTTATACTGTAGATCACCAGAATGCAGTGAAAGCTGGGAAGATCTTGGCGCAGTCCAGTCAGTGAAAGTGAATAAGAGATAAGAACTGCTATAATGCAAAACAGGACCTTCCAACCTTTTTTTTATTAAATTTATGTTGTCATCATGTGTAATTATTTAAATGGAATTTGAAATCCACATTTTTATATGTCTATTTACATTATAAACAACTGTAATAAATCAAAATTTTATAAATATGTGTTTGTAATCACAATGATATATATAACTGCTAGCATATCTTAACAAAGATAGGCATGTCTCCCTTGCAGAATTATTGGCTCCAACTTTAGAGCCATTGGCTCCAATTTTTTCTGATTGGTGAATTTAGTGGCACATCTAAAATTGACCCAGAGGGATTTTTAACCTGCATTACTGCTAATGATCACAGGCACGAGTATCGGACCTGGGAAGAAAATATGACCACATTGATAAAAAAATAAACTTAATGGACTATTGTTGCTTTTTGCAGAAATTTGTGAAATGTTGCTCTATTTTACGAAAAAACTAGATATGTTAACTATTTTGCACAAAAACTTTGTTGTTTAGGTGTATGAATAAAATATGACATTCTGACCAATTTTAAAACTGGTGACATGAAAATATGCCATTACCGTGAAATAAATGATGACGCGGAATTAGTTATGTTGAGTATATGTACCAAATATCAAAGCTCTAGGCCATGTACATTCAGACAAGAAGTTTTTTTAAGTTTGCATAATTTAAACTAATTTTCTAGCCCGTGACATACTTATGGAACAGACCGGAACCATTTGAACAACTTTGGCAGGGGACCACCTAAAAGTTTGGTTATTGTGCAATCATTGGTTTTTGAGATGTTGTTTAAAGAAATTGTTGACGACGCACAACGACGGACGTTGGGGGATCACAATAGCTCACCATGAGCACGTTGTGCTCAGGTGAGCTAAAAATCAATGGTTAAGTTACAGCTTAAAACATTTTATTATATTTAAATTGTAAAATTAACAAGTTAAAATTTCAAGTTTAAGTTATTATAAGTACTCCCCGCGGGTACTGCGTCCTTGCCCATTCCGGTGCAATCAGAAAATGTGTTTCTTTACACACTGAACGGGACCAATCAAATGTTTCCACCATTAATGTGAAAGTGGAAGTGCTGCTTTTTTGGCTGAATGACCATAGATGATTCTAATTTAAATCATTTAGTTATTTTATGAATGACAGGTGTATTTTAAAGGCAAAGATGTGACAGTTCAACACAATTTATTAAAATAGTAAATACAAGTTCTTTTTATGTGTACAATTTGCAGGAAATAATAAGGGGACCATCCTAACTAAATAATCGATCTACTTTGCTTGATGTTGCATTCGTGCAGAATCTGAAAAATGAGTTAATCACAATTTCTGGCACGGTCTACAGTATTAGCTTTGCAATTTCAATTTATTAGTATCTCACCAGTGTTGAATTTACAATGTAGAAAAGTTAAATTCAGTCTATCGGCATTTTCCAATGTTGTTGTTGTAGTATGATTTAACTATTTATGTAAAATAAAATTTGATTCGTTAATAAAACGAGCGACTACCCAATCAGATATTTTCTTTGACAAAAGGTTTTTAACAGCGTCTGAAAGAGTCTGATGAAATATTTCAGAGAATACAAAAACACGATTTTCTTTAAAATAACGATTCGTTGTGACACTATGTATTATATATAGTTTACATTCATATGAGTTTAGGGAAGTGATTATATGTTACGGCACTGAAATTAAAGGTAAATTCCTGTTTTTTGCGTAACGATGTTTGTCATATGATTTCGCGACATAATTTGTTTTTTTTTCAAAACTTGTCGGTCTTTATTCAATTAAAAATATTCAAATTAAAATTCTTCTATAGAGGAATAGGATATGACCCTATGGCAATATATTGCCGCTTCGTTAAAAGTATATAACCAGGCTACACATTGCAAATCAAAGTCAAAATATTCCTACAGATAAGGTGTTGCTTTGTCCAAGTTAGTGATATTTTTCTTTTGAAAAGTTTTGGCAAAGCTATTTCGTGCCAGAATTGTTTTAAAATCCACAGCACGTTCTGCAAGATTTTCTTGCAGAATTATTGAACAATTAAATCATTGTATTTATTCTTTTAAAAATGAATTAATTTCAATTCTTCATAATATGGGAAAGTCAAAGTCAGGGCAAAGCAATCCCGGGCTTTGGCTTGCCCTGTTATAGACTACATGTGTATATTTAAAAGAAAATCAAATAAGAAACAAATAAAAAATATATAGAATTCTATACCTATCAATTAAATTTTCAGTGTCAGTTCTAGTTAGGCGCCGCCATTCACAACGTAACTCAATGATAAAGGACGGTGTATTCCGATAATGGAACAAATCTCAACTTTTCGGATAAATAATAAACGTTGAGTATTCCGAGTGAAAACGGAAGTGGTGCATGAAATACCGAATGACACCTTTAAAACGGAAAAAATTAAAGTAATTTTTAACGACTTGCCCGTTCATAGGCTTTGCCTAATTTCATATTATGGGAAAGCCTGGACTTTTTCTTGCCCGGCAATTATATGAGACTACATATGTATATTTAAAGTCAAATAAAAAAATAAACAATAAAAAGAAATTTAAAATTCTATGCATATTGGTGAAATTTTCAGCATAATTTCTAGTTGGGTGGCGCCATTTTTACTATAACTCAATGTTTAACGTAAGGGTATTTCGATAACAGAACAGTCACAACTTTTCAGCTTAAGAATTATTTCAAAATTGAAAATGTTACCAGTTCATGTAAAATGTTAAGTGGGCGTGGAAGGTTGTAAGCGTGCAATTAATTACCTGGTGGCTACAGTCATCAATCAAGCCTGAACCATTTTCAATTTTGCCATGTTGGGCTTTCTTTAGGGATCCTGCTTTTTTCTCTTAAGTGAAATTGAAAAAAAAAATAGTATCTTTGAATAAAAAGAATTACTGTCACATCTGAAAATAATTTTAAATATCCTTTTTTAATTAAATTCTTATCACATCACTTTTGTTTCATTTCACCACACAGACAGCAGTTGTCTGACTGTCGGCAAGCATAATCAAATTGAGGGATTTTAATGGAAATGTTATATATGCTTGTCAGAGCATTAGTGATTGGCGTATTTTGTGATAAATCTTATTTAATGTTTATTTCCAATTGAACTCGAGCGTCATGACCTTCTATTTAACCTTTTCAAAAAAGGTTTCATTCATGATTATTTACTTCAATATCAGCAAAGCTTTTACATTAAAACTTTATAATACATGTATGGATACACCTTAATGAGTTCCACCTGCCACATTCATTTTCAGATAAAAAAATGTTATGGTCACTGAGTCAGTGTGACCTGTAGCAACAATAAAAGAGGCACTTGAGGTCCTGATCGCCCTGACAGTAAAGCTGGAAAGTTGCCATGTGTGACTTAAAATAGGGCTGTCATTGAATATCGCAGTATCGATGTATCATTGATATTCATCATTCGATACAATATCGATAAACACTTTCAAATATCGATACAAGTACATGGACCCAATCCAACTTGCTTGTAAATTTCAATTATAATTTCTTTTGATTTTTTTTAGGGCACTGATGGCTTCTGGAGGAGACAATCCACAGCTTCCACGTGGGCTAATTGGAAGAACAGGAACACCCAGTGGAAAAGGGACAAGGTAACATTTTGAAATATTAAACCTACTCAGGGCAGGCAAAATCTGAGGTTTACTTACATGTCTTTTTATCTTTAAAAGCATTTCTTTACTTGTTTGTATCATATGGAAAAAAATCAATTGCCTGGTTGTGGGACAACTTTGGCCAAACAGAAAATAGTTTTTGCTGAATTTATTAAATGGACTTGTAAATAAATTGTGTCCATTATAAATTTTGGGGGAAATAAGGTGAAAATAAATAGGTATCCAGCCAACAGTATAGAGCCTTGTCAAACTGCACAGATGTACTGCTGAGAAAGCCTAATTACTTTTGGTAGCAGGTTTGGATTAAATACATTTTACTTCAATTCTATAGTAAATAACTAAATATGGTGAATTATGTTTTGATTTTTCAGTTAACATTAAGTGTATGCCTCTACAGTCTGCTTGATTATTTTTAGAAATTACAGCATCTTCAACATTTTTAATATTAAATATGGAATGTGCATTCTTTGATGCAGTGGGATTTTGCAATGATTTTTTTATTTGATTATGACAACTCATTTCATTGTTTAATTTTCTGAATGATCAGTATGAAAGCTTTGAAGAAAAACATAAATTCCAGTACTGGTTGCATTTGTCTTTCAATATTGCAGCTTTAACTCAAAGGAATAATGTTAACTAAATTTATATATACAGATTGCCATCCATTAAAGGACCAAGGGATTTAACTCTTGGAGGTGTGCAGAAAAAAGTGTTTGTACCCAATATCCCTGCCAGAAGGAACAAACCAAGTGAAAGGTAGGTGTATTTGGAAACTTGTTTATTGTGTAGTTAGAAACTTGTTTATTGCCAAGCCTCATGTATTTTTATACATACTTAATCTGAATACCAGCAATAAAGCAAAAATAACACTGTTGTTGCTTATTAGGACACTAAAAGACATTGATTAATTTGTAAAATATAGAATTTCTCTCTTTTTATTTATATTCTGAATGAATGAGCAGCTTTTTATATGAATAGATAGATTTATTTAAGTGTATATTATTTTATTTTAACAAAATTTTGTAATTTTGTTTTAAGGTTCATCAGTGGTAAGACCAAAATATTTTGTATGTTATTTTTGGAACAAAAATCAATCACCAATAAATGATGTACACTATGTTTTCTTTCTGTTTTAGTATTGCAAGTGATTCTGCATCAGCATCAACACCAAAGTCCAATGATGGCAAACGTCCAAACTCTGGTGGTAGCGGAAGGGGTCGTGATTCTGGTGACCGGGGTAGAGGCAGGGGTCGAGGTCGAGGCAGGATGTCAGCAAATGTTATACAGACCCATTCTTTATTTGAGCAGGGACCAACAGAGAAAATAAACAAGCCCACTGGAGGTAAATAATTATAACAATAGCATTGTCTTTAGAGGATATAAAATCTGGTTATGAAAGGCATTATATAAAATGCAAATTATGTTAATCTCCACTTTTAGATATAAATCTAAATGGGTAATGTATTATGTAAAACACAAATTATGTTAAACTATTAGTTTTGTTAACATTACTCTAGTAACGCTTTTGTCATGGCATGTGCTGCAGGGCCCTCTTTCCCAACCCCAAATATTTTTTTCCTCTTATTTAAAAGGAAATCCTGTAGAACATAATGAGTATTTTTTTCTTTCATATGACTAAAAATCCCCCCATTTGAGGGCCCCTGGTTCCCAGTCTTTATAAATAATCAGGGTATGGGCCATGTGCTTCATTGAGTTCATTTTTGAATTTCAGGTGGAGACTATGCCTATTCAGGGGGTGGAAGGGGAGGTTCTTCAAGTTCCAGTCCAAAGAAGTCAGTAAAAAGGGAGAGAACTGATGAGGAGACAAAAGAAGTTTTAGACAACCTTCTTAGAGATGATGTAAGTATAAGAATATCCTGCCAGTTTGTACAATAATAGAATAAATACTAAAATCTGAACTGTTTTTAGCTCACCTGTCACAAAGTGACAGGGTGAGCTTTTGTGATCGCTTTTCGTCCGGCGTCCGTCCGTCGTCCGTCCGTCCGTCGTACGTCCGTAAACTTTTGCTTTAAATGACATCTCCTCATAAACCACTGAGCCAATTTCATCCAAACTTCACAGGAATGTTCCTTTGGTGGTCACCTTTAAAAATTGTTCAAAGAATTTATTTCCATGCAGAACTCTGGTTGCCATGGCAACCGAAAGAAAAATCTTTAAATATCTTCTTTTAAACAACCCTAAGAGCTAGAGCTTAGATATTTGGCATGAAACATCTTCTAATGAGTGTCTACCAAGTTTGTTTCAAATAAAAGCCCTGGGGTCAAAATTGGCCCCGCCCCAGGGGGTCATTGATTTTCCCTATATGCATATAGTAAAAACTTAAAAAAATCTTCTTTTAAAGAACCCAAAGAGCTAGAGCTAAGATATTTGGCATGAAACATCTTCTAGTGAGTGTCTACCAAGTTTGTTCAAATAAAAGCCCTGGGGTCAAAATTGGCCCTGCCCCAGGGGGTCATAGATTTTCCTATATGCATATAGTAAAAACTTAAAAAATCTTCTTTTAAAGAACCCAAAGAGCTAGAGCTAAGATATTTGGCATGAAACATCTTCTAGTGAGTGTCTACCAAGTTTGTTCAAATACAAGCCCTGGGGTCAAAATTGGCCCCGCCCCGGGGGTCATTGATTTTCCCTATATGCATATAGTAAAAACTTAAAAAATCTTCTTTTAAAGAACTGTAAGAGCTAGAGCTTAGATATTTGGCATGAAACATCTTCTAGTGAATGTCTACCAAGTTTGTTCAAATAAAAGCCCTGGGGTCAAAATTGGCCCCGCCCCAGGGGGTCATTGATTTTCCCTATATGCATATAGTAAAAACTTAAAAAATCTTCTTTTAAAGAACTCAAAGAGCTAGAGCTAAGATATTTAGCATGAAACATGTTCTAATGGGTGTCTACCAAGTCTGTTCAAATAAAAGCCCTGGGGTCAAAACTGGCCCCGCCCCGGGGGTCATTGATTTTCCTTATGTGTGTATAGCAAAAACTTAAAAATCTTCTTTGAAAAAACCCAAATAGCTAGAGTTTAGATATTAAGCATGAAACATCTTTAAGTAAATATCTACAAAGTTTGTTCAAATAAAAGCCCTGGGGTCAAAACTGGCCCTGCCCCAGGGGTGTCATTGTTTTTAACCATATGTGTATAGTAAAAACTTAAAAAATCTTCTTTTAAAAAACCCAATGAGTTAGAACTTAGATGTTTAGCATGAAACATCTTCTTATGGGTGTCTACCAAGTCTGTTCAAATAAAAGCCCTTGGGTAAAAATTGGCCGGGGGGGGGGCTATATACAGGTGAGCGACCTCAGGCCCTCTTGTCTACAAGTCATGCCAAATTTCTCGTGTGAATATTTGTTTTAGTGGTTGGAGTGGATGAAAAATTTGACAGAGTGGTTGGTTACTTTCAATAATTTAATAATTTAGCTTAAATCATCTGCTTTATAGAAATGGAATATTAAGATTATTGGAGTATTGCATGGCTTTGAAAGCAGGCAGGTTCTACAAAGTTATCACATGTATCAGCTAGTTCCTTAAGTTATCCATAATAGAGCATTATTTATCAAACAGTTATGTCGGAAAATTACTACGGATGAAAAAAGTGATAATGGTAGAATGATGTTATTCAGTTTGATTTCCAAATTAATCAAAATTTGAAACCTTTTTTTTATTTTTTAGAAAATGTATTTTCCATATTATGGAAAAACAGATTAAATATGTAATGAAAAATGTTAATTTCTAAAATGAGTTTTTATATCATTTACAATGTAGTTTATGTTTCACTTAAATAACTAGAGATTTTGCTTATAAGCAGAAATGAAATTCCTTCTACATGTATAATATAAAGACCACTTCATAACGGATTATAAACATGTAAAATGATTCTATACAATATACTAAGTATTTAAGTACATGTATATGTATATGAATATTCAATCACTTTTTTAAAGATATCTATTTTTTGTATTTATGTAATATCAGATTATTTTTTTTTATAAAAATATGAATTTTCAGTTTAACATGTATCTTTAATTGGCCTTTCAGTTTATAGCTGGGGGTGGGTTTGATGAGGATGATATAACTTTGATGCCTGTCAAACTCCCTATAGAGATCAAAACTGATCCTTCAATCAAGAAAGATGATTACACAAAGGTCAAGGTCAAATCTGAACCAATGGATACTGATGAGGCCAATGACAGCGCGAGGGGTGAAGATCAAAAGACTTCAAAAGATGAAATGTGGAAAGGAAAAACAGAGGAGAGACAAATTACATGCAGTGAATTATTTACAAATCCTCTCAAATCAGGTACTAGAAATGTATACAACTTAATCTTAAAACTTCCACTCTTGTTTTAAAAAATTTATTTTATTTTTTTTTAATGGTATTCCAATATTATATTACAAAATTTTATCTTAAAGGATATTTTACCTACCTTTAAGGTTTCCAGAATTCTGTGGTTACTATTTGTAAATTTTCTGCATTAAGCAGTTATGGTTGTTGGAAGACCATCCTGGGATTAATAATTTGTTCTGCAGATTAAGTCCTTACCTTATTGCTTGACAGATAACTGTACAATGCTTTTAGTATTAATCCTTTGAGCAATAAGGACAGGCCTATGTCACCAATGTAGAACTAGGCCAATGCTCAATTCCATATAGAGGTACTCCTGAAATACAGCAAATGTGGATGTTACCCATCATTTCCCAGGGTACAAACAAACTTTTACAGTTAAACTTTTAACAATAATAAGCACGGCACTTGGTTCACTTTTGTTAAAAGTAGTGCACTGTAAAGCCTTTACAATAAAAGTTTGTGCCCTGGGACAAGATAGGAAAATTGACTGCTCCGTTTTATAAGTGAGAAAATGTACAGTTTTCAAGTTTGACTGCTCCGTTTTAGAAATTATATAGATAAGTGAGAAAATGTACAGTTTTCAAGTTTGACTGCTCCGTTTTAGAAATTATATAGATAAGTGAGAAAATGTACAGTTTTCAAGTTTGACTGCTCCGTTTTAGAAATTATATAGATAAGTGAGAAAATGTACAGTTTTCAAGTTTGACTGCTCCGTTTTAGAAATTATATAGATAAGTGAGAAAATGTACAGTTTTCAAGTTTGACTGCTCCGTTTTAGAAATTATATAGATAAGTGAGAAAATGTACAGTTTTCAAGTTTGACTGCTCCGTTTTAGAAATTATATAGCTAAGTGAGAAAATGTACAGTTTTCAAGTTTGACTGCTCCGTTTTAGAAATTATATAGATAAGTGAGAAAATGTACAGTTTTCAAGTTTGACTGCTCCGTTTTAGAAATTATATAGATAAGTGAGAAAATGTACAGTTTTCAAGTTTGACTGCTCCGTTTTAGAAATTATATAGCTAAGTGAGAAAATGTACAGTTTTCAAGTTTGACTGCTCCGTTTTAGAAATTATATAGATAAGTGAGAAAATGTACAGTTTTCAAGTTTGACTGCTCCGTTTTAGAAATTATATAGCTAAGTGAGAAAATGTACAGTTTTCAAGTTTGACTGCTCCGTTTTAGAAATTATATACTTAAGTGAGAAAATGTACAGTTTTCAAGTTCAAAGCAATGTATGTCTATGATGCAAAGTTACCAGGGTAAAGATTAAAAAATCTAAATACATAAAGTGATGGTACATCAAGTATTTTATTTGGTTTTATATTTGACATCCTTGAGTTATTGAGTATAAGTTGAGCCGCGTCATGACAAAACCAACATAATGGGTTTGCGACCAGCATGAATCCAGACCAGCCTGCATATCCGCACAGTCTGATCAGGATCCATGCTGTTCGCTATCAGTTTCTTTACTTGTTTTAGGGTTTGTAAGCGAACAGCATGGATCCTGATCAGACTGCGCGGATGCTCAGGCTGGTCTGGATCCATGCTGGTCGCAAACCCATTATGTTGGTTTTGTCATGACGCGGCTCAAGTTAGTCATTTTTTCTCTGACAGAGGAGGGTCAGCTGTTGTATTTCCAGCTACCAGATATGTTACCTGGTCTACCTATTACAACAGATGAGGACTTTAAAAAGAAGAAAACAGCTGAACAATCTGATAATGAAAAGGTATTATTTGAATGTTACCAGAGATAAAGACTGGTATGACACTAAAATGGAGGCAAGCCAGCTTCAATGGAGTCAGACTAGCTTAAATGGAGTCAGCCCAGCTTTCACAACTGTCCAATCTAACCTGACAGCTTTATTTGCTGCTGAATTTAAGCATTTTGATATTGAAATAAAAACTAAATTATAATTAATTTTTTTTTGACATTTAAGCTCAGTTTATCCATGACACAAATTTAGCACCTGAATTATAAGTTAAGCTGGTCTATAACACAAATTAAGTGCCTGGATTATAAGTTATTTAAAGCTGGTCCCATGACATAATTCAGCATCTTAATTATAAGCTGTGTTAGTCCAGTGCAAAATGTAGCACCATTAATGTTAATAAACACTTCCTACAAATTACTACTTCTTGTGTCATAGACTAAACCCCATTAGTGCCTGACCTAGCGTTTCCTAGGCTTAATGAAAGACGCATTAACCCCTTGGCCACTGCTTTCCTTATAGGTTCCGTCTTGAAAGTTGCAATACTTGCTAGAGTATACGAGAGGTGTTGTACTTTTCTAATGAACTTTCAAACCAAATCAGGATTTTTTTACTTTTTATTTTCCACACAATATCACCTAATATGTTAAACTGATAAGAAATAACTGTATTCTAATGTATATTATAAACTATAATTATTGTTTACTGTGTAAATATAATGTAACAAGACTAATTTTAGTTTGATATTTGTTTTTTTGTTCAGGAAAGTGATCTAAACAAGAAGATGAGTGGATGTAATCTAGATAATTTTAGTGAAGGTCTTATTGGGAAGTTGGTTGTCCGAAAGTCAGGGCGTGTACAGCTTATGTTAGGCTCGACATACCTAGATGTTAATATGGGCACACCTTGTGGATTCCTTCAGGTATTTAATTTATTGATATTTTTCAGCATTTTTAATATTCTTACAGGACTAATATGCTCTTATTCTCTTAGTTCTCTAAGAAATATCTATCTCAGAAATTTAAAGTTATATGAGCCGCGTCACGACAAAACCAACATAATGGGTTTGCGACCAGCATGGATCCAGACCAGCCTGCGCATCCGCGCAGTCTGATCAGGATCCATGCTGTTTGCTTTCAGTTTCTCTACTTGTTAAAAGGTTTAAAAGCGAACAGCATGGATGAAGAAATATTTTGACATGCTTAGATTAAAAGTCACTATTACACGGTCACAATTATTAATCCTTACATTACTTAATATCTTAAATGGACTTGTCCATCTTTCACATTGGACTAAACTATTTATCATTTTTAGGGAAAATTTGCTGGTAAGTGCTGACCATGATCAAATGGCACTGGTCACATAGGTAGAATTTGTTGCCACAAGTAGGCTGAAGGTTAAATGAATGAAATGCTGCTAGATTGTGTACAGTGTTATATAAGTTAAGAAAAAGGACACTTTTAACCACGATACCACTGGTAAATAAATACTTTATCTTGGTGCCTGATTATGGAATTCTTTATTTCAGGATGTTGCCAGTTTGAGGGTAGATGGTGACCATGGTGATATATCAGTGTTAGGACATATAGATCATAGACTAGTGTGTACACCAGACTTTGAAATGCTCCTAGATAGCACTTGATCAGATAATTATTGTAGATTTAAGCTTGTTCTATTCCAAGACAGTAATACAAAGTCATTGAGTGACCATGTAAAGATAGTGGCACGGTGATGGTTTTTGGATGAATTGTGATTCTGTTCAGCCATGTTTTGAGTTAAAATAAGACAGAAAAATAGGAAATTGTCTTGTATTGTAAACTGTACATCAGTAACATTTCTACTGAGAGACATGTGCAGTCTTGTTAACTTAAGTTTTATATACATTTACACCAGAAAATGAAAGGGGTTCATTGTTCTGGTTGCTGTTATTGAAATAAAAAAATGATGAAGATCTCAGTTATCTTGTTTTTGTTTGTTTTGTTTTTTAAACACTGTTAGGATATTGCAACCAAACTGGATCATAAGCTTAAGAGCTTTTTTTTCTGCCGTGGAGTAACCAATTGACAATATCTTATTTACTTTTTACTTTTTTAGAAAACAGCCCAAGGAGAACAAAGTAAAGATTAGAAATTACTTTCTGCACTTCTGAATGGTGTTAATATGATGAAAAACTTTTTTGAGATCTGTAACAGGACACCAAAATAAAAAGCTTTTTGAAAAATTTAAATGATATCATTAACGAGGCTTAATGGATCTTTAATGTTCAGTCTAAAAAGAACTGGCCTATGGTAATCTTGTTTGATGATTTTCCATATCTTCTGATACTCAAAATAAAGTCTGACTGAATACTTTTGGAACCTTTTCATGTGTTTAGATTTTCATCATAAAGTTTGCATGGAACTGTTTTCAGTTTAAAGGTAATAGTGACCTTGACCTTTGACCTTGTGACCCCAAAATCAATAGGATTCTTCTACCCAATATGGACAATCATCCTATAAAGTTTGAACACTGTGGGCCAAATGGAACTTCTGTTATGCTCCGGAAACTGTTTTCAGTTTGAAGGTAAAAGTGACCTTGACCTTGTGACTCCAAAATCAATAGGGGTCTTCTACTGGATTAAGACAATCATACTATGAAATTTGAATATTGTGGGCCAAATAGAACTTAAATTATGCTCCGGAAACCAAATTGCTAACGGACGCCCGGAGGTATAACAAAAATAACAGTTACATTTTTTTTCTCTAACTTATAATTTTTAGATTTTAACAAATTAAACATTAAATAACTTATAACTGAACATATACAAAGCTATAGAATTGGCTCTAACCAAATTTTATTTCAAAAAAACCCTAATGTTCCATTTGATATGGAAAGTAGTATAATTTACATGAAGTAGTAACTGTTGGCACATAGGAAAAGTACTTTTATATGGTCAAATTTTAAATGGTCAGTTCAAAAAAAGAAAAAAAACTGAAATATATTTTCCCATGTTTATATTAACACAACATATACAAACATCACAGCCCCAATATGTGAGATTCCTTTCTGTATTTTCCTTACATTTAAAATCATTAAAGGTTGTAAACCTATATATATATATTATAAAACTGTTGCCACTAACCAATTCTTACCGATGCCACACATTTGTGCCCTCTGCAGATTAAAAAGGATGGTACATTTAATATATTTGGCATAGTAAGTATTAATATGTTTTCAAAAGCAACTGAAACTGGGCAAATGTATTTTGTAGAACAATAAGAAAATATTGAAGGTAAAAGTGACCTTGACCTTGTGACCCCAAAATCAATAGGATTCTTCTACCCAATATGGACAATCATCCTATAAAGTTTGAACACTGTGGGCCAAATGGAACTTCTGTTATGCTCCGGAAACTGTTTTCAGTTTGAAGGTAAAAGTGACCTTGACCTTGTGACTCCAAAATCAATAGGGGTCTTCTACTGGATTAAGACAATCATACTATGAAATTTGAATATTGTGGGCCAAATAGAACTTAAATTATGCTCCGGAAACCAAATTGCTAACGGACGCCCGGAGGTATAACAAAAATAACAGTTACATTTTATTTTCTAACTTTATTAATTTTGATTTTAACAAATTAAACATTAATAATTATAACTGAACATATACAAAGCTATAGAATTGGCTCTAACAAATTTTATTTCATAAAAACCCTATGTTCCATTTGATATGGAAAAGTATAATTTACATGAAGTAGTAACTGTTGGCACATAGAAGGTACTTTTATATGGTCAAATTTTAATATGGTCAGTTCAAAAAAAGAAAAAAAACTGATATATTTCCCCATGTTTATATTAACACAAATATACAAACATCACAGCCAAATATGTGAGATTCCTTTCTGTATTTTCCTTACATTAAAATCATTAAAGGTTGTAAACCTATATATATATATACTGTTGCCACTAACCAATTCTACCGATGCCACACATTTGTGCCCTCTGCAGATTAAATGCCCTCTGTACATTTAATATATTTGGCATAGTAAGTATTAATATGTTTTCAAAAGCAACTGAAACTGGGCAAATGTATTTTGTAGAACAATAAGAAAATATTGAAGGCACAGTACTCCACAAATTTGAATAAATAATTTCCTTCATTAGAAAGGGCACATGAGTTTTATAACATCTAAAAAATAGCTTTAGAGCATTTGCGTTGTTATCACCCGAAGAAAGTAGAGCTGAGCCTGAATAAGAAAATATTTCATACAAGAAGCAAAATGCAAACAAAGCTAGTATTTTGCCTTCCATACAGATACTAAATCTCATAATATCTCTTCTTAGCATCGAAATATTGTTCAGATTTATGAGTATTTTTTTGGAAACTGTAACAAAAAAACTTTTGAAAAAAAAAATGCATTTCTGGGCATAATGGGCCTTTAACATAGAACATTTATGTACAGTAACAGATAACAGTAACGTAAAACTGTAGCAATAAAAATTTAAATTGAACTTGTACAATTTATGACTATAATCTATAGACTTTCATTTTGTTATGGTTAAAATGACAAGTTGGGCATGATTTAAAAATAATACTGATAATAATAAAAACTGATAATGATAATAATGAGAATATACATGTATTGAATGATTTGAGCCGCGTCATGACAAAACCAACATAACGGGTTTGCGACCAGCATGGATCCAGACCAGCCTGCGCATACGCGCAGTCTGATAAGGATCCATGCTGTTCGCTATTAGTTTCTCTACTTGTAATAAGGTTGGTAAGCGAACAGCATGGATCCTGATCAGACTGTGCGGATGCGCAGGCTGGTCTGGATCCATGCTGGTCGCAAACCCATTATGTTGGTTTTGTCATGACGCGGCTCATATATTGAACAATTTATAAACAGCAGTAATAAATTACATTGTCTTTTAGTTAGATATGTCATTGAATGCATACATGAATATACACGGGAGTCCATGAGTTTGACTTAGTAATATATTTCTCTCACCATATTTTAATTTCCTAGAATTACATCCTGACCACACAAACATAGTTAACCTATTGAATGTTTTGTTGTTGTTGTTCATTAAAGGTACAGTCTCACTTACATCCCGGCAGAGCCCCGGTAGACGTCCTGGGTGATCCGGGAACGACCGGGGTACATCCGTAACTCTGCCGGCAACGTCCTGGATGATCCGGGAACATCCGGCATTAACGACCCGGATGGAATAAAATATTTAATATCACCGGGGTGGTCCGGGAAGGTATAGCTTTGCCGGCATCATCCTTAGCTCTGCCGGAACGACCGGGGTGATACCGGGAAAGCACCGTAGCTCTGCGGCACAAACCGGGGATGATCCGGGGTATGATATAGCCGGTAGAGCTACGGTAGAGCCCGGTATATGCCGGCAGAGCCCGGTAACTACAGGCAGAGCCCCGGAGGATAAAGTAGAGCTACGGTTGATCCCGGTAGAGCCCCGGCAAAGCCCGGATCATTTCAAAAAAATAAGGACAATTTGTGATGATTGAACTTGTTTGTATTAAAAGCCTTCCCATTTCCCTTCTATCCAGTATTGCATAAGGATTTTTCAGAAAATCATCATGAATTACTATTCTGGAACAATAGATATTAAATTAAATAAAAATTAATTATCAAAATTATCATTTTCGGGGGTTTTCAATCCACCGGGGGTTCTACCGGGGCTCTGCCTGGATCGTCCTGGGCTCTGCTGGGGCTCTGCCTGGATCGATCGGGGCTCTGCCTGGGTCAACCGGGCTCTTCCGGGCGTCATCCGGGAACGACCGGGGAAGCACCGGCATGAACCGTAGCTTCACCTGGGCTCTGCCTGGATGATCCGGGGCGCATCCTGGGTGGTTAGTAGGGAACTACCGTAGTGCTGCCGGGGTAAGTGTGACCGCAACAATAATTTCATCCCGGATCATCCCGGTAACTTACCGGGATGGTCCTGGGCTCTGCCGGGAGTAAGTGAGACCGAGGCTTTATGTCTCATTATGTTAATTTGGATCAAGGAATAACCAATACATTATAGCCACAATGTAACTTTCAGGATTTGAAATAGAGAAAAGGTGCCTTTTAAATTGTTCCTAATCCTAAGTGACTAAAGTGTCATTGTTATCAGTTGATCCTAATGGCTACATGCTTTTTCCTTGTTTTTCTTTGCCATATCCCTATATTATTCATTCATCAATGCCTATAAACTGGTATTACATTTGTGAAATTATAAATATCACTCAACAGCATAGCTCCTGTTTACATAATAAAACTTTCTCCCTTGATATTGCTATTTCAAAACATTTATGAAAAATACAAACAAGAGCTGTCAGAGGAGACTAACTAAATACTGGATGCAGTAAAGGTACACAAAACTATGACACAAATATATATATATATATATATCATGCATATGACAATATCAATGATCCTGAAACAGAAATTTCTTTGCTCTGATGGAAAAGACAACAATTTGAAATTTTTGTAGTCAATCCCTTCAGAAACAAAGATGATAAGTCTAAGGGCAAAAAGTATGTAATATTTTTTAAACAATATTCTTAGTTCAAAGAGGAGATAACTCTTGCAATAAAGATACTCGAGTTATGAACCTTGTAAAATATAATGTGATTGATGACAAAGAAACAGTCATGTTCTGTCTTGAGTGGATACCATCTATGGTTAAAAAAAAAATAGTTCTAGACTTACAAATCTAATAACATATGATGTAGGTGTTGATAACATATATTATATTTGAAGTGCATTATAACCTTGAGAAATAAAGAAGTTACAGAATAAATAAGAAAAATTCTATGTGACCTTGAGAAATAAAGAAGTTACAGAATAAATAAGAAAAATTCTATGTTCAACGGGCAGATAATTCTGGAAATATTGACACTAGACTCTAGAGTTATATACCTTGTTCTATCATTATCATATGGTTGGTGGGGAGATAATTCGGAAATATTCATGTTAGAGTTATGAATCTTGTCACACATGATGTGGGTGATGATAAGGAACAAACATTTAAAGTTTGAAGTTTATTCCTTGTGGAACAAAGAAGAGTAAACAATATCACTTTTTATGGAAAATTCTAAGTTCAAGGGGAGATATGAACCTTGGTTGGAAGTTTGAAGTTGATACCTCAAGAAATAAAACAGTTATAGTAAAAATTATTTTACTGCACCAAAACTTTAATCTGAAATCTGGATGCCGATGCAGGGGTGACTAGGACAGCCCCACAAATACTTAAAATTTAACATGTCATATTTAGTTTATATGTAAGACTAAAGATATACAATCTTCCTTTCAAGTAGATATGAAATTATGACTGAATATCAACACTACCCATTTCATTAAATCAAACTTTTAAATCTATAATAACGTCACAATTCATCATGCTTCTTAGTTCTACAGAATTCATCAAAATCACACTGGTCCACAAGTTGTGTATATGAATATCTAACTAGCTTATAACTGCAAACATAGTCGCCACATGCTGGTATACTCACAGGCTGTTCATTCACATAAATTCTTAACACAAAGTCATTGATACTAGGCTCGGGTTCGTCCTTATAGTCACATTTATAAAGCACCATGGCAATATTGGCAGAAAATGGCAGAATTTTGCTAGATTTAAATACTCTGTCTTTCATTTCGTGAAAATTGGTATCGAGTAAAGGTGATGAGTCATTAAATAGGCCTAATGCAGCATACAAAGGCGCTAAACTTTCTGTATGACCAAAGTAAAAGGATGCCACATTTCCTCTGAAAGTAAAAAACAACAAAAAACAAATAAGTATGATAACAAAATGTTAAATTAAAATGCTTGTCTGTTAAGGGCAATTACTATCAATAACCAATTTTATCAGTATTCAAATTAAAAAGGGACATAACTTCTAAAATTATTGTTTTACGAATAATGCTCAATGAAAATATTCAAAGTTTCATGTTGATAATAATAAAATATTCAAAATTTCATGTTGAACTTATTAAGTTTAAAAGGGACATAACTCCCAACATATAGCTTTCAGAATAATGCCCCTAAACTAACAACATTGCTTTGTAATGATCAACAAGTACAAGTTTCATATGTTCATAGTTTTGAAATTATTCTACTAAATAGGCAATTTGGACAAAAATTCTAAATTAAAAAAATTGTCACAATCAATTTAGATTTTATATTCATTCAGGTAAACAGAACTCTATGCTACCTCTGATTCATGTTGTTTAATTGAGTTTCAATGACTTTATCTAGTGTTCCAAATATTTCTGTCATCAGGGGGCAAGCCATTTCAGCTATCACAGGATGTCCATATGCCTTTTTCCAATATTGCTGGAAAAGGAGAAAATTAGTTTAAATTTTTCATAATATTAATAAAACAAATAAAAACATATATATACAGTTATTACAAAATTGAATATAAAATAACCAAAAAAAAAACAAAACTGAATGATTGTACATATAAGAATATTGAGTAGGTTGACAAAATACTGCATCTTAGTTTATAACATTTCAAGCATTCATCGAAACAGAACAACCAGAAAGTAATTTTTATAACGTTACAAAAAACATACTAAAAAATAAAAATTAGTATTTATTTTATCAATAATCTTATAACCTCTGCACAAATTATGATAGCACTGCTGCATTTATGATGTATAATAAATATAAGTATAAATATTTCCTATGTGTTTGAAAATGGGTAAACAAATGAAAACTCAAAATTTCCTTATACTTATCAATGTTAAAGAAAATGTTTTATAATTTTTAAGTTTTTGAGACTGATTGGAATAATCTGAGGATCATGTGAAAAGTCTAAACAATACATATTATGCCATAGAGAAATTATTAAGATGATGAGCAACTGGACAACTTTAAAAACAAAAAGCTGTAAACTTCATGTAAATCATGATCATTCAATTGACAAAAGAAAATGAATAACAGTTTAATGGTATCATTTCATAATTCAATGACATCCTAATGAGTAATGACAAAGTGTCAGTATTAAACTAGTCCTGAAGAAGTTATCTCTTTGAAATTTAAATGTATACATGATAATTGTATCATATCTTATCCAGGGTATTATCAATATGCTAGAAACCTTCAAATCATTGTGATATTCTATAACTTCTCTATCTTCATCTGTCAACATATGACACCAATCATCTTTTTCTAAAATAATCATCTCAAATGTGCACCAGAAATAAATCAATTTCAGTTCACCTGCAAAATACAAAGTGTGAAAGATAACATTTTGTGTATTATACTTAAATGACACATATTTTTGTATTAACATTAATATTATCTAACTTGGAAAGTTTTGAAGAGTATGTTAAGTGTAAAAGCATGAAAACAAAATTGTTAATGTATAAATCTTATGAAAAATACAACTGACTTTACCAAAACTTAAAAACATGAAATTGACTGCTGAAAATGATACAAAAATGTGTGTTTTTTTGTTTAGCAATAAAGGGTGGTCCCCTATGGTAATTGTTCTTATTAGTTTTCAACTGACACTTCAAGGGAGAACACCATGATGTTGTGGTTTAACTCTTGAAATGCAAATTATGGAGTCCATTTAGGAACATACATGTAACATCAAAAAACATAGCTAACATTTAACTTTAAACAATGTTTTGAATCATTTACTGTCTAAAAGTTAACAACATATTATGATTTTGGTCCATTCTATCAAGTTTACAGTAGATAAAATAAACTGTCAGAACATTGTATTATTCAATTTGTTTACAGCGTCGAGCGAGCAAATCTTAAAAAACTATCCCTCCTCCAGAACAATATATTTTAAATTTATCCAATCATTGAATGAGGGCAGAAGTTGCATTTTTGGCTTTTGTCTCTGAAATTATAATAATAAAAATATCCTAGAGCATATTTTTAACACCATTTTTGTATATGAAATTTAAGCAAAAAAAAATTGTTTTTATGTAAATTGACCCTTTATCAGTTTTACTGGTAAATATAGGGTAAACTAATTAAAACTATAGAAATAGTTTCAACACAGACTGAAAAGCTGTGGATTTTCATATCAATGAAAGAAACTTACGCCTATTGGAAATGAAAAACATTTCTAATAATTTTCATCCAAATACCAAAAGCAGCACTTTTACTTTTAAAACAGTTAAAGGGTGGTGCTCTGTGTCTAAAGAATCACATTTTCTGATTAAACCAGAATAGGCAAAGTAGAGGTACCCATGGGGAGGATACTATAGCCTTAAAGTGCATGCAACTTTATTTTAAGAAATAATGGATTACCTGCATTTAGTGTTGCATGTTCAAGTCCTAATCGTTTTTGGACTCTCTCTAAAAGCAAATTCATTTCATTGCTTGTTTTAAACTTTTTATGAACCTTCATATGAGTTCTATCATTTTCAACTTCTTCAATAAATTTAACACATTTAGTATGAAATCTCAGAATATTGTCATTTATGATTGGCTTAAGATTATCAAAGGCTTCATGTAACACTACTTCACTCAGCCCTTCATAAAATGACAGAGCACTTTCTGTACATCTTTCTTTACTTGATGATACAAATTTCACATTATCAAGACTATCTGCATAGAGGTTAAATAAGCGTTTGCCATATCTTTGTCCAAGTTCATAATGTTCATCCTCGCCCTCATCAACTAATTGTTTTTCTTCACTTTCTGGAAAGTCATTTTCCCAAGTGTTCAGAAATTGGAAATCTGGGTTTTGACTACAAGTTTCAGCTTTTCATGTAGTGCTGTCATCTTTCTAATGTCTTTGTATCCGGGATAACGCGCGCCATGCCTAAGAAAAGTTTCAACGTTTACAGCAACGCAGTGTTTCTCGTCGAATTTTGTGTTCATAAGTTCATTAAAATTAACTTCATGGTCCATGTTGTATACCCATGAGTATGCTGTTTTTGTTGAAAATATATCTTTACGAAATGATTGCGATCTGACCATGCAAATTGACGAAATGAGAAAAAGAACACAAAATCGAAAATTCTTTATGGACGCAGCCATTTTGATTTGATGCACAATATTTCGAAATTTAAATATTGTTAAATGTCTTATAAGCTGGAAATCATTTCTATATAAGCTAAACTTATTAGCTTTATGTCTGTTTGACATGTCATGTTTTAAGACTATACAGTAAAGACATAATTCTATGTATCAAGGTTGCACATTACAAGGATACCGGCGGTGTAAGTATAAAATTATCCATTGTCAGTTGATCCGTACCATGCAAGTGGTGTTGATGAAATCATATTTTTAAGTGTTATTTGATATAATGTAGGCGTAAATAGTCAACACAAGTGATATTTATACATTACCATAACTTCTGTGGTACTGTCAAGTTTATTTAACGTTTAATTGTCGCCTTGACAGGTAAACCATTTTTTTATTTGAAGTTGAATGACATTTAATATGAAATTAGGCAAAGCCTATGAACGGGGAAGTCGTTAAAAAATTCCTTTCATTCTTTCCGTTTTAAAATTGTCATTCGGTATTACATACACCGCTTCCTGTCATTCGGTATTACATACACCGCTTCCGTTTTCACTCGGAACACTCGACGTTTATTATTGATCCGAAAAGTTGAGATTTGTTCCGTTATCGGAATACCCCGCCTTTTATCATTGAGTTACATTGTAAATGGCGGCGCCCGACTAGAACTGACACTGAAAATTTCATTGATAGGTATAGAATTCTATATATTTTTTAATTGTTTTTTTATTTGATTTTCTTTTAAATATACACGTGTAGTCTATAGCCGGGCAAGCCAAAGCCCGGACCCGCTTCGCGGGCCCAGTCTTTGACTTCCCCATATTAAATGATTTAAGCATCAGTGTAACTGTGATAGTAATGCTCTAATCAATTGCAATTGAAATAGACCATGGGACCTAAACCAGAGGTATATAAGATTCATTCTGTTTACATTTGTGTAATATATACAAGTTTTACTTCTGAAATATACATCTGTACATATAGGGAGGCAATCCAGATTACCATAAAATTTCTGCTTTATTGAGCCTGACACTTGGATTTGGACATATCTCGAGCTATTTATACATGTACGTACAGGTATTTTATCCAAGGCATTTTTTTGTGCCCCCACTTTAGTGGCGGGCATTTAGATTTACCCTTGTCCGTCCGTCCTTCCGTCCGTCCGTTCACTTTGTGTCGCACGTAACTCAAAAAGTATTTGACCTATAGTCATGAAACTTTACAGGAATGTTGATCAGCATGTGAAGTTGTGCACCTGGGTATTTTCGTCTGGATATTTTTAGGATTTTTAGAGTTATTGCCCTTGATTTAGTAAAATTTTGCAATTTTCAACTTGTGTCGCATGTAACTCAAAAATTATTTGACCTAGAGTCATGAAACTTTACAGGAATGTTGATCAGCATGTGTAGTTGTGCACCTGGGTATTTTCTCTGGATATTTTTAGTATTTTTAGAGTTATTGCCCTTGACTTAGTAAAATTTTGCAATTTTCAACTTGTGTCGCATGTAACTCAAAAAGTATTTGACCTAGAGTCATGAAACTTTACAGGAATGTTGATCAGCATGTGTAGTTGTGCACCTGGGTATTTTCCTCTGGATATTTTTAGTATTTTCAAAGTTATTGCCCTTGACTTAGTAAAATTTTGCAATTTTCAACTTGTGTCGCACGTAACTCAAAAAGTATTTTACCTAGAGTCATAAAACTTTACAGGAATGTTGATCAGCATGTGTTGTTGTGCACCTTGGTATTTTCGTCTGGATATTTTTAGGATTTTCAGAGTTATTGCCCTTGACTTAGTAAAATTTTGCAATTTTCAACTTGTGTCGCACGTAACTCAAAAAGTATTTTACCTAGAGTCATAAAACTTTACAGGAATGTTGATCAGCATGTGTTGTTGTGCACCTTGGTATTTTCGTCTGGATATTTTTAGTATTTTTAGAGTTATTGCCCTTGAATTAGTAAAATTGGATTTGACATAGAGTCATTAAACCTTATGGGCAGTTTGCTCAGCATATTTAGATTTGCACCTGGGGTTTCGCTTGTGGATTTATCCAGTATTTGTAGAGTTATTTCCCTTGACTTAGTAAAAAGATTGATAGAACAGTGGCGCGGTGGGGGCACCCGTGTCCTATGGACACATTTCTAGTTTGTCTTGTCACTATGACTTGAAAATTGGTGATTACCATTCAGAATTTACCTCAATCAAAAAGAGCACTAAGTCTTCTATCTCAAACTATAATTATAACAGGTTATGAAAAAGTAAATTTATCTGTTTATTTCAACTTCATGTTTAGGCTGTTTTGGTAATTGCATGTCACAGTTTTACTGTATTTTATTCTGGATTCTGGGATTCATAGGTATTTGATTTTCAGCATGCCTATTAACTCTGGGTTAAAGTTGTGTTTGTATCTTCATGTCTCATTTATTTAAGTACTTATGGTATTTATTTAAAATCATATTTTAACAGATGCTTCTTTACTTTACACTAAGCAAAGAGTATCAGAGTGAAAGCAGTATACAGTATTATATTTTACAAGGCCTTTGTTTTACTGTTAGGATTTGGGAAAAACTGCATGCTTTTTTTTACACAGCTTTTGTTTGCAACTTATTTTAAGGCCTTTTTTTCAGGTCCATGCGCAATGTTTGTGTTAGTGGAAATGAAGGATACAGTTCGAATACAACCATGGCTGTTCAAATTAGACCCTAATGAGGCAATTATCAATGAACTCAACAAAAAATTTGCAAACAAGGTATAAATATATTGTAAACCTGTGCTACTTTTTCTGACCACATATACGAAACTTGTCTCCAAAAGAACATGAATTTATGCTGCACTTTATATGTTTGTCATGAACAGAGTTCAACAGACTTAATAAAAGTAAGTCTGCAGTTTTCAACTACAGGTACATTTTAGCATTTATTGTTGTCATTGCTCTGGAGGGATGTCCCAGAACTTTAATGTACATTAAAGAGACTCCACTGAGTTTTTTTGACATGACAGGACTGGAAATAATTTTTCAGACTAATATTCTATTTGTTGTAGGTCCAGACCAATAACTTGTGTGCAAAATTTTAGATCATTTGATCACCCCATTTTTGTGTCGCCTTTAAAAAGGCGACATGTAGGGGTTACTTTTGTCAGCTTTGTCAGTGTCGACGTCCCTTTAAGCTTGTCCGGAGCATAAGTCAGTCATTTTAAGTTGGATTGACTTCAAACTTGGAACGTATTCTTCTTATAAAGAATTTAAGTGCAGTGCATAAGAACCGGTACACTGCACTTCTTAATTTTTGAGTTATTGCCCTTTGTTAATTTTCATACTTTATTTTTGTCCGGGCCATTTCTCCTAAAGTATAAAAGCTATGGACTTGAAACTTCATAAGATGATAGATCTCATTAAGAAGAAGTGCAGTGCACAGGAACCGGTGCTCTGTCCTTCTTATTTTTTTTTTTTATTGCCATTTGTTAATTTTCATACTTTTTTTTGTCCGGGCCATTTCTCCTAAAGTATAAAAGATATGGACTTGAAACTTCATAGGATGATAGATCTTATTAAGAAGAAGTGCAGTGCACAAGAACCAGTACTCTGCATTTCTTATTTTTTTAGTTATTGCCCTTTGTTAATTTTCATACTTATTTTTGTCCGGGCCATTTCTACTAAAGTATAAAAGCTATGGACATGAAACTTCATAGGATGATAGGCCTCATTAAGAAGAAGTGCAGTGCATAAGAACTGGTACTCTGCATTTCTTTTTTTTTGAGTTATTGCCCTTTGTTAATTTTCATACTTTATTTTTGTCCAGGCCATTTCTCCTAAAGTATAAAAGCAATGGTCTTTTAACTTCATAGGATGATAGATCTCATTAAGAAAGAGTGCAGTGTACAAGAACTGGTACTCTGCACTTCTTATTTTTGAGTTATTACCCTTTGTTAATTTTCATTTTTGTCCTGGCCATTTCTCCTAAACTATATTGTTCACAAGGCAACACATCCGACTCTAGTTTCGGACTGATTATTTTAGTTGTGAAAAATGACCCAAATACAACGCTTTTCACTCAAATCAAGCTAACAATAGCACAAAATACGATTTTCAATTTATTTCTGAGTATATTTCTTAATAATCTTTTGCATTATTTTCATTTTTAAGTTCCACAGCTAATTTATGTAAGAAATTCAAATTTTATGTTTGTAGGCCTTTGGACCTCAGTGGAGTTCCTTTAAGAAATGAATTGCCACAAATTAACAAGGGCATTCCTGCTTCCAAACATATTTTTTTCCCCAATGGAGAAGCATAAAAAGCCGAATTGTCAGTCTGCATTTATGTTTTTCTTGATTTTCTTTGAGTTCAAATGAGAATTTTTTTAAATAACTTATACACTAGAAAAAATATAATGTGCAAAGGAGATAATTTATAAGAATCTGTTCTTTTATTCATTATGTGTTGAGTAATTTCAATTAGTAATTCAGTTTGGACTTTAAACAACAGTTTTTCCCCCAATTCTTATGTTGGTAAAATTCCCAAAATGTTGAAAATTAAGTAAGTGGACACACACAGGAATCCTTTCCTGGAACCAACCAGTATTGAGCAATGAGTGTAAAATTTCTTGCTCAAAGACAAAACTCGCCCCTGATGGGGTTTGAACCCACGCGACCAGCAATCCTTAGATTAATAGTCTGACACATAAACTACTCGGCCACGCCATACAGTTGGCCAACAATCTTAAAATTTTCATCTTGGTATTGCCAAACCTATGTTTGAACCTATGCAGCTAGTGGCCATTTGATAACTACTCTAAAGCTTAACCACATGTCCCTCCTACAGAAATACTTGAAGAGGGTACTGTAACCCAACGAATTTTCGCGACCAATTAATATTCGCTTAATTCGCGGATGGCCACGAAGCGCGAATATTTGTTTGCGCGAATAAGTCCGCACGATTTTGCGAATAAATTGGAGAGAAATTTTTATTTTAGACGTTGTTCATGCAAAGCTACTTTACCGGATAGATTCGAATTTTACGGGCACCTGTTAGGAAGTAATGAATTGTTATGAATATTGTCATAAAGCAATAAAAACACAAACTAAGTAAACTACTACTATTTTATAAAATAAAACATAAAAATAAATGTTTGAATAAATCGTTTGACAAAAGTGGGAAAACTATCGAGCATCACAAGGGCTATTGTTTTTATGGATCATATAAAATAATTGTTTGAGACAAAGGTGGTATAAACCTATCGAGCATCACAGAAGGGTTTTCGGTGTACATAATTACAAACAGTGAAATACAAGATGGTCTCATACTAGTATCGATTTTTACCCGTAAAACTTATAGAGAAACTGTTTTGCTGAATTGTGATCACAATTCACTTACTAATACAATATAAGCCTAGCGTATTGTTAATCCCATTTAAGACACCAATAATGACCTCAATTATTGAAGATTAATAGTCGGCTAATAGATTAAACGGCCCCATCGGACTTTCGAATCCGCGAATATTTTTTTTCGGAAATCAAGAAATCGCGGAAATTAATATTCGCGAATATGTCCGACCTCGGCAAAACGCGAAAATTTGTATTCGCGAATATAAATTGGGTTACAGTATTCATTTTATATAATCTTTGTTATGTACATATAACTGTTTTATACAAAATATTTCAGGTTGTACATAATGTAGGACTTTGTATTGCATTGTGGGATATTCAGAAAATGGAAGAAAGTTTTATATTTCCAGGAGATGGCGCTCATCATACCATAGGTTTGTATTTGTTTTGTCAAGTCTCTTAATTCCTGTAATACATTCTTTGACCCTTACACTGCTGAAGCTAAGAGGAATAACCAGTATAGAACCAGTCTGATCAGGCTACATGTATATCCTGGTTAATTAGTTTATTCTAATTTTATTTAAAGTTCAATTGGGTTGGCGAACACTCTTGAATATTTCCTGGACAATAAGTACTAAACAATGACGTTTGAAAGTTTTTCTCACAGAACGATTGCACCTGAGGGTTTGAACCCCATGGGCCAGCAATCCTTAGTTAACAACTTGACCAGCCAACGTTGGCAACCCACTTTAATCTTTAAATTCTTGTGATGTACAGGTGAGGAAAAATGCACCTACAAAGGACCAAAAACCCATCCTGCAGCTTCTCCAAGTTACCAAACCTGAGCTATCGGCCCGCCTACAATCCTCCAAAATTAGGTGAACCCAGTCCCTGAACCTTACATTTGCTATTGCCAAAAAATGAGACACCATTGTATATTCATTAATTTACAGGAATAAATTTGCTGGGCATTTGTGCAATAAAACCCCTAAATTTTCCCAAATATTTTAAAATGAACTTCAAAGGGAAACTTTTAAAAAAAGTAAACTTAAAAAATCTTTTTAAAAAATTCTCCCTTTAAAAGTTGGGTTTTTTTAAATTTTTTAAAAAAATTTGTTTTTTTTTGTTTTTTTTTGAAACCTATGACAGACTTTATGATTCTTTTAGAAATTTTTAAAGATATTTATTTTCTAGTAAAATTTATTATAAATAAAAAGTGGAAAATAATTATTTATCTTTTAAAATTATTTTATTTTTCCCCATAGTAAAAAGGGTTTTTAAAAATAATCTGTTTTACTAAGAAAAAAATTTGCGGGTTTAAATTTATCTGCTCAATGTTTAATAATTTTTTAAAAAAGATTCAAAGTGGGAAATTATTTGGAGCATCGGGGAAAAACCATATTACCTAAAATGCAATTAAAAATGATGAACCACTCAGAATTTTAAATTTTTTTTTTTTAGCTCACCTGTCACAAAGTGACAGGGTGAGCTTTTGTGATCGCTTTCTGTCCGGCGTCCGTCCGTCCGTAAACTTTTACTTTAAATGACATCTCCTCATAAACCACTAAGCCAATTTCATCCAAACTTCACAGGAATGTTCCTTTGGTGGTCACCTTTAAAAATTGTTCAAAGAATTTAATTCCATGCAGAACTCTGGTTGCCATGGCAACCAAAAAAAAACTTAAAAATATCTTCTTTTAAAGAACCATAAGAGCTAGAGCTTAGATATTTGCATGAAACATCTTCTAGTGAGTGTCTACCAAGTTTGTTCAAATAAAAGCCCTGGGGTCAAAATTGGCCCCGCCCCGGGGGGTCATTGATTTTCCCTATATGCATATAGTAAAAACTTAAAAAATCTTCTTTTAAAGAAATCAAAGAGCTAGAGCTTAGATATTTAGCATGAAACATGTTCTAATAGGTGTCTACCAAGTTTGTTCAAATAAAAGCCTGGGGTCAAAATTGGCCCCGCCCCGGGGGTCATTGATTTTCCCTTTATGCATATAGTAAAAAACTTAAAAATCTTCTTTTAAAGAACCAAAGAGCTAGAGCTAAGATATTTAGCATGAAACATGTTGTAATGGGTGTCTACCAAGTTTGTTCAAATAAAAGCCCTGGGTCAAAATTGGCCCCCCCCAGGGGGTCATTGATTTTCCCTATATGCATATAGTAAAAACTTAAAAAATTCTCTTTTAAAGAACTCAAAGAGCTATGGCTAAGATATTGAGCATTAAACATGTTCTAATAGGTGTCTACCAAGTTTGTTCAAATAAAAGCCCTGGGGTCAAAATTGGCCCCGCCCCAGGGGGTCATTGATTTTCCCTATATGCATATAGTAAAAACTTAAAAAATCTTCTTTAAAGAACCAAAAGAGTTAGAGCTAAGATATTTAGCATGAAACATGTTCTAATAAGTGTCTACCAAGTTTGTTCAAATAAAAGCCCTGGGTCAAAATTGGCCCGCCCCGGGGGTTCATTGATTTTCCCTATATGCATATAGTAAAAACTTAAAAAATCTTCTTTTAAAGAACTCAAAGAGCTATGGCTAAGATATTTAGCATCAAACATGTTCTAATAGTGTCTACCAAGTTTGTTCAAATAAAAGCCCTGGGTCAAAATTGGCACCGCCCGGGGTCATTGATTTTCCTTATATGTGTATAGCAAAAACTTAAAATCTTCTTTGAAAAAACCCAAATAGCTAGAGTTTAGATATTAAGCATGAAACATCTTCTAGTAAGTGTCTACAACGTTTGTTTAAATAAAAGCCCTGGGGTCAAAACTGGCCCGGCCCCAGGGGTGTCATTGTTTTTAACTATATGTGTATAGTAAAAACTTAAAAAAATCTTCTTTTAAAAAGCCCAATGAGCTAGAGCTTAGATGTTTAGCATGAAACATCTTCTTATGGGTGTCTACCAAGTTTGTGCAAATAAAAGCCCTTAGGTTAAATTGGCCCTGCAACGTTGGGGGGGGGGGGGCTATATACAGGTGAGCGACCTCAGGGCCATCATGGCCCTCTTGTTTACTTCTTGATCTGGTTTTACGTCACACACTGTAGAGGTGATATGGTAACGTCCCAGCTTTACAGGTGGTGAAAGACCTCAGGTACCTCTGCGCAGTATTTCAGGCACAAACGGGCACCTGAGTAGAATCACGTATATTCCATGAACTAGCTGGATAGCTCTGTCACATGAAAGTACCCTAGTGTGATTCTAGTCTACATTAGTGAGGGGCAATTTACAGGTTTAAAAACAGTGACCTTAACCACTCAGCCATGGACACCACTTTTTGTCTAACATGAACATTGCATCATTACATATTTCAAAGCTATTTTTGGTTGAGAAAAGTATCTGAAATGATTTTTGAATTAATGAAAGGAATTTCAGTAAATAAATTAATACAGCAATTAGTTCTGTAATTTCCCTTTGCTGTAATTTTTAATGTCATTTCCTTTTCAGTTCAGTTCCGATATGTTGTGTTCCGTCCATTTGTAGACGAGATTTTGCTGGGCAAGATAAAGTCATGTAGTAAAGAAGGAGTCTGTGGTACATATGAGAATCAGTTTTATATTTGTTAAATTAAGTGATCTATAGATTAGCGGCCTAAATTCGCCTTCATATTTTGCAAAACAAGAGATAAAATCAAGCTACATTATTTAAAAGCTTCAGAAATTTTTTCTTAAATACATGTTTTATAATGTTGTTATAACATGTATAATGGATCAAGAACAATTTTAAAGTAAATTGCTGTAAATGTGAAATTATTTGTGATTAATGTTATAAAATGTAAACAGAGTAGTACTTTGACTTCCATACAAAATACTAAATCACCATACATATAGTAATTGCCAAATTAAAAAAAGAAGCAAAAGATGTCCGAAATAATGCCAAAACTAAAAAGCTATTGAAAAAATAAAATTTGTAGCATTTTTTATTTCTTAATGGGCCTTTAAATAAAGTAATGAATTTTGTTTTGAATACAGTTGAAATTTGAAGTAAGCTTGCTGTTGCTAACTGTCCTATTCAGTTTTTTTTTTTGCTGAGAAAGAATTAGTATTTGGAAGACATGATGTGGTTCCTTCTCCTGTATACTGATGTATAATAAGTGGTATTATATGTATATTATATGAGCCATGTCACGACAAAACCAACATAATGGCTTTGCGACCAGCATGGATCCAGACCAGCCTGCGCCTCCGCGCAGTCTGATCAGGATCCATGCTGTTCGCTATCAGTTTCTCTACTTGTAATAGGGTTGGTTAGCGAACAGCATGGATCCTGATCAGACTGCGCGGATGCGCAGGCTGGTCTGGATCCATGCTGGTAGCAAACGCATTATGTTGGTTTTGTCATGACGCTGCTCATATGAGTTATAACATAATTACATAAATTGTTCAAATAAAATTAATCTTGAATAAGACTTTTATTGCATGAATAAATGAGGTGGCATAATTTATCTCAGAGGAAATTTAAATGTCTGCAATTAAAATTAAGAAATAAAAACTTGTTGAGGATTATTTAGATTTTATCAAGCAGCTGATCTATGTGTAGAAATGAAGGTGTTATTGTAATAAGAAGTAATTAAGAAATGAAGATTTCCAAACATAATTTGTTCATTGTCTTATTCAAATAAGACATTTACATGTAGTAAGAATTTTTTACATTTTAATAAATTTCTGCAATGAAAGTATTTTACATAAAGATGAGCATATTTATAGTATATCGCTAAGCTAGAAGTATAATTCTTTTTACATGTGAAGACAAAAGATGAAGTTAGAAGGCACACATTAAACCACAAACATTCAGGTGTCCGACTGTAACCCCACCTTGCTCCCCTCCTTGGTAATTCTCAGTAACTTTTAACATTTTAAAACAAGTATGACATCTTACTCAGTCATAAATTTGGTTTGAGTCAATTTTCATGTTAATTAAAAAAAAAAAATTCACATTTACCATCAAGTCTTACTGTCTATAGTACTTGATGGTAAATGGGATTTTTTTTTTAATCCTCTGGTTTTAAAAAAGTTTTATAATTAAAAAAAGATGGATGTCACATTTTTGTAAAAGTGAAAAAGCTAACTGAGAAGCTGTCTCACATGCAAGATTCCTAAGTCATTGGCAGAATTAAAATTTACAGCAATAATCATAATGAGCTTTGGCATTTTCATAAGTTGCTCTTACAGGTTTTGAAGAAATTAACTAGCTTTTGGTTGAAACAGAATTTAAATTAGTTTGATTGTGTGGGAAGCTATAAGCTTATAGACACATTTTTGAATTCATTCCTTGAACAAACAAGCACCAAGCAATGATTGTAAAGTTTCTTGTTCAAGGAAACAACACTTGCCCCCTGACTGGGTTGGAAACCATGCTGCTGGTGATCATTAGATTACTAGTCCGACGCGTTATACACTGGGCAATGCTGCCACTTCTGGCTTTTATAAGTCTATGAAAAAATTGAAGATACGTTTACCACATGACACTGCTTACTGCCAGTGTAATATATAAACTTTAATGTACATTTGTATTTCTTTACATGGCATATGTTTGATTTAAAAATAGTCTGTCACACAGGGATTTGGCTGGAGTTTTTGGCTTTATAAAACCATGTCATAAAAAGAATCTTACCTGTCACTTGTAATTTCATAAGGATTTAAATTAAACCCTTCTAAGAAATGTCCTAGACTTGTTTAATAATACATGTAGTTTATAAGGAATGACAACTTGATACTGGGATAAATATATTGAAATAGATTGTCATTATTCAGTTGATAATGTTCTCCCTTTGTTGTCTGTCTATCAGTTAGCTGACATTTTGCTTGCCTACTTCATGTTAAAAAAGCTTTTAGTCAGATTACCATCATATTTGCAAGACTGAATGTGAAGTCTAATCAGTACTTTTTTTCCTTCAATTTTTTTTTATGTTTTTCTTTTGCATTTATTCATGCTTTTTTAATTTGAAAAATTTAGTGCAATAATCAATAAAGCTATACCCTTTTAGTAGGCTAATACATAGTCACTGCAAAAGGTTTGAGCTGCGCAAGCTTCTTGCTTTTTTTTCATGTGAGAAAGCATAGAATCCAGCTAGCTTATGGAACATCTGTGGTGCTACTTCGGCGCCTAATTTGTGCCTCAAAGCGCAGAAGGGTGCTTGAGAAGTTCTTTCACCAACAAAGCTGGAAAAGTTGTCATATGATCTAAACTGTGTTGATGTGACATAAAACCTAATAAAAAAAGATCAAGCCACAAATGTAAAGGTGCTTTCTGCCTTGTAGGCAACAAAAATGTTTACAAGTATCTGAAAAATAGTAAAAAAAAATTAAGTATAGATAATAAAATCATTTCATAAAGAAAAGGTTGGGGTGTTAAATGTTTATCAGAATAAATTGTGTCACCTCTCTGAACCAATGATTTCAAGCTGTCTTGTTGTCTCTGTAAATTGCAACATTATACAGTCAGGACTCAATACATCGGAATCCATTATACTGACAAATTCAAATAACGACAGTGAATTGGTGGGAACCAAATTTTTTCAATGTTGTTATAATCCTTTTTAACGGAAAATTCGTATCCTGACTCCAACACAATAAAATTGGAAACCAAATGTGTTATTTTCTATACAACCAGTACCCGTTAAACTGACACGCACATATCATTTAACTTTTGAACAAAAATAAGGTGTCAAATACTTTTTTCATTAATTGACAAATACAACAAACAGTGTGCAATCAACTTTTAAAAATCCTATCATTGTAAGTGCTTTTTTATTTTATAAAGTTTTATTATTTTCATGTCAATCTATTTAACTATTTTAGTTGTTTTTATTTTGATAAAATGGTTGCATTATGTGTATGATTTGTAATGTGTATAATAAAGTGAACACATAATTACAAAAGTCTTTTCATTATAGATGTTTATTATAGATCTAAATACATAATGTTCAGATACGAGTGAATAAGCATATCATTATATGATGAATGGTGAAATTCAATATACTGACACATTCGATATACTGATATATCCTTTGGGAACCAACAGTAATGAGTCCTGACTGTATCACATGATTCCTTGACAAGTAATCTTTATCTGCTGAACTAATGTTGAACAGTTCTTTCAAAGTTTAAGGATTCAAAGTTAAAAGGATTTCAATATCAAAATACAAATACAATTTTTTTTTCAATCTCAGAAGTAGCATAGGGACATAGCGTGTCTGTAGGGAAAATATACTGTTTACTACATCAGTATACAATTTCATTTAATACTCTAGAAACCAGGTCTTTGACCTGCAGCATCTCTCATTTCAGGATTTATATTAGATTTTACATTTTTCCCCATTGATTTATAAAGCTGTAAACACTGTCAACCTAGACAGATTAATTTAAACCAGAGAGAGAAAAAGTAATCTTTTCTTAGAGATACTTTGAGATATGTTTACTACAAAGTTTGAAGGAAATGTTGATGTAAAATGATTTTATTTTGTATTGTCTGGTCTCTTGTTAATTATAAACATAGACTACTTTTTTGAGACGATTGGTTGTTATTTGGGTGTTCTTGTATACTATCTATTACATATTAGAAATACAAATGTCTGATGCGAAATGCATGTGCACATCTTGTCTCATGCGCACATCTTGTCTCATGCAAATGCATTAAACTATAAGTTAAGTGATGGTAATTTTTATAAATTACAACATACAAATTAATGTACAGACACTATCTAAAAAAGACATGTGTTTATAACTTCCGAATATATTACTTATGATATGCTCATCAGAATATAATAAATATGGTGACAAAAATTATAATAAAAGTTATATCAGTGACAAAAAGCATTTCATGTTAAATAAATGTATATTTCCACTTTGAAATATAATGTCATTGAAATAACAAGTACATACATGTATTTGTCTGTTTTCCAGTATCTATGGGATTTTTTGATGACATACTGATCCCTGCTGATTCCATGCAAGATCCTACAAGATTGTATCCTTTCAATGAAAGCACCTTGTGATTGAGGAGATACCTTTAATGGCTGAGGCATAAGAACTGCAACCACCATTTAAAATGGGTTTGATTGACTGGAGTCTATGTAAATCTTAGCTCCAGCAGATGAGCTGGTTTTGCTTTGAAGTTTGTAACACCCGAGCTTAGTCAAAATCATCTTTCCTGTTTTGGTGCCATATGACCTATACTGTTTTGGTGAGTTGTAGAACAAACTTTCTATTAAACATTATTCATGTTAGAAAGATGTCAAGTTTCCAAACAAAATGGTAATAGTTCTACCCATGTGCTTGTATGTGACACTTTACAGCTGCTAACATAAACATAATGAGGTTAGAGTTTGTTTCCAAAAAATAATTATGTGTAAACAGTGTGACTGCTTGTGAAGCAATACGGTTTTTGGCTTTTGATTAGTTTTTCATTTGATGTCTCACAGTATCGTAGAACTAATATGATTTGAACATATTTGTGTAACTTAGTAAAAGTTAAAATAAGATGTTAATTGACCTTGACCTATATAATAGTGATGAGAATGAACAGCTATGGGCGTGGGAGTATCAGATGGAGGATGGTAAACATGACTTATTTATGGACATTGGAGAAGAAATCAGGTAATAATGCTAGAAATAGGGAATTGGCAATATACTAGAAACAGCTATACAGTACTGTCACATCAGTATATATTTCTAGATTTTCCCCAAAAATAATGGATGGTTTTGAAGAAATGGGCAATATACATGATTATTATAGAAGAAGTTAGAAGTTACTGTTAAAAATTATTAACCCGTAGACAGGTAAAAGCTGCCTATGCAACTGGTGCAGACCAAGATCAACTGGTATATTAGTATATGTATATTTTGAAATTTTCCTCAAAAATAATGGATGGTTTTTCCCAGATTGTAAGATGGACATGTCTGTATAAGGTATTAAGCATGGTAAGGGGTGAACAGTTTTAAACAGTCATGAATTTAAGTAGATTTTAAATGTCATTATGTAGTAAAATTAGGTAACTTGGTGAATAAACAAGATACAAAACAGCCAGACTATGATTTTATACTTATATATTTTTGGACTCCATTTAAGAAATAATAAATTAGTTTATGAGAGAAAGCAGTGTTAAATGACATTGGATGCTTACATGTTCACTGTATATATATTCGGTAAATGATTAACATCAATACTGGCACATAAACTATAGTGCATGTCTTATTTTTTTGTATTTTGTTGACAGGTTTCGTGTAGTAGATAACACTTTTGTTGACACAACTCCAGTAGGCCCAGAGAATGTCAGTAAAGATTCTGATGTAACAGAACATGAAGTGAAAAAATCACCATACACAATCACAGTAAGTGTGTTTGATTTATCACAGGATTTTTTTTTAATTAATTGAATTTGAATGAAGAGCTGTGATTTTTTTTTTGTAAAAAGATTTGAAATTATTAGCCAGATTTCAATATCTGAGGACAGAATGAATGACAAAGTTACAGCCTTTTCTTAACTGTTTAGATATGAAGGCATGCATGCAATACGTACTGAAATACCTCTTTCATCTGATGATATCTTTGTTCCACTCAAACCTCTTAGGTCAACTTATTTGACTGAATACCAGATAATTGATACTTTTTCTTAAAACTTGTATTACATTAAAGTTATGTATTTTCATTGATGAAGTCAATAAAGATACAATATTTGGCAGGAGTGTTTCTTTATATTACTCTTTGAAAAGAAATAAAAGAACATTTTTACCTTTAAGAGGCATGAAAAAGCAATCTAATGAATGAATAATAACCCATGCAGGTTCATTAAACTCTAAACTGCTGACCACTTATTCCTCACTGCTTTGGGTTTGAATGCCAACAGTTACTTTGGATTCTTGCATGTGATGAAGGGATATAGCTAGCTTAGTGATTGTTGGTGGTTCTACTTAGGTGCTCTTTCATGCCTGAAATAATGAAAGAAAGGACACCTGAGAGTGAAACCGGAGAATAACCATATCACCTATAATATAAATAATAATATGACATAAGACCAAACCAAACAAAACTGCTGGACAATAATATACAATAGAAACTACTTGATTTAATTACTGCTTATTTTCATTCTATTTTGGAATTATTCACAATGTGAACATACAATTAGGATGTCTGGTTTTTGTTTACTAAACACAACATGTCCTTCACAATTTTGTTGTACATTTTAGTATTATCTAAGATGTTCTGTTAAATGATCTTATGATTTACAGAAACTGCTTTAATACCAGTATATTTCCTAACATTAAGATCAGTTTTTGATGTGACAGTAACCTTTCATAGATTTCATTTCATTTGTTCCATAGTAAGTATGAGAAGTATTTGTAACTGATAAAAACTATCTGTATATCAGTTCATAAAAGCCCTCTGTCTGTCAGACCGTACAGTTGATTGATCTGTAATTGAAATGTCTGTCTAGCTAGCTTTTATCCCATTATCATTGTATCAAATTATTGTAGCTTTATAGCAAAGATAATTCATACAAAGTGACTTGTCTTGCTAACAAAGCTTTTAAAAGTTATTTTAGAGGATTTTATCATAAAATTATGTCTTGGCTTAAACATACCTGAGGTAAAAAAAATCAAAAACGAATAATTTCCAATTATATTGTGTATGTAAAATTCAGTTGACTGTGATTTGTAGTAAGCAATTCCATTATGTAAAAAATGGCTGTTTGTAATGTATGTATAAATATATACAAAATGTAATATGTAAACTTATTATAATTCCCATGTTATGTGCGATTAATGACAGATTTTGCAGTATTTTTCATCTTATTTCTACTGCGTTATTTCTATTGTGTTAGTAACGCAGTAAGGGCTATTTTTACTTATTTTGACCTTGTTTTTGGTAATTTATGTAGGTTGTAAGTGCCGTTTACAATATGTAATTTTTTTGTGTTCACTTGACAATATCCACAAAATTTTCTTGAAAATAAGCAGAAATCTGGAGGTGTGCTGCTTTAATATCACTGTTATGTTTTAATAAATATTTTATATACATTTCAGGCATCTACAAGTGAACCAGGGTTAGGTCTTTTATCATGGTGGAACTCTTGACAACACAACTACTCATTTATTGTTATTATTTTGTGTTCATAAATTGACTGTTAACACTATTATAAAGACACTTCAAAAAGAGGCTGATTAAAGTGTCAATCATGTTTTGCATGGGAAGTTACAAGAGCACAAAATCACCCATAAGATTATTATAAAAGGTCTGATCAATTATAGACTGTCTTTGATGACATATTCCTTGTTCTTCAAAACTGTATTTATACATGTAATCTAAGTCACTGTTTAAATGTACAAGACCTGGAGAGATATTTATTGTGTGTAGTGTATATATTTAGAGATATGATCAGCAATGTTAATGGGTGTCATTCTAAAATCTTATATACATTGTATAAGTTTTAAGAAGTTAAAAATTTCAGTGTTCATATTTACACTGAAAGATATTTTTCTTTATTCTTAGATAAAATAAACTCTTATTTAGTTAACCTGCCAGGGCCTAAATAGATTTAACCTCTACATGTATGTGCAGCACGAGCAGGCTCTACTTTGTTCATTATCTTACTTCAAATTTCTATCCTGTTCTCCCCAAAATTGATAATGGACAGTTCCAAAAATAGTGACTGGACAAGTCCATTTGAAAAAAATCAGCATGATAAGGGTTTATATAGTTTCAAACATCAGTGAAATACCTTTATCTTGCAAGACAACGTCAAATACGCAAAAATTATTTCTAGGTTTTTGTGTCTGCATATTTTTTCTCCTTTTTTCTCAAAATTTATTTCAACAGTAAGTACAATAAAAGACATTTTGATAGACCACTTTTTTGTTGCACATGTAGATGAAAATTTATTTATTTGTTAATGATTATGTGTAATAGAATAAAAATAAGGGAAAAAAAGAGAATCAGTTTTTTGTTGTAGCTTTTAAGGTTTCTTCGTTGCCAAGTGGTTGAAATCCTGGCTTCAAACGAGTTGCCCCTCATCACTTAGTTGAGATCCTGCCAGTGACTTTGGATTCTTTCATATAAGGAAGCAATGACGGTATTGTTTCTAATTAGCTGGTGCCTCGAGTAATGCAATAATGCATGGAGTAGCACCTAAAATATGCTTAGAAGCCACATTACATTGTCGGTGTAACTAATAAGGATTTCACTAAGTTGTTTTTTACAGGGAGGGTCTGTAAATATTTTTTGGAGAAGTATGTACGGTGAAGATCTGGACAAATGACTTCAGGTCATTGGCTTGTTTCGTTTTTCCGGAATGTTACTTTTCTTAACGCATAATGACCCAACATTTCAGTATTAAACGTTTTAAACTCAAAACTTTCAATATATAAATAGAGTATACTATTTCATTATTTTCTGCATAATTTTTCATTCCATGTTCACCAGACAGCTGATTAGTGTAAGAATGTGAAATTGTACGTGTTTATGCATTTGGACTCTAGTAAATTTAACCTCCTTAACGCCCTCTCTCCCATCTCCTCCGCCCAATAAATATGAATAAATAAATCAATAAAACCACCACAACTTATGAATATGAATCAGGAAGATATTAATAAATTCAGTTATCATCTGTCCCTATGAATAGGTGAATTATTTTCCGATTTCTTTCTGACTTTAAGATGACAATTTTTTTAATTTCCATCTGTCATTTATACTGCTATGGTCCAATTAAGTTCTCAAAGAAGTTAATTTGATGTTCGTCGTAAGATTACAGTTTCTTTAAACTTTAAAGCTTAAGTTTATCATTTCATGAAATTGGAATTGAAACTCTTTTTAGAACTTAACAAAACCACCTTCACTTTGGATTTCTTTCTGAGAAAAAAAAAATCACACTTTTGGTGTGACCCCAGTCGAGTACACGCCAGGCAACTAATACACTAATCGCACAATCATTCAAAACTAATTTAAACTAGTCCAAAATATCACAATTTAACCTGTGTTATTAATGAAAAATGGAATTTATCTTACGTGAAGTAAAAGTGTATGTGTGTGTGTGTGTGTGTGTGTGTGGGGGGGGGGGGGGGGGTTATGTTAACAGAGTTTTGTTATAGGCCACACAACAACTTTTTTTAAAGCATCCGTTATCATTTGTGTAGATGGCACGGTGTTTCAATTGTCCTTCAATTAGTTCGTTATGCATACCTTGCATACTTTGTGACGACATGTTCTTTATTAATGCAATAAAAGTACAAAAATGACCTGTCATATTGTCATGGTAGCTTTAATAGAATTTCTTTTTTGAAAACAACAATATTATATGAAAATTGCAGTATCCCCTTTTGAATGAGTCTGTTCATGGGATAATGGAAAGTACGACATCCCTCATGCGCCCGTCCCCTACTCCCTATAACCGACTTAAGTGGCATCCAAGTTTCAACACTAACGTGCTTGAATAATGTTCCCAAGGACCGATCGAGAAAAACATGTAGCACTGAAGTGAAAAGTGTACTAGATATATGCATGTATAAAAAAGTGTCTCTCTGAAGCATTAAAACAGCAAAATTGCATGAAAATTGCAGACTCAGTTTGTACATGAGGGATAATGAAAAAGTGCAACATCCCTCACGCCCCCTAGCGCCGGCTCGAGCGGTACTCTCTATTTTCAACGCTTAAAAGTGCTGGAATCCATGATCCCAAAGGACCAGAAAAATACCGGTATAACAACACTGTTACACATGTATAAACTATACAAAGAAACACAGGTATTCTCTAGAGATATCTTATTTAAACACATTTGGAATAGGACATCATATTTGTTCTAGAAATAAGGTAAAACATCATTTTCATGTGATAGCCTTGCTGTTAATGATTATTTACATCTTGGTGTTTCCACAAGTTTGTTATCATTCATTCGAGAGAAATAAATCAGTTGATTAGGACGTAGGCGACAGAAAATGTCACAATGCACTTTTAATTTTGCAATGTCTGCTTTTAGAACGAGATATTTTGTTGTTCACAATTATGATATTGATTTTGGTTTAGACGCATTTTTTAAAGATAATTTTTTGTTTCAGAACTTGTATAGATATATTTTTTATGAAACAAACATCAATTATATTCTTCGTATCAGAAAAATGATCATAGTGTATTTTTGGTTCTGCAGTTTAACGATTTGTCTTCATAACAACAGAATATAATTGGATTTGTTTCAGCATATTCAGTTAATTTTTTTCTGTATCCAATACAAATGTATATAGCAAGCGAAGGTTAAAGTCTGATTTCATAAATGGTTTAATTACACAGACACTTTCTTCTAAAACTGTCTAGATACGATAATATATACTTGTATAATGACAACAGCGTGATTGTACATGTTGTTTTATTCAGGTAGTTAAAATTATAGCTTTACAAACTGTTGCAGTTTTAATTTTCACCGATGCTTTATCTAAGATACCAAGCTTGGTAAAGAAATTTTAAGAGAATACAATCAAACTCGATATCCTGCGATGTTAGAAGCAAAGTGGGCGGAATTTGATATTGAACAAATAATCATCGACTGTTAATTTCAATGAAACTTCCTCGTCTGCAATGATATTTCCAAGAAAAATACAGACTTAATTGACAGCTCCAGGTCATGCATACAAAATGTCATAAAACATTAAAGAAAAAAAAACTAAATTTAACTTATAATACATATAAACATCTGTCATTTCTATTTGTCTTTTCATTTTCGATTAAAGTTCCGTCTTCAAAAAACGTGTGTTTAAAGAAATGCCCATAGGCTGAGCGTTTCCTGATTACTTTCAGCGTAAGGACACACATTTCAAAACTGTAGATGTGACACACATATACGTTTTAAATCAAGATAACTGAGACAACAGATATCAAGACATTTCTTACATTTATTCTAATGTGACTTCCTTTATTACATATCATTGATTAGAAAATGACATTGATTGCGATAAATGAACTGCATATTCTGACAAATAATACAATCTATAACGGAAGTCGAGCTTTATTATTTTTCAAAATCCTCCAAAACTTTTCGCTAGCAAAATACTTTTATAAGTATAACATTCCTGTTTTTCTCTTTCAACTTCGTAGATATTTTGATGAAAATACTGCGGCGACCATTTGGATATAAATATTTGCTGATGTGCGTAAATACATCTGTACAGTATTTTTTAACAAATTGTAAATTTGAGCTGACAGTTGTTGTTGTTATTGTTGTTATGTATCATTTCAATATCTGAATGAAATATGAGTGCACATTAAGGCTATTCTTTCTGTTTTAATCTAAAGTTATCAATCAACATTACGAAAGAGTTCTAAAGCCAAGAAGCTACAGCTTAAAACATTACTATATGTATAGCTTTCTGTGTCAGCTAAACCTCACCAAATGTCCTATTCATTACTTAATAATGGACATTGAAAGCATCACGAACGCTTCATATCTAAAAGTTATTATAACTAATGCATACAAGAATGAATGGCAAACGTCATCATTCTGTGGACTTAATAAACTAAGAAAATACACAAGACGATGACTTGTGGGTTAAAAAGTGCAACAATAGGTTGTCGTGGATCAGGGTTACATAGCTTAACTACATGTTCAGGTACTAGTATTACCATGCCGTTTTTTAATCTAAAAACATAATTCTTTCAGAAAATGGAAAACGTTTCATCAATATTATAATATACCTTTAAACTTTGTTGTTAAGCGGGAAAAATTAGGTATCTTTTTGATAACCTTTACTTAATTGTTTCCCCCTACTCTATAGCTGCACATTTTAGTTATGAGATAGGTCCTTAATGTAGAAATGACTTGAAGAGAACACCTTCGTAAAGGAAATATTGACACTGAAATTGTCACCATTGAGGTTTGCTCACTGTACGGTTGCTTGCAAAATCTGAAAAACAAGTCGTCCGGTTGCTTGCGAGGTCTATTAAACAAGTCGTCTGATGATCACGATTTAAAAAAATATTATGATTATTATTATTATTATTATTATTATTAGTATTATTATTATTATTATGAAATAAATAGTGCGCCCCATTAAAGGAACACCACTGAGGTTAAAAAGCCTAAAAACATAACATTTGAATTTCTTATATGAATGAGCTGGGGCACTTTATACAGAAATGTATACAAAGATAGTTAAGAAATATACTTTGATATAAATTAAAAATCGTATTTTTATGCTTTTCATAGCTCGATTTGAATTAAAAGCGTTTAAACGCTTTTCATTTTTGGGTCATATTTTACAATTTGAATAATTATTCTGGAAAAAAGATGTGCGCGAATGATCTGAAACTTTGCACAAAGATTAGTGGTCTGAAACATACATCAAATGGTACATTAATCTGGAAAAAATAATTTCAGTCCATCATGTCAAGAAACCTCAGTGGAGTCCCTTTAAAGGTATTGAAGATCCTTTGTAATAGATATAATTTTGGTAAGCGTGTGTCATACTGTAAAAAATGTACATGTTCAAATCATAGCAACAGGTTTTCTCATTTAGTAATCGGACAAGATTCTCTGAACTATACCAGTGTAAATCAGTTTTGGCAACATAAATTTAATAATTTTATACATGCATGTAAATTTAATAAGCATGGATTGTAGGGTCTACTGGCAGGACTATATCAAGAAAGGGCTTGATTTTCTTGAGTTGACGTTAACTATTCCAAGTATTAATTTAAAATTCAAATACTCTTACCATGTTAATCTAAAATGCTTTATTTAATACAATTTTAATCAGTTCTGCTACATGTATATTCTTATGTGATAACTCGTTGTTTTCGTTTATTTAGGCCTTCTGTGGTATAATTGAGAAAGTTCCTCATATTTCAATGTTGGCGTGTATATTAATGAAGTATGTGTGCAGTCTGAATTTATATGTAATATTTATATGTAAGTCGTTTAGAGGTGCATTATTTCTTCGTATATATGCCAGCCACTGTTACGCTGTGTACATAGATGAGGCATAAATCAGTCAATCAATCATTTTTTAACAAATTAACTTACTGACATTGTGACAACATTTAATTTTAGAAGTCAATGAGTCACACTTTCATATTCATTTGATAAATGTCTGTTGTATTTACCTAGTACGTCTTGGAATAAACGTTCAGTGACGTATTATATTTGTCACATATAAAAAGAAAAAAGAATACACAGATTAGTTCGGTTACATTTACTACTCCGCTGAAGTTACTATAGTTACCATTCTCAGTCATAATTACTATTAAACTCCCTCATATAATAAAACACACAACAAACTGTTCTTAATGTTCAAACATTTTTTATTGATATATATAATATTTTTGAAGTTTATAATCTAACATTTTCTTTAATGTATATTGTGTTTCCCTTTCTAGCACATGGTTTACTGAATTTTTCACAAAACTTTTAACTCAAAATGTCTGTAGCAGAAAGTTTAATTCTCAAAACCTGAACTCTGAATCTTGAATGCTCAATACTGATTCTAGAATCCCCTTAAAAAATCTTGCTCCAGTATTTATAAGAAATACCTTATCTCTCCATATTTGAAGGCTGACAAAGATAAGCAATTTATATTCTTGGCCACAAGTGTTGACAAAGTTACCATAACATAATCAAACAGACTGATTCCTCACATGTTTATAATGGTAACCGATGATTGAGTTACATGAACCTAAACTTGATAATTGCAGGCCTCTTGTCCCGAATTTATGAAGGAAACCGTTGACAGGTTACAGTACATTTGTACTACAATTTTACAGTTCAAAACAAATTTTATCGTCAGTTCTGACCATTTAACTACTGGACTATGATTTTCATGCACAAACGACGTTTTTCAAAGCATGTTATGTAAACATTCTGAGCAGTCAACAAAAAATAACAAACAAACAAACAAATAAACAAACAAAAACAAATAAGCACTCAAGTTATGCAAAAGAGACATTCCATAAATAAATGTGAACAGTTCTTTAATGCAAATCATTACGTCTATTATATAGCTGTACAATGTTGGTATATTTGCTAATTTCCAATTTCCAAAACATTGACAAGTAAAAACGCAGTTAATATGTAATTTTAGGTGGTAAATTCATAGGCAATAGCTAAAACAAATAAAATATCAAGTTATTATAAATTAGTTGACTCTCAAGCAACCGCACACAGTTTTAATTTATTCTCCCAAGCAACCCGTACGATGAGTTAGCGAGCAACCATACAGTTACGAAACAACACCAATGATGATTTGTCATTTTTTCCTACATCACTGTGTGCACACCAGATATTGTTTAATTTTCTTAAGCTCATAATTATTATGATTATTCTTCAAAGTGTCGAGAGGATTTGCTCATATATTATAAGTAAACATTGAACTCGGTGTTTAAAGTCAACAATTATTGTGACATTTGTTTAGGAATCGGGGAGAGAAATCGTATTTTTTCGGATAATATAGGTTTTACCGTAGGGCTCAGGCCAGAAATGATATCTTTTATGTAACTTCTAGTTATAAAATTATCATTTTTTTATGATTGGTCTTTATTTAGCTTATTTATCAATTTTCAGTTCAAAATATGCGATCCCCCCCCCCCTTTTTCGCTCGCAAGCGGAAAGTTTAAACGGACAAGAAGTGTACGCTATGCTTTTGATACGTAGATATTCAGGTGATTTTACTGTATAAAAAGAGATTATACTTTTAGAAGAAGTGCAACACGGTAGAATGGTGTCTGTTAATTAAATTAAAATAAATAATATGCGCATTTCAAATCTGACAAAAAGTTAGTTTCTTTCCTGCACAAGCAGTTTGTAGGGTTTGGACGAATACACAAGTCCAGGAATGGGGGTTAAATCTAGTTTTTCATCAACAGGTTTAATAATTTTACATTTCTGCATCACAATGGAAAACGACAGAAATAAATTCATCTTGGCGAGAAATTCTCCTACACAGCGACGCCTTCCATGACTAAAGGCGAACATATGGTTGCATTTTTCTTCATCTAGACTTTTCCCGTCAGATAAAAACCGTTCTGGACGAAAACTTTCAGGATCTTTCCAGAATTCTTTTTCGTGATGAACGGAAAAGAGATTGAAAATAACCACAGTGTCCTTATCGACATCATAGCCTTGTAACTTTGCATTTTTCATTGCATAATGAGGGAGTGAAAACGGAATTTGTGTAACAATTCGCATGACTTCTAGAATAACAGCATTTGTGTAGACCAGGTCTGGTTTATCTTTCAGCATTACGCTCCTGGCGGTTCCAACTTTATCATTTATCTCTGTATACACCCGTTCTTGAACTTGGGGAAACTTCGCCATGTAGAGAAACATCCACGACAATGTCTTATTTGTTGTATCAACGCTGAAATACAGACAAAAATGGCAATGATAAGGATAATGACTTTATTTTAACTTATCTCCTAGATGTTTAAATCGAGAATATTAACGAAACTAAAGGAATGTATTGAACATTGCCATGTGATTGTTGGAACTTAAATACGATTGTTTCCCCAGCTAATTTAGAGAATGATGTAAACTTTCACACCGTTCCAGACTGTACAATGCATTAACTTTTAAATTACACGTAGGCCTATTCCTTATCCAAATTATAGACATGTACTATTTGAATAAAACATTTCAGAGGTCACAGTATAAGCGAGGGACAATTGTAAAAAAATATGTTCATGAAGAAAATTGATTAGAAAGTAACATAAGCATATTACACACCCAGCTCCTTGTAAATCAGCAAGTGTAAGATTCAGTCTAGCTCTTGTTAACACATATCTATCTTTATTTTCTTCATCATCAGCGTCACTAGCAATAATTGCATCCGCTACATCTCTAATGTTTCCTGGAGCAAACGTCTCGTAGTGTTCCTGTACTTGTTCTGTCATAATTTCATCCGTTCGTGCAAAACTTTTTCGCAGCTCGTCAACCTTCCATGGTATAACATACCGAAGCCATGGCAACACGTCCAGAGGACTTCCACTTCCAGTAAGGTCATTAAACTCTTCCAACGCTTTTATTAAAGCTTTTACGTGTCTATCAACATCAACAGTTTTATTACGTCCATAAAGAAACTGATATATTATTCTTGTAACTAACGTTTGAACGTCCAGTTCTATTTGACCGGAATGTCTATTGTACTTTTTTACCAAAATATCTGCAAAATCCTTAGCCTCGCTCGTAACTAATTCTTCTATTATCTCCGATCGCTTTGACGTAAATAAACGTAAAGCCTTAGATGCCAACTTTCTTTGTTTTAGATACACTGGAGAAAAATTACCGAAAGCAAACGTATCTTCTTTGATGCGTTCTTTTAAGATGTCCGTGGAAACAAAATTTGGCCTGCCACTAAAGGCGTCGTCCGGATGTTCGGCAGCTGATTTTACTGCATTATAACCATTAACTACAACAGTATTCCAACTTCCGAGTCTAATAGAAAACACATCGCCATAGATCTTCCACCACTTCATAAACGTTTTCGGTGGATTATTTCCAAACAACGGTAGGTGACCAACAATTGGAAATCCAAATGGCCCGTTTGGATACCTCTTTCCTCTATTTTGAAGAAGCCGTTGTAAGAATAATACTGTGATAAAAACAGTAAAAACAGTCGCCAGAACAATCGTAAACTCTGACATTGTAATTCAGAACTTTTCAGTGACACAAATTGTATGTGAAAGAATAAAAACTAAATGTTTTATCGCATGATGTTCTAAATATTAAGTGTAAGAAAAATAGAGCATATGATGATACCAGATAACACGACCTGTATATATATCAATGAGGGATATGTCAGTACATAAATAAACAAGTGAAATGACATCTTCAGACTTTATCAAGTCACGATTATGTTAAGATACCCGAATAATAACGTGACAACAGTATTTTGTATTTCAGACATCATTTAGCTCATATATATTGTGATAAAAAATTCAACCAGATATATACACATTGCAGTATTTAACTACAAATGATATTCAAATTCCAAAGAAAATGATATTTTATAGAAGTTTTCAATCGCGCACATTTCAATCAGTGAAACGGGTTTGTGCAGATCAAAATGATTTATATCTAGCTACAGTATGGTCTTCCCTGTGGTCGAAAAAGGTTTAGAAAATAAAAATAGAACAAAATTAACTTGGGTTCTTCAAACAGAAAGATATGTAAAAGATAATTAAGCAATACTGAAACTCGTATATTTGGGCCGTTCGTACCCCAATTTGAGTTAAGAACGTTTAAACGGTTTCCAGTTTCGGTCATATTCATAATTAAAATAATTAAACTAGAATAAAAGGAGTGAGCGAATGATCTGAACTTTTTCGTGCAACATTGACCCGGACTTAATCAAATTGAACATAAATCATAACAATTATTTCCAGTCCCATCAAGAAGTAATACCTTAATCGAGTCCTTTTATATGTTAGAAATGTATCATGAAAATGTCTAATGAATTAAAGATTTCAAGGAAAAAAACAAAAGCCACTGAATGTTTTAACAAAGATTAAAAACTTATGAAAATACTGAAACTTATTGGATTTTTTTTCTAACTATCAGAATGGTATTTTATTGAGAAACAGTTACATATAATTGTATATAACCCGTATACACAACTGCTGTTATTTCATGGAGTAATGGTCATTTTCATATAACATAAAGGCATTTGGCTGTATCTTAAATTTGTTATATTCTTTTGACATGTTCCATGGCCATATGCAAAAAAAAAAACAAAAAAAAACTTCGCCAAACGAATTTGGTTAGTTAAGCTTACAACCGGTTTGCGCCATACAACTTGTCAAATATTTATAACCTATATTGTTAAAGTGAAACACTTAAATGTTATGAAAGCTAACTAAATTGACGGAATTTCTTCTAGCAATGCCATTCCTTTCTTGATGCTCATCCGGAACACCTTACCGATGACATATTTTTATCTTGGAGATAGTACTACTGCGTAAACAAAATCTGAGGATGTAAAATGAGTATCAATTGTATGCATACGTCATCTGCCAAAAAAAAAGTCAATTTCAGAAATATCATTATTGAAAAATATGTCTGTCACATTATTCAATTTTGAAATACACACTGCTATATATTTATAATCTAATCGGAAATAGTGTCAACAGGTTGTTTAGTGTTTTTTTAAGTTATAATAATTTATGTATAAATAATGTTGATCGGGATATCTTCGTATGGAATATACTATGATATTCATCAAATAGGTTCATACTTTTGTTTTTCTTAAATTTTGTAGCGCAGATTAGACGAAATACCGTATCTATACTGTTCGAGGCCATTATCCAACGTTTGACGGAAAGGGCCGAAAAGATACAATTGGATTGAGATTTTTTTTCCAAAAAACATTTATAAAACATCAATAGCGATACACTTCAACAATAGATATAGTGAAATGTAAAGTACTACGTGCTTTCTGATTTAAACTTAGGTGAAACTCGGCAGATCAATACGCAGTCGTTAGTAGCACTTTGTTGCGGCTTGGGCGAAAAAACAATCCCAGGAATGGAAGTTAAATCTAATTGTTCATCTATCGGATTAATAATATTGCATTTCTTATTACATTAAAAAAAGCCGAAAATAATGTCATCTTGGCAAATACTTCACCGATACAACGGCGTCTACTGTGATTAAACGCTAAAACGTGGTTGCACTTTTCGTAATCTAGGCTTTTTCCATATAGAAACCGTTCATGACGAAATTTTTCGGGAACTTCCCAGAGCGCTTCTTCTTGCTAAAGATTACATATAACAACAGTGTCCTTATCAACATCGAATCCTTGTAGCTTTGCATTTTACATTGCATAATGGGGAACTGAAAATGGAAGCTGAGTTGACATTGACTTCTAAATTTACAGCATTTGTATAGACCAGATCTGGTTTAAGCAAAAGGTTTCTTTCGGTTTCAACTTCCTTTATCCATTATTTCTATAAACTTTCATGAAACTCTGCCATGTGGAGGAACAGCCACGATAAGGTTTAGTTTGTCGTATCAACTCTCTGAATAGGAAAATAATCAGTAATAAATTAAATTCAAGGTACGTATTTTTATCAGTTTATTTTGAAAATACTCGTATATAGCTACAACGTTTTTGCTTTTAAAGTGTATATTGTAGAAATAGAAAAACAACAACATTTTGTTAAGGAAATTAAATGAAAGAAAACTAGGGATATAAAATGGTATATAGTTATGATAAGAGCCACGACAGACAAATTTTTAATGTAAACAGTATTTAAATGTGCCAGCTCTATATCATAAACATAAATTCCACCAATCATGCAATCTCTAGGTACAGAAACTATTGGGTCTCGTATTATCAAGATGCAAGACAATTGACATACGCTCACTGTCAGATCATTACAATTGGTTAATTTACATTCACACAAGTTTAAAGGAATTATTTTCCTGAATAAAACTATGCTTTTGGAATGTCCTTCTTACTTGATGTCTTAAGAATTCTGAAAATACCAGTTATTTCATGTGATTTCTTTGCTGTCAAGGGTTATTAAAAACCTGATGACTTCACATGGAATACGAAATCTTCAGTTCTTAAAAATATTTATGAGAGAGACATGAATCAGATGAATTGGTTTATGAGGAAGTAGGCGAACATGTCACTAAGGAATTTTATATGTTGTGAGGTCTGCTTTTAGAAAATATTTCATTGCTAATAATTATACTATTGATTTTAGTGTAGATGTAATTTTACGAAAAAAAATGTATAGAACTGTTTTTAAGAGACCAGTATTTTTAATACTCGTCATATAATGTTTTATTCTGATATTTTATGATAATATACGTACTAAGTGATTTAAAAAAAAATTCTCCGGACTTTCACATGTTGTATTTTGTTTCCATTTTATTTTAAAATCTACTCAGAAATCTTATTCCTTAAGCCATTTTCTCTACAGATTTTAGCAAACAAACACTTATCTTGACATCTAAAATGTTTAAGATGTATTTAATTTCAAGGATTTTCAACGTCACTTCGGTAAAGATCTTTATAGTATGTGATATATGACAAAATGAGCGTCATTTAGTATGACATTTTGAAATTAATGTATTATCAAGAAATTAAAAGAATGAAGATTTTCTTAAATTTATTACGGAAGTTTTTTTTTCTTGAAATGAAATCGACATTGATTGAGATATATAAACACTGATCCTGAAAAATAATATCTGATTTCTAGCTGTTACCGATGTTCCTTCTTTACGTAAAGAGATTTATTATTTTAGTTATCATAGACAATTACGCATACGCAAAATACTTCAAGATTTTACCATTTCTGATTTTTCACACAGTTAAACTTAAAAATCTTTTATGAAAGTACTAGATAATGATGTACTATTGAGATTAGTTTAATATCCGCTGAGATGTGGAAATATTGAAGGCTACCAGTACTTTTAAACATGTCTTTTCAGTTGTTATGACAGTTTGATGTAATGTATAATTTCATTTGCTTAATGAAATCTGAGTGCGCATTAAGGGTATTTTCTCTATTTTAATTTCAACCAATATCATGAAAAATGTATTTAACTCTAGGTACGGCTTGAGAACCATTTTATACTCTTGTGCGTCAACAAGCTTAACACGAATCATAACTAAAAAAAGGACGTTGACACAATCATGGACGTTATAATATTAATAGTCATTAAAAGTCTGCAAACTGGCAATGCATCACAATAATGTAGAAGCTTATGATAGACTAAATAAACTCAAGAAAACATATGAGACGATGACTTTAGGGTTAAAAAGTACAACTGTTTTATTCTAAGATGACATGTCTAGGTTATATTCTTTTACTTCATATTCAGGTTTTGCTATGCGATATTTTGTTGTTAATGCTTCCAAGGTATCACATTTTTCCAAATTTGTACTTACTTTAGAGCAAAGCGGGAAACCATCAGCATATATGTTAACATGACAACATAAAGATACTCCAAGCTGTCCTGTTAATTTTTGTACTCTTATTGTCCTGACAGATATTGGAATGTTCTTTGTTATAAAGCGACCATTCATTTAAGTTTTGATCAGGGGTCTTTCTTTCTTTACAAGTTAGTTATAGAAGTAACAATGTAATTTAGACGCATTCAAAAGTCATATTGTTATTGCAACTGCTTCATTTTCAATTGATATTATTAGTTATAACTATTATGTACTATAGGGTGTAATTAAAATGGAAAATTGGTCCTATAACGTAATACGATAAAATATAGCCTTAAAGTCACTGAGTGTTTTTGTTATGGTTATTGGATTTTCTAATTGTATGTATTCATTTCTTTGTTTGATGTATTTACCTTTTGTTACCATAGCAACTGTTTTTGAATTTCGCTTGGCCGGGATTCATTTAATTTGTTTACACTGTCTCATAAAACATGTACATTGTATATGTTAGGGCTAAAAGTGAGGTTTGGTCACTGTTACATGTACCTCCAGTAGAGCTATCTGCTGACCATATATAAGCGGTGCCCTTTTGTGTTTCTTAAACTATGTGTCTTATTTATTGCTTTTGTTCCTTGTCTTCATCGAAAAGTATCCGATTTTTAAAACTTTTTGCTCCCCGGTCAAATTAACCTACAACCTTTTCCCTGTTTGATCTTTTCCATTACCCCATTTTTATGTCTGTTTTGCTTTTCTAAGATTTTGTTTTATTGAATAATAACTCTAAATTTCCTTCCACTCTGCCCTTGCGACCTGTACTGTTTTCTTTCGAGCCCTTGCCGATGTCCTCTGTAGTAAACGTTTTATAGTTTACGAGTTCTTGTTTTCTCACATTATCGTTTTTCATGCGTTGTTTTTCCGAACTACAAATCAAATAATATTTGATTGAAGTTTTTGGAATGCACAATATAAATTTGTGCTTACTCTGCTGGTAAATATTTCTCACCCATCCTATAAAGAACTCACCATTATTTATCTTAACTTAAGAAAGTCATTATGCATACTGGATATGAATCATGATACACACATAAAACACTGTTGTTTTTATACCGAACATATATCATGATAAAAAATTATTTCAGGATTTAAACTTAGATATTGAAATATATATTATATTTGTTTGGCTGAACCAAACACTTTACTGCACTACACCTTAAAGGAGATCATATCTTGCCTATTTGAGTAATATTTCTGACAAAAATTTAATGTCAGTACGGTATTAAAATGTTATTTTCATCGAACAATATTTTATTTATTATGCGTCATATCTATAAATACCCTTTGAATATTGCTTTGCATGCCTAAAGATTGTACTATGTTTTCACTTTAATAATAAAAAGTTTATTAGACTATTATTTTGCTTGTAAATCATCTATCGATGAACTTCCTTTAAAATTTCTGTCGACTTCTCAAATTTTCTGTTACAATTAATGTAAAAGGTAACGCTAATTTCTTAAATTGTTAAATGTAAAACATTCTAAAAAATGAGGGCTACAAATCTCAGTTTTGCAAAGGGAATAGTTCAAACACACAGTTTGTGAACAACGAATTTAAACCGTACTTATGACATCTGTTGTAATATAAACATTATTTCGGTAATATTACGACTGTAAAGTACGTATGACAAAATGAATTCACACTTACATACAAATAAAGTTACAATCTAATCAGAATAATTCCAAGTGAAACATTCTGTTTTTCGGGGTTTTTAAAACATGATAATTAGTAAATGTATGTAATATCGTATCTAAAAGTTTTTTATTTATATCGCCTTAAACAAAATAATGACATAAACTAAGTCAACAAATCCAATCACTAAATTCCCTTTTTCACTCGTTTTATTTTGTGTTGTAGGTTAGACAGAACTGCTGTATTCGTTCTGTGTGTTTATACTTGTAATAGTGTGTTCGAAATTCTTATCAGCTGTTTGACAGAATTGCCAAGAAGTTGCGACTGAGTGATACCGTGTCGGTAAAAATCATTATCCCAAAACATTAACAAAACATTAAAAGGGATTCTCTTTGTTATTGATGCACTAAAATGTAAAAGTATATGAACTTTCAACTGAGTCGAAACACGGTAGACCTTAGATACTAAACATCAATACCTTTCCTGAACAAGCACGTTGTAAGGCCTGGGAGAATAAACAAGTCCAGGTACGGGAGTCAAATCAAGATTTTCACCGGCAGGTTTTATAATTTTGCATTTTTGTATCGCAGTAGTAAAAGACAAAAATAATGTCATTTTGGCGAACTCTTCCCCGATACAACGGCGTCTACCAAGACCAAACGCAAATACGTGGTTACACTTTTCTTGATCTAGATTTTTTCCATCAGATAAAAAACGTTCTGGACGGAAATTTTTCGGATCTCCCCAGAACTTTTCCTCGTGATGAACGGAGTAAATATTGAAAATTACCACGGTGTCCTTATCAACATCGAAGCCCTGTAGCTTTGCATTTTTCATTGAAAAATGGGGAAGCATAAACGGTACTGGAGTCACTATTCGCATTACTTCTAGAATAACAGCATTTGTGTAGACCAGATCTGGTTTATCCTTCAACAAAACGTTTCTCTCTGTACCTACTATATTCCTTATCTCCATAAACACTCGTTCTTGAATTTCAGGAAACTCTGCCATGAAGAGGAACAGCCAAGATAAGGTTTTGTTTGTTGTATCAACTCTATAATTAAAAAAAGAAGCATGTGAGAGGTCTTTTGCAGCTGTGGAGGATTTGTTTAATTTAAAAAATATTTGGAAATAAATTTTTGCGATAATAAGGCGCGGGACATGAATTGTAATTATAATATCTACAAATTTATTATTTTAAACAAAAAAAGAATGATATATCAACATTTCAATGTTATTTGTGTTTTAGACAAATTTTATTTTCTTTTGCCGTTAAGAAATGGAAATTTTTATTTTTGAGTGCATCCCAGGGATATTTAGTTCGTACAGAATCAATTTATGCTTATGTTCTTTGTTTTGATCATAAAATTAAAATAATGAATTATATCGAAAGGTAATTATCTAAAATAAACCTTTCCTCCTTGTAAATTACAATCATACATCAAATTTTCGGATTTATTGCTTTTGTAAGTATAAAAGAAAAATGTCATTGGCGAATTTCCATACACAGCTTACAAACAATGTACGTTTTTGTACTACTTTTTTATCTGTTTTTCAGAAATAAATAAAATTTCGGATTCTCAGAAACTTTTCTCGTATGCAATAAATAGTGAAAATTACACCCATTATCAACAGATGTAGCTTTTATGAAAAAGGCGTAGTAAGGTGTCTGGTCACACCTGTAATCTAGATAAATTTAGTGTACACCTGCATTTCCTCTGCAACAGAAATATCGTCGACATTGTCCGGTTCAATGATCTTTATCAGATTTATGGCCCTTTTATGAATTTTCTTTTAACAATTGTGACTACTTCTCTTATACCACTCATGCAATTTCATTAACAGGGTTGATCGGTACCTGAAGAACTTGGGCATATTACAAGGATTTCCGCTTGAATGATTTTAGGCTGTGTTATGGCCCTTCAATAAAAAAGGTGTTTTGGCGTGTCAGTAATTTTAGTGTTCCAGCTACACAGAAGCTTATACATGCTACAAAGTAGCTACAACTTTTAGGGATCCTTTTGTTGTCTTCTGTGGTTCTGTTTGACCGTCTTTCTGTCCATCACAAAACTTGACCGGACTACTTCTAAATAGAAACTACCGGTGCAATTCTAACCAAAATTTACAAAATGACCAGTACCTTGTCTAGTTGTGCTAGTTTCTACATTTTGCTGTTCAATAATTTTTGCAAGGGTTATGGCCCTCTAATAATATAATAATAATATTAATATAATTCTTAAGCTTTGTCTGCATTACTTCTTTTATACCACTAAATCGATACTCCAAGTACTTGTGCATTCTTAACAAGTCTTCCAGTTGAAGAATGATTTTGGCAGAGTTATGTTCCTTGAATAAAAAACACGTTTGGGCCTGTTAGTGAATATTGGATATCCTGCTACTTAGTAACTATGATATGCTGCTGGCCATCATGGGCGACACATGTGATCGCTGACCGCCTGGTCCTGAATTATTATTCAAATTGTGAAAAACGACTCGAAATTGAAAAGCGGTGTTAACCAGCTGCGTTATAGAGACATGTTTAATATCTAAATGACTTTAACAAGAGAATAACCAATTAGAGTTAGCTCAGTCTTAAACTTTAACGTTTAACTACCGGATCTAAAACACCCAAGCATAGCCGGAGGGAATAACTCGTACCGAACGTTGCGGCAGCTCATTTTAAACAGATAGACTGTATTAAAAATGATTTTATATTAAGAGGTCATACACTCGGAATATGCGGAAAAATAGGAGAAACATTTTCGAAACGACTGTTACATGATCGGAAATATGCGCCTCAATCTTCCAAACTCTTATGAATAATAGATGGACATTAAGTCGGTCAATGGTTTGATATAAAGAAAATGGTATAATGAAGATAAAAACATAACAAACCCGGCTTCTTGTAAATCACCGAGCGTTAGATTCAGGCGTTGTCTTGTTAAGACATTTTTGTCTCTACTTTCGTCAGCATCGACGTCAGTAGCAATAATTGCATCTGCTACATCTCTGACGTTTCCAACAGTAAATGTCTCATTATGCTCGCGTATTTGTTTTTTCGCGATATCGTATGATCGAACAAGACATTTTACAAATTTGTCAATTTTCCTCGGCATTACAAATCGCAACCACGGTAAAGCATTTAACAGACTACCACTTCCAACGAGTTCATTAACCTCTTCAAGTGATTTTATTATAGTTTTAATGTCAACAGTTTTACTACGTCCGTAAAGAAACTGATATACTATCCTAGTAGCAAATGTTTGGACATCCAGTTCTATCGGACCAAACTTTCTGTTGTATTTTTTTACTATAATATCTGCAAAAGCGTTAGCTTCATTTGTTACCAAATCTTCAATTATTTCCGGTCGTTTATACGTAAATGAACGTAACGCTTTAGAAGTTAATTGTTTTTGCTTCAAATAAACTGGCGAAAAATTACTAAAAGCAAAAGTAACTTCCTTGACGCTTTTTCTGTAAATATCCATAGAAAAAAAGTTTGGTCTTCCACTGAAAACATCGTCAGGATGCTCGGCAGCTGCCTTCACTGCATCATAACCATTGACAACAACAGTATTCCAGCTACCAAGTCTGATAGAAAACACATCACCATAGGAATTCCACCATTTCATGAATGTTTTCGGTGGATAATTTCCAAATAATGGTAGATGACCAATAATTGGAAATCCAAACGGCCCATCAGGATACGTCTTATTTCTATTCTGAAAAATCCGTTTAATCATCAAACATGTTAGAAACACAAAAGAAATGATCTCTAAAATGACAGTTAACTCCGACATTTTAAAAGGAAAATTGACAACTTTATCCACTGTTTTTTATCCCACTAAATAACAAAATATCTAATCATAAAAGCAAATTACGCGACCTGTAGATATTTATGAGTAACACATTATGCACATATACATAGCGCTATATTTATCTAGTTGAAGATCCTCATTGCATACTGAATCGCACTTTATATTCATAACTTAAACTTTATGATCCGAAACAAATTGCATTACTTTTTGTCATCCTATGATATTTCAAAACTTGCAAAAACCCTAATCACATTTGAATAATAACCAGTGAAACTAAAATATAAATGTTACATATCTTCTAAAAAGATTGCCCCACTCCTTAAAAATTGAACTTTACCGAAACATTTCCGCGGGTCAAGTGGATTATTGAGTAAAATATAAAATTGAATGAAACTATGGCAAAATTAAAAATTATTCCCTTTTTTACTTTTAATTGAGTGCTCACCATTTTCACTTGGATTGGCATAATGTTACTATTAAAAATACTGCACCCGTATGAAAATAAAACAAATACAAATGTTAAAGCGATATCATCTGCTTAGTTTAGTTCGAATGTAATATCAAATTTTCAGAAGTATTATTTTTGTTTAGATTTTGTTTATTTGCATATTTTGATTTCTTTAAATTAAATCAAGAAAACGAAATCTTCTTTGTAGTTTATCGCAGGAAGTTTTCAGGAAAATTTGAAACAATCAAAATTGTTTTTGCATTGTTTATTATCTTATTTATCATAAATGTGTAATATGTTCCGCCTGTATTATAACACTAAACAAAATTTATGTGGGTATATATAAGAAATTAGGTACGCTTATAATTTATTGACAAGTATCAAAATTATTGAATGTTTACAAATAAAATATACTTTCAGTTTCTAACAGAAACAGATGCATTGATTTTATAGCAAAATTGAATTTGTATACATGATATCATAAAACATGTCGAAGATGTTAAAATTAGATTTTAACTATAAGAATACATAAAATTTATTCTGACCAGGGAATTTCAAATCTATAAGATTTTATTTCTACTTCTAAATATGTTATTAATTTAATAAGAGGTGCAAGCAATGTTTAAACTTTCATATAAAATAATATACATAAATGAACCACTCTGTTACAAAATTACTACCACAAATGATGCTGTCTTATTTTGTGCAAGTTGTTTGAAAAAATGTATTGCTTTAAACGCAAATACTTTTTTTAAGCAGCAAAACAATAGTGATCTTAATTTGATAAGTAAAAAGTGAAATAGTATGCCCATTTCACGACCGGCGAAACGTTAGTTTCTTTCCTGTACAAGTACTTTGTAGGGTTTTGGCGAATAAACAAGTCCAGGAATTGGAGATAAATCCAATGGGTCACCGGGTGGTTTAATGATTTTACACTTTTGCATCACAATGGAAAACGACAGAAATAAATTCATCTTGGCGAGAAACTCTCCAACACAGCGGCGTCTTCCATGGCTAAAGGCGAAAATATGGTTACTCTTTTCTTGATCTAAGCAATTTCCGTTTGATAAAAATCGTTCTGGACGGAAATTTTCCGGATCTCCCCAGAATGCCTTTTCGTGATGAACAGAGTAAAGATTGAAAATAACCACTGTGTCTTTATCCACATCGAAGCCTTGTAACTTTGCATTTTTCATTGAATAATGGGGAAGTGCAAATGGAATTTGAGTAACAATTCGCATGACTTCTAGAATGACAGCATTTGTGTAAACCAAATCGGGTTTGTCCTTCAGCATTACGCTCCTGTTGGTTCCAACAAAATCGTTTATCTCTGTAAATACCCGTTCTTGAACTTGAGGGAATTTGGCCATGTAGAGAAAGAGCCACGACAACGCCTTGTATGTAGTATCGATCCTGAAATATAAATTTATACTGGATAGAATAGACAATATTTATTCCTTTTTTTCACCGACCACCTACTCCGATCAATATCAGTCACGCCATATTATAATAAAAAATGTTGTTTGACTTACATATAGTACATTGAATTGTCTTAAACTGTTTCATTTTATTTACAGAGCTTTATACCTTTAATATATTTGGGTAATATGAAAACAATATTTAACTTATACATCATACTTATTATTCATGCCGTACCTTTTTAACCATGCTTTCTTTTACGTTTTAAAAGTAAAACAATCGGTGATATTTATTGGTAAAAGACTACTGTTAAGTTTTTCTAAGGGGTGAAGTAGTCTGGTTCCCATGCATGCACTAAATGTATAAACGTTCACCTTAAAATTTGTTTGTTTGTTTGATTGGGTTTTACGTCACATCGACACGGTATAGGTGATATCGCGACGTTCCAGCTTTACTGGTGGAGGAAGACCTCGGGTGCCCTTCGTGCACTATTTCAGGCACAAACGGGCACCTGAGTAGAACCACCGACGTTCCGTAAGCTAGCTGGATAGCTTCCTCCCATGAAAGAATCCAAAGTCCATGTCGGGAGTCGAACCCACAGCGGTGAAGAGTAAGTTGTTTGAAGTCAACGACCTTAACCACTCGGCCACGGACGTCCCATCATCTTAAAGTGATGGATAGACAAATTGCTAAAGAACAAAAATAGATAATAAAAAGACACACGCACTCACCCAGCTCCTTGTAAATCACCTAGTGTTAGATTTAGTCTAGCTCTTGTTAAAACATATCTATCTTTATTTTCTTCATCATCAGCGTCGCTAGAAATGATAACATCCGCTACATCTCGTATGTGTCCAGCAGAAAATGTCTTATAATGCTCATGTACTTGCTCTGTCACAATTTCGTCTAATCGTGCAATATTTTTCCGAACCGCTTCAACCTTCTTTGGCATTAAATACCGTAACCATGGCAAAACGTCTAACGAACTACCACTTGCAGATAGAGCATTTAGTTCTTCAAGAAATTTTATTAATTTTTTAACGTGCATCTCAACATCAACAGTTTTACCACGTCCGTAAAGAAACTGATATATAATCCTAGTTACAAGTGTTTGGGCATCAAGTTCTATAGGGCCTGAAATTGTATTATACTTTCTCACCAAAGTATCTACAAAAACATAGGTTTCACTCGTGACTAATTCTTCAATCACTTCGTGTCGCCTAGACGTAAATAAACGTAAGGCCTTATATGCCACCTTTCTTTGTTTAAGATAAACTGGTGAAAAATTACCAAAAGCAAGTCTATCTTCTTTGATGCGTTCGCTTAAGATTTCCATGGACAGAAAATTTGGTCTTCCGCTGAATGCGTCGTCAGGATGTTCGGCAGCCGCTTTGACAGCGTCGTAACCATTTACAACAACAGTATTCCAACTTCCAAGTCGGATAGAAAAAACACGTCACCATAGGAATTCCACCATCTTAAGAAAGTTTTTGGTGGATTATTTCCAAACAATGGAAGATGACCGACAATAGGAAATCCCAATGGTCCTTTTGGGTATCTCTTTCCATTACTCTGAAAAAGCTGTTTGTAGAATAAAATTGTTATGAAAACAGTACAAACAATTCCCAAGACAATTGTTAACTCCGACATTGTATTTCAGATTTTTAAAGGTGACGAACAATATGATAAAATAAAAGTCACAACTTATATTTTTATGTGTCCTTATTCGAAGAGAAATGTAGCAAACGCTAAAAGCATATTTCGCGACAAGTAGATTTCAATGTATCACGCGAAACGTGCATCAGCGAATGCATAGAAATGCATTTTAGTCAAGGTTATTGTAAATTAACTGTAAATAGATTTTGTGTATAATGTACTTATAATTCATGTGGGTCACATGATTGTGTTTGTTTGTTTGTCGGTTTGTTTCATTTTACGCCTTTTCCCAACAGTATTTCAATCATACGTATATGCGGGTATTTTCCTTACCATCGTTCCTGGAGAGTTACACCAGTACTAGAATGCCTTCCTCCGCGCTAAACTACCAAAGCATCTCCCGGGGATCGAACCCACGCGAGAGAGGTAACTGGATTAGAAGTCATTGACTGTAACCCCTCGACCAAGGAGGCGGTTACATGATTGTGTAGATTCAAATGAACAAACACCTATTATAAATTATTTAATTTACAAGTTATATAATAAATGTGTTAATATTTTAAACTTTATTCATGAGTCATATTCCATAGTGAACGAAATTTATAATTTAAAGATATAAGGGAGGCTAAATCCGTATGATATATACATATAAATGTAAAGACCTACTGAAAATGGTATAATAGAATTTTATTTAAACTTGCATGATATACGGTTTTAGCGGCTGGTAACTGGGATTTAATGTTTGAAACCTTATCAAAGAACTGCTGAGCTGTAAATGCAAGATGTTCCTAAATAAGTTGTATCACAATCCAAAATACTTTGTTTACAAGCGGTCAACATAGAATTAGAACATAATAACTGATACATTACCTGGTATTCACAAGAGACTAGAGGCTGCGTTTTGTGTGATTTTTGTACTGTTATTGTATTGATGAATATTGGATACCCTATTGGTAGTGATATTATTTAATTTAGATCAAATGTCAGTCTTCCTTGGGAATTTTCTGTACAAGTCATCGGCAGAATTAACAGTTCAAATCGGATACATATAGAGTCACACGAGATAATGTAGTGTCACACTATTATTGCCAGTTCTTTATTCTCTGAATGATTCGTGATTATTGCACAAAAAAGCAAATATAATCGTACACAAAGGGAAACTGGCTCCAAAGCGCTAACCTGAGGGCAGACTGTTATTTTTGTAAATGTTGTGAAAGCTAGTGTTTATTTCAAGAATTTAAACGATGTTGGTCACTAGACCATACTTCATGCAAAATATGTTTTCTATACATATGAACCTAATTTAAAATCTGTACATAAAAAATAAGAAAATACGCGACTAGGCCTCAAAATAGGTATCTGATATAGATTTTCAATTCTACATCTGCACATTATTAAAATGTCGTAGCTGTACGTAAAAAAGCAAGAAAGTAGGTCACTCTATCAAAATCTTAGTAAGCTAATATCTAAGTTCAGTTTAACATCTAAAACTGTGCATCGGGTCCAAATTCCATAGCTGTATATGAAACGACAATAAAGTCGATCACTTGGTCCAAGTCTAGGCCAGCTCATATGAAAGTTTAATTCTACATCTGGAATCTCTATGGCCATGGACAAAATTTCATAGCTGTATATCAAAAAGTATATAACTTAGTTCACTAGGACAGGGTCAATTTCAACCCAAACAATCTTGATACAGGTCAACCAGACAATGTTGCGTGTCAAATATCTAAGATTTTTCCGTTTCTGAAAACATTCTTTTTTTAACTTTTGGTTTAATGCATATATAGAATACTAATTACCCCAAAGGCGGGGCTTATTTTGACCCTGATTTCTACCATCTTGGCAGAGGTAAATGTTTTATGCCAAATATCTAACCTCTAGCCTGTGTCATTTCAGACTTTTTAATTTTCATTTTTTGAAATTTATTTCTGGCCGTATGACATACTTATGCTATAAACCGGAACCATTTGAATATCTTTAAGGGACTATCCAATGATCATTCATGTAAAGTTTGCATAATATTCAGTCACTGGTTTCAGAGAAGTTGTAGAAACTGTTGACGCACAGCGACGGACGAACGGGGATCTCAATATGAGCATGTGAGCTAAAAACAGGTGTAAACGTTAAGAAGCATTAACTCTATGTTTAAACATCAAACTAGTGATAGAAATGTATCAAGTTTTCTCAGTCCATTTTGTTGTAGACTATCTTCTTTAGAAAAAAAAGTTTTCATTGTTGATGTTTGTTTCATATCATATCATATTAGGTAACACATCCTTACTTTCTTCATCATATAAATATACAATAAAGGTAAAATGTTTATCCCTTTTCTAATTCAAAATTATATTGCATTTCAAAAATATCAAATTCTGCATTAGGCGGTAATGCAGAGTGTTTATAATTGCTTGCTAATGAAACTGAGCTACCTTTTTTGAAATTTTGTCTAAAAGGTGAGCGGTAATATCATACACTTAAAACGTCAAATATCATAAAAGCATTGTCATTGGGTATAAGATTAGGATTGTTGACATTACGACAATATTCATTAATAAAATTGTAAGTCCTTCAATCGGATTATTTCAGAACTATATTCGTTCACAAAACTTTAATTTGAACTGAACGTATGTACATATTTCAATAGACCAGTCCCGTTTTAAAAGATTTATCAACAGACATATCACATCTTATCGAGATCTAAATTAAGAAGTTATTTTACTTTTTTATTACATAACAGAAGCATAGAGAAACTAAAATGGGTCAGTCATCCCATAGAATTGTAGACTTATTATTACCAGATTTTTTGTTATAGATACTGACGTCCTTTTAACCATTTTAGAATATCTATAACTATGAAATACTTTAATAATATTTTTTTTTTCATTTCGCAACATACTAATTGCACAGATGCTGGATAAAAAGCTATTTAACTGATTAATAAACATACCTTATCTTCTATAGCAGTGTTCCGAAATGATTTTGGGGTTTAGTTTAAAATCGATTCCATTTGAGTGTGTCTTAACATCTTCAGAAGCTGTTCATTCTTGGATCATTCAGTTAGAAAACCTTGCTCCGAGTTTCGGAAAATAGCTTAATGATTTCGTCTTCTTGAACAGCTTCAGAGTTCATTTGATATTAAATGTGCGAGTAATTTTGAAATTGAAAAGAAACAGATAATGTAATAGCCAATTTTTTTCACGATAAAAATAAAACATTGGTTGGAGAAAATTTGATAGTTTACTGCTGAATTCAAAGCATTTACATACATTTGGTCTTTACCCACAAATAACAAGTAAGTATTAATGTCATCAATAGCTTTGTTGTAGGCAATAAAAAGGGATGTATAGATGTACTATTATAGATATACTACAAGGGAAGTCTATCTAGTATGTGAATAAAAGCTATTGATTTAACGAAAAAGAGGTGCAAGTAATAATAATAATAATAATAATAATAATAATAATAATAAAAAGAGTGGTCCCTGGGAAGCATTAATGACAACAAAATTACATGTCTGTACATGAGGGATAATGAATATGTGCAACATCCCTCACGCCCCCTAGCACCGACTTGAGCGATACTCAATTCTCAACACTTAACAGTGCTGGCATCAATGATCTCGAAGGACCAGAAAAATATAACAACACTAAAGTGAAGTACGGGGCAACTTTTTACAGTTGCCACACGGCACTTGACACATACTGTTATGAAGTATAAAAATCTGGAAGCAAAGTGATCCCTCGGAAGCATTAATCAAAACAAAATTACATGAAAATTGCAGACTCAGTTTGACCACTCAACCACTCTGACACTGCTATACCAAATATCACCCCCAGTTAAGCTAAGTAAATATGAATGTACATGTCTGTCTGGCAAAAATGTATTGGTGTATTGTTGTCTTAAATGAGAATGATATTTCAAAGAATCAAAAAAGTTATTATTATTTGATGCAGTTAAGAACTAGATATATGCTCATATGGGGACTGGTTTCTTTTCTGTATAAGCACTTTTTACGGTTTTGACGTTACACAAGTCCAGGAATGGGAGTTAAATCTAATTGGTCAGCGATTGGTTTAAAGATTTTGCATTTCTGCATTACAATGGTAAACGAGTAAATTAGTTTCACCTTGGCCAGATATTCTCCAGCACAGTGGCGTCTCCCGTTACTAAAAGCAAAGGTATGGTTGCACTTTTTTGGATCTAGACATTTTCCATCAGATAGGAATTGTTCCGAACGGAAACTTTCCGAATCTCTTCAGCATTCATTTCCGCGATAGATGGAATAAAGATTGGTTTAAACATATTTATTCAACAAAACATTTAACAAGTGAGCAATATTTACAAAGTACATTTTGAGATTGGGCAGAAAGCTATAACGCTTATGAATGTCCTCTCCCAGGAATAAAGATTGAAAACCACTGTGTCCTTATCAATTTCACAATCTTGTAACCTTGCATTTTTATTGCATAATGAGGAAGTGTAGAAGGAAGCTGAGCAACAATTAGCATGACTTCAACAATTACTGCATTTGTGAAGACCAGGTCGAGTTTATCTTTCAGCATTACGCTCTTGTCGATTCTAACTATATCCTTTCTCTCTGGAAACACCCGCTCATGAACTTCAGGGAACTTCGTCATTTAAACAAATAGTGACGATATTGTCTTGTTTTTTGTATCAACGCTGAAACACAAAAAAAGATCAAGCAATGTGAAAGGACAATATCCTTTTTTTTCATATTTCCTATTTGTAATGCCTCACCTAATAGTAAGCCAGTTATATGTAAGCCAGTTATATCTATAAAAATGAATGATTCCGGCTTATCAGAAAAAAAAAACATTTCACACTCGTTCCAGACTGTACAATGCATTTCAGTTGTATGTAAACAGTATTAATCAATCAATCAATCAATCAATCAATCAATCAATCAATCAATTTATCAACCATTCAATCAGTAAGCTTAATTGTTTTTTTCAGTTCTCTTTGTTTGTACTCGGAGGTAAGTCTCTTTTTTGTCTTCTTTTGAACAACAACTACCTAGCACATTGTTCCCTGTCAAAAATCTAAACATGCTGACCGTCAAGGAATAAAATAGATAAATATAGAATCCCTAAAGAAAGCCCAACACAGCAAAATTGAAAATGTTGCAGGCTCGGTTTGATTGAGCCTGTTCATGGACGGTACTGGAAAGTGCAAGTTACCGTCCACGCCCCCTAGCACCGGCTTAAGCAGAATTCAACATTTAAACGTGAAATAGTAAAATTTTGAATTTAGAAACATCCGCAGATGTGTTCATACGGCGGTTATCATGGAACCTTCAATGTGACACTTTACGTGCCATTCCATGAAAAGCGGCGTATGGTCCCCAAGTAATAAAAAGCGTGTGCCCTAAACGAGAAAACAATGGGCGGAACTAAATAAAATAGAATTTAGAAAGGGGATCAGAGGTTATGAAGCCTGCGTATCACAGAAAAGACGTCAAAAGACAAATTTAAAAAGCAGGCAACATATCCTAAGGGTGATTCAACATTATTCAAGTAGGAATATTGGAACCACCCAACTAGAAAATGCAGAAAAGTTGAAACTAAAAATACCACAAGCACAACAATAATGTCGTGCTGAACGATCTTCAAGGATCGAAAATATAACATCATTGATTAAATGTACGGGGAGACTTTTTACAGCCGCCACACGGCACAAATAACACGGATGTGATCATAAAATAGATAAATATAGAATCCCTAAAGAAAGCCCAACACAGCAAAATGTCTCAAGGAAAGCATCCGCAAGGTAAGCCCTGAAAATATTATAGACATAAAATAATATTTTATAAAGACAGAAAAAAAGGCAAACTGTTATGTTATGTTCATGTTGATTATTAATATGTTTAAGTTTTAAATCATATCTGTCATATATTCTTTTATTTTGAAAGTTAATGGCATTTACAAATTCTAGATTTTTACCAAATTTGTTGCATTCTTATTTGTTACATTTTCTTTTTATTATTTACAAAATTCATAAGAATAAATGTATAGATTTGTGTACCTGCATTTGCTTCTTAAAGGTTTTTAAGTGCTAAATAAGCGTTCACATAAGACCGACTTACCTGCATGCATAGTGCTATTGCAGCAAGTTTGACTATGTTAGGGATCTGGTCGTTGTTCTTAAACACTATTCGTTGACAGAACTTCTGAAGGCTCATTTTTGTAACAACCTGTCATCATACCGCACACAACTTGCCAACACCTTTAACAAACTGTTCACCCTGAATGATTTCTTGTAGGTGATTTTCTTGTTGCTCTGTCTTCCTTTAGGACATTGAGTACTTTTGTTATGGTCATTGGATTCACTTTTATATGTTTCTACATGATCTTTTTGGTGTTTTATTTATTTAACCTTTTGTAACCATAACAACTGTTAGAATTTCACTTGGCGAGGATTCATTTTATTTTCTCTGTCTTGTGTATAGGAACATACATTGTGGGGCTCTGAGTGAGGTTTGATGCACCATTAACCGGTTTAAACTCCCCAGCAGTACTTTTGCTGCTGACCGTTCCAAAGCAGGCGGCGCCCCTATTTGTTCCTCAGATGTATGTCTTTGTTGTTTCATATTGTTTTGGTGACACTTTTGTGCCCTTGTTGTTTCTCGTCTACGGTATCTTTCCCTTTGCCCGTAGTTTTTATTTCTTTTATTTACCCCCCCCCCCTCCCTCCCCCCCCCGTCTCCTGTCCCCTGTGCCCTTTGTGGGCCTATTATTCAACCATTTATTTGTTTCCTTTATCAGTTAAAAATTATTTCCTATTATTCAATCATTTATTTGTTTTCTTTGAATTCCTTATTAGTTACAAATCATTTATCATACTAGTGATTAACCTGTCCGTGCCTTGTCCTGTTTTTGTTGGGTCCGCCTGGGCTCCTTGCCACTGGTTCTTGTTGCTGGGTCGTGTTGGGGTTGCGTTCATTGAACGCCGCCTTTCCTTGTTGATCTTGTTTATCTTTTTTTTTGACAACAAGCTTTACAGTCCTAACTACACGACTGATTAAATCACCAGATACCGATTTGACAACTTTGTCATTATGGTCAATGGTCTATCAGACACTGCAAAGCAGTTAACTTGCTTTTTTGGTGAGACCATTTTAACAATATACTTAGTTCTATGACCTAATTTAGACCAAGAATTAGCTAACTGTTTGGGTATGCTTTGTTTAACGTTTTTAATGAGATTACTTAGTAATTATTTCTTACAAATTTAATTTGTAAATCAAAATTTTAATAATAATTTGTAAGCTCTTCATTGCCATAACACCATAACAGACCTTGTCTTTTTCATACTTAAGGTTTCTTTTCATGAATTTTAAACCTTCACCATGATTTTGTTCTCAAAATATTCAACATACTTACTGAACTTTCCACAATAACAGATACTTTACTTGAAAAGAACATCAGACATTTGACCGATAAATAGAGTAGTTAAATACGAGGAACAGTACCTTTTAAGGACTTTAGCATTTGAATCATTCACACCTATACTTGTCCATCATTCATGTACGTAACTGGTTTTTCTAACCGCACGTCTTTTCATACCTAGCTACCTAACAAGATACTAGGCCTTAATAGAGAAGTTCAGGTTCATCAAGGAGTGTATTCATCTGACGTAAAGTGTATTTTGTGTGAGCAGAGTAGCTAAAATATATATAATTCACGAAATTTTACACTATAATAGAGAGAAATAAGAATCCCTAAAGAAAGCCCAACACGGCACAGTTTGAAAATGTTGCAGGCTCGGTTTGACTGAGCCTGTTCATGGACGGTACTGTCAAGTGCAAACTACCGTCCACGCCCCCTAGCACCGGCTTTCATGACATATTTGTCTATAATTGCATCTTTAATTGACAACTTAAATCGAAAGGACAACACAATGTTACTACCGTCCACGCCCCCTAATGTACATATTTGTCTATAATTGCATCTTTAATTGACAAATTAAATCGAAAGGACAACACAATGTTACTACCGTCCACGCCCCCTAATGTACATATTTGTCTATATTTGCATCTTTAATTGACAAATTAAATCGAAAGGACAACACAATGTTACTACCGTCCACGCCCCCTAGCACCGGCTTTCATGACATATTTGTCTATATTTGCATCTTTAATTGACAAATTAAATCGAAGGACTACACAATGTGTTTGCACGATCAATGGTGCGGCTTAAACTACATGCTGAATACCAACCGCTCTGTGGCTAAAGAAATGCATTTACTTGTACACATTTTCAGTGTACGGAATACCATGTAAATATACCTTACACAAATAGAGAAACGTTTAGAAACTGATACATCAGTTGTTTCATCGATCAAAATAGCAAAATATTATGAAGATTTCAACCTGAATAAGGTCTCGCTATAGGATTTTGAATTTCCGTGATAGTTGTCCAGCTAAAATTGCGGTAAGAAACGTCTGGGTTATTAATTCTTTGCAATACAAGAATGTCATTATCTTTATCTAAAAGTATTTCTTCTTTCATTACCATATGTACTTCTCTTATTAGATACACACCTTCATTGTCAATTGTGCCTTTTTCCAACTTGTCCTCTGGTGAAAGTTCAAGATCCTGTTTTTGATAGACACATGCACACTGGTGATCAAGCGCAGACTTTTTATTATTGGTTGTACCGTCAAACATCTCCATTCCTTATTTATAAAAAAGAAGAAATTATATATGTTAAGAACGAAACATTTTAGTACGAATCAATAACATTGGCAAACAAAACTGCACTGAGCTCGAACAAAATACATTAGCTTTATCAAATATTCGACATAAACAAAACTTACGCCGTCAGTGGTATTTTTGATTTATATAAATTGATTATATAACAAAAACAAAACGTTGTCACAATTTGTGTTTTGTTTTCAAAGATTATGTGATACGTAACGTTGGGCATCGGATTTACATTTTTGTACCGTTGTGTCATTTATGCATTTATTTATTTTGGCGAGGGGTGGGGGGGGGGGGGGGGCGCTCGGGGGTTGTCTCGCCTACACTGTAAATGTCATGTGGCGACGTTCAAGCTTTACTCCGATCTATTATTTCTGATTTTCAGACACAAGACGGTACCTCAGTAGAACAACTGACGTTCTGTAAGCTTGTAAGTAAGCCAAATAGCTTCATCACATGAAAAAAATCTAAATTCTTGGCTGAATTCAAACCAACAGCAGAGGGCGGCAAGTGTTTTGAAGTTAACGACATAACCACTCGGAAACGGACGTCCCTTACATAAAATATTAAAGAAATCATGATTGATGGCTAATCAAATATTTTGTTTTAATGTAAACTGTTGTTAGAGACGATATTTAAAGCATTATGACTGAAACAGTATTTATGAAAGTGCCATATTATGTTTAATAATCTGAAAGAATGGACACTAAAACGCTTTATATCAAAAACAAAAACTTTCATTAAAGTGCAGTATTTTTTTTATTAAAGATAGGTATTTCAATATGAAATCCCTATAATTCATTTGACTTTCATTTCTCTTACAAAACGAATGGTATTCTTACGTGAATAAACAAATTACACATTCAAGCTAAATTTTGTTATTTAACACCTCGACACCTTGTGAATTACATCAAATGCACTGCGTTTTGTCGCACAAATATAACTGTAATGTATTCCTTTTCTTTATACTTCGTGATAAATTATACATGCATAATATATGACTCACCAACTGATATATTAAAATATTAAATAATTTGGAAGGGTGCAACATATGCTTTACAAACGTTATTCTCTTTCCTGTACAAACATTTTGTACGGCTTAGGCGAATAAACAAGTCCAGGAATGGGAGTTAAATCCAGCTGTTCACCGACAGGATTACAAATTTTGCATTTCTGAATTGTAATAGAAAACGACAGAAACAATGTCATCTTTGCAAACAGTTCTCCAATACAGCGGCGTCTACCGTGACTGAAAGCAAATATGTGGTTGCACTTTTCCGGATCGAGATTTTTTTCGTCTGATAAAAACCGTTCCGGACGGAATATTTCCGGATCTCCCCAGAACGCTTTCTCGTGATGAACGGAATAAAGATTGAAAATAACCACAGTGTCCTGATCAACATCGAAGCCTTGTAAATTTGCATTTTTCACTGCATAATGTGGAACTGAAAATGGAAGCTGGGTTACCATTCGCATGACTTCTAAAATTACAGCATTTGTGTAGACCAGGTCTGGTTTATCCGTTAACATAACGCTTCTTTTGGTTCCAACTATATCTTTTATCTCTGTAAATACCCGTTCTTGGATTTGAGGAAACCTTGCCATGAAGAGAAACAGCCACGATAAGGTTTTGTTTGTTGTATCGACACTAGAAAGTAAGCAAAATCATTCAGTACAGCATTATTTTTTTAAGTACCATACAAATGTTATTTTCTCATAAAAGAATTAAGATTAATTTAACAGTGCTTTTTTTGCACATCAGAATGGAGAAAACTAAGCAACAAATAAAGCTACTTTAAGCATTAAACAAATCATTAAAATCTAAATACCAATTATTAACAGACGATTACAAAGAAGAAAATGAGATTAATATAAACGAACCCGGCTCCTTGTAAATCACCAAGTGTGAGGTTCAGCCTTTCCCTTGTTAACACGTATCCATCAGTATTTCTTTCGTCATCAATGTCACTAGCAAGGATAGCATCCGCAACATCTCTGACGTTACCTTCAGTAAATGTCTCATAATGCTCGCGTATTTGTTGCTTCGTGATGTTGTATGACCGTACGAGATTATTTCCAAGCTTGTCAATTTTCAAAGGCATAATATACCGTAACCACGGCAATACGTCAAAAGGATTTCCACTTCCAGTCAGTTCATTGAACTCTTTAAGTGTTTTTATTATTGTTTTAACATGCCTCTCTACATCAACAGATTTACCACGTCCATAAAGAAACTGATATATTATTCTTGTAACTAAAGTTTGGACATCCAGTTCTATTGCACCGGAATTTCTATTGTATTTTTCCACCAAAATATCTGCAAATGCGTTAGCCTCATTCGTAACTAAATCTTCAATTACTTCTCGTCGTTTGAACGTAAATAAACGTAGAGCCTTAGCAGCCCATTTTCTCTGTTTCAAATAAACTGGTGAAAAATTACTGAAAGCAAAAGTAACCTCCTTGATTCGTTCATTTAAGATATCCATTGAAACGAAGTTTGGTCTTCCACTGAAGGCGTCGTCAGGATGTTCGGCAGCTGCCTTGACAGCATTGTAACCATTGAAAACAACAGCATTCCAGCTTCCAAGTCGAATAGAAAACACGTCACCATATGTCTTCCACCATTTCATGAATGTTTCCGGTGGATAATTTCCAAACAACGGTAGATGACCAACAATTGGAAATCCAAAAGGCCCATTAGGATATATTTTGCTTTTAGTTTGATGAAGTCGTTTCAAGAAATGAACCATCATTAAAACCATACAGATGATGCCCAAAATTAATGTTAATTCCAACATTTTAAAAATAAATTAGTCCACAACAATGGGTGAAATATAAAACATGGACAACGTGAATTTATCGGATTTAGTAAGTTTAAATTTTAGTGAAGATAATAATAGATTACGCGACTTGTAAATACCAATGCAGGGCACATTTACTACATTTATTTAGTCTATTTTTAATTCAAGGTCATCAAACAACTATATGGAAAACCGATTTTTTTTCAATATTTCTTTTTGTGTGAATTAAACATTTCCACACAGGGGCCTATTTTGATGGCATCAAAGCATTTAGAATACATAACTATTATTTATGAAAACAAATATGATACTTTAACAAAGTATACAAGACACATTATGATCATAAACAAACGCAAAAAACATGTTTACATTTACTTGTTATCTAGTTCATCTTAACAGTACTGAATAACGTGACGGTTTATCTATTTTACATCGCAAATTGTGAATGTAGTTTTCCATTTATATACAAGAAAAGCATTGATGCAAAGCATCAAAGGGCGACGCCAAAAGAATTTGATCCAGGTTTGCACCTAAATACTTAACAAAAGATGTGTACTTTATAGCAGTACCATTTCATGTGACCTGGAGGCTTGACCCAGTTTATGTTGAAACTTAAACCAAAAAGAATAGACTCTGTCTTGCCAAGATGCAAAGACAATTTATAGTCAATAAACCAATCTTAAGATTTACTTTACCAGATACAAGGATACCTGGGTCATCATCATATAATGACAGGCACAAGTATCACACCTGGGAAGAAAAAAA